TATAGGACGAATAGTATATAGAGGCGGATATGCTTAGTCACCGCCCCGACTTGCTCGAGGCGTATGCCTCTTAAAATCCTCTACCTAAATATCCTTTATTATATATACCTCACATTTTGTTCACTCCTAATTATTTACCCTTACGTTACTTCTCTTACCTCCTACCTTATATTCACTTTATATTATCCTTCACTCTTAACCTTCCAACTTCCCCCTATTACTACCACTACCCCTTACCTACACCTATAACCTACCTTATCTATCTCTTACAATACCTACCGCGGCTAGCATTAACTAAGAGCAACATATCGCCTGAAAAGGCACCACGCAAACCTAGGAAGGCTAGTCTTATCCTGGATATGTCCCTTAACCGAGGGCAGATTAAGAAATCCCTGCAAGTATTATCAACTAAATATGAAGCGAATAAAGTCGCAAAAAATGTGAGGACTTCCTTCGATCCTACTAACTATATCTTATATCACCTATATAAAATCCTAGATATTAGCATTTCACCGAAACCCGTCGACAACCCGACCGCGTTCGCCCTAGTTACAACTCGGAGGCGGAAGAAGTGCTCTGACAATAATATTAACTTCGAGGCAAACGGGATATTGCGCGGGACACGACCGCCCCGCGGTAAAGGTGTCGCGGTTAAAGCCTTTAGTATTCGATAGATACCGGAGGTCTTCGAGCGCAACTTATTAACAGGCGCGTCTCTAAATTTCCTATACCTTACACGAACTAAGCGAGCACCGACACTAAGCACGATCCGCATCGGTGTAGTTACGATTCTATCAGGATAGGTTGAAGGACGAGACTACGATATCCTTGCTAAACTACGAAAAGTTAACGAACTACCCGCCCTTCCGGAATTATCTAATACCTCGGATAATACACAATATATTCGCTAACTAGTCGCGTATAAGATTATTATGTATATAGATACCGACCCGGAACGGAAAATCATCGTGCCTTCGCTAGATAGTGAACACTAGATAATAGAGCTCCAAGACGTGCCCGGTTTCCGCCCCTACTATGCGAATCCTCTAATATCGGGCGAAAATAGCGGTTTCGCGCCTAGCGAGCTCCGTGCCGGGCTACACGAAGAGCTATCCGGATTACCCTGGTCGCCCGAAGATCCGATGAAGCCGCGGAAGCGGGTAGAAAGGCCTACGCTGAAGATAATACCCGCTAAACAGCCTACGACTTCCGCGAATATAAGACCTTCGACTAGCGTACCTACGAAACGGCTACTTGATCCTAACTATACACCTGCGAAGAAGCGCACGCTACCTACGAATACCGAACGGAGAAGCATATATACTATCGTAGCGGAGAAACTTAGAGGCGCTGCTACGAACCCTGTAGCTGAAAGCACCCGTTCGATAGGAGTTAACGTATATACGATAATAGCGCTTACGCGTGAAATAACTACTGCGGTTACTAGGAATATGCTCGATTCCCTTAAATCTGTAGCGGTACACGCTGGCACTATAAATACCTACTGCAAGGATAATGCGATCTCCTAATATCGGGCAATAAAACTAATAGGAACCGACGAAGTCTTCGCGGAAATAGTTAAGAAATTTGCTGACGCTTCGATTGAATGCGTAAATATAATCGACTAACGAGTATCTAAGAATTAGCGCGGAGCGGCGCTGGCAAACTACGTCCTAGTTAACCTACAGTATCCGCTCCTCGCTACCAACCGCTCCTTCCGGTGTCCTGCTATCAGGGATATACACGAATTTATACGCCTAAACCCCCGTAACTTCGACGCCGCCTCGGTTATAGTGTTAGCCGCAGATAAGGAAGTCAATGCTAAAGAAAAGGAAGAGGATAACGAATCGGGGCCAGAGTTTCGCTAGGCTTAGGTTTACGTCTTCATATCTCTCGTGTAATTTATGCTGCCCGCGCAACTTATGTCGTTACACAATTCATATTCTTCATGCAATTCATATTTCCCACGCAATTCATGTTTCCCACGCAATTCATGTTTCCCACGTAATTCATGTTTCCTATGCAATTAGATTCTTCCGGCAGCGAGGACGCTGTCCTTTTTTTTTGCTGCAGGCATTGTTAGGTAGTCTATTACATAAGTGCGAATCCACGTGATTCGCACTTCGATATCTTCGGGGCCTAAACCCCAAGACTTAGGAAGAATCCAAGACTTTACGTACCAATCACGCTTCATTAGGTTTCTATAGTTGTCAGAAATTGGTTGTTGTCTGACGGCATAGGGTGACGTCAAAATGAATAGTTGATCAAAGGAAACTCCGAACGAGACCATCCCGATTCAACCGGTATCATCTTGGAAGCGTCCATTAGACATCTGGAGCACCATCACTGTCTATTATTCAACCCGTCGAGAGTCTGATCCTCTGCCAGTGAGGACGCCCCTGTAAAACAGCATGGCCTCGTCTTTTTTTGCTAGACTGATTGGCAGACCCTAAGAAACTAGCAGACTCCAAGAAATTGGCAAAACTCAGGAAACTACATCTTTCACTCCAACTAAGAGAAATGAAGTGGAAATTGCGCTCGAAAAATGCGGGAATCTCAACGCTTTACAACGCTATCGATATAATATTTCAAAGGAAGCAAGATATAAGAATAGCCTAATACTAATCCTACAATTTCTTGAAATAAAAGCTATTCTAAGAGATAAGTCCTAATAGGAGCACTATCTCTCTATAGAGCAGGACCTGGCCTCCCCCTTAGACTCGGACGACTCGGACGACTCAGAGGACTCGGATAACTTGGAATTCATCGAAAATCTACGTGCTGAGATAATTCACCTGAGACGGCGTTTATAGCTATATCGGAGTGAATTTGTCGGGGCTGTGAAACGAGGCCTAGATCTTTGTCGATCAGATCCTAATTAGTATATATATCGAGTTCTCGTTGCCGATTGTATAGGGCGACAAGGATGTTGCTCACGGGATTATAGATGCTGTGTTAAGCGTCAATTTGATCTTGAAAGAAAACTCGAAGCTTATCACTGCACTATTGGATATAGGTATTGTTTTGAACAGATAGATAAATTTACCTCGCTTACAGACAAACAATTATCAACGGGATTTAAGATATTTAACCTCTCCGAACGAGCAAACTTTTCTTATAAGATTAAAATAGCTTCTATCTAGGGACTCTCCTCTGATAGTAACTATAGCATATTTGATAAAATCAAAAACCTATAGGAGCACAGGAGGGATGAAAGTGAAGAGCAAAAGAGGGATGGAAATAAAGAGTAAAGGAGTTTTTCTCTCTCTGAATAGGAGACTGACTTAACTTTGGAAGAAACTTGAGAGAGGGACTTTGACCTATGAAGGAAGGTTCTTATTCTGATAAATATTTCTCTTTTACTTTAGCAGATAAATAGCTGTCTAGCATAGTATTAAGGTTGCAATTTCAATAAAATGCCACGATACTATTAGTAGCCAGCAGGTGCTAATAGTCTTTGACCTCGGGCCTCTAGTATGCATGAATACATAGCAGTAACGCCGCATAGACGTACTTTCTAACTGCCATACAAAGCATCCTGCATTTATCCCGCACAAATCAGTCAGCCTTATATGTACATACCTTGAGCTGCCCCGACGCGTAGCGAGATATACGTGAAACGAGACGAGGGCGGGAGGGTTCTAAGAAGCGGGGTATGATAAGTGAAGGTAATGCCTGTTTCTGCCGCTTAATTTGACTTTCAAAAAATTGCTTATAATTAAATAAATTTCTTCGATCTATCACAGCATTAAAGCTATCGAAAAGATTAGTCTTGGACTCTAGGGGAATATGGTACTGAGAGGTTTAACAGGTATTACGGACAGTCCTCAGAGCCCGCCTAATCATTATGACGAGGTCGGTGTCCGGAGTATATAACGGTGATTAATAACAAATAAAGGCGCTGAATTAGCTAAGGAGCTCACGCTAGTATTCATACTGTTGAATTCCTTCCATAGCTGTGAGCTGTACGGGTCTGTACCTCATCTTTGCTGAGAATTTTCACTGCGCTGTTGGAGAAGAGATAGCTAGATCCAGACCAGACTGTTCTGGCAGCCAGAGTAGATCTATTTGTCAGGATCATTTAGCCTACAAAACAAATAAGGGGTGGACCAGGATCGAGCATTTTTCAGAGGAAAGTCCAGCCGAGAGGCCACGACAGCTTCAGGGAATTCAGGTAAAGGGCTGAAGGGGCTGAAGTGGTAGGGCACCAGCAGGTGCATCACACCCAACAGACCGAAAACATCGCAGAAACAAAAACATACAACAGCAGGGATTCGCTGGTGGTCACCCACCCAACTACTAACCTGCCGGCGTGTGGCTTAAGTACGGCTGAGCGGACGGGAAGCCCTGTTCTCCACACCCTGTGGTCGTATGTATTAGAATTTGTCTGTAAGCAGAATATGTATAGAATCAAGCAGCAGAAATGAACCTGCATCGCTCGACTAAAGTTCAAACGGTGAGGACTGTGTAACGGGAACCTGGCAACTGTTTGTTTCATAATATTTTACAAGTTGTTTTATAGCAATATCTACCAGTACCTAGTCTTAGGCCCAACTTGCTTCCTAAGACAAATTCGCCCGGAGGTAGCGTCAATATCACTAGTAAGTACTACTAGAGCTTTCTAATCTAGGTCATCTCATTGGACTAGAGCCTTGAGACTCTACAGGCCTTCAAGGTTGGATTTCAAGGTGGCTGGATTTTTGAATCTATGCAAGAAACCTGGAATTCGCCTTCCTATTGGTGGGATTTTGATTCAAGATAGCCAAAGAGTGATAATCTGAATAGAATAAAGTATATATATAATGATCCCGAAATATAGTAAACACATGAAAAACTATGATAGACTGAAAGTAAACTTCTTGATGTCGAGGTCTCCCCAGTAATTACCACTTGAAGCTATAGAGTTCCCAATGAATTCTAAATAGTTTCCATTTAACGCCTAGATGTAGTATCTGTCATTATTATCACTGAGGTTGTGGTTTCCAAGATTCTCGCGTCTCTTATATTAGCAAGGCAAATCTTCGCTCATAATATTGGAAGCTTCCAGTAGATCGAATATAGTCAACTTCGCGTTCTTTGACAGTATTATTCTTATTGTGCTGTCTTAGCATACTGTATAGCACTTGATTCTCTGGCTGTGCGTGAAAGTTATGAAAAATTGGAACAGAAAATTTACCCTCTATAATATCGCCGCGGAAATCTTTGTTCGCGGTGGAGGTAGTGCTCTGTAGGCTCTGGTAATTATCCCAGATTTGGAATAGAATTGGTGACAGGAAGCCTGGTTTATCGGAGTTGAAAAGGTGAAGTCCATTCTCATGAGGGAATTAATGATAAGCTAGTAGTGACGATATCATCACGTGGTAACAAGAATTCCTAGTATCTCAACGAGAGAAATAAAAGCATTTTTTCCCTTTAGCCGCTGGCTTGGTACTCTCAGCTAGCATTGGCCGGATTGCGAGGCGAAGAAAACCTCTATTATTGTCTAAAACTATCTGAATAAATTCCTCCAGTGAAGCTCTATCCCTTGTCCGCGATGCAAGTTTATGAGCTCATCAATGAAGATGGAGAATGCATGTGGACTGAGGAGACTTTCGAGCTCTCTCTGAGCAACAAAGTATGCAGAGTTGGCCGAATTTACTATTTGGGATACTCCGAAGATATGATGTTCCACGGGAGCGCCCCGGCGTAGCTGGGATGAGTCTTGAATATCATCAATACTAAATTTAGCAGATGAGAGAGCAGAACGCGCCAGGTTACCTGGAATTAAAAACACAGGGCCACGAAGTGCAATTTGAACCCAGTCATTTCCAGCCATTCAATGTTTGATAGGTTACGGTCTACGGGTCCACAGTAGATATATATTACCTGCCGCACTTGCCCAACATCAAGTCCAAGTTATAGCTCCTATTCGGATAGTTCAATGATCTATAATCAAGCGATCATAGATGCCATATTTGGGAAAGGCGGCGATGTCTTCGTATTTTACCACGGTATCTGTTGTAAGTAAGGTGTTCATAGATTATCTTGATATGTGGTGAGAGACAACCCAGTAAAGCAGCGCAGGTTCATTTTTGCTTTTTTGCTTTATACATATTCTGCTTACAGAAAATCTCTAATACATACGACCACAGGGTGTGGAGAACAGGGCTTCCCGTCCGCTCAGCCGTACTTAAGCCACACGCCGGCAGGTTAGTAGTTGGGTGGGTGACCACCAGCGAATCCCTGCTGTTGTATGTTTTTTTATTTTTATTCCTGTTTCTATTGTTAATTCGCCTAGCCCAGTGGTCTGTGCATTTTGGTAAATTGGGTCCACTTAATTAGTCCAAGACCGCGGCGGTGGTAAAGCATTGGGAGTGGAGCATCAACATCCTCCAGGAAAACAGAGTGGCTGTTGATGCCATCCTTCTGCGACCGAAATAGCACGCGCCAGCTCCATATCCGAAGGTTGAGGGCGCATGCTGTCGGGTAGTAGCTGAACTCTGGTCGCGAAAGAGCCTCTTCTGGACCAGCTAAGGATCAAAAATCAGTTTATGGGCTCGTAGGCTATGGGCTCCTATGCTTGTTAGCATATGGGCTCATGGTGTTACTACAAAGGCTTAGCGGGTTGTTCAGAAAAGCTTTTACAACGCAAAGGCTCCTTGCGATGCGGGGATATGTGGTGGAGCCACTAGTGTCAAAGCTTATTGTGTAGCTTGCCTGTAGTAGGCAGTTCGGTAACGATGATGGCTGTTGCTCGATTTCGGCACTACAGGCATTCTGACTCGGCACCAGCTGAGAGTGGGAAATAGTTGTCGAGAGAAGAAGGTGTGAGAGGAACCAGAGACGGCTCTGTTGAGAGAGTGTGCGTCGATGAGCCAATCTGGGGGGAAAGAACGGGCAGAAAGCAGCGGCGGTAATCCCGTGATTACCTGCCAATACATAAGACACTTGATGTGCCTGACAAGTCTCAATAATCAGTTTATCCCTAAATTGAGACAGTGGAAGTCCATATTGCTTCGAGAGTCTGGTTTCACCTTTCAGCATTCTTATTATCAAGCCGTGAAGCAGGGAAGTGGCTTCGGGCGGGAACTAGCCGCTTGAATATGAAGAACGGTGTGATATACAAGGCTACCCTACTGTCTATAGCAACTCAGACATCATTTTGCTGTTACTGCTATCTTGACGTGCTCTCTAATTACATTCCGCAACCCCCTGAGGCGTTCCTGGTTCGCAGACAGCGAACGTCTCTGACCCCAGTTCACTAGCTTATCTAAAACTAGGCTACTGTAACTGCTCTACGCCGCTATACATTGCGGCATCTATGTGCTTTGTCGATGCCGTTATGCTATTCATAAGATACGCAGCAAACCTACATATTATAGATTAAAACGGGGAAATGCCACCATATATGGCGGTCTTGAGCAAGATGAAATGCTTGGTCTCTATGCTGATCAAAATGGGTGCATCAGTAAATGCTAAGGACGGTCATGGCCGAACCCCAATTCGATAGTCTTTGGAGTCTGGTGGTATCGATATGGTAGATGCTCTTTTCAAAGCAGGTGCGAGTATTGATTGCATTGATTCGTCAGTCGTCGATCTAATATCCCGAGCTTTGGAATATAGACACTAATTACGGACGGACCGCACTGCTGCCACCGGATATTATTGACTCGGGAAACGAGCATACTTTTGATTATCAACATAACTGGCCATACCGTTACTATTATTAGATAGATCCAGATGACGAACAAGAGGAGTGTAAGCGTGTGATCGAATAATTCCTCGCAGGGAGAACAGACGTGAATACGCGAGACCCCTTCAGTCGCGCCATACTGCATCAAGCAGCCTTTCAAAATTGCACTGAGTTAGTCAAGTTCCGTCTCAAAAGAGGAGCCGACCCCACGGCGAAAGATTCATTCTGTCAAATTCCCCTTTATATAGCATGCAGTGATAATTGGGGTTCTAGTAGAGTTGTTTTCGAGATATTTCTTAAAGCGGGCTGAGATCCCAATTCCAGGGGCAAAACCGGTAATACACCTCTATGAATAGCTGTGCACAGTTCATACACCGTCGGGGTTCGTATTCTTAGACGGGAGAGACAGGCAGACCTTCTTGCGAGAAATAACCGTGGCAATACCCCCTTCCACGAAGGGGTTAGTATCGCAATGAGTGACAAGCAGACCATTAGGCAGCTACGGAGAGCCTATATCGATCCTGACTTGGTAAATAGTGATGGTAAAGTTGTTTGGGGTTTCGCTCAGCAAGACCCAGAATAGGAAGACTATCTCATCGATGCCTTATCGCGTGAGCTGCCCGAAGAAGAAGAGTTAGAGAGCAAGTCTACGTCTTCAGTTGCTACTTCGGGTGACGGGTCGGGGGGAAGAGGATTCCGAGAGTGAGACTTTTGAAAATAAAGGAGACTAGCGAGATTATCTCCTTTTCTCTGCTCTCTAAGGGTTGACATACCATACAAACAAGAACCAGCATACCACCGAAGCCAACACTCTGGATTCAGTCTCCAGTAAACCAAATTCTCACCCAATCTATGTACTAGAATATCGCAGAATACTTCGGCTTATTAGGGTTCTCCTTATTCTCAATCTGTGACTAAGCTTTTGCTTAAGATTTTAAATGTTCTCTCAAAACGAATCCAAGCTCCTCTGGCCCCCCTGAAGAGATCATACAAATTAGTCCACGCTCCTCCAGGCTCCGAAATGCTTTTTTTGGGAGAAAAAATCCAAAGCTGGAAATGTTCGCCGATGCCCAGGCTATGACTATCCGGCTCTCTACTATTAGCTACTCCAGGATTGCTTGTTTCTCTAAGTCAGAGGGTTCAAAATCACATCCTATTGGCCGATCGAGTTGAAAGCCGAGGACTTCAACAATCATTGTCCAAAGTGAACCCGTTCTCTCACAATGAGATGTCCCAATCTCATTGAAGTCTTGAGATTTGCGTTTCCAGATGTATATCATTCGCGATATCGGACCGCTGAGACTTGGCAATCCACTTATGGTAGAAGAGAAAACAAGCACCTGTCGAGGGAACGGTCATTACGATCCAGATCCAGAATCGGGAAGCGTCTTCGAGCCATTCGTTGTTACTGAAGAATGGCATAGAGAGGAGTGTCTGCGTGAAAACGGTGAGTCTTGATTGATGGCATAGAGGCAAGCACGGACTGACGGCAAAGGTAGCACCTGGGAGGAAGAACATGGTGACGACAGCGATCTTTGAGGAAGTTAGAAAGCTCTGGAGCGGAGCAGATTTGTATTTTGAAAACATACCGTTCGCATGGCCACACTATCCCGCTTCATCTCCTGGGCTAGCGCGTGTGATGCCTTTGCCATTTGCCGGCCGAGATTTGTGTCCTCGTGCATTGCGCTGAGAATGGCTTGCATTGCCTGGCCATTCGCGACGAGGAGTCTGTCGCTGTTGATTTGAATTCTGTTGAAAAGCTACATGATTTAAGCATGAGTAATTTGATATCATTTAGATAGGCATACCAAGGCAAGATGATTGGTGATCTTTTTTTCCAGTTCCTCGGCAAAGTCATGCAATGCCTCGATCTGTGAAAGAACTTGACTAAATCCACGAGAAGCATTCTCGAAGCCATCCATACCGCCATTGTCAGTATCTCTCTCATGCAAAGACTCAAAATGAGTGGCCAGATCCATCACTATTGCCTGTGATGACTTGAGCTCTGATAGATACCGGTGCAAGTGTGCCGCGATTGCGTGGAGGGCACGATTAATGGTCGTCAACACGTCATCTGGTGTGGTATGCTGGGCACTCAGCCCTGCCTGGAGTTTCAGCTCGTAGGCGATGAGCTGCTCGTTGATACTATTCAGGGCGTTTGTCCACCATCTTATCACGCTGCTCAGATAGACCAGGTGCATAGCGTGCCCGTATCCTTGATACCTCGCGTAGGCTCGATCATTAATCACCTCTTCTATACGTTGCCGCGGCTCGAGTGCAACTTTCGGCCACCGTCCATGCATAAAGTCAAACGCCACAAAGGTCACGCGTTTTGAAGCCGGATCGATGCTTGTAAAGATCGCCACGCAGGAGCGCCGAATATCGAGGTTCATATTCGGGAGATGGAGCTTGTGAAAAGGATTCATTTGGTTTTGACTGGATTGTTCTTCTGGTGTATTCGTGGCGGGCGTGGGCGACTCGACTTGCACTCTGACAGGAAGAAAGTACCACAGATCCAGGCTCGTGGACGAGGCATTCACTGGCCTTCTGCGTGATCCTCTACCGTTGGGAAGATAGTGACGCGCGAGAGCAAAAATAAAGCTCAGAGGGATCTTTAGCCTGGTCGCAAGAGTCTCCAGACTGGGACCTGAGATTCGCAGTCTGTTGGCATCTTTTGGGATCTCTTCTCGTGGATTCAGGATCAGATGCTTGTGTATAAAACTGTGGGAGGTCAGTGATGGGCCCCGGTCGGTTGCGGTAGGGTTTAGTTTTCCACTTACAACAGCTCATGTGAGCCTTCCCCCTCGGTACGCCTCTGGTTGCCGTTAGAAATATCTGGCTCTGTATGTCTTCGTAGAGAGCTCTACCAGATTTTCGATGTCTTCCTCACTGATCAAGTCGACATTTGCGGCCGGTGATTTGGGTTGGTACCATGTATGCCGGATCAAAGTAGCACCAGAAAGTTGTGATCTCTGAAAGCCTTCAAACGACTGCGCGATTGCATTTGAATATTCTCTTGATCTTCCTCTTAGTTCAGAGTCTCATCATCAGGACAGCGGACGGGGAACAGCGAACGTACAGCTCGGGTGCATGGTTGGCTTCGTATATGGAGTCCATGCTTTCCGGGATGAAGAGGAGAGAGGCAGAAGAGGAGACACGCGAGGGACAAAACTGCCGAGCCCTGCAGGGATTAGATTATCACCTGTTTCCTCATTAATCTTAGTTGTATCCTGTATGCTCAAGGGGTGCCTACCACTGTAGCTCACTGTTTTGGTACGGGTAATACAGCCTCGTACTGTGGTCCATTTGCTGCAGTATGCCGCACCGACACCCTATAGAACAACTCGCTGGCAATTGGGCATGATCGTATCAGTCCGTGCGGGTTCGTTCCAGTCCAGCAACACCCGTGACGCATGGCGCGAAGATGCGTCCAAGCACTCACGCGGCGGGGAGCACGACAAAGGGCTGCGCCTCCGCGTTCCCTGAAATCTTGTTTTCTTTTTCTATTTCTTTTTTGTTTTGTTTTTTGTTTTCTCAACATCCTCAGTCCCTCCTGGATTCTCATCCACGTCTTCAATCTTCAGAACCGACTCGCAAAATGCGTGGCTCTCGACTTCGGAAGCCAAATACCCAGTCCTTTTTAAACCCATCTTGGATTCTTCCCTCGAACGACGGACAGGAGAACTTGGCCATCCTCGAGTCCAGTGCTTCTGAGACAACTTCAGTCAATCCGACCTCCAATCAACCAGGCGAGCATGTCTCGCCCCAAGACACTGCGCCCCCCGATCAGCCCGCTGACATGGCTGAGAAGCCAACCCCGGTCAACGGGAAAAGGAAAGCGCGCTACGCGAGACAGCACTCCTCCAAGTGGCTTGAGCATGATGCAGTTGCAGAGGTCACAACTTCGTTGGACAAGGCTGAGCAGCCACAGCCTCAACAAGCAGCCGCTGCGAGGATCGCATCCTCAACCAAAACACCACCGGCATCAATCTTCCGCCAGATGAACTGGCCTCGTCGCAGTCCCGGATATGACGCTCCGGCAATCTCACCCCCTGTTTCATCAACGTATAGTCCGAGCTACGGACAGTGATTTGCATCCCAAGGCCATCTCTGAGGCGTCACCCCTCCCTGTGCATGCATAAACCCTGCCCATTACCTGACCTAATAAATAGAAATGACCGCCGCAGAGCAGGACTAGTAAGATTCCAGTTGCCGCCGCCTCGTGCACCTGCTCTGAAATCAAAACAAACCTACCCTTCACGAACCGTTCGGTCATCTTGATTTCTTGATTTCGTGCACCATTTTAAACCCATCCCTTCCAATCATGGACAGTCAGAGGGAGCCCATCACTCCGAATATCACCCAGGTGCGGAAAGCACCCCAAAGCAGCAAACTTCTAAGGCATTTGAGAGATAGTATGGACTTTACCGAATCACGAGCCGTCGGAAGTTTCGCTAACCCTTGATCTAGGAATACGCAGCGACCGCGCAAAGAGTCACGACCATGTGTCCCCCCTGGCTGAATCTACCGCCGCGGGGACAGGTGCCAGGCTCACACGATATTCGTCGGCCCCTTCCCCCATCGAATCGCCCATCCAAAGCCCACCTCCACTGGAGAACTGCCAGGATTGGCTACCTCTACAATCCCCTCCTTCCAAACAATTCACCACCGGCCTTGCCAATTCGTCCGATCCCTCTAGTTCAACACAGAGATTTGACTCCCAAGATCTAGGTGAGCAACGGTCCGTACAGGAGATCCCTCTGACATTTGCGATCGATGTCTCCGGGAGCACAGCAGGAAGAATCCTGCGTCAGGAACAGAACGCAATTCTTGCGGTCGCTTCGAACTCAAAATCGCAGGACCTAGTGTCGCGGTCGACCGTTCTTCCTTGGTCTCACAGGAGCTACCCACCCAGAAGTATTGCCGGCGTTGAGAGTCTCACCTCTGGCGGGGGAACTTATCCAGGGACATTGTTGGGGGATCCCGCCTGTAAATCGCGACTCCAAGACTCTAGCCTGTGGTTCCTTCTGACAGACGGTTTTATTGAAGAACCTCTGGTTCAGAAATTTGCGAATGCTATACCGGAAGCCGGGATCCATGGCACCGCTTGCGTGATCATTCTGTTTGGCTACGCTCTTGCATCCCCGTTTGACTGCAATGTCTCGGTCGGAATGGCTGTGTTTGCAGTCGCTCCACATTGCATATTTTTGTTCCATGATGTGAGGACAGCCGTGGTATATGTTCTCCAGGCCAAAGGCTGCTTTGCCAATATGCTGCCTGAAGACAAGCGGTTCTCCCTATTTGGGAAATGGACAACATGGGAGAATCTTGTGACCATCACCTACGAGGATCTTTCGAACGTCCGAGTCCCAGCACCAACGAAGTTGGCTCGGGATACCGTTCTACTTCCCCTCGGACGACAGTTTGACCTGCAAGATATTTACAATGACACCGTCTCCGAGGCTGACAAGCTGACTTTACTCTCAGATTACTCTGCCTTGGATGTTGTCCTTCTGGCGGCAAGGACCAGGGGCAAAGGTGAACAAGTAAAAGAATGGATCTCGAAGTCCCGGTCTACAACAGACTCAAAGGATCCCATTTTCTTGCAACGTGACGATAAAGGCAGTGTAGCGAAAAACACCCTTCTTACACTTCTCGACAGAGTTGTGAACCCAGAGATGCTTGAGTCTCAACCAGATATTTTGTGGCAGACCCTCTATGCCTCAAACGAATTCTCAGCGGTTCTCCCGATCAAGTCAAAGCTCCGCAAACTACATTCGAATAACTGGAATCAGTTTGGATTGAAGATCGAAGTCGAATGTGACTTGCCCGAAAAGATGAATGCTGTATTTGATGATGTATTGACGACGATGAACAATCTCGACAAGTGTTCAATCTCTCCAAGCCTCCTGACACCAATGACATCACCCGTTCCAAGAGGACCTTTATCGAAGTCAGACGGGGGCTCTGTCAACGTCTGCAAGAGAAGCAGCCCTCTAAGCCCTAGAAACTACCTTCCGTCGGCATCCAAATCAGAAAATTCTCCAGCACATTCGACATTCAATCCTATCACCAATGAACTTCTCTTTCTCCCGGGATACAAAGGCAACAGAACCATTGACATGCACACATATTCTCCAAACTACCGGACCTGTCCCATCTGTGGGCAACGGAACTCCATCCAATGCCTTCTTTTGCAGACGACCCGCGAGCCTGACAACACCGTCCATTTCCCACAGATCAACAGTGGTGCCAGACACAAGTACCCAATGGTCTTGGGGAACTATCCGGAGACTGATATTATAATCCCCTTGACAGCCTGTGATGCTTGCGCCTTTATCTTACTCCAAGTTGGGGAACTCCCAAACGGCGAGCGTGTTGATGCTGCACTTCCATTGGTTTCGCTGCGGGAAGAAAATAATCGCTGTCAGTGGCTTCAAACCATCTCCAAGGTATACCAGCACCGATTTCACGAAAATATTACCCTCTTGGTCTTCCTCTCATCGCTTTGTTGCGGAATTGAGGACATTGTCGATACCGAATCGTCTTGTCCAAGCCTCCTGGAGTGCTTACAGTGGTGCTGCGAAGAAGTCAGCGGACTCCCCGGTGTACCGAAAACGGCCGGCATCACACCCATCGGCAGCCCAATGTTTGATTTTATCGACGATTCTGTATCTCTTAAAGATGCATTAGTCCTGGCATTCTGCGACTCTGAAAAACTCATCCAACAGTTGCCTTTCCTCGCCTACCCGATCGAAGGTTTCGTTGCCATAGTCCGCCTCGCCAGCCAAATAGAGGATATTGAGCCTTGCAGAATCGAGCTCTTTACATGGAAGAGGCTTCTCTACCACCTTTGCGAGCAGCATCTAGCCCTCAGGCAGCAAATTGGTCCCCAACAAGCCGATAAGAAGCTCCAAGAAATTCTCTTTGAGCCTTCAATTCCCTCACTTTCATCGGAGAGCAGCGTCACTACCAGCGCTGACAATTCGCCCATTTTATCCATATCCGTAGCTATTTTAGCCGATACATATCTCCTTTCCTGGTCCTCTGGTGTTGGGATTCAATTTCAGCGCATGGGAAATTACTTCAGGCCGATTGAGACAACGACTCATTACCATGCCGCCCTGGCTGTCTTCCTGCATACCATGCTGGACGTATCGACCGATTGTGAAGATTCTTCAGTTGATACGGAAGATTTCTTCACTAGTTTGCAGCAACGTGCTGATGGAGTGCGGCGGACGATTGGGGACACGTACAACGTGTTCGAGGAAGCAAAGCTTGTTGGGGGTTGCAACGTAGCGCGACTGATTGAGGAGGTATATAAGTCAGGTTCATTTTTTTAAATTTCGAGTTTATGGAGAATTTGACTGGGAGTTATGCTAGATATAATACATGCAACCAGGTATCGAACGCATAACACTCAAGATGACTATCGATAACAATTGGGGTACGATGACTACACCTAGAGCAAACACGGGAGGTCTACTGAACTCCGGGACACAAAGTACCTCAGTAGCCTAAGCACAGTTCTCGTCACTTCTCACTTTGCTTTGAGTGGCTATGATAGTAAAAAAAAAGAATTGGCAGGGGATTAGGGGGAAGGATTTTGCATCGCTCTTTGACTAGGCTTCGTGGACATGCGCTTGCACCCACAAAATTGGAAGGTCGTATGGTTTGTAGAGATTAAGAACACGGTATTACAAAATTGAATGGGTGTGCGAGTGATATAACTTGCAATAGTCTTTGGGTCAGCAGGTATTAGATGTAATGTGTATCGCAAGGTCACCACCCACAGAACGGTGATTGTATGATGAATGTTCTAAAATGTGACAATACTTGGATTTTTACTTTCTCAAATCAAATTCTCTAGCAACAATTGCGTAGACATTTATAACGGGGGCGTTGGAAGTTCAAAGGTCGATGTGGCTTTACATTGCCATGGTGCAAGAATCATCACATATCAACCTTGGGAATATAAACCCGGAGATCAGCTTGCCTTAGAAACTGAAGAGCAAATGCTAGGACTTTCCTGAATATCAATATTCACATGAAGGTTGTACTTGGCTTTCAAATGCTCGAGTGTAACACGAGCAAGCTCTCCAACAGTCCCCGCTCTGTTGATTTCAATCAGACTCAATTCCAGGGCCAAGTGACTCTTAATCCAGCGTCTAACTTCAACAGACATTAAGGAGTCTAGTGTCATCTGTGAAACTTCCTCTGCATTCATATTTTCTGCTCGTGGCACATATGTTGTGACAAGGGTACCTAGTTCAGCTCGGATCACATTTTCAGTTTCAGGATCTAGAAGAACACGAGGGTCATTTTGGACCCTAGTCATCAAACCGTGAAGCACCTTGTTGTTGGATCCGGTGGTTTCGTGGCTAGCGTGTTCCATATTTGCGTACATGCCAAAGCGCGCATCACGGGCCCAGAGCGTTTTCATGGCCAATTCAGACAGCGGCTTTGTGTGCGACAAGCCGATCGCAAGGGGTGAGAATGGTCTCTTTCGTGACCCCATGGCTAGACGGATGCCGTCAACCAGCTCCCTGTCCTGCAGTAAACAGATCGAAAGTCCTTGTACATAGCGAAGAAGCTCGGGGTCGCGACTGACAATTCCCCGATGCTCAACGACTCCAGGGTTGATTATAGAAGCAGGGAGGCCAAGTTGTTGGCGATAAACGGTAAAAGCGTCCAAGAAACTGTTGGCAGCAGCATAATTTGTCTGCCCCGTCTGGCCAGTGATGCTGCAAGTGGAGCTGAACATCAGAAAGAAGTCCAACGGAGTAGACTTCAGAGCGTCGTGAAGATTCCAGGTCCCTCTGACTTTGCTGTCAAGTGACATGACCCAGTCCACGAACAGCATTTTTTCAAATGTACGATCCTAATTCCATGTCAAAAATAATGATTTCACATTGTATAGGGCAGGCTTCCTTACCCGGAGCTTTGCTGAAAGTTGGACAACGCCTTTTATGGGGAATAGGCAGGCTGCGATAGCAGTTGCCACATCATCTGTATTGGTAACACTCCCGGCAACCGTTGTCACCACGCAGTCCTGGGCCTGCAATTCCTTGATAAAATCTTGATCATCTTTAGATTGACCAGCAGAAGGGCTGAGGTATACGAGATTCTGAGCCCCGTTGTCCACCATCCAAGCGGAAAGGGTTCGTCCAATACCCCCAGACCGCCAACAAGTAGGTACGATGCATCTCCGAGGAAGCTGATCTCCTTGATACCAAGTTGTGATGGCAAGGGAATCTTGGCTACCTCTCGCATATCCACAACGACTTTACCCATATGGGTTCCCTGCTGCATGTGTCTGAAGGCAAGACTAACATCGGACGCTGGGAAAACAGTAACCGGCCGAATTGCGGTGATCTTTCCCTGCCTATACCACTCAAAACACTCATCTCGAATCTTCGCTAGGACGTCTGGTCTTTTCTCCCCGACATGAACCATGTCTAGACCATAGTAGACTCGGTTTAGCACGAAAGGAGCAAGGTCCAGCTTTCCGTGAGTTATCAAATCACGTTTTCCAAGTTCGATCATTTTTCCAAACTCCGCTACGCACATCCAAGAAGCACGAAGCAGATCTCCGGATAAGGAATTTAAAACCACGTCTACTCCCCGTCCCTCTGTCTCTTGCATCAATCGTGGAACGAATCCAGCATTCCTAGATGTAAATATATGATTGCGAGGAATGTTCCAGTTTTCGACTAGATAGTCTTCTTTCTCTTTTGAGCCTACCGTTGCGTAGATGATAGCCCCAATCTCTCGGCAAACTTGAATTGCAGCTAAGCCAACACCACCACATGCGGAATGGATGAGAATGGATTGACCTTCACATAAAGATGCCAGATGAAGGAGAGAATAAAACACAGTGGAGTAAACCACGATCATTGTGGAAGCATCCTCCAGTGATAACGCATCTGGGATCCTCTTACATCGCCGTTGGTGAATTTTCACTGTTGAACGAAGCGCGCCCAATACACCGAAGGCAACTCGATCCCCAATGGCGATATCCTTCACATCTGAGGCGACTTGAGTCACAATGCCAGCGCCTTCAAGGCCAATCTCTTCGATAGATCCCAGTAGCCCCATGGCGGTCATCACATCCTGATTCTCGCAAATGTTAGCAACCCACCTAGATAATCTTAGGAAATAAGGAAAGAATACATGCCTTGAAGTTCAAGGCGGTGTAATGGACTTCAATCTCAACATAACCATCCTCGAGGCTACCGAGCTCGCAAGGAGCCCATTGTAAGCTGTCCAGAAGTCCATATGTTTCTATGTGAATTTTGCGAGCACACTCCGCGACGTCTGGAGATCGGGTTATCTGATTTACAGTTCTCCAATAGACCCGTGGAATGTAAACAGTCCCTGCTTGCAGAGCAACCTCGCATTCGAGTGTACCATGAGGTGCATTTCGCGATTTTTTTACCTCACAGCAGACGTCAACTAAGGTAGTGGAGGCAAGTGAATCAAAGCAATCGATCTCAAAGACAGTTAAGTCGATTGGAGACTCATGTCGAAGCGCTCGGAAAAGTCCATTCGTCAAAGCGTATCGTGGGTCGGGACAAGACATCTGTGTGGATGGCGTCACCCATAGAACGAACCGGTTCTCAGAGGCATTGAGAAACATCCGAAGAAGATGGAAAGCTTCCTCATTCATGGTATCTAAAAATGGGCCATTCATGTCCAGCAGCGAGATAACAATGGCATCTGATGGAGAGGGGGCTGTCTGCTCTTGCTGCAGGGTGGTCCAAGACACGCTAAAATGAAGATTTGCGAATTGTGACTCTAAATCCATCGCCCATTCTGGAACAGAATCTTCAGTCAAGAGGTAGATATTCTCCTTAGGCAGATCATCCGATGCTGGTCTGCTGATTATAGACGCGCAATTTTGATAAGGTACCACTGTGTCATGCACCACTGACTCGATGCCTGTGAATCCAGCTGACTTCAACTCAAGATTCCATCTATCTGGAGAGACAAAGGGGTGTTCAACTCTTCCATCCTCCTTTCCGGCCCACCATCCAGAGAGCACACCACATATATATGGGACGAAGGGAAGCTCTGTATCAAGTTCGTGAAGTAGAAAATATCCGTTCGGGGAAATGAGATTACGAACTCTTTTAAGCGAATCTTTGAGGTTCGGTGTCGCGTGAATGACATTTGATGCAATGATGAGATCAAAGCTATACGGCTCATATCCCTGTTCTTCCACATCTTTGGTGATGTCCAATCTTTTGAACTCGATGTTGTCTATACCGGCGAAGCGCTCCTTTGCCGAAACGATGAATTCGGGTAATATATCTGTGAATGTATAGCGCGCGAACTGAGATACTCCGTCCGAGGATCGTAGGGAGTTCAGGACAGCGGAAGTTGCCGCGCCTGTTCCACCACCGATCTCAAGCACTCTCATAGCTGGAAGTTGGTGTCCCAGTAGCCCGAGAAAGTTCTCCCAGAGCCTGAATGACCGATCTGCACCATACAGTCCTTGGAGCAGGCCATCCTTGACCAGACATTCTAGAGGGGAACATTTACCATCCATATAATTGACGCAGCTGTCAAAGTTTTGTCTCATGCACTTAGCAATGAGAATGCTCCCATTCTCATGATCCAGCGTCGCTGCAAGATTATCGATCATTTGTGTCCGGGCAGGGCTGTCCAAGAGCGCCCACTCTATCGAGTCTTTGTAATTCAATAAGCTTCTGCTGGATATTTTGTTACATTCCCGCATGACCCAGGTTTTCCAGTTCCTGAGGGCAGGATCATCTGTGTCCAGATCTCCAATTCGATCTGCCGTCTCCAACGTATAGAGATGACATATTTGGGTTAGTATTTTCAGTGATTCTGCGAATCTTTGATCAAGAGTAACGATGGGAAATATCCGCTTGCGTGGGAGCATTTCAAGCCACGGCCTCCACTCGACCTCAGCTCCTGCCTGCTTGCCCCCGGACCTGAGGTCCCCTGAGTCTTCATGCATTGCTATCACGGCTTTAGTCATGCTCAGAGCAACATTCCCATTAGTATTCATCATGAGAGCATCGCCAAAGGCAGTACGAGAAACCTTTGTGTCGCTCAATACTTCCACCGCCATGTTTTCGCTGCCACGACTGACGTATATTTCCTCAATCCCCGCGGGAATCGCTATTCGATCGAACCGATAGGATAACCCGGCCGTTGTTGCCACCGAGAAAAGCTGCAAGCAAGAATCAATGGCGGCTGGGTGAATGAGGTATCGACTTGCATGACTTTCCCAGTGATCTTTCACCGTGGCGGTCGCAATTTGCTGCCTTGTATCCACGGAAATATCTGCAAGTCCTCGAAATGGACCTCGATAAGACAGGCCCCATCGATTCAGCATATTGTACCATTGATCCGCTGGAACCGATCTATCCCTTCTCGTGATGTTCCTTGGGCTGGGCATATTATCGGCCCCGGCTCTGACTTGTCCTTGTGAATGTTTTACCCAGCGCTCACCTTGAGGATCATAGGCAGTAATACTGAACTCGAACCACTCTGAATCTGCAAGGGAGTTAAGCCTGACTGGTTTAAGGCTGGTTATCATCTCAAACTTTTCAAATTCCTTCAGAACAAGGGGTGACTTGAACACAATGTGACGAATGGAGAACGAATCGGTCCCAGAAACAAGCTGTTGAACAGCTTCACCGACCATACACACGTAAGCGGCACCGGGGAAGACCAATTCGCCTTGCAAAAGGTGATCATATAGCCAAGGAACGCGGTCGAGGGTGAGCATATTTCTCCACGTAGGCTCAAAATCGGTCGACCCTGTCACCCGTGAGCCGAGAAGCTCATGATTAGGAAATGATCGGAATTTCCAGTCCCTCGTGATACGGCTTTCTTGCCAGTGACGTTCCGTATGATCCCATGGATATACTGGCAAGTCTGTTAATATGCGGCCTGGCCCATTCAGGTTCAGAAGGTCAACGTTAATGCCAAGTGAAAAGCACTCCGCTGCGGCTTCCAGAAGTTGGGCAGCCAAGTCATTTGATTTTCGGTCCAACGTGGGCAAATAGACAGGAGAGATGGTTCCAGAATGCAGGCTGAATATTTCCCTCAGAGGGCCTGCAAGTGCAGCATGTGGTCCAATTTCGACAAATACTGGATTGAGGGCCTTCGACGCATCGCTCATCAGAAGCTCCCGGACGGCTGTTGCGAATAAGACTGGGGATTCCAGATTCTCGCGCCAGTACCTGGGATTAATTTCGGACACCTCGAGGATTTCCTTGCCAGTTACCGTTGAGAACAGGGGGCAGCTGAAAGAAGTCGATTGGGTGATAGGGAGATAGCGTGTAAGGAGCGATTCATACCGCTCTCCTACCTCGCGCATGTGTTCTTCAATCCGAGAGAATCAGTATTAGGACCTTGTAGAAAATGCAGTGGTGAGCGGATAATTACCAGAGTGATACGCAGTATTCACCTTCAGCCTCCTGGTCGAAACATCGGGCCTATCTGTTTCAATCTTTGAAAGTACAGCATCGACTTCATCGACATCACCTGATATAGTGACACTCCGAGGGCTGTTCTCGCAGGCGACTCTTACTTTGTCCGTTAAAAATGACTCTGCGTTATCCCAATCTAGGGCGATTGCAGCCATGGCGCCAGGTTTGCGGATTTCTGTGGCAACTAGGCCACGAAGGTACGCGACGATAATCGCTGAACTTTCAGTAAGTGCACCAGCAGCATACGCAGCTGCTATCTCTCCACTGGAATGGCCGACAACACCCGCAGGGATGATCGCCCATTTGGATAAGAGATTGATAATCCCAATCTGGATTGCAGTTGTTGCTGGCTGGGATATTTCAGCTTCATAAATTCGCGAACTATCCGTATCCTTACAAAGCTCGTCTGTGATGGTGTCAAGATCAATTGCCGTAAGGATGGGAGATATTTAATGATTGCTCACCTTCCAACAGCCAATTGGGTTTCAATTCCAAGCTCTGAAGAACTTTGTCCAAATGTCGAATGTCGTCTTTAAAACTGTCGAAGGTTTCGATCAAATTCTTCCCCATTGCCGGCCACTGAGCGCCCTGTCCTGTGAAGGCGAAAATTAATGTTGATTCCAGCACCTTGCGAAATTTAAAATTCGCTGGCAAAAGCTGTTTCGTCTGGCATGTATCTAATATCGCAAATGCACGGTTGTTCAAGTGCTCCCGACGAACACCTAACGTATAGGCCAAGTCATGTATCTTGGAAAGTCTGTTCGCGCTGTACTGAACAATATCTTCAACCCGTTTTGTCAAAGCTGTTTTGCTTCGTGCAGAGAGAACCAAAACTTGGAGACTATGATTTTTAGGATCGGAAACTGACTGTTGAGTACGTGGCAAATTAAATGAACTAGCGGAGTCGAGTACCGCATGAGCATTCGCACCGCCAATCCCAAAGCAGTTTACACTAATTCGCTCGCAGGTGTTCTCCGGCCACAGTTTTACATCTGTAGGAACTCGGAGGTTCCAATCTTTCCATTGAATTTGTGGATTCGGCGTGTTGAAGTAAATGTTCGGTGCTATCATCTTGTGTTCCAGAGACAGCACGGATTTGATGACACTGGTGATACCAGAAGCGCCCTCTGAATGGCCCACGTTGGGTTTAACCTTTATTTGTTAGCGACATATTGTCAAAGTAAACCAGGTTGATGATATGGAAGACGCACAGCTCCGATGAAAGTCGGCTTTCCCTGGCAGACTTTCGCAAGGACTGATGCCTCAGACTTATCTCCGGCTAATGTCCCCGTACCATGGCACTCAAAGAATGGTGTCTGGGTAATATCAGGTATTCCAGCTTTGGCGTATGTCTTTCGAATCAATGCTTCCTGCGACACTAACCCCGGGGCTGTGATAACAGGGGTTTTTCCGTCGGAATTCGTCCCAGTTGCACGGATAACAGCGCGGACAGGGTCTCCGTCAGCGATAGCGTCACTCAGTCTTTTTATGTAAATCGCATTGATTGCTTCACCACGGCCATAGCCATCTGCAGTTGCATCAAATGTCTTGGACTTGCCGTCTGGTGAGATGACTAAGTTTTCTGACATCGTTGTTGACATGGTAGGCGAGAGGATGAGATTGCAACCGGCAACGATGGCCCCCGAGCATTCTCCTGACAAGATTCCTTGGCATGCCTCATGCAATGCCAACATTGACGACGAGCAACCACTTTGTATTGTCATACTTGGACCTTGAATGTCGTACTCATACGAAATGCGATTTGCTAGGGCGTACGGGCCGGTGGAGAGAACGTGGTATCGATCGATGGACTGCGAGTCGCTGTATGCAAGTTCAACCCAGTCCTCACCAAAGACCCCGACGTAGCATCCAATATCCTTTCCACGCCAGTTAGTCACTCCCGCATTCTCTAGACACTCCCAAACGACTTCCAAGAGAAGCCGTTGCTGTGGATCCAACCGTGCAGCTTCATGTTTGCTGATCGAGAAGAATCCAGCATCAAAATAAGCAGGGTCCTCCTGAAAAAAGCAGGCTTGCCGCGCTCGCACACATTGTGGCTTCTCTGGGTCATAAAATGAATCGATGTTGTATCGTGTAGACGGAACCTCGCATACCCCCTCACCCTTAGATAAGAGGAATTGCCAGAACTGTTCGCCAGATCGAATGCCCGCGGGGAGCCGTAGTCCCATACCAATGATTGCAATAGGCTCGATGTCTCCTGCTCTCACGGAAGAAAAGGACGTTGGAGTTGATGCTGTTGTGACTGAGGATGAGGAACTGGATGACGGATCATCCATCTTGGCAGTGACACTGGGCGCTCGAGAGATGGAGCGGTTTTCTTGTTGGGAAGGGATGACATCCAGATTCTCAGAACAAGGATGTAGCCGTTGAGGAAAATTGTTAAAAGATGAGAATGTTTGCCTGGTATGGGATAATGCATGAGAAGAAGAGGCCGCGATTCGTACTTACTTGATGCCTGTAGCAGAGGGAAGATCTATACATTGTGCATGATCGTACTGCTAACAAAGTGCTGTGTGTGATTGGTACTGTATAATGCAAGGATCGCCGCCAGATAGAATAGTGAGTGGGTCACGAGTGACAGCTCGCATGTTGGGAGACACTTGCTATGTTCAGATCCCTTGCTTTTCATGTTTTCTGCAGCTCATCTTCGTGTATCTGTCGGGATTAGTGGAAATGGAATGGGAGAGTAATGATACTCTCAGTAGTTGCGGTGTGCAAATTTATGAGCTGGAAGGAGAGGAGTGGTAAATCGACACGACATTCCTCATATGAACCCAGACTAATATAGACCTAGTGAAGCACTTGAGGCAATCCGATTCAACTTTTATGGATCCTAATGAATGTTGATCGAGCTCTCTCAATCTATTCTTTTTTCAGTATTTCCACTTGGGCCCCTCCCCGGATTACATATACTTGCATAGTGGACAGAATGCTACTCGCAGCCACAGAGTGTTGAAACACACCGCCGTAAAACATGGCCGTTGCGTCCTTTCCGATACCCATACTCAAGACCTTCCCTCCCGGGTGTGCATCCAGGAAGTCAGTCACATCATAGACAAAACCGGCAATCGCCACAAGGGCTCTACCGCTCGCTGCTTGCCGAACATATTCGTCCCAATCTATCGCCCGAATTTCATCGCCACCATCGCGATCAGCATGCTGCCTCTGGCTTTTAGGCTGCCGACAGGCTTGAATGACTTCATTTGGGACCTTATTTAGGTTGGTTGCCAGTCCAACCTGGGCCAATGACCAGATGATCCATTTCGATATGTCTATATCAAACCAAGCCACCCCATTCCGATAATCGGTCGGAAATTCATGATGGAAATTATGATAACTTTCACCCAGCGTTAGCAACGCAATCATAGGATTATCCCGGGCTGTGGTTCGTGAGGAATATGGTCTGCTTCCAGCCCAATGCGCGACTGAATTAACCAAAAATGTCAAATGCAATCCGACATGCATGCGCACCGTCCCAGCCCAAAAGAGGCCCCCAGGCAGATCCCTCCAACCAACCCAAGCTATTAGCGCCGGGAAGATGTATGTCATGAAGACCGAAAGAGGCAGGTAATATCGGTCCTGCCATTCGACAACGGGGTCATTTTCTAGATCAGAGATATCCACGTCCCATTGCTTCATGATATCATCTTGTCGAACTAGAAGCCATCCCATATGGGAATACCAGAATCCCTTCCGTGCGTTATATGGATCCAGCTCGGTGTCTGTATACCGATGATGAGCTCTATGGCCTCTCACCCACCACTTTATGGATCTTTGCACCATTCCTGCGCCCACTATTGCCAGTAAGATGCGCACTGCACTAGGCGCCCGAAATGTTCTGTGTGCCCATAGTCGGTGATATCCTGCAGTTTACTTGAATTAGCCCTGAGGTCTATAAAGCGTCGTTAGGGGGCTCACATACCTATCGTAATACAGAGTCCCTGAATGACGGCGTAGATAGAAGCGAGAATCACTGTTTCTCTTTGCGCTGGCACGTATGGATATCTTAGCGGAATCCAAAGGGGCCATATAACGAGCCCGAAAATGTGATGCCAGTGGAAGCGTGAGAGAGAGAGATACATCTCTGGTGCTCAGAAATCATTTGCTTGGTCAACGCCTCCAAATGGACATTAAGGATTTTGGAGACCAATGGACTACACGGTAGTTCTGAGAATTTTCAACTTGATCAACCTTATTGCTTTGTTCATAAGAACGAGGTGACGCAAGTAGCGCGAGAGAAAAAAAAAAGGCTAGTATTTTACTGTATTTCATATACGCCCTGAGTGACTCCAGAAGCTTGGGGGCTGTAGGTGAGATTAATGCCCTTGGAGGTCCTTGCATGATGAAGAACGCACTTATATTGACCAACATACAATTTTACCGCCCTTTTTATAACCTAGTTCAATTGGGCCTAATTGGTCCAGCCTCTTCTACATAGCAATGGTGAGCAGGTCACTTCCCACATTGGACTTGTCCTTGCGCCAAACCGAAATCGGAATCGGAAACGAGGCAAGGGAACCGAGGACGCCCGGGTTGCCCAGCAACAGCCCAAAGGTGCTTGACAGAATAATAAATCCCATCAAGTCATGGAGCAGTTTTTTATTGCGGTCCATAGACATGCGCAGTCTCACTTGAACCAGGATAATCAGGGGCTGAATGGCCCCAAAGACCACCACCAAAGCACTTGCATGGGGGTCATGCGAGACTGCATATGAAAGAGAGGCGTGTATTGCGGCATAGAAAACAAAAGGGATGCTCAGAACAAGAATGTGCTCCCATTGCTCTGCCTTGCTGGCGCGGATGAACCAGTCAGCAACGCCCAGGAATGTGAATCGAAATAGATCGTGCCACCATTCACCCCAAATTGCTGGAAATTATCAGCGTCCATTTGTCCGTGGAAAACATCAACGTACCCTGAAAATTTAATTCCATCACACCGGTGCTAGAACCAAATACAGGTGGATACTGCCAGGGTTCGTTTCCTAACAAACCCAGCCCAATATCGACAAAGGCAAGCATCGAGCAAGAAAGCTGAATTGTCGCGTAGATGCAAAGCTTTACAGGTATCCACTTGATGCAGGGAGTCAAAAGCCAGAAATAAAACTCAGGTGTAATTTTTGGGTGATTCCAGCCAACAGGCGTCTCAAGAGACCCCCAGATTTCTGAACGGATGATAATCGACTGGTAGAAATCGATCCAAAGATAGCAAAGAATGATCTCTACAGCCTTTCGGGTAAGAAACCTGCGTCGATCGGCTTTTCGTGCTAATTCATTTCCTCCCTTTGGCTGCTGCTGTCGTTGAGGGACCGACCGTGCCTCGGGGAGCATGAAAGTTGGTGGCAAGTGCTTCCGTGGCCCATGGCTCCAACCGATTCCTCGAATGCTTGTCATCAGATCTATAAGCCAAATCCCTCTCCGTATTGTCAATGGTGGAGGGTATGATTCCCAAGCGTAGAAATCCTTGTCTGATGATCCTGTTCTCAGAAGTCTTTTCAATGATGGGACATCATGAACAAATGCCAACTCAATCCCCCGGATGACATGAATGACAGAACCAGGACCAAACATGATCGACAGGTATTCTGGCAGCTCGGGTGGAAATAAAATGGCATAGCTTCCAGATATAAAAACTATCCAGAGCCATAGTCGATCGGATAGGGGAACCTTCTTCCAGTATTCAAGGCCCCAGAAGTATAGAAAGGTTGCGACCGGTGGAATGAGAGATATGCACAAATAGCATAGCGTTGCGAGTGGGACAGATATCAAATGAGCGTGCAAATCCTGTCGCAGACTCATAGCTTCTCTGGACCTGTGAGCCTACAACTGAGGCCAAAAAAAATACAGTTTCAAAGTCTGGCAACGTGGGAAATTTTTGACACAAGGAAGACAGTGTATGTATATGTGCCAACGTTGGCATTTAGAAAAATACTAAAGCCCGTACATGCCCATACGCTAGGGGCTGGAAGAATCTCATCGTTTTGTTGCCCTTCAGGAATCAGGCTGCACAAGGGATAGCCATCTATGAAGCTGGCCTGATATGCCTTCTGAAGTATTCATCATCATCAATCCGTCTGTTTGAGGGGTGGGGAAGGAGGAAAAGGAGAAAGATGGTCTCCATATGATGAAAGGTTGATCGCTAGGTAACAAGTCGCCAGAATCTCGGCTACATAGAAGACCCTAAAAAAGAATGCCAAGAATTGGCTGCATCGTCGACATAAATCCCTTGTAATCTTGTGCAAATCCCAAGTCGGGTTGCAGGTTCGCCGTGAATGCATCAAAAACAGAAGTCCACTCTTTTTTAAAAAGCCCATAGCTTCGACTGATTTGGTCATCATATTCATTACCCAGCACAGAACGTGAGTAAGATTCAGCCTCCTCAATCTCACGCAAGATGGCATCCAAAAATATAGGTGTAATGAAGCCCATTCGAGAGTCCCTGAGTACTGATTGCTAAAAATCGAGTCTTTGTTAGAAAAGACGTACATATTTACACATTCATCTCCATTTACCACCACTCACCTTCTTTTTGTAAACCCTCATTGTCTGGACTCCATCGAAGCCAAACTTGTAAATAGCCTCCATGACATCCGCGCGCTCTTCCGGAGGGCAGACTGTGCCATTGGCAGTAGCCTCACGCAATTGAACATTTCCAATCCTAAACGCACTCCATAATTCATACGCAGAAGTCCCAAGTGGACCAGTAGCCAAGATACCCCCATTGTATTGATCGATCGCTTTTCGATTCTTGTCAAGCTTTTCTTCAAGCACCGAAAGCTGCTTGTAGAATCTGGTTGCTTGTTCAGATAGTGCGAATACAAAGGAAGCTCCTAGGTAGACCGCCAGCAAGATTGAATTCAAAAAGCGCATTGCGATTGTTGGTTTCAATTTGAGAAACTTAAACTGGCAAGCCGTAACTGCACAGACCTATTGAGTTAAGCTTGAAAAGGCTTCAACGACCTGGTGGTTGGAAAGTTTCAGAAAGCGTCTTGTGATTCGAGCGTCCGTTTCTCCCAACCAGCCGCTCTTCTATCATAGGTGCTCAAACGTTGCTACTTATCTTGCCAGGTGGCAGATAATTCCACACAATCTGTTGAGTGGAGACTAACTACGTATATCTAAACCCTCCATTCTTTCCCCTTCTTCAATGGGTTCCAGGGCTGCAGGGTTGTGCCGGGTGTAATTGTACCGTCCACGTGCCTTTTACTAGTAACTAGGTACATTTCAAGTAGAGTTTTCCAATCCGGAATCTGACCTTGAATTCTATCCCCTCGCATGCATTCACGGACACCCGCACAGTCCCATCAAATTGAATTCCAAGGTCATGTCCTCTGTACCCGAATCTAGCTATAGTAGCTATTATCAAATGACTGCATAAACCGACCAACGTATAAATACCGAGCTTGTCTTCAGACTTTGGGATCTAGTCAGGCCATCGGACAACCAGTCCTGGATCGGGAAACTGTTTCCTCTAGGTAGACAGCCCTTGATCTTGACGGAGTCACATTGCCCCCCTTTCAAGGAACATTTGCGGAGAAATTGAGAGGATCCCTATTATTCAATTCCAAGTTATCGAATGTCTACCACGCAATTTTTGCTTATCAGAATCATGATCAAGGGGCACCCTGCATGAAATTAGGTGTATCTCAACGTTGATTTGCACCAAGCATAAGCACCCAAATCCAGACCATGTTATAAGTCCGCCGCGTTCAAATCCTAGGAAATCATGATTTGATAGCTTAATTAATCAGAGATCACCTTTTCCGTCGATTAATTAATGCATTTGGGAGTATTTCCAGAGGAATCAATGGCATGTGGTACCTAATGTCCTGTCCTATAGATTCACTCGAAAGTGAATTTGCTCTATCAACGATTCCGCTGGTCTGCTGCAAGTTTTGACGATATGACAAGATAAACAGAGAACAAATTATCACTTCCAATTCTCTTCGGAAAGTTCATCGAACAGACTCCAAGGTTCTTGACCAGCGAGAATTCTAACATTGTCGTCATCATTCACAACACATTTTGGGGGGACCAAAATTTTGGCAAAAATTGGTTAACGAAACTTGGGTACAACAACATGTATAAGGTTCTGGCTACTTAGCACTCACAAATCAGGCAGGGGGCGGGCTCCATCCTCTATTCAGCCCTCTTCAGGGCAGCCACTGAGGATCGATGTTATGCTACTTGCCGGAGAAATGACGGTAAAGGGATCCGATTCCAACTTCTTCTCCTTCATGAAAAAATATCGTCATATGCACGATTCGTACCCGAAACAAGCCGGTCGGCCGGAATAGCATCAAATGTGGTTATTCCATAACAATCGACTTGGTATCTCTCACATACCGGTCGCGGGGTGATTCAATGATCGAAGGCGATCTTGAGTGGAGTACGCACTTACTCGACCGGCAAATTAGTATTTGAATATAATTAGATCTATGAAACAAACTCACCACACGACCATAGACCTGTTTTAACCTTTTGGAAAATCTCAAATAAGCACTGGTCATCATTCACATTGCTTATGACAACCAAATTGGTTCGGCCGTCATCGGGGAATTAGATGAGAAACGCCTCTAGAGCTCTTTGAACGAGATCATAGTGAGGGCCTCGACTATCGGGCTTTACTCTGAGACTATCGATGCCGCTAATATTCGGTCGACTTCTTTCTGGTGTTCAGAGTGCTCCGTATCCGTGAATCGGTCAGATCCTGGAACAGCTGCGTGGGGACCAGTGGCAACATAAGTTGGGCGCCTGTGCGAGCAGCTTCATCTACTCGTCTTTTCTGGGGGTGGGTCCTCCTTGGGCCGATGGAGACGGTAGGAGAGACCCCAATATCTTGTGTTTCACTACCATCGTGAAGAGTTGCCACAATCAAGGGGGTGTTTAGGCGCCGCACGTAAGGGCATACGGCCGACATCACATTCAAGGACGGTAAAAGTTTAATTCTTTTCCGAATTTTCCACTATGTTCCGTGATCTCTTCCATATCCTCCAAGTGCCTACAGGGTCTCAGGCCAGCTGGATCCCCTCCGGTCATTCCGAAAGCAAACTATTCTTCTCGTTTCGGGGCCACGGCGTGTGTCTATATTGCTTTCTGTATAGCAGATAGTTATATTCGTGGAGGATATGAGGTATTCTTCCATTCAGGCTGTCTAGCAGGCGCATAGACGTCTTATCCTTTTCCTTCTCTCCTCCACACTGTCCGGACGATCGGATCAAGTGTATCTCCGCAAGCTGTAACTGCTTCAGGCTGAGGATTTAAAAAGGATTTTAACCAGGGATTCTCCAGTGGGAGGGAGTGGGAGGGACAATCAACCCAGCCAGAAGGATTCAGCCTCAGATCTCCCTCCCTCCCTGTGGCCATATACGGATAGACGTCAACAGCGTTATACATACACGCAATCAAGATCCAGGCTTTTACCGGACTACAGGATTGAGGCTACTTGACAGATCTTCCTGATGCAATTTTTCTGGCCTCATAGAGACTCAATAACAACTCCGATCTTCAACATTTTCATCGCCAAATCGTTATCACCGGCCTAAACCGAACCTATCAATAATCCCCTTAAGACGTTCTTCATGGAAATATTGTTGCAGCATTTCCTTCTTCCATGAATTCCAGTCTGTCTCTCTCGCGACTCCAAATGTAGCCCAGAGGCCTCGGATTAATAGAAGTGTTTCATCCCAGCAGAAATCCACATCAAGGCCAAAGAAAAATCTCCGCAGCTTTTCATTTTTGCACATGATACCAGCCAAGCCATCTTCTCCCCTCTCCTTTAAGAGGCGAGCTAATGTGCGATCATGAATAGTCATGGACGAAAAGCCGTCGTAAATGTCGCCCATTTCTGCTGTCACCAAAGAGGGTCCAAAAGCTTCATCGGCAGGAACCACCCGAGCCATTTGCCAATCAATAAATCCAATAACATTTACCTCATCGTCCACCATTAAATGATCTCCCTTATCATCCACATGTTTGATGAAGAACTGCTCCGTGTTTTTCACAGAGCTATAGTTCGCTTTCGGTGAAATATCCTGAATCTGAGACTTCAAGAATAGAAATACGAGATACGCGTTTAATGGGAATGATGGGGAAAAGCTGGCCATCAGCAATAAGGGACATATTTTGCTCCACAAACGATGTGTAATTGTGTAATAGTTGAAAGATGTGTCATAGGGCCCAGACGGACTCAGAACAAGAAATCGCTCACTAGCAATAGCAGAAACTATTGGGTTTGAAGGCAAAGGGCCTGGAAGAAGAGATCCAGCTTTCGGGAATGGATGGCTTTTAAGCTTAATGAGAATATCTGCCAGCTCATTCCATACCTTGTTCTTGTCATTCTTATCTGCAGAGCGCTTCCCATGTGGTCCATGCTGATTCCAAGGTTTGTCAGGCATCTCTTCTATGAGGATATAGCTTACACCAAGTCTATTATTCGAGTCACTAGCGAGATCATACCCGAACGCGCGAGGGGCAGGTACTTGAGTCGTTTCAAGAAATTTAAGAGTGGCATATTCACTGCGAATAAGGGAGTCGATAAGTTGCTGAGGAATACTGCCGTTAATTCGAGGCACTCGAAGTAGCCAAGCAGGACCATTCTCAAAGCGAACACGGGCATGATAATTAGCACAGCCCATAAGTGACCCACGTCCCCATGCGGGTGGATGCTCAATCTCGCATTCAAGGCCACCATTTAGTTCCGAGGCTCTCTCGCAAACAGCACCGTCATTGATTTTTGCTCGAAGTTTTTTACCTCGATTTGGACTTTCGCTTCAAATTGAGCATCTGAGAGGGGCTAATGAGCGTCAATGCCGAGTCAATCATAGGACAAGTAAGTGAAAGGAACGTGTCGTGTCTTCGCAAGTATGAGATGGTGGTCGACAATGGGCGGAACAAAATCGTTGACTGCATCGCTCACAGGGACCGAGACCTCGTGTACTCGGTAGCCCGCAACCCGCGAAATCACAAGAAAAGAATTTGTCAAGCATGGAAGATCCGGCGGAGTGGAATTGATTGAAGATACTGTAAAGGCCCACTCGTGTGACGTTCGTGCACCAACTCTACCACCTACACAGTGTAGTGGGGAAATGGCCTACAAGGGGGATCTCTGATTGGAGGTTATCTTTCCAGTACACAGTCCTTACAGGATATAGCTTCAGTTCTCCAATAGGGAGAAGAATCAACACTTACACTCTCTTCGCTCCATCTGCTTCTGCTTCCTATAGGGGAGGCTTTCTCCATTGTGGTGTGTGGTGGTTTGTATGCTGGTTTGTTGAAGCTATATCATCCTGCCTGCATTCTCAGGCTTGCCGCTGAGCGCCCTGGTTCAACAGTTACTGCTTCTACTTGAGAACCAGAGCGAATGGAAGGCGGTGGGGATACGGAGAGCATGGAATGATGGAGGTTATGAGGCAAAGTCACGTGCACTTTCTCCTTATACTTATAGATGACGGATGGGGTACACTGACACTGGGAGATGCGCCGCAATGCCAGGAGTTGACTTGATAAGTGGACCAACATTCGCTACCTTCCCTTTCCAGATATTCCTTTTTTCCCCATCCCAAGATGAAGTTGTACGCAGAGATTCATTCAAAACACCTGCTATATCCAAAATTCTAGTATTGAAATCCCCCCAGATGCGTGGCCTAGAGCAAGTTTATTGCCTTTTACCACGAAACAGCTAGGCCGAAACTCTGTAGGAAGCCAGAGAACCTTTTTGCCGTCTAATTTTATCCACTGATCGTGTTCGATAGAGATCCTGATATTCAAACGAGGTGAATTAATCGAAGGCATGTCACCCCGCGGCTGAATACTAAGGGCGCCCACGTCGGTGTTTAGACATGAACTATCCTGAGAGAATTCGAGATTAGTGACTAGTCTTTCCACTGGCCAATTCTGTAGTAAGGCGCCTGTCGCAGTGTCCCAGAGCCGCACTGTATGATCGCTAGAGCCAGACGCCAGAAAGCGGCCGTCGGGCGAGAAAATCACAGATTGAATCGGACCTGAATGGCCCTCAAGAGTCTGTTCCAGGGCGCCTGTTGCAGTGTTCCAGAGCCGCAAAGTCTCATCATTAGAGCCTGATGCCAGTAGACGGTCGTCGGGTGAGAAGGCCACAGACTGAACCGAGCCTGAATGGCCCTCAAATTTCTGCTCCGGCAAGCCTGTCGTTGAGTTCCAGAGCCACACTATCTGATCATCAGAGGCAGACGCAAGTAGCCGGCCATCACCTGAGAAGGCTACAGACCTAACGGGACCTGCCTGGCCCTCGAGCGCCTGTAATTCTGCGATCCAACTTTCGTCAACTTGTGTTAATCTGGATAACCACATAGGGATGTCTGCTGCGAACTCTCTGCGAATTATTGATGTTTGGGGTGCAAATATCAGCCCTGAACAATAAAGCTGGGAAGGTGTATCATCAGCAATCCGGCGATTCTTAAGAACAAACTGCTTTGCATCGTGTAGAAAGTCAGACATTCCAGATAGGGGATTCTCCTATACATATTAGTGCGAGTCTTATATAAATATTAACAGAACGTACATGTATAGCATCTAGGAGGAGATTAAGAGTCACCAACACTTCCGACACTAGACCTAGTATGCTCATTGCTTCTACCCAGTGTAGGAAATGTTTCTTGAGGAATAAGAAGGCTTTATGCATCGCATCACTTATATCTATGCACTGCATTAAATGAATTGCCCAATACCGAGAGGCGTATTTCAATTCTGAAGAGAAGTAGTTATCGATCGTCAGGTTATCGATTTCTGCACGCCGAGTCCCGTAACTTGGCAGCACACACGAATTTTTTCGCAATTCTTGACATATAAGGAGACAATTTATAGTCAAACTATAGTTTGTTTCTTTCTCGTCCACCCAAAAGGGAGTTTTCTGGCGGGTATCTGGATCAAGAAGAAAGTCTCGAAATGATTGATGAAACAGCTGCACGGGCATATTAATGTCATTTGGTACACTCAAAACCGAGTGTAGAAGGTTGAGTCGAAGAACAATTAATCTCTCTGGGAGATTCAGGAGCCTTGAAAGTGAGACAACTGAGAGCGGACTCCTTAATACTAGTATTGCTCCGACCACTTGGACAAGCTCCTTCTTCTGTTTCTCATCTTTTTTGAGGAGCCGACTAAGCACAGGAAGATACATTCGATCAAAAAGAGACCTCTCATATTGATATGCAAGTATCTCGGCAAGACTGTCATCAGGGTGGCAGTCAGGATCTTCAAAAAGACGGCAGATAGTACTGGCAAAAATAAAATACGGGACGGATAATGCCACTAGCTTTTGAAGATTTATGTCTCCAGGCCAGCCGATAGGTAACTTGCGTTCTGTCCTAATCTCTGAAAGACGGTGATGCAAGAATAGTGATATATCGTGCTCTATCGCTGGTAGAGGGATATCATGGAGAACCAAATCTTGATAGTTGTCATTCAAGATTTTTGAGAACCCTAGACGTATAGAAAGTTCAGGCCTGCTGGCTAAGAAGACTCGTAGACGCACGGTATTTAACTTTTGCAGCTGTGGAAGAAGTTCGAGTATATGTCGAATTTCACTATCTCCTTCACATTCATCCAGTGCATCGATCACAATCACCTGAGTCTGTATCGGACGGCCAGAGTTCACGAGGCTTTGAATTGGTTGAAGGATGAGTTTGTCTAATTGCGCTGTTATCGACTTTGCAGTGATACCTGTGTCATCACGGACTATTTTCTGGAGGGCTGGAATCATCTCGGGAATGCTAATCGCTAGTTGTCTCGCAATTGTCGAGAAAAACTTTGAAGCATTCCCTCGATTCTCTTTAGCTCTTTTAAAGAAGAAACTTGCTCCTAGTAATCCACGTTCTTTGAATAATTTTGCCACTGTTCGGGAGACAGTCGATTTCCCAGTCACAGCCATACCCTTCAGCCAAAATATGCATTTTCCTTGTGGCGATGTCGCCCATTCAATGATTTCACGAATAAGCTCGGTTCGGGTGCCTGGAAAGCATTCATCATGATGCTGATCCACGTATGATTCAAATACAGCCTCATTCACGATTGGAATCTGTTTTAGTTCCATATTTCGATCAATAATTCCTTCAGGATTCATTTTCGCTTCGGTGTGAGAGTCTACTTCAGAGCGCTGTGACAGGGTAGTCAGAGATAGTCTACTAGAGGCATCCGCGAAATAGTCGTTCTTCTCAAAGTAGTCGAAGCCGCTAGGCTCCTCGTTAGGATCCTGAGTAGCCATATCGTAGGGCCTCAAATCCAGCTTTACACTGGCTGGGTCTGTAGAGTGATCACAAATATCATCCAACCACGATTTGATAGTTTTCGCATTCGGGACTTCGGAGTTGTATGTTCCCGGTGGGCTTTGAGCATGAGCTTTGTGTTGTGGCCATGGAAGTGACCGTAAGGCAAAGTCATGGGTGTGTTGCAGGACGTGATCAACTAGCTCAGGGGCGTCCAGCGGTCCAGAGAAATCGCACAGAGGGCAGCATGTCAGGCCGTAGGACTTTATAGCGCCCCAAGGGAGAATATTCTGGATACTGTCCATCGGAAGCACATCCGCATGCTTTCCCTGCACGTGTCGTACCAAGGATTCCAACTCAGAAAATATTGCGCTCGTATGGTCGCATATGGGACAGCCCCATCTGTTGGGACGGTGATCAGCTTTCACATGGTCCTCCCAGTCCTGCCGAGTACAGTACAGGATATGCGGAGTCGGACAGTCATCTGCAATGCAGGTATAGGGGCGGATATCCTCTACAAGGTGTCTCCTGTAATACAACATGGGGTAAATCTTCTTATAGCCTACTTGAATTGGGACACGAAAGATGGATACTTACTTCCATGCATTGGTGTCCTCGGCCATGGTTGCAGGCTGGGATTGGCAACAACAAGGACATTTGATAATTTTGCTTTTCCTGAAGTCGGCATCAAGTCTTTTGAGGGTTGGATATTGAACAGCAGCCGCAATGGCGGTAATTCTTGTCCGGGAGAACTCTGCCGCACTAGCTCTGCCCTTTTTGGAGGTAGGTATGGTCCCGACAGTCGATGCTACTGTCGACAAGTCCCGAAATGTGGACTTTTCGTCGGTGTCTTTGACAGCATAAGAACTGGCTGGTCTCGAGGACAGCGTAACTGACTGTTGAGGTACATAATCTTCCGCCGGTGGCGTGATTTGGTTTTCTTTTTCAATTGTGGAAGCTCGTGGTGTCCATACTTTCTGGGGACCGGCAAGCTTCTCCGAATGTCTTTGGGCACAAAGAAACCAATATCTTCGCCTGAGATTGGCATTAATAAGTCGCGTCTGGAGGGGTGTTAAATGATGTTTTCCTGCTTCAAAATTGGGCACTATGCTCATCCAATCCTCAGGAGAATTCGGCTGAATCACTGGTCGGAAGAGGGCATCATCTGTCGGCCGGAGAAGCACAATGCACTCAAAATGCCGTCGCAGCCGCATTTGCCTCTGATTATTGAAGGTCTGGTTTGCTCTCCTAAGGCGCGATCGCTGTCCTGTGCGTCTGATGACTGTGGCTAGCAGGGCTAAGCTCTCGATAACTAGGTCGACGACGTCCATTGATGTCTCAAGCTCACAGTCAGAATTTCTCTGACAGTCTGTCAAAGTCTTCTTGAGCGAGGACAACAGGTGCTTCACTGTTGATAGCTCGTTTGGCATGGCCTGAAGTCTAGTATCAAGCGAGGCATTCTTTCCGGCCGTGAGGCCCACTCCAGCGGCCCATAGATTGAAGTCTGACATTCTCACTTCGGCCCATTTCTCATGCATGAGACTGCTTTGCTGCATGCAGAGACGGAACTCGCGATGGATTGAGGTAGCTAGCTCAGCTATGGTGGTCTCGTTGGCGGACATCCCGACAGTCTTTGGCTCAGTGGTAGGCAGAGCGATTTAACCCAGACCCAAGATCCAAATAGAGAAAGTAGGTAATCCTCAAAGATACCTCATCACTTGGACGTTAATTTTCTACTGACGGCGCTGATGTGTTGATGCACGTTTGTGAACGTCTGGAATGATTATGTGAATGAATATTAGCATTAGAGAGAATGAGCACCATGCCTGTAGATAAAAAAGTGCTTCCATCATGAGTTCGACTGACCTCGGGACATAGCATGAGCTCCGGGATCTAGCACCGGTATCTAGCACCGCAGGCTTGATGTCGATCTCTATGTTCATGCAGAGATCCCAAATCTACTCTGGTAGATATTATTCAAGGGCGAGTGGGGTGGTCAGAGCGGGGTAAGCGCATATTATGGTTGCCAGGGCTAGCGCGAGCGAGCCTCGCATTGCGGTGCACCTAATACCTCCTGATCCCTCTAAATCACCGGTGAATTTGCGACACACTCCACAGTGCTGCCTACGGCAATCTCGCAGTCGGCAAGGAGTAGAATAGTTGGAAGCCGCCTACCAAAAATATGACCTCATCTATCTTTTCCCTCGTGAAAGACTTATGGTCACCTAGCCACTCAGCTGCACCCCCATCCCAGCTCGGCAGTCGACGTTGCAATCCGTTGATTCTGCCACGGGAGAGCATCATCTTGTCGGAACCTTGGTCTCATCTACCTCGTTTCTAAGTAATCTTATTGCGGAAATAGGAGACGACGATGGTTTTATTCGCAAAAGAGCGGTCCCTCTCGCAGGTTGGCTCCTTGCGACATCGAAATGCCTCGAATCTGACGGAATTGTAACATCAGAGGCCAGTGTGCAAAGGCTTTTGGAGGAACTTCTCCAGGAGCTAATGTGGATTGTTACTGTGAGCCTTAGTTGATCTCGCTATTAAAGGATTATGCTGACGATGATACCTACCAGTGGCCGGAATACTCAAGGGGACTAAAAGTGGTGGCACGAGACTCGCTTAGTACCGTGCAGGAAATTATACGCAGTCCCCAAAATAATGTAAAAGCAACAGTTGCGAAGTTTCTAGCTGAAACGCAATACTTTATTATTGAAGCCACTATCGCCACCTGTCAGACGATCATCGACAAGTTCACTGAAGATCCAGACGAGACTGCGATCCAGACAAACGAGGTCAGTATCTCTCATAAAATGGCCGAAGACCTCCTGACGGCCATCTGGGACTGTTCTACCTGTAATTCTTGTGACGAAATTGCAACTTCTGAGAGCTCCATCGCTCGGTTTCATCCAGGCAGGCTGTATCTAGGCAGACCTCGGCAGAGTGGAGCTGCTAGCGCTCTCTTTGATGTGTTCACCTCTTCACATTCGCTTGAGTATTGGCAGGAGCTTGGATTCAGTTTGCCCAAGAAACAAGTTAAGTTTGCCGGGGAGGTTCATTCTTCACCTTCCCAGGAGGCGGGAGTATCAGATTTCTGTAAAATTCTGAGCGCAAAAAACAATGCCAGGATCTTCCTAGAGCTTGGTGATCAAGGGATATTCAGGTACGAAGACGTCTACGCGTTGCATCACGATGCCATACCCGGCCAAGGGATACCGCTACTACACGTTCTTCAAGAGTACCATCTCAACACACCCGAAAAGGTCGTAATAGCTCACGCCATCGCACGAGAATTTTGGCAGCTTTACGAAACGAAGATGATGTTGACAAAATGGTCAAGCGGCAATATCTGGTTTATGCCAAATACCAGTGATCCGACCGCACCACTGCCATGCAAAGCTTACATCTCATTTCCCTTTGAACAAGCCGAGTACGAACTAGAGGAATATTCAACGACAGGCCTCATACACAAATGTCCCAGAATATTTTCACTGGCAATATTGCTACTCGAGATTGGCCTTGGTCGTCCAATCCAGACTTCGCAGCTGAAACAGCACGAAAGAAATTTTGTCGGTGGGATGAACAAGGACTACTCAACCGCGTCGAAGCTACTTAAAGAGCTAAAGGAACAATCCTGGGGGGGTTACACGGGCAAGAATGTATTCGATCAGGCTATTCATGCATGCATGAATGGCATGAACTTTTCGCCAAGTCAGCAAAGTCCTAGGTTTCCCATGAAGCCTTCTGAAAGACGAGAGGTCTTTTATGAAAAGGTGGTGTCACCCCTTCAATGGCTGGCGAGTTCATTTGACGGTGATGCTACATGTTTCGAGAGAAGTAGTCACTTTAAATCCTCCGATAGCTCGACCGATGCAACCCCAGTACGGGTTGACGAGCTATGCCCATCTACGTTGACCTCATTCCATAGTGGAAAGTTTGTGAGCCCCGAAGAATGGCTGGACGACCTGAGGAGAATCGGTCGCTATATTCATCAGATAAAGCAGCAAAATTTTGTCAATGCTGATGTGAGACCAATACGCGTGGCAATCTTAGACTCGGGCTGCAACTTCAATGCGCCATACTTTCAGGAAGATAATTCCGGTGCACGGGCAGGCCGTATCAAGGCGTATAAGGATTTTGTTGACGGAATTGAGGAGGCGAAAGACTCGTTCGGTCATGGCACTTTCATGACTGCGCTTGCGATCGAAGCCGCGCCAACTGCAGAGTTCTATGTGGCAAGAGTGGCAGAGAATACGGCAGAACTAGACGGCAACGAAGACATAATTAGCAAGGTGCAATTTCCTTCTACTCTGGAATCACAGATCGCTTCTAACATCGATATCATCAATTAATAGGCAATCTTGTGGGCCGGTAGCAAGCAGAAGGTTGATATAATATCGATGTCATTTGGAGTCACTGACAATAACGATGACATAAAAAATGCCATTTTGCAAGTCCGTGCCGAGCGAGGGGACGGTATAATTTTTCTCGCCAGCGCGGGCAACTCGGGTCCACACCAAGACATTGCCTTTCCAGCAAGCCGTCGGGATGTCATATCTATCAGAGCGACCAATTACATGGGCACAAGCAGCGACAAGAACCCCGTGTCTGATTTGCGCGAGCCGCTATCATTCGCCACGTTCAGCGACAACATTCCCCAGCGGCTTCTGGGATACAAACCAGACTGTTGTGGGCCTGGATCTTCGGTTTCCACAGCGGTGGCAGCGGGAATTGCGGCCAGCATACTATCCTATTCCGCATTACTCCAGTTGATGTACCCTACTTACCTGGAAGATAGACACCTCAACAAACTACGAACGGTCGAAGGCATGGAGGCACTATTTTTCGCTATGTCGACAAATATGGGTAACCGGATACAGTTTATCAACCCGGTCAAATTCTTTGCCGATCGGCCAACCAACCTCTACAGACTTTGTGCGATAGTGGATTGTATAAGGAAGGTGGGATGAGAGTTTTGTAGTTGTAGCAGCTCGACTTAGTTACCTGAAAAGAGCGGTAAAGATACCCAACAATCATCATCTCCAACACAGTATTCATGAACCTCCAATGACTCGTCAGGATCTTGTCGAAGCACCTGCAGATTAACTTCCAGACACTCAATTTCCGGACCACTAGCTCCAGTCATGAATGCTTTCTTATGAGAGAACAACTCTTCTCTTACTTCACCCTCGCCTCTGGTGCGGATTATATGTACACGGTACGCAAACACAATGCCTGGCGCGGTTTCATACGAGTCACCCACTGTTTTTGCGAGCCGCATATTTCCTTCGGCTCCAGCGGTGATTGGGACGGTGCCACTTGGATCGCTCGCGGCGGCGGAAGCGCTGACAGACAGGGCTGTCTTGGATCCCGTGGACACAGTGAATGCCGTATTGGTGATGCGAACCCCTGTGATTATGTAGACAGGTTTGCGGCCAAGAAAGCCGGATTCTATGTACTTCTGTATCTTAGGTGCTGTAACTATGTCCTTAAGGCATTTGTCGCCAAGCTCATGGTCGAACGTCCACACCTCGTGGTCGACCTTCCCGAAGTCGCGATTGCGGGACAGATCAACGGACATTCCGACCGCGGGTGAGGCAACTTCGAGGAAAGTAGCCCAGAGTTTCGTCCCGACAGACATATCTGAATCGCTGGAATGCTCATGATTCCGTTCTATGAAGCTTCTCTTTGATGGCAGGTCAAGATCAGCTGGCAGCCCGTTGCCCTGGGAGGCTAGAATCTGTGTTGGCCGAAGAGGGTGCTCAAGCACTGTTCCGAGGCGAATGGTACCATTCTTTCGAAATGTGAAGTCTGGTGCTAGAAACCAGAACCGCATGGAAAAGAACCGAAGATTGCGTGAGTCGTATAGATAGGCGGCTCGAGATGCTGGAATGGGGTGCGAATCGTGATGAAGATTTATCCTGGTGAAATGTGAAAGTCACTTTACGCGCTGACAACACAAGGCAACTAAGCAGGCATCATCCCTATTCTAACGATTCAAATGTCAGCGCAATTTCGCCCATGCAGGTTAGCGGATACTTGCCCCAATCAGGAGACTAGTATAGTTACAATGCGTGTGTATTTATATCACGTGACATTTCAACCACAAGGCGTTTAAACGAATATGTCAATATATTAGGATACGGTATCGGCTAGGAAAGCTGGGATCCAATGGAACGAGATGCTCAATCTGATGGTGTCTTAGATAACTTAACTATCTATGTGTGTAGGCGGGGGAATGTTGAATATCCTCTGCGCCGCTGTCTAGCGCGTTACGGCGCTGTATTCCGAGTCTACCCGGGATACTATACAAAACACGTAGGGAATCGAGTATCCCTGTAATAATCTGACGCACACGGGGAGAAGTGGGTCTTAGCGGTATTATGCAGTCTCCCATCTCGACAGAATAGTAGGGAATTTCCTGTCATGCTACTGCTCTTGAGTCCTTTGGACTGTCCAGCCGGAACTGATCCTAGAAACAAAATTCTATATAGTGAAGTAGGGCACTCTCAGGGAAGTCAAATAAAGCAGAGAGATCGAGTGGTTTCAACAACAAAACCACCGCACACCATGCTGGAGGGCTGACTCCAAGAAGGGAAGTAAACGCATTTTGAGGCAAAGAGCGAATGAATTGAATTTCTGGTTACCTGGGAGATGAAGCTTTAGCTGTAAGGGCTATTTACCAAAAAGATATCTCCCAATGAGTTCCAGTATTGTGGGCTGTTTCCTCACTACAGTATCTACTGTGTCCTTCCAGGGCAGCTCGTTCTCGGTAACGCGCCTTGAATAATCAATTGAATGCTTAATGGGAAATCTATCAAGAGCTGTCAAGGGATTAATACAGATGCTTGCACTTTGAAAGTAGCAGGTTGAATACAGATTAGTATTGTCCACCATCAGGTCAATGTGCTGCCATGTAGTAGCATCAGAAATATATTCAGATCGGAAGTCCTAAAGTCCGGGTCTATAGGGTCTTGCTCGATATTCCTATAATGAGTGAATTGATATTTCGACTAGTGGTTTTGGCACAGTCTAATACACTCTTCATTTATGATGACAGATTTTCGCTGCGCGCCGCTGGCGTGGGGTTCTCCCCGCAGTAAACCCGCCACGGGCTATTCTTGGCGTTCGCTCGTCTCGCGTCCACGCTGCCGACACGGGGAGCGCAGCCTCTCCCCAAGAGGTTTCAGCTTCAAGCCGCTTAAAATCCACAGCTCTGCATTTTTATGCTGTCGACCATTTAAGCATCACCTCAGCTGCTGTTGCCAAGATAAAATTATCATCGACCTGTTTCTCTCTCCATTCATCACATCTTGGACTTATTCCGATACAATGGCTTCTCTGGCAGCCAGCGCGAGCCGGGTCTTAGTGTTCGGAAGAAAGCCGATTCCCGCATTTGCAACTTCTTATCGCGCTCTAAGCACCCGTGCAACCTCTTACACACTTAATACCGGCGCGAAAATCCCGGCGCTTGGATTTGGCACTTTCCAAGACGCCGACTCTCAGGAAAACACTGTGAGCCAGGCGTTGCAAAAAGGTATGCGTCTTATTGATACAGCTCGGGTTTACAATGTCGAAGAGCAAGTCGGAAGAGGAATCAAGAAGAGCGGAATTCCACGCGAAGAGATCTTCCTCGGCACAAAGCTATGGTGCAATGACTATCATCCTGATGACGTAGAGCGCGCTGTGGATGATTCCCTCCGAGATCTGGACACTCCATATGTCGATCTGCTGTTGATGCACTATCCCTGCACCTTTAAGCGGGGCTCTGACCGATTCCCCCGGGATGCTGATGGCAGAATGATTCTGGGCGAGACGACGTATCTGGATACATGGAAAGCGATGGAGAAGGTGACTAAGACCGGCAAGGTCAAGGCGATTGGAGTGTCGAATTTCAGCCGTGGCGAGATTAGCACCCTGATCAACGAATCTTCGACGGTGAATACTCCATTCTATCACAGAGCCTTAAGATACACACGATATATTCACAGGATACTAATCTATCTCCCTAGGTCCCTGCCGTCCACCAAATGGAGGTCCATCCCTACCTACAACAGAAAGACTTCAACAATTGGCTTCAGACAAAGGGAATTCACGTTGTCCAGTTCAGTCCACTCGGCAATATGAACGACTTTTACCGACAAACCGGGTGGTCAAAAGGAATTTCGCACATGATGCGGGTTATCGACCAACCAATTCTGAAAGAAATTGGCCAGAAATATGGCAAGAGCCCTGTGCAGGTGGTACTTGCGTGGGGAATCAACAGTGGCCGTTCTGTCATTCCCAAAAGTGTCGTCGACTGGCAGATTTTGCAGAACATAGAGGCCGATTTCGAGTTGCAGCCTGAGGATATGGCTCAGATAGCAACTATGGATGCAAAGGCTCGCTTCAATGATCCCAGCTTAGATTATGAATATCGTTTGTACAGTGATCTGGAAGGCATCGAAGGTACTATGAGGGGCAAAACTCACTAGGCATATCAGGGAGGCTGCGAGGGAATATGTATAATTAGGACCTTTTGCCAATGGAAATTTTTACATCAACCACTTTGAAATACCCTGGAAAATTGAAATTCCCAGAAAGTAATATTTTCGTAACGAAAATGAAAATTAACCAATATAATGAGAATATATTGTCTCTTTACGCAATAGGGAGATTTTTAGTGCCAGAAACAGAATCATTTGTAGTTGTATATTAGGTAAATTGAAGTTTCAGGTGTGGTAGAGATTTTGTTTTGGAGAAAGCTGATGTCTATGAAGCAGAGTGAACGGAACGCAAGGCACCGTAACTAAACACAAATAATGCGAAACGCTATCACTTTGACTGTTTTTTTATTATTAACATATTCGCCTTGATGGATCCTGGTCTTTTTGTAGGAAAAAGGGATGAAGTATAATTTGTAATGGGGGGTGCAAATAGCCTCAATTGGATTTTTCTCAGTCCATTGTCACCAAGTCCAAAATTCAACTTTCGACCTCTTTTGACCTGTATGAAAGATAAAGAAATGAAAAGAACTAATCTTTTGAGAAAATCCATAGCATTGTACAAAAAAGGGAAGGAAACTGTGTTGTCCGTCTATGTGATCTAAATTTGTTCAATTTTTAGGGAAGAGTAAATCCACCATCAATCACCAAATTCGAGCCTGTCATATAGCTAGAAGCATCAGAAGCGCAGAAGAGATATACCTAGAAGTATAAATATTAGCGCAAATGAAACTTCAAACATTTGGAATTATCTTAGCATATCCCTACCCCTTTAAGTTCATATGGAGAGGCGAATCGGCGGGCGGGAATTTGACTTAGCCACTTGTCGAGCATATCTTTAGATGCATATTCCATGATCTGGGTTTGTGTATAGCCAGGTGAAACACAGTTGACTCGACAGAAGTCCACCCATTCCACTGCAAGTGATTTGGCTAGTTGCAAAACGCCAGCCTTAGAGGCATTATACTATAATTGACATTGATAATGTTAGTACACACGAACTCCGAGTGTAAGATTATGACCCTTCTGATGTAAATGCACCGGAAAACAGAAAGGAATAGAGATACGTACCGCGGCCTGGCGTTGAGGTGTATTGACAAGCGTTGCGCTAACGGATGCCGTGAATACCACATTACCGAAGCCTTGCTGCTTGAATATTCTTGCAGCGGCTTGTGCAGTATAGAAAGCTCCATTGACATTGACGTCCATGATCCGCTCAAACTCTTCAGGAGTATAATCACTAGCCGCATACTCGGAGCAAATTCCGGCGTTGGCCACAATGACATCCAGCTTTCCGAAGTCCTTGGCGATCTGGTCGATTGCCGCGGAGATTTCCTTCGGAACGGTGACATCGGCCTGGTAAGCACGAGCTTCTGTTTGATATTTAAAAGAAAGTTCTTCTGCGGTCTTTGAAGCGGTCGTCGTTGTGTGATAGAGAATAGCAATCTAGAAAGCAAGTCAATACTTGTCATGAATTCGATCGAACTATGTATCGATGTTGGACATACTTTCGCGCCAGCCTCGGCGTATGCCGTAGCTACAGCTAGGCCAATTCCTCGTGCGCCTCCTGATAATATTTTAGCAAAAGGAATCAGGATCCAATGCAGATCACCTACCAGTTATGGCGACGACTTTGCCTGTAAGGTCAAAGAACGTTTGCACAGGGGCATCGTCCGGCTTAGAGAGAACCATACTGAATTCTGTATCAATTTCAAGATTATTCCTAGCAGATCTCTACAAGTCATAGAGTCGCAGCTATTTATAAGCCATTCCTATTTCGAAATTTCCAATTCATCCAATCCATCACCAGATGTCCGTTTTCAAGCTCCGAAAACCGCGCATGCTCCACATTGTTCTCGTGATTTGACGGGATTGCGACCACCGTCTCGGGGCCGTTTGCCGTCTCGGGGATTCCCATGCCACAAATAGTTTCTCTTGATCCAATAACCGAGAAGACAAATTGTGTTATCAAACGAGAGTGAACAGAATGCTTAGGCAAAGGAGGTTGATTTGAAATATAATAAGGAGTTTGTCTGCGTGGATGGCCAATTTTAGATCCATTTAATTCCTTAATTCAGTCTTTCCGACTGTTTTCCAACATGTCCAACGGCGAGCATACGGACTGCTATATCGGAATTGATGTAGGCACTGGTGGTGCCCGTGCTTGCGTAATTGATCACAATGGGAACATTGTTGGTCTCGCATCGCAAAATATCAAAACTTGGCAACCACACCCGGAATACTATGAACAGTCGACAACCGACATCTGGGGCAGCATCTGCACCGCAGTCAAGCAAGCAGTTGAGCAATCCAATGTGTCGCAAGCAAGAGTCAAAGGCATCGCTTTTGATGCCACTTGCTCCTTGGCTGTTTTCAGCAAGGAGACTGACCGGCCGGTTTCTGTCAGCGGCACAGAAGCCAATAATGACCGCAACGTTATTCTTTGGCTGGATCATCGCTCAATTGATGAAACAAAAGCCATCAATGCAACTGGGCATTCTGTTCTGCAGTATGTTGGAGGCGGAATGTCAGTGGAAATGGAGATGCCCAAAATTCTTTGGCTCAAAAAGCATATGAATCCAAGCGCGTTTCTTGACTGCAAATTTTATGATCTTGCAGATGCACTCACTCATCTGGCCACCGGACAGGAAACCCGCAGCAACTGTAGTGTGATTTGCAAACAGGGTTATCTTGCAACTGGGTCCGACTCTCGCGAAGAAGGTTGGCAATCGGATTTCTTGACTTCAATTGGCCTCGGGGATCTTTCTAAAGATGACTTCGAAGCACTTGGCGGCATAAATGGCAAGGTTAGCTGCTCCTAACACTTGAATTTATATTTGTGTGTAAATTGACGAATTCTTTGTCACAGAATGGTCAATACCTTGGTGCTGGCGAATACGTTGGACCTTTGACTGAAAAGGCTGCTGCTGAGCTGGGATTGTCACCGGGAATCGCTGTCGGTAGTGGAGTGATTGATGCCTACGCAGGTTGGATCGGTACTGTTGGGGCGAAGTTCGACCAGGGACTCGCGAGTTTACCTGACCAAAGGGAAAATGTTTTCCATCGGTTGGCGGTAGTGGCCGGCACCTCGACATGTCACTTGGCCATGTCGAACAAGGAGTTTTTGGTACCTGGAGTATGGGGCCCTTACCGGGATGTTCTCTTTCCCGGTGCCTATCTTGCTGAAGGCGGCCAGTCGGCTACAGGCGAGCTCATACGGCACGTTGTTGAGAGTCATCCGGCGTACTCGGAAGCAAACGCAGCAGCAAAAACAGCCGGCATTCACGTTTATGATTTCCTCAATGACTGTCTTCGTAAAGAAGCCAAGAAGGCACAGGTGGCTCATATCGCTCAGTTGGCCAAACACTTCTTTTTCTACGGCGATATATGGGGCAACCGGTCTCCAATTGCAGACCCACAGATGAGCGGCGCAATCATCGGATTAAAAAGCGACCAATCAATCAATAACCTAGCTCTGCACTATTACGGTGTATTGGAGTTTATTGCGCTGCAAACACGCCAGATTATCGATACTATGAATCAACACGGGTATGAAATTTCGACAATTTTCATGTCAGGCTCCCAGACGCAAAACGATCTGTTGGTTCATTCCATTGCCTCCGCTTGTGATATGCCAGTCATACTTCCAAAATACGTCCATGCTGCTGTTTGTCACGGTGCTGCTATGCTAGCAGCTGTAGCGGCCGGTAAGTGCTCTAAGGAAGTATCGAAAGGTCTGTGGGAAATTATGGGTCAAATGAGCAAACCTGGCCGCCGTGTGGATCCTACCACCGATAAGGCTGAACGATGCCTTCTTCAGGCCAAATATGAAGTATTTTTGGACATATGTTTCAAACAGCGAGAATACAGGGAACTTGTTGATCGGCGAGTCAACAGTGTGAAAGGGGACATCAGAGCTTGTAGCTCCAAATAGAGTCCGTTATCTCAGTCTAGATAGAACTTTTGCATTATGACATACCCAATGTGTATATATTTCAAAACTTGTGAGCCATGTTTTATCCAGGACTTCAATATCTCAGAGAGCTCTCAGAATGCCGCGGATGCGATTGTATTAGCATGAGTCCACCAGTCTCAAAAAGACCAAATCTTGGTTACTGGTTGGGTATCTCCCCCAGAATGACAAGAATGCTCATCCAGTAGCAAGCAGAGGAGGTCCTCGTTTCGCGCCCTGTGTCCCCGAGTCGAGTGTATCCTGACCGAACTCCACATCTAAACTCCTCATTTTCGGATCCGGGGCAAGCAGCCCCCAGGTCTTGCCATCGGATGACGTACCAAATCCGGGGTGATGATTGCAAGGCATTACATGGTATAGGGGGCTGAAGGACCTCTTATAACATCGGGAGACCTGCACGTTTTTATGAATCCCAGGGCATCAAGCACATCACTCTCTACTTTGCTTTTGTCTACAAAATCTTGAATATCTCATCTAGCAGTGCATAATGTTCGCCATGTTGAGCGACGAGCGGGCAAAGTGGAAAATTGCTTCTAGTTCAGAGAAAAGGTCGCTTTTGGTAGCGGTGAACTGCCTCGCTGGTCTGGCAATATTTTTCTTTGGTGAGTTTCCCGAGCGACATTTTAGTATTCATGAAAAGGTCTTGATCTCATAAGCTCTACACAGGCTATGATCAAGGCATGATGGGTGGAGTCAATGACTCCCAGGCATACGTGCACCGAATGGGATTGGGATACGAGAAGAATGGATCAATAACTGTTACCAACACCCTGCTGCAAGGGGGCATTGTCTCGGTATATTACCTCGGAACCTTGATCGGCTGCTTCATGGGTGGTTATGTGAGTGATCGGTCCGGTCGCATCAAGTCACTTGCTTTTGGTGCCGCATGGGGAATAATTGGGGCAGCGCTCCAATGCACAGCAATGAACCCAACATGGATGATCGTGTCTCGTCTAATCAACGGCATCGGTACTGGAATCTTGAATGCCACCGTGCCAGTTTATGGATCTGAGCTTGCTGACTATGAGTCCCGTGGCATGTTCATTGCCATGGAGTTCACACTGAATATTGTTGGCGTGGTGGTGGCTTACTGGCTGGGATTCGGACTCAGCTACATTAACAACGGCACATCTGAATTTCAATGGCGTTTTCCTATTGCTTTTCAGATTATCATGCTGCTTCTCCTTATCACCGGCTGCTGGTTCTTTCCAGAGTCTCCTCGTTGGCTGTGCATGATGGGCCGACGAGATGAGGCGATGTACGTCCTTAAGCGTCTTCGCGGACATGAAAACGAACGTGCGATCCAGTTGGAGATGCGAGAAATTCAGACTGTCGTCGAATTGGAGGCAGAGTCAGGAGAAAATATCACATATTTCCATATGCTGTTCGGAATTGGCCAGGGGGATTTGCATATTGCCCGACGCGTGCAACTTGTGATATGGCTACAAATCCTTCAATGCTGGTCGGGCATTGCCGGCGTCACAATGTACGCACCGAGTATGTTGCCTTTTGCATTTTCTTCTGTAATTAAACTAACAATATTCGCAGCAATTTTCAAAATTGCCGGATTCGATTCTCAAAAGACCATGTGGATATCTGGGCTCAATAACATCTTCTACGCATTTGCCACATTGATTTGTGTCGTCACCCTGGATCGGATTGGTCGACGCTGGACCTTGTGGTGGGGAGCAGCAGGACAAGCAACTGCAATGTTCCTCGCAGGCGGTATGGCGCGCGGTGGCATCAATAACCCAGAAAACCAGGCTCCATGGGGTATCGCAGCAACATCGATGGTCTATCTGTATACATTCGTCTTTGGTGCGACTTGGCTCACCGTACCATGGCTATATCCAGCAGAGATATTTCCCCTCAAAATCAGGGCCAAGGGCAACGCTTGGGGTGTTGTTGGCTGGAGTTTGGGAAACGGGTAAGTTTCTTTCGAGTTGGCCTATTTTTATTCGGGAAAAATTAACATGAGCCAGATCATTAACTTTGGCTCTTCCGTACGTTTTCGCGGCCATTGGAGAGAATACACTACACGTGTTCGGTGCCGTTAACCTTATCAGCATCCCAATAAGTGAGACAATCTATGCTCCCATCGCGAAAGATTTGAACTGACCATCATTAGTATGGGCTTTTTATCCTGAGTCCAGCCAGCGTACACTTGAGGAAATTGACATGCTCTTCACTTCCAAATCTCCATTTGTTTGGGAAGCCGAGTCAAATTTTGCTGCATTCATGGCTGAAAACCCAAATTTTGGTGCCGCTCGTACGAGAAATAGTATTGTTGACGACGCTGAGAAAGCATGTAATGCTAAGTCGGAGCATGAGGAAACAGTCTCTTCCCATTAAGATACAAATCCTCGATACACTTTACCTTGATATCAAATTGAAAAAAATGTCTCACCTGTTTCAATCAGGCACTGCATTACACATTTCAAGCGTCTGTATCATAATAGCTAGACGGAAAATTGACTTAATTGACTATGTACGATCTTAGCAATCCTAAAATCTCGACAATAGAATCACGCGTAAATACCTCAATACATCAATTCTAAAAAACATTGACTCAATCATAGGCAACGTCAATGCCAAGGGTATTGAAAAATGTTATTTAAAAATATGAAGCTGAGACCAGCCTACTTTTCTATGAGAATAGACTACTCCATTTGTAAGTCAAGAAATCATTGCTTTTCTTTATCCGCGAATGTTTCTACCAGAAATTAGGTTTAAGTTCCAAATTTTTACACAAATCTCATTCACACGCAAAAGTTAATTATCAGGGTCAAAGTATATTTCATTGAATGAAAGAAAGTCTAACGTATCCACATCTACACATCAAATATACATCCGGTCAACATTTTCGCCAGGCAGAGTATTTAACAAACTAAATGTGTTAGCATGTCGGTTCTCATCTGATCAAAGACTGATAGCTACTCACTTCCAATCACACCATTCACCGGAATATCAATGGAGGTAGTGTAGCTCGCGGCCTCGCTTAGAAGATACACGTAGGCACCGCCGAGCTCCTGTACCTCAGCCAACCTAGGGAATCCACCATAATACTTGAGCTGCTGTTCCCAGTCCGGCTGCTGAGGCACCCAGTATGTCATAGCGGTCTTAACTAGACCAGGAGATACACTGTTAACACGAATACCGTATTGTGCCCACTCCATTGCCAAAGTATGAGTCATGTTTCGTACACCTGCTTTGGAGGCACCATAGGGAGTGGAAGGAACGCGCTAAGATGCATATCAGATATAGCGCACAGAAAAATGGAGTGGATTGAATTACCTTATTAGGGCGATAGGAGGCCATTGATGCTGTGAAGACAATAGATCCCTTTATTCCGAGCTTGATAAATGCACGCGCCGCAGCGCGGGCGGTGTAGAAAGCCCCGAAGAGGTTCACATTGAACAGAGTCTCAATATCCTCCTTGGTGAAGTCTAGAGCAGCCTTGTGATGTGTACGACCAGCGTTGACCACCATTCCGTGGAGAGCACCAGCTTCCTCGATAATTTTATCGATCGCGGCGGTAATGGTTGATTCGTCGGTCACATTAGCAGTGACAGCAAACAGCTGGCCAGGATAGCGCTTGGAGACAGCATTGAACTCTTCTCCAGTCTCTCCAATGTCAATGGAATAGACCTTAGCTGCGCCATTGGAAAGACAGCACTCGGCGATACCAAGACCAATACCGCGGTTGGCACCGGTGACTAAGGCGATTTGACATCAGTGAACACAATTCCAGCTACAAGCAAAGCATGCGAGGGGTACATACTAGCAATGACCTTTCCACCGAGAGTAACCTGAGTCTGAGGGGAATCTCCCGCTTGGGGAATAACCACTTGGTCGGACGTTACAGAGGGAGCCATGATATGAGTACAAGATGATAACAAAAGATAGACAATTGAGATATGAACATGAGTCAAGAGGAGAAAAGCCAAATGGCTTTTATAAATCACAGGAAGATATACCCACACCCATTTTCTCATCTAAATTCCATCTATAGAAGCATTCACCCCCTTCGTACACCCCGCATCTCTCGACTCGGGTGTTGTCCCCGAGACGGGAACCGAGACGGGAAAAAAATGGGAACACCAAGTTGATATCTGAGTGGATCGACATTGACCCGAGACGACAAGTTTAGACCCATTATCTGCGTCATCATTGGTGGACCGAGACGACATATTTTTACAGGGCCAGAGGTAAAGAGGGGTAGAAAGAAGTCGATCCCCAGCTGAAATTAAAGCAAAGCCGAACAAATTTGGGGAAATCCCCAGGCCTTCACCACCATATTTCAATTTTCGTTATAATATATTCGACAATTTACTCAAATCTCCATCCCATTGACTTGTTTCGCTTTCGTTTTCGCTATAACTCAGTTTACAATGGCGGCGCTTCCTGCTTGGAACCTTCTTAAGGGCAAGACCGCGGCAATCACTGGCGGAACTACTGGAATTGGTCGCGCAATTGTTCTGGCATATATCACGCAAGGGTGTAATGTCGCAGTCAACCACTTAGGAATGCCTCAAGATGAAAAGCATCTACACAGTCTTTTTGAGGAGGTTAAAAAGATCAAGGACACGGGCATCAAGGCGGGTGAAATTCTGGAGCTATCTGGCGACGTAACAAACCCTGAGACCGGCTCTAGCCTGGTCAAAGAGGCTGTCTCTAAATGGGGAAAGTTGGACGTGTTTGTCGCCAATGCGGGTGTGTTCAAACAAGCAGAGTTTCTCAAGTAAGTTGAATTGACAATACCGACATTGAATTATTTTCGTTACTGTCCTTGCCGCAATATTCAAAGGTGCCAATCGCTAACATACCTACCCAGGATTGAGCCAGCCCTTCTTGATCATAGCGTCGATGTTAATGTCAAAGGCTGCTTCTATTCCTGCCAAGCCGCCGCTCGCCAGATGGTTAAGCAAGGGCACGGCGGTTCGATAATTGGAATTTCCTCTGTCAGCGCCCTACTCGGGGGTGGTTTGCAGACCCACTACACGCCGACAAAAGCTGCGATTCTCTCGATGATACAGTCTATGGCTATCTCCCTTGGAAAAGATCAGATCCGATGCAACGCACTGATGCCTGGTACCATTGCCACCCAGCTGGCCGATCATGACATGAAGAATCCCACCAAAAAGGCTGCTCTTGAGGCACGCATTCCCCTCGGTCGCATTGGTAACCCCGAGGACATGGCAGGTCCTGCAGTTTTCCTGGCTTGTGAAGAGATGAGCCGTTATGTGAACGCTACGGGACTGTTGGCCGACGGTGGGATGTACAGTAACTTGCAGTGATGGCGAGAGTATCTTTTTTCTTCTTCGCGCTGTAAACTATAGAGATCTACAATAGTGATTATAAAATTGAACCGAAAATAATTTGAATATTCTCATGAATCTATTCGTGATAGAATTCTATTATGAACCTTCGCTGTTTTTTCCTCGAAGTCGGTCAAATAAAGTCCGACGGGAAGTACGATCCACACAAGCAGACGCACATTGTAAGCTGATTTATGAAATCAAGAATGAATCTATCTCTGGAGTACGAACTATCCGTTGAGGAAAAGAGAAGTAGAAATATTGACGTTCTAGCACTCTCGTGTACTACTTCCAATTCCCTTCATGCCTTGCCCGCTGACCCGCAGATCTCCATCCATTTAACGGTAAGATCTGCCACTTTCTGAATCCCCTCCTCAATAAGCTGTGTATGCAACATTTTGTCCGCGTTTGAACGAAGGTGGTCGTAATAGTCATCTAATACAAGTTTGTTGACGTTGATTTTGCTGACACCAGCGGCCACGCAGCGTTTCATTAGCTCCGGGGCAAACCCGTTGGTGCCGTGTAGAGCCAAACTAATTCTGCCGTTTGCCTGAGTCCGGACTTTCTCGAATCTAACCAATGAGATATTAGTAATTTAATCTCATTAAAGAGGACGCACTCAGATTCACCTGTCGAAATCCAGCTGTGGGCCCTGCGGGCCATATTCACCATGGACATTGCCAAAAGCAGGGGCAATGACATCCACGCCTGTGTCGATGAACTCGTCCACTTCCTCAGCAGTCGTCATACATGCTTGTAATCCCTCTGTGTCCATGACTCCATCCTCTCCTCCCTCAATACGGCCCGGTTCGGCTTCCGTGGCCTTTTCGCGCTCGTTGCAATATTGTACCAGCTCTCGAGTCTTCTTCAGGTTTTCATGCTTTTCGTAATGCGACATATCCACCATGATACTATCAAATGGAAGCTCTGCTGCGCGTTTGATGATTGCTTCAGACTGGGCATGGTCGAGGTGAATACTGATAGGCACACTTGCACGCTTCGCGGCATCGGCAGCGGCACGTACTAGCAAGCCATCTGTGGCCTCAATAGCCCATGGAAAGAATTGAATGATGAGTGGTGAGCGCGCGGTTTCTGCAGCTTGGACCAGGCCTAAAACCTGTTCGATGTTATAGGCGATGGCGGCAATGACCCCGTACTGGCCAATTCGGGCCTCGCGGAGAATGCGGATATGACAATTGGAGTCTTTCCAGGCCATTTTGCGGTCGAAGTGAAATTCAATAGATGAAACGCAGGTCAATTTGGAGATTCCTCTATCGAATCACTTTATTTAAAGAATTGCTGACTCACGAGAGATATCGCGTCCAATTTCGATGAGATGACCCCGAGACGGGGTGTTATTTGCCCCACCACCCCCGCGATGTCCAAAATCTGGCCTCAATCTGCCCCTTCTCTCAACCCTTTGAGGCCATTGAAACATCCCCTCGCGAATTTGGTTGTCCGATTTCTTTGCCGCACTTATCTTCTTCCACGACTAAGGGCAGCTTCAGGGAGCTTCTCGGTTTAGAACAATTCGCGTGTTGCGTCGAATTCATCATGCCTTCAGATTCCGAGACTTCCTTTCGGATTCATGATCTGCGCTTTTCAGAAATTGTGGGACAACAGCCAACAATAGAGCTTCTTGCAGAGCACTCAGATTACCCTTTTGCTCATGAGGCTGGGGTTTTCTTTCCTGAAAGCAACAGTCTCTACATCACCAGCAACCGATGCATTGGATCTGACAGCGAGCAGAAAGTCAATATTACCCGAGTGGACTTGAATAAACGGCCAGTCACATTTGAGGAGTGTCTCACTGATATCCCAATGGCCAATGGGGCCATTAACTACGGCAAGAATGATGTTCTCTTCTGCGGACAGGGGTCCATGACCCAACCGAGCGGCTTATACAAGATGTCCACACTGTCATATAAATCTGAGCTTTTGAAGAGCGACTTCTACGGGCGGGAATTTAATTCCGTCAACGACGTGGTAGTACACACGGATGGCTCAGTCTGGTTCACGGATCCCAATTACGGCTTTGAGCAGGGCTATCGGCCAATTCCATCTTTACCTAACCAGGTCTACCGATGGTGCCCGAGGACTGGGAATATCCGAGCTATGGCAGATGGATTTGGGAAACCGAATGGTATTTGCTTTTCGCCAGATGAGAAAGTCGTTTACATTACGGACACGGATCGGGTACGCGGGGACGGCACCATCGATGATCAGCGAGTTTCTTCAATGTAAGAACATACTTTCTTGATCCAACATTGGATCATCATGGTTAACATTAAACCCACACTAGATATGCCTTTGATATGGCGGAATACGGGGGAGAAAAATTCCTCGCTAATCGGCGCCTTTTTGCTACGGCGGACCAAGGTATTCCAGACGGAATCAAGTGTGACCTCGAAGGGAATGTGTATAGTGGTTGCGGGGATGGAATTCATGTATGGTCCCCGGGGGTGTCCTCTTGGGGAGAATCATTATTGAAGGTGGTGTTGCAAATTTTTGTTTTGGGAGAAACGGGGAGATTTTCGCGCTGAATGAGCATCGACTGTGGAAAGTCCAACTAGGAGTTGCCGTGAAAGGCGCATTGCTCGGGTTATAAACTTCTGAATAGAGTGGAAGAATTATACAAATTGCCAGGTGCCAGTTCAAAGGACTTTATTTCATTATGGAATAGACCTCACGGCCAAATTTGCGGCAGCTGCAGATTTCGTCGGGTCATGATCTTCCCAATAATGCTGCAGCTCCTCACCTAAGGATCTAACTGGCCAGCCACTTCTCTCACGACAGGATTCTAAAAGTTGCAAAATTGCCTCTCTGTCACGTTGGTCTTGTGTAAATTTTCCAGCTATTATCCCTTTTTAGCGTGGTTTTTGAAAACGTGAGCATTGAGAGGCCTACCAATATATAAAGCTTGTGATGACATCAGAGTAGATGGGTCATCTTTGAGTGTCACTGCAATACCGCAGATATTATCTACGCAACGCTTGATTGCGCTTTGTCGTTCAAGGTAATGCTCCATGCCCCCCAAGCTAGGCTCATGAGCAAGCAATAGAATATTTGACACGCTGAAGAACTGAAGTGCCACGGCTATGTTTGCGCGTTAGCTGTTTTGCAAAGACCGAATCAGTGTTTTTCCATACCAAATGCAGGTGGGTGGATCCAGATTGGTCGAAAATGCGACGACTGTTGGCGTGAGCTGAGTGGCAACGGAGAGAATTCAACGGTCAGATGTCGCTGCCAATCATCCAACATTTCGTGAAGGCGTGCTGCTTCATCAATTCGACGTCCGATGTCTGCCTCCGCCACGCCCTCGGCGGAGTAGCTCACAACCTTCGCGGTGTTGTATATTGAGCGTGTAGCAAGCTCATATGGCGACAGTACAGAAAGGGGCTTCTGTGGAACCCAAAATGTTAGGGTTTTGCGCTTCTCGCGGAAAGCAGCCCAAATATCCTGGCAGAGCCAAGCCCACCAAACGGCTGAATGTAGACCCCCCGATTCACCATGAATGGTTTGTGATCTTTGTATGAGAAAAACGCCTTCTAGATGTCTCTCCCAATCTTTCGTGGAATTGTCAAGCATCTCATAGGCGGAGATGATTAATGTAGTCGCAAGCAGCTCTAGGCTTCTTTTGTAGCCAGAGTATTGCATAGCTTTTTGCACATAGTGAAGGGTTTGGTAATAATATTGAAGGGCTGCCTCCTCTTTATTTGGGATGTTATGCTCATTCAGAAGGTGGTTCAAAGCAAGATGTCGATAAGATAGAGCGAGTATAGCATTCATCAAGCCCGCATTATGTATCTGGAGTTTCCATGTCAGCATTCTTGTGGCAGAAATATCCTCGCAAAATCGGAAGCGGCTTACGGCCAAGTGCGCAACGAACGTAGAAAATTGATTTGTAGGATCAAAGAGATCTATCTGTTGAGTGTAAGTCAAGCGTTTCCAAGTCATGAAGATGACAGATATAGCATACCCAGGGGCTAACTCGATCTACAAAATGTCCAAACAGGGTTGCTTCGGCTGACAAAAGCTCAATTGGCTCTCGTGACTGCCAAATCTGCTCCTCTTCGAGCTGACTTTCTTTTGAAGAAGCGATATGCGTCAGGTCACGGCCTCTGTATACGGAAGAAGGGCTGTCGAGCACCTGAGTTGCACGTTGCAAGGAGCTTAGCTGAGTTTGGTCGTCAGAACTGGCATGGTCCAATGAGAGATTTTGGTTCGCCCATGAGTTTTGGATCGTCAACACTGTTGAATTATCCCTAGCAGCATCATTCGCTAGTAGCCCGAACCATCGTACTGCTGCAAATGATGCATTAGATGGCGACAGATAGGCATCTGGAAACGCTAGGGGACTTTGACTCGAATCGAGTTGATTCGCCGTCGATTGATCAAGTTGCACAGATGGAGAGGGGTTGGCATCGACCGAGGAACTAGGCCAGGCTGGAACAATAGCTTCAGGCGGCCCAAAAAGCGCTGGGTTTGTCTGCGTCGTATTTGGTGCATGTTCGTCATTCTCCGCTGGGGACGAGGCCTGCTCTGTGGATAATTCGGTGGCAGCCGTCGTGAAGGTCCTGTCCGAGACTGGGAGGCTAGTGTTATGACGACCCGAGCCAGTAAACTCGCAGACATTGTCCTTTCTGGCACAAGCGCCACACACTGGCTTAACCTCATCACACTTCAAATGTCGCTTCCGGCATTGTATGCTGCATCAATCAAGTTAGGTAAGCATGACTACTTTGGGAAGCAAACGACTGACCAGCCATTCCTCGTTCGCAAGCCGCGGCCGCGGGACTTTCGTACACGCGGCCGTCTGTAAGATGATCGCGAATGCATCGTTGCGGTGCCATCAGACCATGCACAACCAATATCGTACTGATCAAGAGGCAAATCCATCTTTGCTGCAGCAACACCAACGTTTTCCTCGTCTCGGGGCTCCTCTGGGGATCAAGAGGGGTGGGTGTGTATTACATAACCCGGAACTACCCCGAGATTCGCTGGGGAACTCCCCGGCTGGGGTTTCCCGGGGTAAGTTATTGTTTACAGCACTACGGGATGGACACCCCGTCTCGTGGCTCGTGTCGCATGGGGCACTGGGTGGGGGGTGAGGGTTAAAAGAAATATGCTTTCTATGCTCATTTTGTGCAAGAAAAGGAAGGGAAAGAAAGGGAAAAAGAAAAAGGCACCTAGGAGTGCCAGCATGTTACCAGGGATTCCCGAGAGGAACCAGATATACACTCGTATAGCGTTGAGGAAACCTCTTTTGACCACGCCATTCCAATATCGATTGTATTGGTGGTGGTAGCATAAGAGAGAAGAAGAGAGGGAGAATGTAGCATCTGTAAATATGTTGGAGTGTGACAATGTTTCTTTTCCATGACGCATTTTGAGTAGGCTCTGAAGGCGGTGAGATGGCCGAGGCTACAAGTGTAGGTTATGCTTTTTGACCCATCGCGACTAAAGAAGTCGGGTATAAACATCAGCAAATCCCTTCACCGTCGTATGTTTCCTTTTTGTAGTCGGTGTATTTTGAGCCCCTTCTAGCCTTTTCTTGACAATGAAATGTTCGTTTACAAACTCAATGGGCGTTTTATTCAACGGGCTTTGAATATGCGTAGTCCGAAATCAAGAAAAAAAATATTTGTTGACAAGAGTGGGATTCGAACCCACGCGCTTTCGCATTACGGGTCACAGTAACCTAAACGTAACGCCTTAACCACTCGGCCATCTTGCCTGTTTACATCTATTTTGTTCTCAATGTGCAATATATTGCTGTATCGTAAAAGATGGATCAGGCAGGTTATTCCAGTGATTATGATGGTCTTAAAACGATTAACGAGGTCAGTTTCAGGAATACTCGGTAAATCGACTTCAAAAAATGACCTTTCGAATATTAAAATTGCAATTCTACTGCTAACTAAGCAAAAACGGATGCTGCGCAAAGTCAATGGGAATATATATTTGGATCGTCGTGGACCTACATACCTGGTATTGCCTGCCTCACCCTCGCGCCGCTTTTGCTCACTGGGTAGATCTGAGCACAGAGTGATCAGATTTACTTGGGATCCGAATTACATACATAAAGTGATAAAGATGTATAGCCACAGATCTATGATAGATAATGTGCTGAAGATTCTATGATAAAGAAGGAAAATCCCCTGTCTTCGAGGGTAGTTCAAGATTCAGTCATTGAATAATATACCATCATTCTTGCTCCTCGACTCCATACCGATTTGATATTAATATTTACTCTTTTCCTACCTGACTAATAGGCTACTACCCTGTAAGTAGTGGTCTAACAACGGTCCACCCCTAGCGAACCTTATTTTTGTAAAACTTTAGCGCATTCATCACACTGGAGATTTTCGAGGCTTTAAAATGTTGAGACATCATGCGATCTATCGTTTTTTGTGCCTAGTATTCCCTCTTGTATAGTATGGGATTTACATGACCTAGAATAGCTGAATTCCCAGAAGCTGTGCACCGACGGCAACGTCAGTGCCATTCACGTCAACATTGACGGCGCTACCGCCACCGGTAGTGACATAGATCTTGTTCAATTGGCCAGCGCCCCTCCCGAAGAAAACACCGGTAGGCTCAGCAATTTCGGTCGAGTCCTCGGAGCCAGCAATAGTCCCAGCACCGACAGCTGTTCCATTCTGGGTAAAGATGACTTGCTCGATAGTGTTTCCACTAGCGGTAGCAAGGTAGGCAAACTTGTAGTCGGGCCCAAAAGTAGAGTTGAGAGCGAATCCATTGGGCGCAATGGCAAAATCATCAATCGCGCTGCCCTGGTAGATCAGCTGTCCTGTACCAGCAGTGATATTAGCGTATAGCTCCGCCCGGTATAGTGCACCACCAGCAGCCCAATAGACAAAGCCATCCGAGACTTTAATGCCGTTAATCATGGACATCAAGTTCTCTTGCTTAATGGCCTCCCATGTCCGCCCGGTTCGGGTATCAATGGCGAAGATAGCATCCTGGTAGGAGGCGCTGGCAAGCAGGATTGTCTCATTGAAGGTTGCCAACCCATTGAATCCGGTGGGTGCCATGGGTCGGCACAATAGCTTGATTGTCGGATTTCCAGTGTCTGTATTGAAATCGACCTCCCAAACGTGAGTCGCGTTCGTTGGTGGGTCGCTGATATTGTCGGAGGTAGTGTTGGATCCGGCAACGTAGAAAACGTCATGGGCACCTTCAGTAATCCCATCGAGGCCCAGGACCGAGGTGAAATCCCGGATCACCTTTTTTGGGGGGAAGTTTCCTGGGGATCGAAAGCCAGAATGTTGGCTGGAGGACCAATCTCAGTGGCTAGGATGATGCCATTGGATCGCGTGGCTAAATTCTCAAGCCAAGTGTCATTGGAGGCAAATTGATAGATCGTGCGCACATTAAGAGCAGATGAAGTAATCACGGGGAGGCCCAGGGCCAAGATACTAATTAAAGAACGCATTATGGAAATAGTGTAAAGAGACAGCTTCAATTCTGCCAAGCTCAAGGTTGAATTTTGAATATCGGGTTGAAGCAGCACTTGAGTGGGTATCAAAATAAAATTGCAGATGAGGCCGCGGCGGGTGCCCAGGTTGAGATATATGCTTTCCCTAGGGAGCACACCTCTCCACATTCATCATCATGATGGATCTCCCTGGTCATTAAGAGCACACTTACGGATACTCTGGGTGCAGGCCGAGCAAAAAGATTTCGCGATCAGATTACGGTTGCTCATGCAGACCCCCAAATTACCTTGTGCAAAAATTCATGCATTGTGATGCGCGTCGCAGCAGGTCCGTACCTGCATTTCACCCATATTTGCAGCCCCTCTGGGGCAAGATCAGCAGGTCTTAGAAAATGGCGTGCTTGAAGATTCGGATTTCGCGGAAGTACGCAATTAAATGCTGGGCAATGTGTCAAAGAAATTAAATTTGAAGTGAGTGGAGGTCGACTAAAGACGGGATGCGTTCGAAACATACTGTGCAGCCTCGGCTTATTTATCCTAATTCGTCCTTTAAATCCGACTCCAAGCTTGGAGATTGCCAGCACTGCACTCCGTATCAGTTTCAATAATTAAAGATCTTCACAAGGATCCACATTGAATTGCTTGTAACAGCCTTGAAGTCAGCTTCCAGATGTTTCCCACTCATCTTCAAATTGTCTTGCATCTCAAAATGGAGATATTTCGATATCAAAATGTTCAAATGTTAGGCTTTACTGTGATCCTCCAAATTTCTCAAAAAATGATGATTGCTCTATATATATTTGAGACCGAAATTGCTACGAGTAGAAGAGCAGTACTGCGGCGCATAGTAGAATAAGATTATACATTAGCGTTTACATAATGTTCTGCCGGCTTCAGCGTCGCAAATTCAAATTTAATCATTAGTGTTCCAACCATCATGATCAATTATCTGCTGAACTCAATGAGGTCTCTTGATAGCAACGTGCTCTAGCATATCAACATCCGTTTCAGACCAAGCATATGGTGTCACAACTACTAGAAACCCTAGTATATCGTTATTATCAGGAATATCACGTAGCTTTCACACAGCAATTCGTTTCGGCGAGGACAAAAACCATCAACGTTTCAACAACATCCGTAATATGAACCTACGTCATCACCAGAACCTCTTCCTACTCACGGGCATCAGTCTTTGACGCCCGGGACTTCGATTTTCAGTGGCGGAGTCCGAGTTCCTGAATATCAAGCTACAGGTCCTGAAGGGTGTGCGCAAGCGCATCGAAGCCACGTCATCATCTATAGCTCCCTATTTATCAAATCAAGATCTGTGATGGAAGAAAAACAAGCCGAGAAGAAAAAATTTTGAATTACGTAGATGCAGAAAGCTTGACCATGGATGCCTTAAAACCGTGTGGTTTATAATTTCGACATGGGCTCAATTGTTCAGGGCGGAGGAAGCGAAAGGAAGAGGGTATATATCTAAAAAGCGACATGTCGGCTCTACTTGAGTTAAGATTTCTACCTCACCGATTCAACGAAGATATTTTTCCCTTTGCAATATCGCAATATCTCGTCAATCCTGACCATGCGTCATAACTCACTCCCCGTCGCCGTATTTGGCCTGGTGCCTTGGGCATCCGCTACGCTCTATGAGACCGTCATTCACACTAAATATGGGCCAGTCTAGGGTTACCCAGCCTTCAATAGTTCCGACACTGGTAACATGACACATTGGAAGGATATAACTGTCTGGAAAGGAATTCCTTTCGCTGCTACCACTGGCGGCCGGAAGTACTCTGGATGCTCACAACTGGGGTAACATTTGCCCTTCCGCTACCACTGCAGCCGATGGCTTTACCATTGATGAAGACTGCTTGAATCTCAACATCTGGTCTCCTGCGAATTCCACTGATGCCAAGCTCCCTGTGGTTATATGGAGCTACCCGGCTGAATTGACAGCAGCTGATCCTCTCTTTTATGGTGGTGGTATGGCTGACAAGGGCATTGTATTCGTCAATTACAACTACCGTACAGGCCCATTTGGCTGGCTCGCCCACTCTAAGCTCTCTGCAGAATTTGAGAAAGTTACCGGCTCCAATAGCTCCGGAAACTGGGGTATGCTCGACCAGTTTGCCGCACTAAATGGATCCACGAGAATATCGCTGATTTCGGTGGTGACCCTGAACATATCACTGTGAAAGGTCAATCCGCTGGCTCCGCTGCTACACAGCACATTCTGTATAGCAATCTTACTAAAGGATGAATTGTTGGTGCTATTATCCAGAGTGGCGTTCGCGATCCCCACGACCCTCTCTGTACTAGTCTTGCTGAAGCTTACACTACTCTCGATAATGCTCTGGAGGATGGTGTGACTTATCTCTCCGACCTGAATGTCTCAAGTTAGCCGAGGCTCGTGAGATGACAATGGAGGAGCTTATTGATGGTGTCACTGGCTCTAGCAAAGCAACCATGATCATGTTTGAAGCTGTGCTTGATTACTATGCGATGCCCGATACATATCTTAATATCTTAAAGAAGGGACTTGCCCATGACGTATCTGTTATCACCGGAAATAATAAGAATGAGAATGGCGCTACATATGGCCATGATATTTCCCTTGAAGAATACTATGAGAATGTGAATGAGACATATAGTGGGGTTTGGGTTGAACGTTTCCTTGAGCTCTACCCTGCTAATGATTCAACAGCTGCATCTGGTGCCTATCACTCCATGTTCACTGATCGTTCGAGGGTGGGAACATGGTTCTGGACTCAAATTTGGCAGATGCCAAGAGTGCTAAGGTCTGGAACTACCTCTGGGATCACGCTCCTCCCGGCTAGAACGCTGGTGCTTACTATGAATCTGAAATCAACTACGTCCTCAACAACTTATATTCCACTGATAAACCTTGGAAGGCCGAGGACTATGAGATCGCCGAGAAGATGAAAGACTACTGGGCCAACTTTATCAAGACTGGTAACCCCAATGGCGCCGATACCACTTTTGAGTGGCCAGCTGTCAGCAGCACCAAGAAGACTGTTCAGCATGTTGGTAATGAATGGGGTCAGATCCCAATTGCTTGGAGCAAGAAGGTCACTCTTTTCAAGGAGTGGTTTGCGACTCTAATCGCATACTAAATGTAAGGCCTTTGTATTCCGTCAACCAGTGGCTCTTGTTACTACAAAAAATTTTGATTTGTTAGTCTTCTATTGAGCAAATCCCGTTGATGAGGCTCTGATAGTTCCTTTCGGAGTATAAAAACTTCAATCCCTAGTAAAATAGGATAATATTCTATTTTGGAAATGTAGTTAGATACCTCTCAGTCACTCCATCCAATAAGATGGATGAGCTACATTATCGTAGCTCTTACGATGATTCTTTAATAGAAACCCGGTTTCAATTCACCATAGATGATTCAATATAGTAGTTATGGCTCTGCAAGCAGCCGAAATATTTTTGATGGGGTTGTTCATTAGCAAGCCCCCCTTACTTGAAATTGCCCGTTAGATTAGTTACGCGTGCTCCTATTATTCGACACGCTATCTCTCAAGAATTTCTCATTAAATATATGATACCTGGAATCTCTAGTCAGCATGACCATACTAGGCCATTTCCAAGTTGTTATATAGGCTGCACCAAATTCTTTCCGGCGCCGAGGCCACACTTAGATGGAGCAGAGTAAAAAACCCTTTATAAAGAGTTTTTTTCTTAAAAAATATTTGATAATATGATCGACGGAGAAATTATGTTGATTCAAGCTTCCAATTACATCTCAGTGACATTTTTGAAAGACTGATAAAGAATTACGAATGAGGAAGTAGCACAGTATAGGTCTCTACTGTGACATTGATTTTTTGTGACATTATTTCTGAACCCTTGGTCGAAAAGATGATCATTGGATATCCATGTTTCGAGATTTTAGAATTATTAGAGCCTACTCGACCAATGGCCTCAAGTAAGAAAGTATTACTTGCTATTATTTGCTGCCATCTCGAGGGCAGAGGGACCTTGCTCATCCTTCTGTTTATGAAGAATCAAAGCTAGATTTTCTAGACTGAATGACCAGAGACAGGAAATACTTGAATAATCATCTGTTGGTTGTTAATAGGTAAAATTATGAAATACGATGTGCTTTTGTGAAGTTTAAATGATCATGAATTCTTACTCGATTCAGATACGAACAAAGCAGCCCGAAACAAGGAAAATTTGCAAATATCCTTGGGCGCTTCGTTTTTGTGTCGAGTTTTCTTCTGTTGGGATAGATCAATGTTGTAGTCAAGGCCTTCCGAACGAAACTTTTCCAGCATGAAGGTTGATGAGAATTATTAGAGCATATCTTGTGATATTGAAAATAATGTCTACGGATATGCCCATAGACATCTATGCCGCGTTACTTCATTCTCAATGAGCATCCAATGTACTCCAGACCTTCACTTTAAGCCTGAAAATTATGATTCCGTCCTGAAATTGGAACTGATGACCGCTTACATATGAGATCAGGCAAATGCTTTGCCGCAAATTGAGGTCCTATTTGTGTCAATGTGAAATTTTTGCTTCTGAAGTCGCGTCATAAAGACAATATTATAAGGTTTGTTTTATCATGGCTCGTTAAAAGGGCTTTTTTGGGGATCAATAGAGGAACAGGGTTAATTTGCCGATTGAAGTGTGTTATTTCCATCACAATTTCCCTCTAAATTCGCTTCCTTTAGGCATGACGTGTCATGAGCGCAGTGCGATTCATCCAGCCCGCCAGATGATCTTCTTTTTGAAAAATTCGTAGACACAGGAAAAGATTTTCCAGACACTATGAGATCATTTGAAGAGGAGATTTCAAGAATGGTATTCGAAATCTCAGAATCAAACCAGCGTATAGACTATATCGTGTTGAGGGGAAAAAGGGCCTACAATGGGTGGTCTCTGATTGGAGAGTATATGTACTTTTTAGTACAGTATTTACAGGTATAGTTTCGCATCCCTGAGAGGAAGAAATATCACTGCTACAAGTTTTCGTTCCAATAACATCTGTTTCCTCTTTGGGAAGCCTTCCTTCATCATAGTGTGTGGTGGTTTGCTCGCTCATTCGTTGATCCATCTCATCCAGCCTGCTTGTCAGGCTTGCCGTAGAGCGCCCTGGTTCACTATGTATGACGTCTAGCCTCACCTGAAACATGAAATAGTACTATTGACATCGAGATATTAATCCAAGATCTACTTTGTCTCTGCGATTCGGCATCGGCTATCTAGAGACTGCAATCCAACAAATTCAAATCATCTTGTATCAAAGAACGGGGAGTTTCATTTGATATAGAAAGCCCCAATCGAGATAAATTCCTTGAATTAGATTTGCAGCCCTTTGAGATATTTTAGCAAAGGGTCTGATTTTTACAACAAAAATATTGAGACCTATGAAAATGAAACCGAAATTGACAGCCCCTAGTGCCGGAAACACCCTTTTTTCACCCATTATGACTCCAAGTGAGCCGCCATTTGCTCACCCGCTGCCCTTTGCCACCCTCAAAGCCCATGGAGAAAGAAGGTTTACAGAGTAAGCAACTTGCATTAGTGTATTTCAAGCCTCCCCACACGGTACTTCTTCTAGTTATGAAATCAAACAAAGTGCCAAGCATATTGAGAACACCTTCTGCTGTGACAATCGGTTGGCAAAGTCCATAATTTAAATATCTTCGTCTTCTTAACAAGAATCTCCAAAATGGCTAGCCTAAGCCGTAATTCTCCTGTCAACTGTGACATGGAATTCGACACCAAAAATGTCGAAAACAAGACTGTAATCGTCACAGGTGGTAAGTATCCTTCGAAACCCCGTGGATGAACTTCGAGAATCGAACTGAACTCGTTATTGTAGGAGCAAACGGGCTTGGTGAGGCATACGTTAGGGCCGTCATTGCAAAAGGGTAATGCCCCATCGAATTGGTCTCGCCCAGTAATTGCTCACGCTATATCAGAGCGATCGTGGTGATCGCAGATCGCGATGTCAAAGCAGGAAAGAAACTCGAAGAAGAATTGACAGGGTATGACTGCATAAAATGAACGAGGTATTTTCGTCTGCTCACCCTTTCAGGGCCAAATTTATCGAGTGTGATACTTCTAGCTGGGTTGACCAAGTCCGTCTCTTCGAAGCCGCTGCCTCGTTTTCTCCGACCGGAAAAATCTCATTCGTTGTCGCAAATGCCGGTATCCATCGAAAAGACGAGGTATTTACCTACGATGGCGATGATAGTGCCCCTGAAAAGCCAGATCTAGCTACCATCGATGTCAATCTCGTCGGCACTCTCTACACATCGAAGCTCGCACTGCACTACTTCATTAAACAGAATGGACAACAGCCGTCGGAATCTCAGGAGGATACTTGTTTGATCTTGATAGGGTCTGGAGCAGCTTTTTTGGATTGTCCTCGTGCCCCTCAGTACTGCGCTACGAAATGGGCTATGCGAGGCATCATGCATTCACTCCGGAGAACCGCTTTTTACTACGGGAGTCGTGTGAATGTGATTTCACCATGGTAAAAATTTCTCTTTGCAATGTTATCAACGCTAGTGCTGATAAACGCAGGTATGTCAAGACGAATATTCTCTCTCAAGAGGCATTCGCGCACGTCAAAAGCACAGGCATCAAATTTGCGGAAGCTTCGGAAGCAGGTGAATGTCTCCTGCGAATCCTCAGCGACAGCACGATCAATGGTCGCTCGTTCTTTGTTTCTGGGAAGAAATGGTCCCCTTCGGGATATCTGGATCTGGATATTGATGATTATCAAGGGGATTCTCTGATCGAGGATATCCAGCAAGACCAGATCAGTCCGTCTCCAGTTACGATGGGGCTCTTTGTTTAGTGATGTAGTCTATCATTATCTGCTACTCTGCAGATTAAACAATGAGGATATCTGAGATCATTGCTATTTTACATGTTGTTTCGCTCAAACGCGTGCATAATACAATGCTGTTAACGAAACGGCAAGAAGTAATGAAACGTATGCTCCCAATTGGCTCCAGACCGTACCAGCTTATCTTTCCATTGACAACCCTCATACAGGCCTATTGACTGCTGCGCGACATCCAGAGACGAATCCGGCCTCACAAAGTGCGACAAGTCTTTCATAGTCGTCAGCCTCTGGAGAAAAGACTTCCAAGCGATGCTTTGTAGATGTAGACTTGATATATGGCTGTATATTTCGTGTCATTGGATAATGATCGGTAGATGGATTGGATGTTGAAGGAGGTAGTAAGGGCTCAAAGCGTTCGATGCCGTCTGCATTTTTTTCGACTGATCTAGAAATTGGGACCGCAGTCGTCCCAATACTCGATAAAGAAAAGAGAAGAAATAGTTTCATGGCTGCTGCCAGTGATTGACGGCGTAAACGGTGGCAAGCCTTGGAGGCACTCTTTGCAATAAGATAATATGGACGACAGTAAAATTGTGGAGAACTGAGAATAGTATAGATTTCTGAGGGAGGAATATCACATAAACCATATATTAACGGTTCTCAAGGTTCGGAGTTAAGAACGGCCTTTTGTGCCTTTTGTCGAAGCTAAGAACAGAGACAAAGATAACCAAATCAGGCTAACCAATGGGAACCATGGGTCTAATGTCATCAAGTGCTTGGCGATTTCTTGGCCTTGTAGCATCGCCCCAAAAATGCTCAATCACCTCATCCTCCGTTTCTTGAAATGAGTATAACACTGCGTCCTCTAATATCACGATGTGCTGTATCAAGGTGGATCTCGCTCCAGAGCCCTTATGGAGCACTTACAAAGTACCATGTCCAAGTGGGTCAGACCATTTGCCCTCCGCCAGGGAAACGTACTATTGTATAAATGGCATCAATGGCAAGGAACACGCTCTAATTATATACATTTATCATGCCGATGCTATTTTACATTCAGGATATCCTTCCATATGAAGGGCTTCTCCCCTCTCATCCTTCTCCAACGATTCGTGGAAGCCAGTAACTCTGGCGAATCCATGAGTAAACATTTCCATTTATGTGCGAAACCTTCCGAGACTTCCCAATTTTTGGCGTCCCACGAGTCTCCCCATACTAGTAAGGTGGCAGCTGTATTTCTTGTATCCCAAAAGGCCATAATGTCGTGACAGAGGTCCTCATCATCAAAAGAGTCACCCGCAAGAATCATATAATCACGCATCCGGGGGAAAGGGAAAAAGTCGAGCCACGGATGGTGAGGCACATGCAGTTGAATAAAAGTAGGACGCAAACAGGGCGGAATTTGGTCGATTGAGAAGCTGGGCTGTGAAAGGTTGAATATTGAGATTGAGTCATCATCTCGCATCCATATGGATGTCATTCCGACCGCACGGATGTTTTCGTTGATAGCTTTGTGCACGTTCAGCCGGCTGAGGCTGACGAGGTGATCTCTGTCTGGCGTGCCGCTCATATAACACTCATAAGCCTTAGCCTCAAACAGGTTCCGAAATTGGAGGGCATTTGGTGGTGCAAATTGGCATTCCCAAGTTTCCCCATTTTCCTCGTCGAAATCATGTGGACGTATACGTGAATTGTGTAGGCTAGAAGGGGTGGTAGAAGTGATGGCACTCTGCGATTTTGCCTCATTGCCTTGCTTTTTCGACCCTAGCAGATAATAAGGAACTGCAGGGACCGCATTTTTCGATTAAATGGATACGAGTACGTACGAAAACGTCGCTGATTGAGGCGATTCTGTAACCTCCTGCGTTCTTTCCGGTTGATGACGCCAGTCCAATCGTCGCCGGCGTCCCGCACGCTAGCCTGCTGGGGCATCCTGCTCAGTGGAATGATCTGCTTGTCTAACGCGGGATCTACCATGCTGTGGTTGGTAAATTATGCGATATGCTGACACCCTAGAGGTGCGAGTAGATGGTTAATAAAGCCTCGTTGGGGTCGGCAGCGCATCTTGCTGACTAGGGTCTCCAGCGTTTCCACTAGACCCACCTCAAAAACTCTTTCTGCCCTGCTGGTTGGATAATGACCTGGTTTTAGAATGGCCAAGGGCATCGCCACTACTGCCAAGATCAAATTACATGGCTGATTGGATCGTGACGCACTTGAACTTATGGGTCCTATGTCAGCAAAAGTGCCCTGTTTGATTGGTCCGTCCCGTCCTATCGATGTACCCGAGGGTGGGATATTCAAACTGTATCCACTGTGCGTCACTGAGCAAACAGACCCTGAGCATACTAATTGAGCGATATGGAATAGCGTTGCCTGCTGCCTAATATGGGTGCAGGGCTGTGTAATAGGGCGGGGGGAAAAAGAAACACAGACATGGGCAAAAGGGTAGTGGGTTGGAGAAAACTACTAATTCCATTTGACGACCGTACAAGAAGTTGTCTCATCAATTTGACCTTCATTTAACGGAAGAAGATAAAGTACATAGAGCTGCTGGTGATATTTCAGTCACAGGATCCTTATCAGATTTTTGATTTGGCGCCCAGATTCTGGCGCATTCCACCCCCCTAAACCTACCGCAGTCCCGAATGAAATCCGTGAGTGAACAAATCAGATGTCGGCCCACTTGCCCTAACTTAAAACCGGTGTTCCTCAAGAAAGATTTGTTTGGAAGAACTCGGTGAGTCACTGAAATGGGATGAGCTCGATGCGATCATAAAGATCAACGTGGCCTGCACCAGGCACCCAGAGGAGCTCCTTCGGTTCAGCAGCACGCGAATAAGCGTCATCGCTAAACTCGCGGGAGTGTGCCTGGTCACCAGAGATGAAAATTAAAGGACGCGGTGAAACTTTCTGAATGCCACTGAAAAGATAACAATTGACGAACTTGGTGAAGGAAGAGAACGTAGGGTGAGTCGTGAGTTCTGGCGTTGATCTAACGAGCGCAAGCTCGCCACGTTCGGTACGGTAGAAATCGTAGAATTCGCGTTCGACCGGCATCGCATTCGCCGTAAGGTGATTCAGGGTGCCACTGGTATACTGGGCCTTGCCGTCCTCGATCTCGGTCCAGCGCTGCTGGGCTGCTTCGGCGATTGATTCCTTGAAGCCGGCGCTGGTCGAGTTTTGGAGACCCTGGCGGGCGAGAGTACCCATATCATCCATGCTTGCTATAGCGATGGCTACGAGACGCGGATCCAATTTTGCGGCGCTGATGATGAAAGAGCCGCTGCCACAGATTCCAAGTCCTCCAATCCGCTCACGATCGACCGATTTCAGATTCTGAGTGCCGAGATAATCGACTGCGGCGCTGATTGCCTCTGCGTAGAGGTCTGGTAGGACAGCATTGCGCGGCTCACCATCGCTTCTACCTCAGAAGAGGATATCGATCGAGAAGGTGATGAATCCATGCTCAGCCAATTTGGCGGCATAGAGGTTCGCAGTCTGCTCCTTAACGGAGAAAGAAGGGGGAGAGGGAGAGAGGAGAGTCATATAATGACAACCCTTACAACAGACAAGCCTAAACACCCAGACAACCACACACCTTTCACCCTATCTCGATAGCTCCTTTCGCACTCAGCGTCTTAATGAAAGTGATGGCAAATGCGAGTGTCCGCTACCTTGTCTCTCATGTCCCTCCTCTCTCCTTCCTCTTTAATCCTGTCATTCTGTCTTCCTTTGCCAACTTTTTATCACCATATTGAACTATCCAGCTTAGAATTCCACAGCCAGCAGTACCAAGTCTCCCGCATCAACTCCCGCTCCTGAGTTCTGGTTTTTAACGTGTCACACTCAACTCTCGGGCAAGATGAATACTACTTTCCGAATCGGTATCGAACTGGAGTTTCTACTCAGCCACCGTAGGAAGACCACGGATGATTTCGAAGGCCTTGAAGCGTTCGCGAATACCCTCATTGCTGATTAGGAAATGGTCTATTCTCGCGTAAACCGTCGTCATCGGTCTCGAGTCCACAATGATGTAAACGGTGTTGACGAAGGGGAGGAAGGGAATGAGTGGTCTCTTACTGATGATGTGACAATCAAGCCAGATAACAGCGATTCATGTATGCCCCAATGCTCCACCGTGCTTTACTGAGCTAGCAAACGCAGATCAGGGCCGCTGGAACTTGCTTCTCCAATCATATCCTACAATGAGCCCAGTGACTGGCGAGACAATGTTCGAAAACTAAAGAGATCTGCGAGAAAGATTTGTCGAATTGAAAGCAATTCCTCATTTGGTTTGCACGTACATATCTCACTCCCAGAAAGCACATCGTGGGATCTTGACAGCCTGAAGTCAATCTGCCGTACCATCTTCTACTCTGAGGGTGCCATCAATACTATCCTGACGACTAATAGACGAAACAATGAAAATTTGACGAATGACAATGGAAAGAGATACTTTGCTTAGAATTTCACGAATCTTTACTATGGTGGAAAATCTACCGTTGAGTTTCGCCAAGCGCCAGGAGTTTCCGATGAATCAGCATGTCTGCCATGGATCGAATTTGTGGTTTTGTTCATCAATTCTGCGCAGAGGATGTCAGATCACCAACAGCTATCTCGATTTTCTCAGGATGTTTGTCAACTACTAGGCTTCCTCATCCAGTTTAATATACCCGGCTCTTATCACGTAGTCCTTCACAAGTGATTCCGAGGAAAGTCTGGATCTATTAATCCCACTTCCGTAAAAACACTCACCACAGAGGAAAGAGAAACTTTCAGAGCAAAGGAGCGTGAAGCAAACGTGAGAAACTTGATCATGAAGAAGCTACTGTCTCAGAAAGATTCAACTGTGCATTAAACTCTCCATGAGAGCCTGGACAAAGCAAAAACCTTTCAGTTCGCATCAATTCGATAGTGAATCCAGATTTCGAAGTCTTTTCTCTTTCTTCCACTGCTTCAGGTCAAATTTTCCTTCCTGAAGTTCCCCTTGTTGGCCATTCCACATGAATGTGACTCCATCAACAGTACTTATAACACTATTATCATGGTTGAGAATGTCGATGAGGCAAGGCTGGAACTGATATTTGTCCGTCTCATAGGACACAAGTCGATCAAGTTGTGTTTTTGATAAGATTTCGAATACCATATCATCGACCAGCTGGAGTGGCTTGCCATCAATAAGGTCAGGGTAGGGGACCCAGAGCTTAATGTCATACCCTATCACTCGGGCACGGCTCATGATAGGAAGGGAGTCTGACGTTCTCAAGACTTGAGAAAGTGTTTCTGGATCCATTAATGTCCCGTAGAAAAAGCAGTATTGTCTTTCAAAGGGATCCGCGGGTGCTGAGCCTTCTTGAGAAGGGTTCAGAGGTGCTGTCATGCTTTGAGTCGACTCGTGTCCTGAGGCGCTGTGGTTCATGAACTTGCGCACCATGAGAGATGGGGGTGGGAGTGTTTTGCGCATTGTGTCGGCACGTGGATGCTGCAACACATTAGCAATGCCTCCAATGCCTTATTTTTCTGGATTTGGCATGGCTCTGAGCGCAGGGACTCATATCATTGCGTGTCAGTGTGATACAATGAGATGCCGTGATGCAGCCAAGCAATGAACGATTGACAGGACCTCTGATGACAAGGCTGAAGGTACTGCTCGGCGGATGTTAGCTACTTAAATAAACACCTGTTTGTAACTAGCTCACTTTCAGAGATTAGTAAGGCAAACGCAAGGGTAGGAGTATGGCTCTTCTCAGGTGAACAAAAAGCTAGCAGTGTACAGCATAGGAAACAGGGAGCTAAGCCTATCTGGGATTGCACTATATCTCATTCTTACCATATGGCTGTTGAACCAGAGATCACATGATTCCCCGCTAATCCTGCATCAGTTGTATCCGTGCTTTTGGCGCCAAACCCTGTTTGTAGAAAGATCTGCTGGTTGTGATCTATTTAATATAGTGTTCCGGACTGCGCAGCTCACTTACGGATTGAGTGATGTTATATGATGGGGGCCACATCAGCGATTCAGGAGTATTATGGGCGTTCGGATAAAGAATGGAGGGGTCTTCAGGGTATTCGGGTGAGGGGTCACAGCGGACTGAATAGGGTGGCAGGAGGAAGTTCAATGAGCAAAAATCAAAAATTCAAAAGCAAAAACATACAACAGCAGGGATTCGCTGGTGGTCACCCACCCAACTACTAACCTGCCGGCGTGTGGCTTAAGTACGGCTGAGCGGACGGGAAGCCCTGTTCTCCACACCCTGTGGTCGTATGTACTAGGAGTAGAAAGAAGTAAATTCATGAATCATGAAAGACAGGGTGAGTGCGGAATTGACAGAGTAAGAAGCTGAGAGAGTGTGGGTGAGAAGCACCGCTGGTTTCGCGTGACTGCCCCACTGACACACTCAGTTGAGCTCAGATACAGCATTATTGGTTTCACCTCAATCTGTCTGAAACCACAATCCCTTGGTGCCGGCACTTACCATTGAATTTTAACTCAGGATTGGCCAAATCAATGGCCATGCTCCCTTCCATGTTGCCGGGTGCGCTTACTGTCCAGACGCCACCAAAATCCGGTGAATATCAACTTGAAATGTGTTCTGTTGATTCGTATCATGCCTTCTGACTCGAAATCAAAAGTAGAATGCCCAACTTATCTCCTATGATCCCAGATCTTCTTCCATGATGTAGTGCTCTTACACTGTCCCTACGAAACGTCGAATCGATATACAAACACTCTGTTAGTCTTTTTAGGAGCCATGGGATATATTTCGTATGAAGAAGAGATGGAAATGATTCTCAAAAGTTAAGAGTCTGTATTTAATCCTCAAAAGAATACGGCACGGGCCAAAGAAGAAGTGAATCTTTGATTGCGAAACTGCAAGTCACATGAAATCCAAAGGGGTCGTGAGAGATAATCAAGACATATTTCTTCATCTCTTTTACAGTGCCGCATTAACACTTACATTGCAGTGAGGAAATCGGAGGCAGACAGCATGAGGCCGAAAGATAGCTGGATGAAGAACATGGTGTCAGAAGTTCAATTCGCCTTATTTGAGCTCTTTTTATGTATTTATTCTTGTTGAATCAAGGGCCCCCGTAATAAAAGCATGATTGCTTCACAAAGAAATCCTATTCATACTTGATATCATAATGAGAAACAGGCCCCGCGAAACATTTTCCGAATCTTATACATTGCAAGAGCGTAAGTAATTGCAAAGAATGGGAATGACAGAATCTCCCTTTAGTTCATGGTATTAGGAGGGGTATAAGAAAGTCCTACGATATACGATAGGAGATCACTGATTGCAGGACATATTCTATAGTACACAGTCTTTACAGATATAGCTTTATATCTCTGATAAAGAAAAGTTTACACTTTTGTACCCTTTTCATGTAACCAAGATCTGTCTCCACTTCAAGAGGCCGCTCTCCATCGTAGTATATGGTAGTTTGTTAGCTTGTTCGTCGGTTCACCTCATCCTGCCTGCGTGTCAGGCTTGCCGTAGAGCGCCCTGGTTCATTACTTATGATCTAGTGAAATTGTATACTGAGGCTTTCTAGCACCGCAACCTATCTCATGTGACTAGACTTTGGCAAAAAGACCTACTCCAGAGTTAATCTTAATAACAATAATATGAAAGATAAATAAAATATTCCTTCTTAGAGTACTACTTACAGAGAACTAGTAACCTGCTGGCCAGGTAAAGAAATAATGAATATCAAGATAGAATAAACATTGAATCGGTATTGAGAAGAATGTTGTATCTTGACCAATAACAGAATCTCCTCAAAATTCAGTTCGAATATATCGCATCTTTCTTTCTTATGTTTAAAGATATAATCCACGATAATATAATAGATAATGAAACGAAACAGACCTTAGCGTCATGCATACGTTTCAGATCTGAAGATAATTAGAATAGTATTATGGATGTGGTTATTTCATAACACTAGTATTACTTAGTGTTTGTTAGTTTGTTAGTAGTCTTTCTTATGTATCGTGATTTTTTTTTATTTTTAATTTTTATTTAGCAATAAATCTATGTTTAGTCTTTATGTACAATACAATTATTCGATTTTACCTACTTGAAACTTTTAGGAATAATAATTACTTGTTAGGGAAAACACCTTGGCACGTGCTTCATTAACTGAGCCAATTGACCGCAATGTCAATGTGCTTAGGACCCAGATACAGTAGCGCACGAGAGTGCAATCTCTAGAATTACTAGCCCTACCTAGTATTCTATACCTTAAAGAAGACTTATATATTCTCTACTATCTCCTACTAAAGTGAACTACTAGAAAAATTCTATAATATCCAATAATTCTTATAAGTAAAAGTTAGGCCTACTAACATCTCATATATAATACTAATTACTAAGGTTTCTACCTCTTTCGTTTATTCATTTCTAGTACTTGCAACATCTAAGAGATGATAGCGTTAGAGGATCTAGATATTTTTCTTATGTATTTACTAACTATTAACCGCTATAGAATTATAGTAGTTACTATCCAAAGAAGCTTATAGGCTCGACGCTTTAGTCCTATAAGCAGCTTGTCTTCACATAATCCTCAGAACGCAAGAATAATCCCAATTAATTACTGAATACCACTACAAAAAAAACTATAATAACCCAGTAGACCAGTGATCCGTGAGCCCGTGACCTAGTGTGCCCCTACTTGTCGCTTGGGATCGACGTCCGAAGATTGGAAGCCTTTTATTCTTACGAAGAGCATGTGGCTGTTCCGACGAAAGTCTTCAACATTTTCGAAAGCAGGCCGAAAAGTATTCGCCATACTGTTTCGGAGATTCTATATTTCATTCTCATATTAGATCGGAGTTAAGAGGTCAACAAAGGTTAGCACGATACTAGTAAGAAGATATCGGAGTTAAACGCGCCGCTCGTTGGCCGCAGTATTGAGAGGGTTACATCAAGGCTTATTACTTATCAAGCCTCTATGGTCACGAATGGAAATCATAATTTGGAATGGCAAGGCCCATGAGACTTATTATATGTCTCCAGCCCGATTGTTGAACTTGGATGTGACTGACATCGCATCTCCGAGTCTGATAGAACCATGTTCGTAATTTTAGCGGCTGACGTGGCCTGCATGATGCACCTATGTTCCAATGTGCATCTTGGCTCCCGAGGTCGCACAGAAACAGAGTAAAGGGGTTTTTATTCCCTGTAATTTGTCATCATCCCTACCCAGTAGTAAAACAAAGAGTCCTTGATCATGTCCAGTATACTGTTGGGAATGGTACGAATGTTCAGATATTTGATAATTAGGTGTCACTTCAATGGACCTCGGGCGAAAGCCAGATAGCTTGACTAGGCGTCGCGTACACAGGTCGTGGTGGAAAGATCGGACTATCATGGTTTGCCGTCTGTGTATCGCAATAATTTCATCGCACCCCTACCTGTTTGGTTTCCCACTTTCCCGGCTCCTGTAGGCCTATTGAGAGAAAAAAAAAGGAAACCTGAAGTTATTACCTACAACACATCTCAAATCAAATGGTAGCTCTGATCAAGGTAGTCTGAATGCAAATTTGACCTTGGTGAACTAAGGGCCAGAGCATCGCAGGAAACAGGATTTCCTCATTTGCGCTTGTGACCGTCCGATATTGCAGGTTACCATGCGGAACAGGGAGTCAGGTGTTATTTGTATGAATAATTATGGCGCTGAAGACGGCGTTAGGCGTGGAGACAACTCCACGGGCATGGGTGTTTCCTAGAAGTGGAGTTATAGTTTATGAGTACGGCAAGTCTGTGAAAATTTCTGCACTGAGAAGTGATCGTAACATTATTGGGAAAGGCACTGTTATTCAAAAGACTTGAAGTTGAGGTAAATATCAATGGGCCTTTGTCCCGAAGATACACCATGCTAAGGAAATAAATAAAAGGCAAGCCACCACGCAGATTGTAACTAGACCGCTACCATGAGAAATTTAAAACCTATAGGTGTTAAAAGGAAAGAAAAGAAAAATATTACATGGATAAAATCCTTTCTCGTAAACACCGCTACCCGGCAGCAGGATGCCCTTAGGCATAGGGGTTAGTGCAAGTCCAGGAGGAAGTGACAGAGCCACCAGGGCCGAAGGCAGACTCCAGAGCCAGGACAGCGGCCCAGGTACCCATACCAGATGTGGCAAGACCGCAAAGAGTATAGATGAGAACCGGCACGCTGATGTACCAGGTCTTGGCGAAGCCACGAGTCCATCGCTTGACGCCGCTGTCAAAACGGGTGGTCTGGCCGGTGACGGGGTCAAAGCCCTCGCCTTCCAGGCGAGCACCGTCTTGGATCTTGTAGGCCAGGTACATGACTCCCGAGAAGGAGTAGGTAAAGTTCAGACTGAACAGACCGCCGACGAAGTTGGTGAAGGCGCTGAACTGTGGAACGGACATGGACAGCACAAAGCCGAGGATCCAGTAGATGGGCCCGAGACCCCACCAGCAGAACTTGCCCTTCTTGGAGCTAATTGCGGGCAGGTTGAAGAGCTGCTGGCCAACCTCAAGGTAAACGGTCTTCATACCGACATTAAAGTACAGGACTAAAGGGCTATGTTAGTGAATGGATCACTTGCTGGTGGAGCGAGTCCAAGACTTACAAATGGCAAGCCAGCCGGTGAGCAAAGAGAGAACGTTTCCAACAACCTGAAGCCTTTCCGGGTACACGGACTGATTGACATTGCTGTAGCTGTACTGGCCGTAGTAGTTGTAGACCTTATGGGCGGTTAGATATAGATTCAGAGCGTCATTGGAAAATGAATCGAAAAACTTACGAAAGCACCGAAGAAGATGTAAACAACTGTAATAAAGGTCTGCGCACAAAGCAGACCCTTCCAGAAGTCCATGGGGCGGCGCATCTCAGACAAGAACGCGACAAACATGACGGCTCCAGAGTAGGCGTCTGATCAATCATCAAAGTTAGCGACGGGCATTGAAAGCTTCTCCAGAAACCAGAGCGGATGTATGATGCTACTTACAAACCATGCTGTTGATACCGTTGAACTGGGCGGCAAACAGATTTGTGTCGGTGGGCTGGTACTCAGCAGTAGGAGTGCCAACGAAAGTTTTGACGGGGGCCATGGTGGCTCGCGTACCCCAGGCCTTGTTCAAAATACCGTTCTCAACAGCGGCGGTAGGATCGGGACCATACTTGGCGGCGGCGACACAGCTACGAAGATTCCAAATTAGCGAACTGACATGCGATGCCAAGGGTTTGTCCTATACTCACATAATGATGAATGTGACGATGTTGATCCAGACTGCGAAGTTACAGAACCAGCCCAGGTGCTTCAGGGATCGCATGTAGCCACTGGCCATACTGACGACCAGGGAAATGATACCGCAGACGACGTAGCAGAGATTGGCGCTGCCACCAAGCTGAGCGATGATACCGGTGTTACCCAGGAGCACCACAGAGACACTGAGGAACATCTGCAGTGACTGCATGAAGTTGATGAAGTGACGCATGCGAGGACCATAGAGACGCAGGAAAGGATCGCCGAAGCTCAGGACGGGGTAACGTGAGGAGTCCAGACCAAGGAAGGTTCTCCAGATCATAATACCGGATGCGAAAGCAGCGAGACCCATGAGAACAAAGATGCCCACGCCGAGGCCGTAGCCAGTGTTTGCAAAGACATAGGGTGTTTGCGACCAGCCCAGAATATCCGTGGTGATCAGATAGAAAACCGCACCCCAGCCAGCGTTGCGCAGAGCACGCGCCGCCAGACGCCATTCAGCGTCGAGCTCATGAGTGCCAGCAGGTGCAATAGGGCTAACCGTGCCGTCGTCGGAAACGGCCACTGCGGTCTTCTTCTCAGACCACTGAGCGGCCTCTTCATTGCTCTGAAGCTCACGCGATTCGTGGACCTTAGCATCTTCGTACGGGTTGCTGGTGAAGAAGCCCTTGATGGTGCCCAGGATGCCACCACCGGTCACGGTCTGCTGTTGACGGCTTTCCTGATCCTCCATCTCACGCTCAATCTTGGCCCAGTAGGTAAATTCTTCGAAGGTGACAGTGGGATCGAGACGGGCCTCCAAGCCCCAGAGACGCTGGCGCACACCGGGGTGTGCGCCAGCATGGGACATTTTGCGCAGCTCATCCGGCGACGAGCCCGTCTCCCGGATTTGCTCAGTTGGGGCCGTGATGGCCAAGGGGCCGGGGAGCATAGACATGACCGCGAGACAAGGTAAACCGAAATTCTTGGGGAGTCAGGATCACAGGAAAGGGAGAGAGGGGGAGGAGGGGATGGAAAAGAAGTGAGAGCCAGTGTTATTATACTTTTCCTCCGGTTCGGACAGGCTGGGGGACGGGGGAGGAGCCGGACACCGCAGGCTTAACATCGCCCGCGCGCTAGAAGCAATCGAAAAACGCGATGAATTTGTCTTATGAGAAATAACGGTAAATGATAACAGGAAATGATGGGAAATCTCTACGTGATTGGAAGAAAGGCACCATTGATAGCTGGCGGGGACCACACATTGAGCCATTACTGGCTCGATGTGTGGTTTGGGGGCGCCAGACCGGGTTTCTCTCCTCGGCGTTTAGTGGCTATCTAGCGTCAAGCAGTGTAGAATCTCCTTGATAGCCCACTTCTCCATGCCCGGAGTCTCCTCTTGTTGGTCCGATATGTTGGGTGGCGAGACGCCTCTCTTCGCGCCCCGTTGAGTCCATCCGCACAATAGGAACAACCGCGTGAGGGGCCACGCGTGATCCAGTGCGAAAAGCCCTTGAATAAAAATTGGCCCGGGGTGAAACGTGGCGAACCACGCTTGCCATTGGCTCGGCCTTAGCGTTTTTAAGTCAAGCGGACTGGGTCCATCAGAATCATGGGACACTGGCCGGTCATTGGGAATAGTAATTACCCGTTCGCGATAAGCAGAAAAAAAAAAATGCGGCGCTCCGTGGCCGCGTGCATTCGTTAAATGGCCCCCCTCACGAATTGAAATTCAATGGCTACATTATTGGTGCATACCCAGGGATCCGAAAGGATAATTAACCGATATCCTAGCTCCGGAATCCTGCTGAATCCTACTGAACCCTGCAGGCCAAGAAGGCCAAGCCAAGCCAAAAGCTCGGCGACAGCTGGGAAGCCGAGGCTTGATCCAGATAAGCTTTGCAAACCCGAGAGCCGGGGAGTTGCGCCGTCCAGCCCGAGTCGCGTCCCCTCGCTTAGCTAGTGGCTACCGATGCAACCATGGCTGGCGTAGTGCGCCACAGTCATCGAATCGTCGCGCAGAAAAGATGCAGAATATGGGGATGGAGAGGCCCACTGACTCGCCTAACGGGAATGGTTGGCCCTCTAGCACTATAGCACCTTCCAGTATGCCCCGTGCACCGCACTCCAAATTAAACAAAACTTGCCGGATTGCGACCGTGCGAGGTTTGCAGCCAAATACCACGCTTTCGTGCGCCTGGTGCCATGCATGGGGTAACTGGGGCCAACAGCGTCCAAGAGCGTCGCTGTACTCCCCGAGCTCACATGGACTGCGATATCAACCTCTGCAGGGTGCAGGGCTGCTCACATTGCGGCGCGCAATAAGACATTCTGGGATGGTTTCCAGCATTCTCGGGAACGGTAGCCGATACCATAACCAGGGCAGCAGCGCGCATGGTGGAGCAGACCATGTGGTGGTCCATGCCCTGGGAATTACGGATCGTGCCGTTTCATTCGCCTGTGCAGAGTCGACATCTCGGACAACGCCCGGATCCCCGGCGCGGAACCGACGGTGAGATAGTACCGTGGCCTGTCACTCGCTGTGCACGGAGCGAGCCTTTATATCGACCGTCGTGCGCACTGCAACCATATCTGGGGCCGAACTTTATGGGTTCATTTATCCAATCGAGGCATTCCAGATCCACCTGGAGAGACCACGCTCCGTGACAATCCTGTTATAACCTGTGTTAGCCTATCCCTGGGGTATCTTGCGGGCTAGGAAAGGCCCGAAAAGGAGTGTCTCGCTCAATAAAGCGCTCATAATTAGCCCACACGATCAATCCAACCCGGAAATGAATGGGAGTGGTCTGAATCCAATGGAAAATGGCACACAAAACGGGCAGTTCTCCTGATTGGGGATAGCAAAGTAGAGGCCAACCCCAAATCACGTAATTTTTGGAGCATCTCCAGGTTTTGTTCTCCACGATGAACCCACCTCCACAATATCGATCGGCAATTGTACCCCATCATTGTAGAGGTCCTGTGCTATACCTGATTGCTCGAAATAGCAAGAAGAGGAGACCCAAAAAATTGAAAAGATGGAGACGGGGGGAGGGAAAGGTGGCCACAAGAACGAACTTAAAATAATAATAGTGATTGGGATTCGCTGGTTATCGCCCATTCAACCTATTGACCTGCCCTAGAGTCACCCTAATCTGAATGGATGGGCCTATCGCCTAACAAGTATTTCACACGCTGTGTGTTGGAAACCCGGGCATGTTGGACATGCTCAGTCCAGGCACAGGTGACGGTTCGCCATGTGGCCGCAATGGCCCGTGTCAGGTCTTAAAAAACACTAGCAAAGGGCCAAGTTAACTGCGTACATAACCCCACTGATTAGGATCTCATGAATACGCACTTTTTCTGGTATGGCAATGGGGTGGGTGAGCTCAGATAATCGACATTCTCGCGGTCTTGTACATGCTGATGGCTATACTATCAGCTTTGTTGTACAATCACTAACCACGCTCAGCAGGATGATGAAGATATTATTGATCAACAGCTATACATCGCCGTCATTCGAACTTTCCGGGTCCCGGCCCTCAACTTGTTCGCAAATCATATATTTCCCCTTGCGCCGACAAGCACCAGCGCAACACTCCCCATTCGATCGACAAAAGTTCGTCGCCTTCCGGCATAGACTATCATCTCTAGTCAGGTGGCACCATTTCCAGTTTCCTCCGATGCCTTTCCCGCAATACTGCGGACCAAGGCAGTCTCCGTCACTGCGACATCCATATAAGCACCATCCGGTCGGGTGGCATCGATATCCCCAATCACATTGATCGTCACGGTTGCATTTCTTGTACCACTCGTCCGAGGAAAACAACAAGGGGAGGTCTCTGCGCTCGACGAGAGAATTTTGCACAGGCATAGTTGTGGCTGTAAGTAGCGGCAGCCCGGGAATTTTAGTGTTGAGAGTAAGGTCTCGAGTTACTACCAACTTGGGATCGTGGGGCCTTGTTATTGTATGTCCGTGAGCTGGAACTGCTCCCCATTCCATAGCAAGTGAGATCCCGAGTCCACAAATGAATAAGGCGAGACATGTGCAGAGGATCAGCCATCTGGATCGCTTGATTCGTTTCGTGTTGTGATTACTCGATAACGATGGAGATTGGAGAACGCCCATCGAACTGTCATCCTGATCCGAGGAACTCAATAGCGATGCTGAGCAGATGGAATCGGGACTCTCCGGACTAGACTCTGGGGACCTGTGACTCTTAGACTATGGCTCCGGTTGAGACCAGAATTGAAGTGAAGGAAAGCATACTCGGAGCAAAGCTGAGGAACCCGTATGGACATGAAGAACCTGAGCTGATCATTTAGGCTCAAAAATGACGATTCAAAAGTCGAGTGCCGCAAGTTGTAGGTGAATGGAGGATAAAGATGAGGTGGAAGGGGAAAAAATCAGGAAAGAGCTTGGGCGGAGAGGAAGGCAGAGTGATGATAACCTCACGATGCGGCTCTATTCAGCTATCCATGGCTGACTTTTCTGTCCTGGAAAAAACAATTAGTTTCTCTTTATAACAATTTCAGCTCAGAAGAATTGGAATTTCTCCAGATTTGTCGTTGAGTTTGTTATTATTCGCCTCATTAGGCATAGTCTTTCCCGATCGTCCCAGGCGATTAACCGCCGTCATAACGGGCCCTCGGGATCTGTCCCAGAATGAACATAGGAAAGCCCTAACGCCAAGATACAGTTCCTAAGAATTGAAGCAATTAAGAGAAGTCAGAATGCGTAAGACTTGTTGATGAGTATCTCCTACTCTCAGTTATCTGCTGGATTTATTTTGTGACAATGGTGAAAGAAGATAGACTCGGTATTAGAATACGGTATATTGCGACGCTATCAGAAGATAAAATGCTAAGTTGACATTTATTATTCAAAGTTATTGAGCTCGTCATTGATCTTGCACTGCCATCGACGCCACATCTCCGGCTCGTATTTGGCCGGGCCGCTATTCCTTCCAGTTAACTGGTCTTCAGTGAACTTGAAGTTTTGCAATGGCGCCAAAATTTCGTCAAGCTTGCCAATAGTATAGTAGATAGGATCCATGCCGGGTGCCGTGTTGTGGAGCATTTGCACATTCTCATCGAGACGGTGAGTGATGTTGAAAAACTTCTGCTCCCAAACGACTTGTAGCCTTGTCGGAACTCTTGCTGGGAAAAGAGCACGCGCCTTTTCTTCGAGAAATCTCAGTGAGGATTGTAGCTCGATCACAGCCTGCTGAATCTTATGAGGCCAGATCTCTCGCCCCTTGTGGTGAGACTTGAGGCGAGTTTTAATAACTCGACATCCAGCCTGGACTTCAGCTTGCGCTTTCCACAAGTCCTCAATATGGGCTAGGCCCATTTTGGTCTGAGCAATGGCCTTGGTGTGGATAGGTGCTGTCATAATTTTGCCGTTAGAGCTGGTGTACAGAAGACCCATAACTCAAGACCAGGGACTAAGTAAGGTATTTATGCTCATTAGATACTATTGTAACCCTTAAATCTGATACTCATTTTCGGCACAAAGACTATTTTTTTGAAATCAAAGTTCATTGTTTCAAATTGTATTAATTTCCGGCAGCTTCTTTTGATCTTCTTTGTATTTCGCTAGGTATTCCATCTGTGTCCTTTGTTCACACTCGCGCAGATCCACAATCGGAACATTTATTTTATTTCAATTGGCATCATTTGCATATAGGAGGTAAAATAACGGTGCCTATAAGCTCTGGCATATGTAACCCCTTATTATGAATGCAGAACCGATAGGACTGGTAGTTTCACGATGTCCTATATCAATATCATTGTTTAAAGGAGCAAAGTAAGATGAAGAAGTCTTAGAGTGAATCACAATATGCGAAACCGAGTACAGTAACTGAATAATGGCCCTAGTCCGAGAATGTAGTTGTACTGCCAAGGTTGTTTGGCGTCTTTATCACTCATCGGTCATCCTACGTAAAATTGCTGATATCAATTCCACCTCAATACTCTCGTTCACGCAGGTTGTTTACGGGCAGGAGGTAGTGATTCACAACCCAGAATGATGTAGTGGCGGATTTGAAGATACGTTGACGCTGTGCTGTAGAAGGGTTCTATGTGCCACAGATTCAAGCAAAGCTTGCTGTGGAGAGCTTTTGCTCATTAGGACGGTATTTTGCAAATAAGGGTTGAAGTTATGATCAAAATAGTCCATTTGAAAAGAAAAATTACAGACTAGGTATATCATTACTTAAAATTCGCACACTGAGCTTGAGGTCTAAAAACAATGCAGAATATGGAAGGACTAGACTAATATCTCAACCAGGGTAGAGGATAGCCAGGGTAGAACATAAAGCTGCTAAGGTAGAAAAAATGGATGACACTCTCGGAAAAGAAGTTAAAAAAGCTTTGTCTCTTTTCAAATCACTGGAGGAAACCAGAGAGTGTCTGTGGCTAGGTGGGGAAAGGTGTTTGTATGCAGATTTGGCTGGCTAGAAGCCTACCACAACGAAATTTGTTAAGCAGGAAGAGATTTATGATGTGAATTGTTTTCCATATGTGGTAAATTAATTGGATCGAATGATGCAAAACCACGGCCAGGGAGGTTATCGAAGAGGGAAAAGAGCATTTCGGAAAGATTTGTTTTAATCTTCTGGGAATGAGTAGTTGAGTTTCAATCCCGTACCGGACTTTCATGTTGTGTGGGCTCATATTCGGTTCATGCAGGTAACTTGCAAAGAAAGCCTTTGCTACGAAATCACAGCTGAAGGAATTAATGAAATATCCCCTCGAATTTTTGCAGTGATAAAATCGATGGCTCCAGGCGTTTCAGCCCATGCGTCGTAGGTATTGTGCAGGGAGAGCTTCATCTCTTCCACGCTCCCTTTGAGGCCCCCTCCGGGCGGTTTTTCAGGTGATCTTGTGGGCTTTGCAAAGCTAACCAGAAATGCTTATTGTGTTCATTGACGCTGTCATACATCATGTTGATCTGCACCTTCAAAATTTCGATAGATTCCAAGCGGCATTTGCCCTCTCCGGCCATTAATTGGGTATTCCCGTGAATAAGTGGACTCTGGGGACTAGCTGTCTGGATCATATTAAAGAGTTTCCGAGGAAACCTTGGCCCAAGACCGGAGGTAGACCTCTCAAGTTTCAGGAGGTCGAGAAGTAACTTGATCTTCAAAAGAGTCAAGCAGACGATATGACTGAGCTGAGAAGATTTGCTTTGGTCACCATCCACCGACTCAAACACGTCTGCATCTTTGATATCCAGATAAGGCAGATCTGTATTACCCATGTCATATTGAGTATTTGTTTGAATAGCCGACCACCATTTAATGAAATCATAACACTGTTGGTCCTTATTGAGACGCAACATCAAGGCAGGAACATGCGCTCGTACACCTAGGTTGTCAGCCCGGCATAGGCGTAGCATATCCATCAAATGGTCAAGATGAGTCTGAGTTGATTCAACGTTGTGGATTCGAGTCATGGCATCTGCAAGTGAGTAACGAGCCCACATATAGTCACGGGTTTCCAAGATCCCCCAGAAGTGGCCCACGGAATTAGTGAAGGGGTAGGGCTTCATCAATTCATGACCGCGATGCATCCTCAATAGTTGCTCCTCATTTTCCATGGCACTTCGAGCTTTTCTGATTGCAGTGCAATCGGATTTGTGCAATTGACGGTGATGGGATTGGTGACCGCGACCACAATACGGCATGACTTTGCACCCTGAGCAGCGAAGTAGATCTCTCTGTTTCCCACAAACACCGCATCCTGACGGTAAAATAGTGAAAGACATTATTGAAACCTAAATGAATTAGAGACAGATCCAAGTAAGTCCCAATGCAGCAGTCTGACAACACTGGGCTATTTTAATGGATAGTGACAAGCAAACGACAAAGATAATTGCCGGTGAATAAAAGGTTGAGAGTCAAGATCTCTTTGTAATTGTAATGGAAGACAGAAAAGAAGTACTCAATGGTGAGGAGTGCTGAGAAGGTGGGAAAAGCACTGAACACGAGATATCTTCAGACTGTGCGTCACATGACTAATAACTCAAGATCACCTCCAGAACTGATCAGGACTAGCTCAATCTCCACACATTGTTTTCCGGGTAAAAACATAACATGTCTACCGGCTACAGCATTCCCGACTGAGCTAAGTTACTTTCATAAGGTTGGGTAGATTCAGACCCACTGGGTAATAATATACCGGGCTCAAATCATCGTCCCTTGGCTTGACATACTTCAAATAAGCCGTTCAAGTATGTAGAACCCATTGACTGAAGTGAAGTCGGAAACAGTGAAATTGATACTCATAGGCTGTTGCCTCCATCCACATGCTCAGGATATCAATATCTTCCGTGCAGTCCTCCTGCTATGATCGGCGCTATAAAAAATACTAGTGACTTTCTTGTGGGCATCTAGGCACGCACGATCGAAAGCCTGGAGACTGAGTCTCTTGCCTCCAGTGGGTGGATGCTGAAAATACACGAACAAAATTTTGGGTCCAAGGAAACTGATATTCTTAGTTTGCTGGAGAATCTCACTTGTGAGTGGGTTTCAATTGTATATCCCTGTGAATTTGAGATATATGGACTTGTCTCTCCATCTCCCCACCCATTTGGCTACCAGATGTAAAACGGCTCTTATAATGATGAGAGCTTCCTCCTGCAAAGCTGAGAACACATGAACCATACCGCTCTGCTTATTTTTTTAATCTTTGTGGGACAAAAGTCAGAAATAACTGATGCCATCAATATTCTAGATCAAAGAAAATCAGAGACATGAATTCTTATGCAAACCTTCCAACCTTCCGACTCCTAAAGCCTAGCCTAAATTATATGGTCATTTAAGCTCCAGAGGCGAGAAAACAATATATTTATCACAAACTGTGAGCTTCACTGAGTCACGAACTCCGATTTTGAAGAAATATCTTATCGCTTGCATTCCAAGCGTCGAATTCTTGAGTGGGTTTTCTTTGGGTGCATGATGATAAGACTTGGTAAGAAGACCGTTTGTCATTGAGAAGATGGACACTGTGTTGCATTGGTGGCAAACCCTGTCCGACATGGAGACTGATTTGATATGACACCCATTTTTAAAGGAAAGTTCTACATATACAGACATTCTTGCAATACACCTCATCCATCACCCATTCCTCGGACAGATTTATTTAATGAGCAACATAATGCTGTAGTATGGACTGGTACAATATGCATACAATACTTACATTCATTTACCCCAGTTTATTAATGTCACCTGTCAAGTGAAATTCATGTAGTCATAACGACAGGTATGGCAATGTCTTCTTGGCCGATGGGTTGTCATCGATAAATTCGATTTCCAATGGCACACTTGACCCGGAGTGCAGGGCCGTAGGGCCGAGATCCCGGCAAGCGCTCGTGTTAACAGCCTCGCATAACACAATACGAGGCCAGCTATGAGTCAAGATCCAAAAAGCCATATAATTATTCCTTAGATCGTTCTTTTACAAAAAATAATAACGAGTTACCTGTCAACCCCGAACAAAATAGCTTACTCTTGGAGTTTGGTAATCTGTTCCTCTTGATATATTCATACTCATTATTTGGCAGGCTACTCCCAAATTATCATCACCGACTGTTGACTTCCACGGGACATTAAAATATCCTTCCCGCCCAAATGATTCCCAAAACTGAGAAAGACAACAAAGCCATCGAAAAAGCGAGGAATATCCAAGATATTTGTTGGGGCGAAGAATATGAGCGTATGGTCTCCGGAATGTTGTAAGGTCAATCCTCGGTTTGCCTTTGAAGAGTATTGGAGATGACGATTGCAGATACAATCCTCTAGGGCCCGAGCTCATAGAGGCCAGGTCAAGAGCAAGATATTTAACAGGGGAATTCAATGCTCATATCAATGCTACGATTTCGATGAGTGACATAATTTCGCGTCGTGGAGAGATCCTCGACAAGCTTCTCGGCCAGGCAGGACCAGATATCTATATTGAGCCTCCACTCTTCGTCGATTACGGATGTAATATCACCACAGGCCGTAATTTTTATGCCAATTTCCAGTGAGTTATTACCTTCCCACCTAGTTCAACAACTAATGATCTAACTCCAGTCTCACAATTCTTGATTGTGGACTTGTGTCAATTGGGGATAATGTGGAAGTCGGACCGAATGTTAGCATCATCACTGGTGAACATTACACGCAGATCCAAGCCCGAAGAGAATATAGGGGCCGGGAATTTACAAGAAGTATTACTATCGGGAACGATTGCTGGATTGGCGCCGGTGCCATAATTTTGTCGGGTGTCACAATTGGGGACGGCTGCTCAATTGGTGCGGGAGCAGTGGTCAGGACCGACATTCCGCCCTACAGCGTGGCTGTGGGAGTTCCCGCCCGAGTAATTCGTTCTGCAGAATAGGATATATAGGGGAGGCGTTCACTGATGATTCCACTGGGACCCCAGCCATATCTATCTGATTTCCGTACCACTATAGTCAGCTTTGGAGCCCATTTTTCCAATCCAGAAATTGTTCCTTATTAATGACCGGGCACCTCCAAGATGCCTGCATCTTTTGGTGCCATCCATGATTTTTCTCTCCTGGAGCGGTTAGCCGCATAATGCAACTCGTCGTACTGATTGGCTAGTTGTAAATATTAAAATAAGCTCCATATCAGCACAGGCCTCACGCTCTTCCTTTTCGCAATGACGCGGCGGGACTCGGGTTTGGTCTGCCAAGAGTCTCGTGCGCTGAGATTATCAGATTGATAACCGAATACTGTTTACACTAGTGAAAAAGGGACTAAGAGCCCGGGACACCGTCTCCACTTCTTCAACATTTTTCGTTGCCCTGGGAAGAATTTGGACAGCCGGGACTCGTCAATTAGGATTAAATTCGCTAGCGGTAGCCTGAATTGTTCTTGATTCGCATCAATTGCCCCTCTTTAGTTTCTCACCAGTTTCATGCGGCCACTGATAAAAGTGAGATGGTAGCTGGACCCACCACACCATGAGCGTCATGGTATCGATCAGCCGTGCCTTTTTAGCCCCCCGGTGGAGCCCTTGTACATTAGTGAGGCAGGAAAAGTTTGATCTCATTTCGGCCTAACAAATGATTGTGCGCGGCCAGAGCGGCCCAGGGCCTCTTCTACATGGGCTAGTTTGTTTCCGACCCATCGTCCGACTTCGGCCCTTAGCATTATTTCGGCAAAGATCACCCTGTCATTCTCCTACCTTATTCAAAAACGGCTGCGTAGCCCCAGCATCTCCTTTGGCGTCTGTCATGGCAAGCAGCCATGGGTGTCCGTCCCTTGATCCGAAGAACCCGTACGGTCTTCCGCCACATGGTGGCCAGGGAGTCCGAGCAGGCCGACAATGACTTTATTGAGCAGAACGCAAAACAAAATGTGAATATCCAAAGAGGTTCGGATACGAACAATGACTGCCTCTCAAGGCATAGTGGCTCGGAGTCTTATGAGATGCCCGATGCAAATGCTCAACATGGAGTTCAAGACGTCGAGGCCGTCACAACTACTTGGTCGAGGCGCACGTTGGTCGCAGTTTTCATCAAGTATGTTTACTTTGTCCTTTTGATTCAATCTACTAATTAATTCAATAAATCCCCCCCCCACTAATACTTATGTGCGCTTTTAACAGCATCTGGTTCTTGTATTTTGTGAATGCATTCCAAGCCACGGTAACCTCCAGCCTCAACCCCTATGTGACCAGTTCCTTCAAGGCACACTCACTCTCCGCGGTGCCTACTGCATTGGGGGATGCCTTTGCCGCTGCAACTTACCTTCCAATGGCCAAGATGATGGATGTGTGGGGTCGTGCGGAGGGGTTCCTTTTCATGGTGATCTGCCTGACCATAGGGTTAGTTCTCATGGCTTCCTGCGACAGCTTCGAGGTTTACTGCGCTGCGAATGTGAGTTCAAGCTTGTCAGATAATTTCACGATACATGGTTGGACCACTGCTTATACTGATGACAACTAGATTTTCTATTATTCGGGCTTCTATGGCATGGAATACGCAATCGACGTTGTGACCGCAGATGCCTCGACCTTGAAAAATCGTGCCTTCGCGTATGCACTCACCTCATCTCCATATATCATCACAGCCTTTGCTGGACCGAAGGTAGCGAACGAGTTCTATTATCAAGTTACTTGGCGGTGGGGCTTTGGTACTTGGGCGATTATGACACCTTTGGCGGCTATCCCATTATACACTATGCTCAAGTATAATTTATACAAGGCAGAAAAAGAAGGCCACCGGATCAAAAGACCCAGCGGTCGCACAGTCCTGGAAAGCATTTGGTACTGGACTGTTCAGGTTGATTGTGAGTACTTCGCATTAACTTACGACTCCGTGCTGTGTATAAAAGAACCTAACCTGGTAATTAGTGTTTGGGGTGTTCGTGTTCACTGCTGGTCTGGTGTTATTCGAGCTTCCTTTCGACATTGCTGACTACGCACCTCAAGGCTGGGCTTCCGCTTATATCATCGCCATGCTTGTTCTGGGTTTCTCTATGCTCTTCGTCTTTGCTTTCTGGGAACGATGGCTAGCTCCCGTGCCGCTCTTTGACTGGCGCCTACTAACCCATCGTACTATTATTGGTGCGGTTCTCTTGGACGCAACTTATCAGCTCTCAAATTATTGCTGGAGCTACTATTTCACATCCTGGCTACAAGTAAACAATGACCTGACCATTACTACCGCGAATTATATCAGCAACATCTTTGACATGGTCTCTGGGGTACTCCTGCTACTTGTTGGTTGGATTATCCGAAGAGTTGGCCGGTACAAATGGACCCTCTATATTGCCGTCCCACTCTATATCTTCACTCAGGGGTTAATGATCCACTTCCGACAGCCTAACATGAATGTTGGCTATCAGGTGATGTGTCAGATTTTCCTTGCTATCGGCGGCTCTATCTTCATCCTTATTGAACAGCTCTCTATCCTGGCTGCTGTTGATCATCAACATGTTGCCACTGCTTTAGCCTTATTGAACGTCGCTGGCACCATTGGTGACAGTGCTGGTCTCACAATCAGCACTGTCATTTGGCAAAACACGTATATAAAGGCTCTTCTACGGTATCTTCCAGAATCAGCCATGTCAAACCTGGACAATATTTACGAGGATCTGGTTACACAGTGTTCATATCCTATAGGAAGTGCAACTAGACTTGCTATTCAAAAGGCGTACGCCTATGCAGAGCTGAGGTTACTTGCAGTAGGATGTGGCATCATGGTTTTGGCAATTCCATGGACCATCCTCATCAAAGATGTTGATCTGAAGAGGAAACGGCAGGTGAAAGGAACGGTTTTCTAAGGCTCCATGGTTATCTAGAATACTTTTTGAATGGCGAAATATCATTTCTGTTCGTCAAGAACTTATTCACAATGTCCTGATATCTACATAGAATGTACTTTGCATGGGTACCGTTTACCATGCAGTTTGCAAAAAAAGAAAAACAAGCACTTGTGCTGGAATTGGCCAAGGCAAAGGTCTAAATCCGAGATCGGACATGATTCGGTTCGCTCAAACGCCGCAGTAAGCGCGTAGGGCCAGATTGCTCGTGTGAGCTCGAGTGGGGTCCCCGGGTGGGTTCGGTAACAGGGTGGTCTTAGAATCAACCAGAGCACAGAACACCCCACTACCCACACGAATGATGCGTCATTTTCACATTCGGCTGTGCGCAGCTCTGTTGTGAAAAGCCCAATGTATCCGCGAGTCTATCTCTGATCCGCTCTTCCTCTGATTGTTGCGACTCGCACGATGTATGATACTACGAAGGCGGGCAACGACCATCCGAGCGGATGAAGATCTGGGGGTGTTGGCTGTTACCAGGCGATATCAACTTGGGCAGCTCTCGTGTCATTATGAATCACCATACTCCAAGTCAGCGGATAGAGTCTGGCTGTCAAAATGTTGAGATTCAGAAATACATTCTCTATGAGGATGACAGCAGGGAAGTTGTCAGAGCAGCATCATTAGTGGCCTTGGTGGAAAATCTCACGCGCCATGACAAGCTTGACGCTTCTTTTAATCGAATATTCCTCATTACATATAGATATTTCACATCAGGAACAGAGCTCATCAATCTTCTCATTAGTCGATTTGAATACGAGCCGGCTATCACATTGAATTCGGCTCAAGCTTCAGTCGAAGGAGAAGTTTCAAAGAGAATAGTTCCCTTAATTCAGCTACGGGTAATCAACATCCTGAAGCAATGGCTTGAAAACTTTTGGCTTGAGCCTGAAGGCTCTGATACCAATCAAAATTTATCAAAGCTAAGAGATTTCGCTTATCGAGCCATGGCAGAGAACGAGATAACTGCCGCACAACACCTTCTCTCAATAATTCAAAGCCGCCTTACAGGTCGATATTCTGTCAAGACACCTCCAATATACACATCAAAAGCACCAAAGCCGATTCTGCCCCGAAAGCTGAACAAACTTCAATTCCTCAAGATTGATGCTAAAGAAATCGCTCGGCAGCTCACACTCATGGAGGCGAATCTATTTAGCAAGATACAGGCAGACGAGCTTTTAAAGAAGGGCCGACAAAAGAGCGACTCTTCCAATACGCCTGAACCTGCAGCAAACATCAAAGCTTCGATTCGTTTTTTCAATCAACTCTCCAACTGGGTCGGTACTTTGATATTAGCGGAATCAGACTTGAAGAAGCGGGCACATGTAATCGGGCATATTGTTGATGTGGCAAATGTATGAAAAACCTGCACTCCAGTCCACTGTTCGAGGTCATGCCAAGTCTGACGCAACACAGGCCTGTCTTAATCTCCAAAACTATTCTGCAGTCATATCTATTCTATCCAGTTTTGAGAGTGCACCAATCTATCGGCTTGTTCGCACATGGGCAATGGTAACTGAGCGGACTTGCAACGTGCTGAAACCAATGCAAATGACCACTTCCAGTGCGCAAAACTACCATGCATATCGCGAAACGTTGCGAGTTGCAGTGCCGCCATGCATTCCATTTCTCGGTTAGACCTTTCCTCAAACAATTCCCCTGTAAAAGCTAATTCTGTATGAACAGGTCTTTTCTTGAAAGATTTGACATTTACTCGAGATGGTAACCCTTCTCTCACGCCAGAAGGGCTTATCAATTTTTCCAAGTGCACTCTGCTCGCTTCTACCATTCAAGAATTTCAGCGTTTTCGAGAAGCCTCTTATTCTTTACAGCCCGTACCTGAATTGCAGGAGTTCCTTGCAACTCAATTACAGTCCGCTTCCGAACTACACGATATGTGGGATAGAAGTTGCGAATTGGAGTCTCGAGGCCGAGAGGATAATAGGCGGCGAGATCTTTATACCCCCACGGGTGGAATGACAACTGCAATGGTGATTGCCTGCATGGTTTTGGACGACTAATGAATCAATTTTTGAATGATATTCTTGCTTCACCTAATTAGCGAAATGTAGCACGACTACTGTGCAATCCTCAAACTGATTATTGATAGATAGAGCGAATATATAGTGAACTGAGGCAAGGCTCCACCTTTCTGCGAACCAGATCCAGCATCTGAGAATAGTGGGAGTACTTGGGAGGATACATAGGAATATACAGAAGAGAGGGTACTTGATTGTTTGCTCTCTGAGAGCGGGGTAGTCTTATACATCAGCCCTGAATCATCCTGCAGACCGCCATTTTCCCACAACAATATGTAGATGAGAGAAGACTAAAAGACAAGCTGTTTAATCTACAATCCAGCTCTCTCTCTATCTTAGAGATGTCTATTAGTGATGTGGTCTGAAGAACTTCCTCTATTTCGGTGAAGGGAAGGGCCCCAAACATCACCGATAGTGAGAAAATTGCCGCCCAAACCCATCACCACATGAGGGCAGCAAGCCACCCCCAACCAACTCCTTGGCACAGGGGGCCAGAACGATAGAAAGTATCTGATGTGAGTTTGTCAAAATTCCTTTGAGTGAAGCCAAGGGTGGCTTTACCCCCTTTAATTAACAGGATCAGGATGGTGATTGCTGTCGCGCTCGATCTCTGTCACCATGCGCGAGGCGTTCTTGGCAGACGTTTCAAATTCGATCCCTTCGGCGCTTGATGCATTCCTTCACTCTCTTTTCTCTCCGGGATGGACTACAGCTTGTTTCCTATTGGTTCTCGGTCTAAATTTCTTGTGAGGTCATCCTAAAAAACCCCCGGACAATGTGAACCATCTTGCAGGGTCTTCTGTTTCGTGACACGACGATGCCTTATGACTGGTATGAACTTCAGATGGACCCTGAAAATTTGGACCCTTGAACTTTGTACTATAAAAACCAACAGCTCCCGGGATGATCTCTGGCTTCGGAATAATAGTATAGTCATTCCCTTCAAGGGCTCACTTGTCGCTCCTTTTCCCTAAACTTGGCTGGCTCCAGTTGCTCTTCAATTCTAAGTCCTTCATTTATTCTTTTCTCAATCCTGCACGAAGTGCATTTTTTTTCCAGTTTTTTCAAAATGTTGTTTTGTCTGAGTTACAACTGGAACACTTGGCTAGTCAAGGGAAACCTCTTGGTGGCCTGTATTCTGACCTTGCTTATTATGGCGAGCGGCACGAACGCTCGGCCTAATCCACACATGCACCGCATCGATGCACGAAATCACTTGAGGTCCATCCGCAGTTCCCGAAACACCAGTAATGGCATCTGGCAACCGAAGGTTGGAGCTAAGTGGCAGATCCAGCTGGTCAATCCCGTCCAAGACATTTCAATGGGCGCAGATATCTTTGATATCGATCTATTCGACAACACGGCGGCCACCATTTCCAAAATCCACAAGACCGGCGCTAAAGCCATTTGCTACTTCTCGGCCGGAAGTTATGAGGATTGGCGCCCTGACGCCAGCAAGTTTTTGGAGTCAGATATGGGCGATGAGCTGGATGGTTGGCCGGGCGAGCGATGGCTGAATGTAAAATCGGCTAACGTCCGCACGATCATGAAGTCCCGCCTTGATCTTGCAGTTAAAAAGGGCTGTGATGGTGTCGACCCCGACAATATTGATGCTTACGGGAACGACAGCGGTCTCGACCTGACCAAAGCCAATTCGATTGATTACGTGAACTTTCTGGCTTCTGAGGCGCACTCTCGTGGGCTGTCAATTGGGCTCAAGAATGGGGGTGAAATCATTCCGGATGTCATTGGGAAAATGCAATGGTCTGTGAATGAGCAATGTGCCCAGTATGACGAGTGCGACGTCTATGCTGCCTTCACAGAGGCCAACAAGCCTGTCTTTCATATCGAGTATTCAGGCGAGATTGATTCTAAACGTCGGCTCATGGCCCGTGTGACCAACTCAGAGAAGTCCACGGCTTGTAACGCTCCCAACTCCGAGAATTTCTCGACTGTGATCAAGAACATGGACCTCGATGCCTGGGTTGAGTATTGTTAGTTTGTGAGGGCGCAAATGGATATGTGCTTATTTCGTGTCCCATTTGAATAGTTTGATAGCAATGCGGCGGCTCAGCGGAGTCTGGTTTGGTTTCAACCATAAAAATGCCTTATTTCGTAGTTGAAGATCTTTGCCCGTAGTTGTCAATTAGCCTTATAGTTCTTTCGCTCGCGGCCCGATCGACGTCACGGGGGTGCGGAGAAGATCCGCGTTCCTCGCGAAAACCTCCGTGTTGCTTCACGACTGAACATTTTACCCCTCGACGACCTTATTACTACGTCGGCAGCCTGCACGTATCTGACTCGGTCTCTATTTCCAAATGTCTGGGCACCATCATCACCATGGTGATGGCGGCCACTGCCATGATGAGCATGATCACTCGAACGACATCACTCCGGCCATTCAGTCGCTGCTCTACTCACAAATTGACTTCGATTCGATCACTACTCTAAATGGTATTGCCTGCACTCATGTAATTGGACAATCGTGATATGAAAATTCTTCTAACTTCTGGATCTAGAGGCTACTCCCAAGGGTGGTGCGGCCATTGTCAGAAAGACGTGGGCCGAACGACTGAACGACCAGCCCGAACTCGAGAGCGACGCGGATGAGCAGCTACTCATGTACATCCCGTAAGTCACATAGGTCACTCGTTTTGAGGGATCATCCCACTCTCCCTTGCGTGATCGGTTACCATGCACTGGGCTCTTGCTATAGTGGCATTGTCAAGCCCTGCTATACTCCCCTTCATCTTATCGCGAACAGGTTAAATGAAAACACTAGCTGACGTCAAACTACAACAGATTCACTGGCCAAGTTAAACTTCATGCGCTTTTATTCTACACTGCACCTACTTCCTCCGCCCCGAAAACCCTCAAGCTGTTCAAGAACCGTGACGACATCGATTTCTCAACTGCCTCCGAGCTTTCCCCTACCCAGACTATTGAAGTCCCACAGCCCGTAGTCGGAGCTGATGTCTTCGAGCTGCCGCTAAACCGGGCCCATTGGAATGCCACTACCTCAATAACCATCTTTGTGGAGGATAACTGGAGCGACGGGGAAGAGGATGTAACGAAAGTGGGCTATATCGGATTCAAGGGTCAGTTCATGGCGCTGAATCGGGAGCCGATTAGCTTTTTGTACGAAGCTGCTGCCAATCCGCAAGATCACGTCGCTATCCCTGGTGTCAGTGGCGTTGGAAGCCGCACCACATCGGGCCAATGATACGTGGCTCTAACTGTCTTGATCGAGAGGATGAAGCCGAGGGGGAGACGGTTAAGAGGAAGATTCTCAAGGGAATTATGACAGACAAGCAATGTATTAATGATCGCCACATCATGTCAACGATCAGAATTATGAATTATGAGCCGAACACCGCACAGAATAAAAAGAGAATGGGAAGCAAGAGAACAAAACAGAAAACAGAAAGCCGACCAACGCCACTCCAATGCTTGTGATCATATAGTAGATCATATAATGCAAGCGATCAATCCTGTCTAAAGAATGCATATTGCAACGATCGGGATATCATGCGGCCAAAACGGGGGTACGAGCCTTGGCCTTGGCCTTGGTTGGTTCCTGGGCTTCCTCCTCTTCTATCACCTCCTCGGTTTCCTGAATAGGGCCCGATGGAATATCCGGTAGAACGACTGGTCCTTCAACCTCGCGCCGCAAAGCTTCCAGCTCGTCCTCGACATCTTCCTCGTCTTGATTCGACAGATGACCCTCCAGCATCTGGCTCACCTCCTAAAAGCCACCGTCAGTAACCATATTCTCCTATAGACCGACCAAATCAGGCATACCTCTTGGTAGGCGCGTGCTTCTTCATTTTCTTCTAGCATTCGCTCCACACCGTCGATCCCGCCCATCTCCTTATGAATCGCCTGCAGCACCTGTGTACCCTGCTGTAGCCCATATAGTACATCCTTCTGTACAAGCGCAAACTCCACTTGGCCCGTCAGCTGCTCCAACTGTGCCAGTTGGCTGTCCGTCTTGGACAAGAGCGATTCTTGATATTTCTTGCGCCGGAGAGCAAGCAGAGCTCGCCGGCGATCATTGCGCGCCAGGCATTCCTTCGCGATTGCGGTCTCGCGGTCGGTGAGGACAGTTATACGTTTTTGGTATTGGTAGATCTTATCACGCTGGTTCTTGAGGTCAAGGATCGCCCTGTAGAAGAGAAGATGAATCGTCCTTAAGATTAGCAAGCCAGATTATTCTCGTGCCAACATGGGGGTCAGGAGGGGTCTCGTGAGGGGAAACGCTGAGAGCATATAGTTCCGCTATGGAAGGAGACAGGATTGAGAAGTCTCTTCCGAGTAGAGCAGTCATCAATAGCGAGCGGCACTCACCGATCCTGAGCCGAAATCTTCTGTGAACTGCCGGAGTTTCCCATCGCGCATTGTCGTGTTGATCAGGTCCAGATCAGAGTGTCCGCGGTCCACGGCAGATGACGTGGGTCGGCAACTCCGCGACCGCCCAGCGTTTCTGGCGGGCGCTTTTCTTCCGCTTCCCCGAATTTTTCTGACCTTGCGAGATCGCACAGTTCAGACCACCATGCCGGCTAGAAATCGTGGGGGTCGACCGACGCTCAGCCAGGGCCTGGACCGCGAGGTAAATCGACTTCTTTGATTTACAATTCTAATCGTATTAAATGCCCGTCTTAACGCCCTGTGCAGGTCTACCAGGTAGTGCGCAAAATTATTGACGACCAACCAGAGGGTGTGGACCGACTCCGACTGACCACCCCAACGATCTATGAGAAGATCAAGAAATCCAACTCCTCCCTAAACCGAAAACCGAAGAAGCTTTTGGAGGATAGCTTGGAGCGGGTTCTGGAGGTCGTCAGGAACGATCTATTTGGTGATGAGGAAGATTCAGTAGAGGGAGACTTCGAAGGCTTAGAAGAGCCCCCAGCAACGGTATGCAGTCTGCAGACTCCATGTGCCCCACGTACCCCTATGTTGACTCTTTGCTTCGGTTCTAGGAACCCAATGGCGTGAATCAGAGCATTGTTGGCATGTGGGCGACAACCAAAGCGACTCCTTCCAAAAAGACCGGCGAGTCGACCACCTCCGGCACCTCTTCTAAGAGAAGACAGCATGGTGGTGAATCCGCGTCCAAACGTCGAAAGGGCGAAGCAATTGACCGATCTCCGCCTACACATGTCAGTCTGGCCGATTTGGGCGGTCTGGACGAAGTTGTTCAAGAATTGGGCGACATGGTCATCCTTCCCATGACTCGGCCACAGGTCTACCTGTCGTCGAATGTACAACCCCCGCGAGGTGTTTTGCTGCACGGTCCCCCGGGTTGTGGTAAGACCATGATCGCCAACGCTTTTGCAGCGGAGCTTGGTGTGCCTTTCATCTCGATCTCCGCGCCTTCCATCGTCTCCGGCATGTCTGGCGAATCAGAGAAGGCTCTCCGCGAACACTTTGAGGAGGCCAAGCGGATTGCTCCCTGCTTGATCTTTATTGACGAGATTGATGCGATCACCCCGAAGCGAGAAAGTGCGCAAAGGGAAATGGAGAAGCGAATTGTCGCCCAGCTGCTCACATGTATGGATGAGATTGCGCTGGATAAGACAGATGGAAAGCCTGTCATTGTCCTCGCTGCTACCAACCGTCCGGACAGTCTGGATGCAGCATTGCGTCGCGGCGGGCGCTTCGACAAAGAGATCAATATGACTGTACCTTCGGAGCCTGTCAGAGAACAGATTCTGCGCGCTCTCACACGCAAGCTGCGCCTGGCAGACGACCTCGATTTCAAAACACTGGCTAAGAGGACCCCTGGTTTCGTTGGAGCTGATCTTAATGATCTTGTTTCAACTGCTGGCTCGGCCGCTATCAAGCGCTATCTCGACATTCTGAAGTCCAATAGCGGCGAGGAGATGGAAATTGAAGAAGTGGACGAGCTCAGCCCCAAGGTCCGTGAACTACGCCGTCTTATTTCTCACGCCAAAGAGACTCCCATTGGACAAGAGACGGAGACAGTCCTTGTATCGAACGCGGACTTCTTTACCGCTCTCCCCAAGATCCAGCCGTCTTCCAAGCGTGAAGGCTTCGCAACCATTCCCGATACCACCTGGTCTGACATCGGCGCCCTTGGTGGTATCCGCGATGAGCTTTCCACGGCCATTGTGGAACCGATCAAGAACCCTGACATCTATGCGCAGGTCGGTATCACCGCGCCAACGGGTGTTCTTCTTTGGGGACCGCCGGGTTGCGGTAAGACACTGTTGGCCAAGGCCGTGGCCAACGAGTCGCGCGCCAACTTCATCAGTGTCAAGGGCCCGGAACTGCTCAACAAATTTGTCGGTGAATCTGAGCGTGCAGTCCGCCAGGTCTTCGTGCGCGCTCGCTCATCCATTCCCTGTGTCATCTTTTTCGACGAACTGGACGCCCTCGTGCCCCGCCGTGACGACACCCTCTCGGAGGCGTCTGCACGAGTAGTCAACACGCTTCTGACCGAACTGGACGGATTAGGAAGCAGCCGACAAGGTATCTATGTGATCGCTGCGACCAATAGACCCGACATCATCGACCCGGCCATGCTGCGCCCCGGCCGTCTCGAGACCCTCCTTTTCGTCAACCTGCCCTCCCCACTCGAGCGCGTGGAGATCCTCCAGACTCTGGTGCGCAAGCTGCCCATCGAGTTCAACGAGGACATGCGCAGGCTCGCCGAGGAGTGTGAAGGCTACAGTGGTGCCGATCTGGGCAGCCTGCTCCGCCGTGCGGGTTACTCGGCCATCAAGCGACGCGACGCGATCAAACTAGAGGACTTTGTTGCGGCCAAGGCGTTCGTTCGGCCCAGTGTCACTGACATGAAGAAGTATGAGAAGCTCCGGCGAGACTGGAGTGGTGGTGTGATCTGATACCCGTGCCGGAGGCCTTGACTTGTATCAATCACAGAAGTCTTGTTTCTGCTTATTTGGGGCCCTTGTGTTCGTTGTGTGAACATAGATATACCCTTGGAGTTTGCCCGTCTATATACACTGGTTCGTTAGACTTAAAATCATTCGAAACTTTTTACATGCACATAGATATTATATTCGGCTTCCCTCTCCTGGTGTCACCTACTAGAGATTGTATGCAAGTACAGTTCATACCCAAAAAGGCTGTGCGGGAAGAGACGGTGAACGCTAAAAATCCAATATTATGTTTTCCAACCGAAAGCTGGTTTAGACCCGCTAAACACAAAATGGGCCTCATCAAATATCAACCCGCCTATACATTTTCAAACGCCGAGCAGCACAAAAGCCGCTATTCCCACCCAGCCAGCCACCAAAGCCATGGTGAAGAAGCTCGCGCCGGCTTTATCTCCCGCGGTGATCGGTTTTGGCCCGGCATTTTGGTTTGTATCTTCCTGGCCCGCGTTGGGATTGCTCGTGCTGTTTCCTCCGGTTTTGGAGGTCACTGGTCCCGCTGCTGTGTTGTTGACAAAGTTGATTAGGTTGGCGCTGAAAATCTGGCTCACGCTGATCTGCTCCTCCATGCCGGTCCATCCGTCCCATTCAGACTTGTACCACTGGACTCCGCAGGTGTTGTTGTTGTTACCGGTACACGACTTGGCCGCGGCCTCGGCGGAGGATTGGAGCTTCGGGAGAATGGTGTCATACGTAGATGGGACCAAAAGAGCTGTGTAGGAGAGCCATGTCGAGACGAGGCCTTTGAACAGGATCTCATTGTTGTTGCAGATCTCGCGGGGCTCGCAGGTCACGTCCTCCATCACATATCCCGTGGATTTGAGGAAGAAAGTGTTGAACGTCGAGTTCAGAAGACCATTCACAGCAGCCAGCCATACCGAATCCTGAGTCTGAGGAGAAAGATCATCGTTAGTACAGTTGCTTGACCGTGGAGAACCCCATATAGGCTGGGACAGGGGGCACAAGGCAGTGCGGAGATCAGGGACTTACGTGGTTGTACATGTAGGCGGCACCCATTAAATAGGCACCATAGTTGTACGACCAGGGAATCGCAGCTCCCGTTTTGCAATCTTCCGTGCCCTCGGTGGAATCATTCACCTGCCACGTCTCGTTGTTCAACAAGGGCACGGAGATCGACCAGTCCCAGGTCCGCTGGGCCCATTCCGAATATGTTTTATTACCAGTATATCGGGCCAGCCGCGCAGCAAGCTGGAAGAACCCGCCATTCGAGATCGCATTCTTCATGGTATATCCGGCTCCTTGGTAAGAATAGATCTGCCAGCGGAGCCCACCGCCACACATGGTTGTGTCCCATCTCGCTCGCTGTGTGTTGAAGACGCCCTGCGCCAGCGACAGCCAGGAAAACCCATTTTCGACATCGGGGAATTTGAGCTCCGCGGCAGTCATGGCGGCCAATCCCCAAAACATCTGATCGTCATTTCCCTAATTGCGCGACCTTGTGAGTGGAAAGAGGCCTCTCGTTGCCCACGGGCGCGGCGACTACTTACCAAATACGAACTGTAGTTACTGGGCATGTAGTCTCCATTATCGCCCGATTGCCATTCCAGCCCAACACTGAGCTCGTCGTTGTAGGTAGTGTCACCGGTGAAATGCCAGTAGTTGAGCAGCGCATAGAACAGAGCGGATCCCTCCCACCATTTCGTCGGGAATGCACCGGGAATTTGGCCGGTCTCATTTCCATGATACCATGTCATCATCCCGTACGTCGCAGTACTGGCGGCGTCTATGATCGATTCTATAGAGACCATGATCGGGTTAGCGTCGTGGCGGTCGGAAGTATATAACCAGTATCACAAGTATCGCACGGCGTTCGCAGCGTCCTACTTACGTTTATCGGTGATGTCGAGATCGATCGCATGGGCCCGATTTAGACATGTTGTCGCATACAGTAAACCAACCCATATTGCACGTAACTCATGCATCGCCGGAGAGAATAGCGGGACCGCTGATCGCTGGGAAGGGTGAAGCTGCCGTTCGGACGAGTTCAGGTCTGATGGTCCGGGGAAGGCGTTGCGTCAAGCATCCGGTCGCAGGTGGCTTGTGCAGAACAGGGAAAGGAAAGAAAGCATCCAAGAGAGCTAGCGACGGTTCTCACAGCGAATAGAGCCTCATTATGTCACTTCATGGCAGGAAATTGAGATGGGCGGCAAGCGATGGAAAAGTGGGCACTGCCGGGGGAAAGCGCCCCCTCCTTCACAGAACAGGGCGCCGAATCGAATTTTAGGCGTGTGATATACAGGGTACAGTGGGGGGTGAGCTTTCCAACGAGCTGACTCGCGGATGCTTGGGGGGGGGGGGGGGGGGGGGCGCTAAACGGAGTTACGGAGCGTACAGAGTATACAGATCACGTCCAAGTTGGATCCAACAGATCCTCGGGGATCAAGCCCGGTCTGTCCAGGTCCTATTGCGCCAAAAAAACCAGTCTTGCGTGAATCACATTCACTGGCATCTAACCGAAAAGCAAAGAGGTTCTATATTGGCGCGGAAAGAGGCGCAAGAACGGAGTCCAGGGTACTCGAGTACCTCTCCGAAGCAGCAAAGTATATGCTCCGACAGACCTTATGCTCCCAGTTTGGGGGGTTTGGGGGTCTTGGGGTCCATGCGAAAATGCGACCCTGGATACCTCGACGCTCTGATTGGAAATCCGCGGCTGAGACGAGGTCCACTATTGGCGCATCCATCGGGCTGTTGAACCACTCAAGATCAGCCAACAGAAACCAGAGCTCTCGGGTCCGTTCAACTATTTTTGTTGCGATGATCTCTTGCCGCTTGAGTCTCGGACGCTTGACATCATCCGAGAAGTCTTGTTCTTCGCGTCTTGGCAAGACCCTTTGGCGTACGCGTAATGCCAGTTGCCAGAAACTGGTTGTGCTCGTGAAGTAAATCCGTTGGTGAAGTGAATCACTGATTACGTAGGAACAGATTCGAAGATGCCCGGAGACACCATCCGACGCCCCCAAAGGGTCCGGGATCACGGTACGAATTACGGGGTATCCGTGTCTTGCTGTGCCTTGCTGTGTATTTCTAGGGTGGAATCAATTAGCCTCGTTGGACTATCCCTTAGGTTCAAAAGGGCGAAGAGAGAAGGCAGCTGGGACTGCTCCAGAATTAGCAAAGCTTGCCAGTCGTGGGCAAGATCTATAGATCAAAATTCATTGGCTGTGTGCCTCTCTCCCATTGAGTTCAAAGCTAGGGTATTTTAGTATAGCATCGTGGTTATAGCCAAACGCTCCTCTCCGCATGAATGTCAAATCTTCTAAACTGTTTACATTTTTGCTGTTCAGGCGGCAAAGGCAACAGCCCTGACGAAGCAAAACGATTCATCTCAAAATGCATCCCACTTCCTCGCCGTCTAATACCGATGGGGATCATCCACATCACGGCGATGCATGCTTTAAGTCATTGGGAATAGCACTGCCCGGGAAATCGCGAGCCTCGAATTTGAATCTCAAGAGAACGGACCGTGCACTTCCGACAACACGAAGACAAAGCAGCTCCTTCTCATTATGTGTGCCATCGTGGTCATGAGCATGATGACCAACGGCGCTGGACATAATAGGATTATGCCCTTCACACGGGTGTTTTCCCGGTTCATGCCAATGCCTTTGGCGGTCTTCGACCTCTCTGATGAGTGACAAAAGATCAGGCTGGCCCGAGCATCGACTTCCAGCTTCTGGGTCAAGGTAGCCGCCCACCACAGCCCGACGGACGATCTGGCGCAGCCACTCTCTCCAAGTCTGAGCAGGATCTGCGCTTCGTAGCGCTTTCGCAGTAAACTCTGGCGGCGCAGAGTGGAGCCCAAGCTCAGCAGCATCGCTATTGTAAACGCGCAGCCAGGCATCCGCGACCACAGTCAGCAGGGTACCAGTAAACATGACATTCTGGACACCTGTGGCAAAGCTTTTGGGGCAAATTTGGCAGCGGATCACGTCCTGCGCGGTTCTGGCTGCAATATAAAGGGAACATAGAGTATGGGAATTGACGGGGAAGGAGGAAATGGAGGATATATGGCTAAGACAGAGATACAAGTATGACAAGCATGTACACTGCGGGGCGTTGGGGTCGGAAATATTGGGCATGGGGGGCGTAAGTGGTAGGGAGGGCGCATCGAGGAAGTTCGTTGGGGCTGAAAATGGCATGGCCGTGGATTCCGACACCGCAGAAAAGTCGGGCCAAGGGCTCGAAGATTCATAAACCGGTATATTGGGATTCTTGAGACGATCTGGGCGCCAGGTATGATTGTGGTCTTCGTCTCCGCCAAGAAGATCTGGGGTGGACTGCAACGATGGTGACTGTCCCTGCCAGTAAAGCTGTGGACAGAGGTAATGGGCGTCTGTTGCGGGAGTTTGGTCCGAGGACATTGTGAAGGAGTCTGGAGAAGTATCCTCTGGTGTAGGCCAGACACCGTTGCCTGACTGCGTATTATACTCGTCGCCTTCATCTGCCCGCGCCCTTTTCTTGGGAGGACGACCCATCGGTTTTTGTGGGGAGTAACGACATGGTATTGACTGTTTCAAGCATCGAACACATCCTGTCGGCTCACCAGAGCATTTGAGCTTTCGTTTCCCTATGGGAAAAAAGAAAACAATTAGTATTCCTCGCCCATGTTCTGTACTTTCCAGAAAACTTACGACACTCGTCGCATGCTGCATGTCTTTTGAGCTCAGATCCAGAGGTCGTCATCCTATCTGGAAGAGTCCCCTCCATGGATTCTGACATATTTTCTGTCATGACTCTGCCGGCAATCCTGAAAATGCGCAAAGTAAAAAAAAAAAAAAAAAGCAACGCCTCTGTCCAGAATTGAGGGGCGCCTTGTCCGTCATCGATAGGCGATAAGCTCACGGGAGGCGGTCAGTCATGTGGGCGGTGAGGGCAATTGACGGAGAAGAAAAAAAAAATCGTGGATGGACACGAGTTTCAAGCCCAAAGCCAACCAACCATGGACGCCAGGAAGGCCTCGAAAAAGCGCAAGGCGGTTACTCGCGACATTGAGGAGGAAGCTGGAGTTTTCTCTGGCGACGAGCTCAGCGCAAAGAACCTCGATGGCGCTCTGTCGGATAACAACAATGACCTGTCTGAGAGCGAGGAAGAAGATAGCGACTCCGAAATCGAGTTGATTGACGACTTTTCCAGCGATGAAGATGAGGAAGACGGAGATGAACTGGACAGCGATGAGATTCCATCCGACGCCGACGAGTCTAACCCGACTACTCCCAAGGTTACACCTGTCGACAACGAGCCCAATTTCCGCGTCGTCAAGGATGCCAATGGCAACGACCGCTACCTCTACGACGAAATCAACCCCGACGACAACTCTGACTACTCCGATATCGATGAGAACGCCAATACTATTGGTGATATCCCTCTGTCCTTCTATGATCAGTACCCTCACATTGGTTACGATATCAATGGCAAAAAGATCATGCGCCCTGCGAAGGGCGAGGCTCTTGATGCATTGCTGGACAGCATCGAGATACCGAAGGGATGGACTGGTCTCACAGATCCTTCCACTGGCAAGCCACTGGAGTTGAGCCAAGAGGAATTGGAGCTGATTAAGAAGGTTCAATTGAATGAGACCACCGTGGATGGCTATAACCCATACGAGCCCCTCGTCGAGTACTTTTCTAGCCAGCAAGAGATCATGCCTCTCAGCGCCGCCCCAGAGCCGAAGCGTCGTTTCGTTCCCTCCAAACATGAGGCGAAGCGTGTTATGAAGCTCGTGAAGGCTATCCGCGAAGGTCGCATCCTTCCTTATAGGCCTCCGGAGGAGCGCGAGGAGAAGGACGAGGACCTCATCAACTACGATCTGTGGGCGGATGAGGCTGAGCGCAAGGATCACCCGATGCACATTCCTGCGCCCAAGCTTCCGCCTCCCGGCTATGAGGAGAGTTACCACCCTCCTGCTGAGTACTTGCCTGATAAGAAGGAGCGCAAGGAGTGGGAGCAGACCGACCCCGAGGACCGTGAGAAGGATTTCTTGCCCAACGACTATGCGTCCCTGCGCAGAGTGCCGGGATATGAAAACTTCATCAAGGAGAAGTTCGAGCGCTGCCTTGATCTCTATCTTGCGCCCCGTGTGCGTCGCAGCAAATTGAACATCGACCCCGAGAGCCTGCTCCCCAAGTTGCCTAGTCCCGAAGAGTTGAAGCCATTCCCCACTGCATGCGCCACCGTATTCCGTGGACACAAGGGCCGTGTCCGCTCCCTGAATGTGGACCCTAGCGGAATTTGGCTGGCAACTGGTGGAGACGATGGTACGGTTCGTGTCTGGGAGCTTCTGACCGGCCGGCAATTGTGGAGCGTGAAGCTCAGCGATGAGGATGCGGTCAATGTGGTCCGCTGGAGGCCCGGTAAGGATGCGGTCATTCTCGCTGCCGCTGCCGGCGATGATCTCTTCCTCACAGTTCCCCCGATCGCCGACCCTGAGATTGAGAAGACCAGCTTGGAAATTATTGATGCTGGCTGGGGATATGCCGCATCTAACCCTCCCCCAAGCGCTGCTGAGGCCAACAAGAAGAACACCCCCCGCAATGGATTCGGCCCTCTGCTGCTCTCACGGATGCTGGAGTTTGCGTGGTTATTCCTCTTCGCTACATTCCCAAGTCGATTTCATGGCACCGTCGCGGTGACTACTTCGTCACTGTCTGCTCGGGTGCCTCGACTCCTGCCTCTGTAGCCATTGCCATCCACACTGTCTCCAAGCATCTCACTCAATACCCCTTCCGCCGACGCCTCAAGGGTGGTGGTCCTCCCCAGACTGCGCACTTCCACCCTTCGAAACCCATCCTCTTCGTGGCCAACCAGCGCTCCATCCGCGGTTACGATCTTTCCCGCCAACTGCTGGTCAAGATCGTGCAGCCCGGTGCTCGCTGGATCTCTTCCTTCGACATCCATCCAACTTCGTCCAGTGCTTCGGGTGGCGACAACATCATTGTCGGCTCCTACGACCGCCGCCTGCTTTGGCACGATCTTGACTTGTCACAGCGTCCCTATAAAACCCTGCGCTACCACCGCAAGGCCATCCGTGCCGTCAAGTTCCATCCCGGTGGTCGCTATCCTCTGTTCGCCGACGCCAGTGATGACGGCTCCCTGCAGATCTTCCACGGCAGCGTCACGGGCGACATGCTCAGCAATGCTACCATTGTTCCGCTCAAGGTCCTCAAGGGTCACAAGATTACTGGCGAGCTTGGTGTGCTCGATCTCGACTGGCACCCTCGCGAAGCCTGGTGTGTTAGTGCCGGTGCTGATGGCACATGTCGCTTGTGGATGTAATTATTCCCTCTGTCTCTTTCTCTGTTGCATGATACTCTTTTCCGGCGTTCTTGCTGTATGTGTTTATGCATAGTGTTTCTTTGTATAGTCATACTGCTATAAAAGTTGTTTTCCATCACTGGCCCAGTATTCCGTATGTAATCAATCATCACAATTAGTAGATCCCCTTGTGGTGGTACATATAACTCAACGTGATATAGATAGCCTACTAAGAGCCTATCTACTGAAGCTTTGGCTGTCCTAGAATTGAAATGGTTTGACGTGGATCTATCACCTGCCAAGCATATATGTACTCGCCTCGCCCACCGAATTTCTACCGCATGCAAGGCCATTAGCAATTTATTACGGCGAAATCGAGTGAAAGCATTTATCATTTCATTAATTTTTGTTACAAAGCATGCAGCTCATGCAGCTCGTGCCAGCCTCAACGTTAGGTATGAAACAGAAACAACAATCCCACAGAAAATGCCAGCCCGTGTAGATTGACGCCCAGGCCATGGAGAAGACCGAATAGAAAGCAGGATAAAAACAAGGAAAATGAGTATGTTTTTGAGAGATCACTCGTCCTCGTCATCATCATCAACCACATAGCGGTTCTTCTTCCGAGCTGGGGGTGTCCCAGATCGGGGTGTCTCGGCTTTAGCGGCGGGCTTCGAGGGTGCAATCTCATCATCCACCTCGCCCTCCGCATCCATATCATCGTCATCCAGCACCTCTTCGTCGTCGTCATCAATTTCCTCTTCGATATCTTCATCACTGCCAACCAGGAAGCCATCGTCCTCGTCGTATTCGTCCTCTCGGGTACGGGGACCACGGCCATAGTCGTCCTCATCATCCGTGTTGATCTCTCCGCGGCGGTTTGTGCGACGTGGTTTGCCACGAGGGCGGGTAGTGAGCAAGCCACCGTCCTCGAGGCCACCCACGCTGAGACCGGAGCCAAGAGTACGGGGTGCCATGCGACGGCCACGATCCGCTTCACGATCGGCCAGCTGCTGGCGGCGACGCTCCGCCCGCATAGATTCCTTCTCCAGCCGCTCAGCCTTACGAGAGGCCAGTTCGGGATCTTCCTTGAGATCGATCACAGGAGCCGAGCCGTCTGCCGTCTGCTTGTTACCACGAGTAGCCGCCGCCAAGGATTCCTGGAGCTTCTGCACAGCATCGTCGGTTTCCAGGGTGGTTGGGAGGACAGTCAAGCCGTGAGTAACATGCGAGGTCAATCGGAAGACCGACGCAGTTTCTACAGCAGCACCAAGGTAGACGTGGGAGTCCAGCTTCGTGTCATACTGGCCGGACTTGTTGAGAGGTGCAAGAGGTTTGGATGCAATACGATATTGCTCGGTTGGGGCGGATGCTAGCTGTAGTGTGATGGATCCATCCTCCCACTGGATCATACGCGCATTTGATTGCAGGAGAGACTCGTCGTCCGGGTCTTTGCGCCAGCAGAGGGACGTCGCGGCTGTGGAGTATGGGGGCGCAACGTAGGTTTCCGGATTGAACTCTTCGGCTTCGACAGAGAGAAATTCAGGGACACGCATCGTGTAGACCTACAATCCAATTAGTTGGTGCCGACTGGGGTGGAATCTCAATGCCTCTGCATACCTGTCCATCGCTGGTCGCTGGCACCGGCGCCCGCGCAAGGCCCACGTCCATAATATTGACAGTCTCGCCGAAGCCGTCCTCATCTGGGGCTTCATCCATGCGGTCTTCGCGACGATCGAACCGGTCTTCATCGTCGCCAGAGTCGAGGCGCTCATCATCCAAATTGCGGTGACCACGGCTAGAATATATTTGTTAGTTCTTTCGTGTCTCATGCATTTGCGAGCTTCTGGTCAGTTTCATACTCCACGTTGTCAAATCCGCCATCGGACCCATCCGATCCAAAGAGATCAGCATCATCATCCTCATCCATCTGGTCGCCGGCTCCGAAGTTCTCAGCACCGGAGTCATTGCCAGCATCGCTCGGGGCGGGACTTTGAGCGGCCCCGCGGCCAGGACGGCGAACAGCCTCCTCATCTGAGGAGGACATGGCGTGGACTGGGTATTTTCGGGTTCGCAGGAGAGAAAAGAAAAGATTGAGGACGAATTGGAGCCAAAGATAGGGCAAGATCCGACCGCGTTGCCCGTGAGTCCCAGAGAAGCACGGCAGATCACCGGATTAACATGATGATCCGGCCGGCCCAGGAGCCAAGCGGGCCAGACCAAAAGGGGATTCCCTGGGCATCTTCACCGTCTCGTCTTCTCCAGTGTTCGTGGTTGTTTGCTTTTGTCCATTGATCCATTGAACGGAGTTCTTGCAATAATGGCGACTTTCTTCCAGAGCGTGTAAGTCGCCGTGTAGTCGCGGGGAATCTCCTCCCTCGACGTTGTTGACTTCCCTCTTGACCGCACCATGAACCCTTGTTCCCCCCCCTCCATACTGCAGCATCGTCAAAGCAGCGGCGCCACAAACGCAAAGCAACATTCCCGGCTTTCAAAGTCTATTAGCCGCGCTGCATTTCTCCTTTACAATCCCCTCGCTCTCATTTTGATTTCATCTACCTCCACCTGAAACCACTCCTGACCCCCTTCCCCTCCCGTGTTTGTGCTGACCCGTCCTCCTACAGTCGTCAAGGCTTTGGCCGCGGAGGAAACAACAAGAATCAACCCCCCAAGAGCCCGGCAAAAGCTCCTCAAGCTTCCCCAACAGGCACCATGTCAAACTCCCCTTCGCTCTCGAACAGCCTTGCCATTGATAATCTCGCCGCAAATGATCCCGATGCCCCTAAGTACTTCTTCCAGGAGAAATACGCTCCGTTGAACGTGAGGGGGAATTTCTTGACCCTCTGTGCTTGTCCCAAGAATGTCGAGCTGGGAGAGTGGCTGGCTCACCAGAGTAAGCCCCACAAGACGATTGCAATTGATCGAAGTGCTGATGCGTTGGGTGATCTTCAGTTGTTGAACAATACCGCCTCCTCCATGGCATGCTTCAAGTCATCCAGGAAGTGAACAGTGTGACTGGCGCGCCAATTTGCAATGAAAGCACATGTCCGACCATGTCGGCGGGTCGGTACGTTGGAGATCGCGGGGTACAATGATAAGCCGTCGGGGGGATTCAGACTAACAGCAATCAACAGGTTGACCTACACTTGGCTCGTCGACGGCCGTGCGGCCAAGATCTCTGCCCCGAAGTTCATCAACCGTGTTGAGAAATGGATCGTCAGTAAGATCCATGACCCGGTTATGTTCCCTACCGAAAAGGTCACCGGTATCCCCGAGACCACCTCCATCCGGGATGCCACTGCCGCTTCGACCGCAACCCCTGCAGACTCGACAGACCCCGCCAACCCGGCTGGCGCGAACGGAAATGCCGACGAGTGGATTGGAAAGTCCAGCGGATTCCCCCAGACCTTCTATAAGGATTGCCAGGGTATCATGAAGCAGATGTTCCGCTGCTATGCCCATCTTTATCACGCTCACTGGTTGAACCCTTTCTGGCACATCAACAAGCATGACATCCTAAACATGTGCTTTGTCCACTTCGTGACGGTGGCCAAGTACTACCAGCTTGTGTCCGACAAGGAGATGGAGCCGATGCAGCCCTTGATCGATCTGTTTATCAAGCAACAGCGGGTGCCTCCCGAGGCTCTGAATGGCGGTCACTGGGCCCAGCAGACCGTTACCAACTGAACCAACTGCTCGATCAACCCTACGCTCCGCGGGATCGAGAGTGGCCAAAGGAATTAAGAAGTGACGACCATGACATGTTCTTCCAGTCGGCGTTGGGCCGTGCTGTCTTATGTTCGTGTTTTCTGACATTTTTCCTTTTTGTAAACTGATGCCATTCGGGAAAATGGACAAGAGTTTGCCGATGATACGACACAGACCCTGGAGCTTTGAGATCTGGGGCTTTGAGCATTTAGCATGCGGTGTGAATATTTTTTTTGTTTCGTTTGATTTTTCATTTTCTATCATGATGATCTTGCATATGCATCAGATTTTGATCTGGCACGACCTGCCTTTCCTCTCCAAGTTAGTGATACTTGAACTTCGCTAAAGTCGCGAAGTATGACCTAATCGTTCTGGTCTTAACTAAATATCACTGAGCTTTTTTTGGGCTCTTGTTAGTCCCTTCGAGGTAAAAACCCGATAGATTCTAAACTGGATTCCCTCTTCTGCCAATCTACACAAGACACGTCGGGACACTTCTGCATCAGTCTTTTTGCAGTAATTTATTCTGTTGATCGGGCGGGAAAGCCTAGTCGAAGCCAAGGCTGCCCACATCTCAAGAGCCGCATTAAGAGAGGGAACCCCAGGCTCCACCGTAACCCCATATCTCTCTGGTCTATCTTACCCGATAGTCATTATTATCAGTTGCATTCTTGCTAAACTCAGATGATCTATGCTTGGCGATTGGATGTTAATGCAGTTCGCGATACGAAGAGATTCCAGGAAAAGCGCCACTGGCGTCTGCTGACAGCCTGCCCCTCTCAGCGTGTTCGACGCGACTATCTGGGCCATTCCCTTCCACTTTCTGCCATCTGGCATCCAATCTACTTTATGAAACATCCCTTCGATAATCTATATAGTTTATCACAACCACAATGGGACCGTCGAAGAAGAAAACTCGAGCACCCTCTTCGTCTGGAACAGACCAACAAGCCGCATTACAAAGCTTTGAGCCATTGATGGGCCCTGGATATCCCGCTGGACCCTATTATCAATTCAATGAGCCGCATCCAGCTTCGATCGCTGAGCTAGGAGATCAAGGATACAGATCTGAGCTCTCGAGCGATACACCTTATTATGCAAATCCGTTTAGAGCTCATATGCCACCGTTATCAGGTCATCCACGTGTACAGGAATTGTGTGCAACACAGTGTTATAGCCCCCCGACTGGATACCCAACTGGCGGACCTTTTTCGCAACAGCATTACGGCCATCCGGGTAGCTATGCATCTTTTGAGCCTCTTCCAGTAGCACCTCTTGAACAGCCGTATCTGCGTTCCTGGCCACCACCTGTGCGCTTCGGCAGTGATCATGCAACTGGAGCAGTTCCTCCCACGATATCTTCACCCTATACCAGCTATATCGAGGAAAGAGGAGATTCAGGCTTTTACGATGCGTTTTCCTATACCACTCCTAGGCAACAGTTTGAGAGCAATGATCCCTCTCCCAAGCCTCACGAGTATTACGGGAATGAGCTACAGGTACATGAAACATCAACGGAAGGAATAATAACTAGAGGTAGCCGGCCGGGGAGAGTAACATCAAAGTACTATAATGATTACAGGACGCCTAATCCTTGGCTGGATCCCCCGCCTGCACCAATCTCAAACGCTGTTCGTTCTTTGTCGGATTTTCTTCCTCGCCCGCCCGTGCCGTCAACATTGGATAATTTTGCTCCTGAAAGCATTCGAAACACAACCCATCGTCGAAATACTATCAGTCCAAGAGTCCGACCGGGAATCGATCCCATCATTAATCAAGCTCGCACTCTTTCTGATCAACCGTCCGACAAGAAGCCTGCGCTTGAAACACAACCAACCAGCACCATAAAGGACACCACAACAGACGGGATTCCGCAGGGAGCACGATGGACAAAAATCAGCCGTAGATTGGTTAATTCAGCAGCCTTGAGAGAAGGCAAAGAAAGATTTGAGGAGAGGGATGACTACTTCATTGTGCTGCGAGTATTGACAAAAGAAGAGATCCGAGAATATGCGGATAAAACTGCGAAGATTCGAGGTAGGCTCCCTTCTTAATGACCAAGCTGTTAGCGTACGGACTAGAAGCTGATAATAAGCCGACAGCCGCTAGAAAAGAAGCCACCGCAGAGCCACGAAGACGTTCCAGAAGCCGTTCCAGAGATAAAATTGTTCGCAATCCTGTATTTTCCGATGACATAAAACCTACCGTATCACGCACGACAGTTGCGTCTCGCAGGCCGGAAACTTCTTCTCGTCTATCCTCATCGTCATCTCCCACAGATTTTAGTCACAAGTCAGTAGACCGCAAAAAGGATTCCAGCATGGCTACTGCATTAAAGCATGAAGAGCCATTGAAAAGGCAATCAACAGAGCATCTACCTCGGGAGAAGGTAAGGAACAAATTAAAGGACTGAAGCTTATATTATGTCTATATCTAATAATATTTGTCCAGAGCCCTGTTTCGGATGAGACTTCGATTCCTGGAAAGCGCAACCAGCGCGGCCCACGACACTCTCCAACTCCCAACGCACCCCAGAAAGAGAAGATTCCAAACCTCTTCTATCCACAAGGCGCAATAAAAAAACCATTTCTGGCTGCTATCAGGGACAACGACCCAAGGCTGTTGAAACACCTTATTGGCCTCGATTTTGACGTCAATCAAAACTTTATTGAAGATGGCATAGGCACTCCACTCCTGGTAGCTCTAGCCGCAGGGAGCACTGAGGCCATACAAGTACTTCTTAACGCGGGAGCAGATGTCGACTTACAAATTCCAAACGCCCCACATGGGAGTGCTCTGATTGCGGCTATTGCATCTCAGGGGTCCTGCCGGATGAAAAATCTGGATCTTCTGCTCCGCGAGTCAATCAATCTCGATCTCGCTGTGGAGAACGGACCATACGGGAGCGCCCTCTCTGCCGCTGTAGACCACAAAAATGAGGAAGCTGTACGGAAACTCGTAGAAGCGGGGGCAAAAATCAGTCCGTTGATGAGTGCGCTCATACGAAAATTAGGTATTTCTGACGATATCAATCCCCAATTTGCACAACATAGTCTCGCGGGCTATCCGGCTCTCAAGACTATTAACATGAGTTGGGAACTCCCGGCTATCACGAAAGATTGTCAGGATATATTCGGCCTGCTTTTTAACATGGGCTCACTGACTCGAATGTTTGACACCGTGGAATTCAGCAAGTCTGGTGACTTTTTACAGAAGAAATACGGTACCCTTGGGACGACTGTGCTAAAGGGCATCGTAAATGCATTTAAAAACAGCAGGGGATTCTTCGGTCAGTCTCTCTGAATATTGAGAAATTTAAGAGAATTGTGCTAATGACATCCAGTTGGCGATGCTATATTGCTGGAAATATCGAGTGATGAAATTCACGTTACAGCATCCATAGAAACCCCCGAGGTCTTCGAAATAATGGCGTGGATATGTCTGAATTTCCGAACTCCTTCCCCGAACTCGGTCAATCTCTCGACTGGCAGCTTCTTTGACGGTAGTTTTCGGCTGGACATACTTCGGCCATTCGATCTATCAGCCAAGAATAAAGATAACGGGTGCTGGATGGGGGTATTCGACTCCGCAATTGTAGTATCGGAACCGTCTTTGCATAAGATGGACACATGTCGGGGCCTCGAACTTGATTTCTCCGCTATGATTCAATTATCAGCAGTGGAATATCCCATTACCGTTAATTCCGGTCTGGTTCTTATGGGCTATTCCACTGCATTGGTTCCTATCCGAATCACAACCGACGATAAGGTTCTGTGGCACCTGGAGACCACTAAAGATGATTCGCAAATCAAGGTGTCGAAATTAAAATCTATCAAGCGGAAATGGCTTCGAGTTTTTGAGCTTGACCTCTTACAGTCAAGGAAAGCCTTGCTGGGTTGGTGCCAGGAGGCCAACATTCTCCTAGGAACAGATGAACTCCCGCCGAATGTAGCATGGTCTGACTCGGAGGTCAAACGCGTGTCCTGGCATTGGAAAGGAGCGAATGTTCAGTTGCTGGTTCAATCCGCAGCCCCGATTCAAGTCGGTGGACAGTTGGGTATGGCTTTTGACAGGACGATCAACACCGTCAAGAACGATCCCTCTCGCAACTATCTCAAGTGCCTGAAAGGCAGCATGATGGAACAGGTCCTTATTTACGACGTGAGTGCCGGGAGGGCCTGGTTGGTGCCACTGCTCTGTGTCTTCCATCATATGATGCTAGTCTATTCAAAGACACTCGGGGATAGCCTTAGCGTGGCACCCAGAGCCATACCAGCATCTGACAGCGCATCCGCGTCATACAGAGTGCTAGAAGGCCAGGGCGATACAGTCCTTGACGGGTCTGGTCGGGACAAGTTGACAGTCCGAGACCTCATCCTCGGATTCTCGGTGAACCTCTCACGGATTGACGTACAGCCATCGCGAGGTGCGACAATTTTTGGATATGAATTCATGGATATTGTCATGGAGTCACCAAGGATTGAACTCAAGAAGCAACAAATCACAAAAGACGGCCTGATGTGGGCGTCTCTTTTGAGTGAAGTGAATTGTCTATTTTGCGCCGGCCTCGGGGATGCGATCGTCGGCAAGCGCTCGCCAGATATACTATCTCCATGCAATCGCATCCCAGAAGGCTCTGATTTGATGGCCGTGTCCATGTACAGCATCGAGAAGCTATCGCAGAAACATGGTGGACCCCTCCTTGATTTCATTCAACGCCTTTCGCATACACACTACTGGCGGCTGAAAGGACGTCCATTTCAACCGTGTCAGCACAAGGACGAAAGAGACTCCTGCTGGACGCATCCGGCTTTTCTTCAAGAGATCCATACTCGTCGACCATCCGCAGTTCCGGGTGAGCGATGCGAAGAAACCTGTCCCGGAGGAGCACTCGTTTTCGGCGGGCCTCAAAAATCAAAACTGCACTTTCAGATGCCTATTCTGAATCGACAACCGATACGGTTGTCTAAGAAAAAGACAGTTTCTGTGGTATGTGTTGATACAGACTGCGAAGCTGCAAGATAACAGGCCTTTGTTTTTCGGAATGAAGGATTCATATTTAATGGTTACTATGAAAAGGAACATCGATGGTCCTCGTTTGGATAGATGACATTCAACGTACATTTCATTTCAACAACCTGATAAATCTAGAAACAAGCGGGACTTTCAAACAGATACCTGTAAAGGATTTTGGAAGATCCTATACCTGGTCTTTCCAGTGATATCAAAACAGACCCAGGTGACCTTCGTAGAATATCAGGCTACACTCGTAGTATACAGATCAATCAAGCAAGACATAGTGGCTGAAGGATGGATAGATTTAAAGATTTCATCGCTCTGTTGCTCGCATATGTTACAAGATTTGATTTGATTTTTCATTGAAGAATTTTGTCCAATTTTAAACCTTTTTAGGGTTTGGTGAGAAACTTTGGCTGAGGCTAAAATCTTGAAACGGTGTATTGTTCAAGGATCTTGACATTCGCCCGGCGACCACTTCGAACGGATCCAAAGCCCCATGTAGTAACCTCCGCCACCAAAAATTTCAGCGTCGACGATTTCATCTCATCGGGGATTCGCCAAAATTGGAACACAGAGATTGTGCTCCAAAGGACCAAAAGAATTGACGACGAGAAACAATGAGCGGTAGCCTAGGAAAAAATAGGAGATCCCTGACACTTTCATATAATCACTCAAACTCTTCCCCTTATTTTAAGAGTGAGGTTGAATGATTCCCTCTCCAGTTGTCAAGTTCACAAATGGGTCTTTGCTTTCCTTTGTATCCCTCATAATGGCGCAAGATTCAATTTCCCAAGATCCTCTGGAATAAATGGAAAGAACCGTCACACTGCGGGGTTGCGATAGGGTGGAACAAGTCGCTCGCTGCCAACAAATTTGAAGCTGCTAGTGACATAGCGATGTGGTCTGGACATGCTCCCTCGTGATCTCATGAGTCGAAGTGGTGATATTTGTTAGCATCAAATCATGCCAGCGCGATCCCGTTCAAAGATAGACGCCCTCATCCCCATTCTCCCCCGCATTGTCGCTCTGGTGCCCGTCAGCAGCAGTTCCGTTCGTGGTCGGCTCTGGTAAGCCATTCGGTCTCTGTCCTTCTCCTGAGTTCTCCTTCTCATCCTCCACCTCAATCCACTGCTGTCCACGATTCTCCACCTCGGTCTTGAGCAGCGCAAGCCGCTCCTCCATAGACTTCATCACCCCCTCGTTCTCGGTGATATAGCCCTCCAGCTCTTTCTTATCTTCTTCGGAGTCTTGTGACTCAAGGAGGAATATGCGCAGCTCGACGTTAGAGCGCTGCAGGTGCGCGATGGAATTGCGGAGCTCCGCGACTTTAGCGTATACCGTAGACAGCGTGAGCTCTTTGATGGCTTCGGCGAAGGCGGTCGGGTTTATGGGAAGGCTTTCCGCCGACATTTTGGTAGCGTTATATATTTCGATGCAGGCTCTGTTGAACTGGGTGTTTGGCGCTGGGGAAGGATTGAAGAGAAGAAGAGATTAAGGCTATCGAAGGTTGTTGCTAAAGGAAAATGTTCTTTGCTTCTGTCTGTTTCCCCGCGGACCCCGCGCCGTCATCACGTGTGGTTGTGGTTCCACCACAAACATAAAGAATTCCTAGACATGTCACTGGCAACACTCTGAGAAGCTAGTTCATCGATCAGAAATTCTCGACTTCTCAGTAATCTTGAATTAGGCTATATAATGAATAGATTAAAGTCATCTTTGAAGAGCGAGTCGTCGGCCGTACCAAGTGCCAGCCTGTATATTACTGATAGCTACATGATCAATCTGCATCAAACTTTTCGTATATTAATTTCGTCACCTGGATTATTTCTGATGGCAGACACTTAATGGGTATGCTTGCATGAAGAGAGTAGATACGAAATACGGACTACCATGACGATCAGGTGAAAGACACGGCACAAAGTAATGTATACCTTGACTATTGCCTCATGTGTACCGAGTACCAGGAGGATAGTAAACGCCTTCCTTTGAAAGCTGTGCTTGAAATAGTATATCATATAGGTGCCCCGAGAAACCCAAGGGTGGAGATATGCCTAAAGTTGATGAACTTATCTGTTGCGAAGTGGGGAGCCTTGGTAGTCAGGCGCGAACGCCTACTACTACTCAACAACAAGAGGCACCTAACACTCGGTCTAGTTTTCAATAAGAACCGAGGCACAGCACAATATTGAGCTCTGTTATGTTGAGTCTAGCCTGAAGTAGCATATCTGATAGAATAAAGCAAGATATTGACGTCATATTCTCGTGCAGTCTAGATCATTTCAACCTCCCAGCTACTTCCAGATCCATAGATGACAATGGATGACAAAGAGAAACGAAGGATGTTGCTGCCTATAGCGGTTATCGAGGTACCAATCTCTCTCCGTACAAAGAACCAGCGGCCAACTTGGAATGTGCTCATGGTAGTTAGACGGAACAAAGCGCATTGAAGCTGAGTAATTGCAGCCTGTTTCAGATAATGATAACACCAGTTAGAGCTTGCCATTATTGCGAATCTATAGTTCGATTCTGGGTGCAACTCTTTGTCCAAATTTGGATAAAGAATTGCCCGCTGCAGATGGAGGACTCCTTCGGGTATAACAACGGCCTTGTTGCGGGCCGGTTCCAGTTCAGCTTCAAGATAGCCTATGAATGATTAACCCATAAGACAAGAATATTGAAAAGGTTGAAGAAATTTTAGAAATCTGCCCACAGTGAGCATACAGTCAAGTCTTAGCCTTCAAAAGAAAATACTTGGTTTTCTCTATCTGGCAGCTTTTATATCTTGCAAGGTCTGTCTCTCGCAGAGTTTCGTCCTTCGTAGTAACATCTTCATCCGCCTTATACTGATCATCGTGATATTATACTATACTGTCTTCACCGACACCAAGACTCTACACGCTACCTCTTCCCATACTTGTATGTATATCAACGGAAGCCCCTTTTCAGTGGATTGCTTTTGCATCTGCGATTCCAGCTACCGAGACTTGAATCCAGAAGACACACCGACTACTATATTGAGCAACATGTATAACGGCATATGTTGAGTGGCACGTATTGAACGAAATATGAAAAGTCGCTGTATCAACTTCTCGACAAACGTACCGACACCATATATCAATCTATCCACGATGGTTCAGCCTCTCTATAGCTCCACTCGGGGCTCCTCCCCTTGCGGGGGCGGCATTACATCTGAGCTCAAACAGGCTTCCCTGCATCCTTGGGGCATGATCGACTGGTACCTTTTCTTGTCCACGATTGAGAAGGATCAGGAATGGGAGTCACTCATTTTTGACAGCCAGATGTTGGAGATGTACGGGACCCGCTCGCAAAGCTTCCGGGTCCTGAGTCTCAGCAAGGACGACGACAACTACTATGATAACGAGCCCGCCTGGGAGCAGCCCATCATCGTCTTCTCCTCCCTGCCTTTACCCTGCTCACACAGCGACCAGGAATGCAGTCTCGTTCTGGCTTTTGATCTCACAAATGCATCGCTCCTCGCCTTCCTCTTTCCCTCCGCTCCCCAGACCCTGGACACCTTACGCAGTGTCTGGGATGAAGGTGAACTGGTCATCAACGTCCCCCTCGCCCGATTCCAGGCCGTACTTGACTACACAATGGCTGGCCACCCGCAGACGCTGTGGATCGGTGTCTTCAATTACTTCCGCGAGAGCACGCGTGAATTCCCTGCCGGTCTAGATCTTCTTCTGGTTATCCAGTTCGTGCAGTTTGTCAATGATTACACAGAATTTCTCGCCGCACTTGACATCAAACTACCCGCATGCCTGCGGTCGCATGAGCTGGGACTACGCGCTCTGCTATGCCGTGCCTCGCAAGAGGCCTGGATCGCCACGCGCGATGGGCTGAGTGCGTCGCAGTTTCTGGAGCGCAAAGTTGGCGAGCTTCTGGGTTCGGAGATGTTGCCGATCCAGGCACCGGCGCTATTCTGTCCCGGCGTCGGCCAGGAGGGGACCCAGACAACGGATGCGCTGGCGATGCGTCAGTGGGTTCGCGTTCTAGGCTCCGTGCTGGGACTCCCTGCCCAGGCTGTGCAGACACTGGAGGTCGTTGGATTAGCGACACTAAATACAGTGCTCGTGCTCACCATTGTTTGCAGCTTGTGGGCGCAGGGCCATGCGGAGCTCCCGCTACCTTAGGCGATTGACTACTGGCGAGTCATGAGTGTGCTCGGTATCCATGCCAAGCCAGCCAAGATGGAGGGCTTCGGAACCCTCGGCTCGTCTAGTGTGGATTTGTTTTTGTTTTATGTTTTTGTACTTCTGTTGTCCAGTCTACTCCTCATCTCGGTGTAGATCACTTTAAGACTTTTTATTTGATCTGATCCGACAGTGGGAGATGCGGCATATCTCTTTGCGATCCTGTATATAGTCCAAAGTCCGAACTATGAATCAGTCATCATCCGGAAAGTCCGTGGCCTGTAGTGTCGTAGTTCATATAGGGTACAAAATCCAATTGTAGTGAGTTGAGGAGACAACAGGCTAGGTTTGTTGGGTTCCTGCATCATTATTTGTCAGGCCTACGTTGATAGACAAGATGGTTCCTTCTAGGTGGATCCTCGATGAGTCTATTGGAAAAAGGGCCAGCACCGACCCATTGGTCTATCAATGGTCTCGCACACCCCCAATTCAATAATGGTGGGATGCACCTCCCGTTTCATGCAGGATACAGAATAGTGATGTGATATTACCCGGTATAATGCGCGCTCATGTATGTCCACGTTGTCCACGTCGCCATGCAGATCAGCCGATGCTCTCGGACTCGTATATTCCAATCAGGAATCCTCGCAAAAGCAACGAAGCAAGGCAACCTGCACGATTGGAGCTGTTTTCTGCACCGCCACTTCTCTCGTTCTCCCGACGGCTGGAGCTCTGCTTACAGACCAATCATCGGCCGCTGAAAACCGGATTCTGTGGCGCGACGTGGCGCATCCTGTGCGGAGTCGAAATCATAGTTGGGTGATTGGGCGGACTCACGCTCTCCCCGCCGGCGGCGGCTCTTGGCAGCGTCATGTTTCGCTGGACCAAGTCGCGGGTACCCAGCTATGCCCGCCCGGCGCGGCGGAGGATTCAGGTATTCGGTACAGGTTGCACCGATCTGCGCTCATCTCATCTCGCTTCCTCAGCCCTGCAGCCCTACAGTTGGCTGTTTGACCTCTGCCTAACGTCCAACTTTCTCCCTCCGCTCTTCATTCAGTCCACTCAAATCCCCTGAATTCGTCCAATTCGACCGGAGTTTCCTCCCTCTACAGCTCCCCCGTGCGACGAATTGTCCACGGCGCTCGCCATTGCTTCCCTCCCCACCCCCCTACTTCTTCGAATCTCGGCGCTGTCCGCGACCGTGTGAGAGCGCGCTCACTTCCTTTACACAATGGCGGAATCGACTGTTCCTCCGGTCAATGGTAGGTTAGAGAAGATTAGACCCTGCAGGATCGCGCCACAAATAACGCAGTCCGATGTTTGAAGCTGACTCGGCGAACATGTCCAGGGGTCATCCCAAATGGCGAGCCCGCCGCCCAGGTATCTCACAGTACCAACAATCGCTTCGAGCTCATCTCGGGTCCCTTGATCAATCTGAAGAACATGCACTATGAGCCCACCCCGGTCTGGCATGGCAGTGTGTTGATTGTCACCAAGCCCGGTCAGGAGCAGCCGCAGCTGCACTTGCGCCCGCTTGGCCCCATCGCATCCGACACACAAGCCCAATCGCAATCATCCCAGAATATCGAGGGTCTGAAACTCTACCAAGACCCCCAGAAGTCGTTTTGGCGCTTCGACCTGGCGGTGCCGGTCGATGTCTTTGAGGCGCGCTGGGAATATAATATCCCAGGTCTGTTCAACGAATCTGGCGAGCCGGTCCAGACGTCCTGGGACTTTGTCGTCCCGGCCGCCGATCAATCCATGCGCATGATGTTTCACTCCTGCAATGGGTTCTCCGTAGGCACCGACATGGATGCCTGGATTGGCCCGAACCTGTGGCACGATGTGCTGCGCGTCCACGGGGAGAAGCCCTTCCATGTCATGGTCGGTGGTGGTGACCAGATCTACAACGACGGGATTCGGGTGGACGGTCCCCTGAAATCCTGGACGGCTATCGGTAACCCACACAAGCGCCGCAACCACGACTTCAATAATAAGATGCGCGTGGAGTGCGATGAGTTCTACTATGCCAACTACGTTCGCTGGTACAACACTGAGCCCTTTCGTGCAGCCAATGGGCGCATTCCGCAGGTCAACATTTGGGATGACCACGATATTATCGATGGATTCGGCTCGTACACAGACCACTTCATGAAGTGTGCCGTTTTTCGTGGCATCGGTGGCGTCGCGTTCAAGTACTACTGCCTGTTTCAGCACCACATTGCTCCCCCCAAGTCCACCTTCACCACTGATGCGCCTCAGACCATGCACGCGGTCAACGGAACGTCTGGCGTTGATCCTCGTCAGACCGAGAACACCTACGTTCTTGAAAATCAGGTGCAGGATGACAGCTGGATTGTGGGCAAGCGCCCTGGCCCTTACGTGGAGGAGCGCAGTCGCAGTCTGTACATGCGTTTCGGCAAGCGCATTGCTTTCGTGGGCCTAGACGCTCGCACAGAGCGAACCAGGCACCAGGTGAACTATGAGGATACCTATAACTTGATTTTCTCGCGGCTACAAGAGGAGATCGAAGCTGCCGACGGCGATATCAAGCACCTGGTGGTCTTACTGGGCGTGCCCATCGCCTATCCACGTCTAGCCTGGCTTGAAAACATCCTGACTTCTCCAATCATCGCCCCCATCCGTCTGCTCAACAAGCGCTTTGGAGTTGCGGGCGGCCTGTTCAATGAGTTCGACGGCCAGGTCGATCTGCTGGACGATCTGGACGACCACTACACGGCACGGCAGCACAAGCGCGAGCGTAAGATGCTCGTCAACCGCCTGCAAGAGTTTGCGCGGGCACACTCAGTGCGCGTGACCATCCTCGGCGGTGATGTCCATCTCGCCGCCGTCGGCCGGTTCTACTCGAACCCGAAGCTCAACCTGGCCGGAGAAAATGACCACCGCTTCATCGTGAACGTGATTAGCAGCGCCATCACCAACAAGCCTCCGCCCAAGGCCGTGGCCAACCTGCTGGCCCGTCGCAACAAGATCCACCACCTTGATCGTCACTGCGACGAGACGCTCATGTCGTTCTTCGACAAACAGCCAGGTGGGAATGAGAAGAGCGCCTCGTGGAACACGGTCACCATGCCGTCGCGTAACTTCGCCACGCTGACCGAAGTCGTTGCGCCCGCAACGAACGGCAATGCCCCCACCGTGAGTGCCAAACTCGATCACCTGCCTAAAGACGGCCATTCCCCGCTGCACAAGGGCGAAGTCGACGTCGGGACGGTTCATCCTGCAGCGGATGGCTTCAGCACCAATAGCGGCATGTACGGTGGTCTAGACGTGGCCATCCGCGTCGAGATCGACCCGCAAGACCGACAGGGAACCACGGAGGGCTATGGATTTAGCAGTAAGTGTTTTGCTCTCATTCTCCCTCCTATCATCTCTTTGATCTTCACGCTAACTAATGCCACCATCTAGTCCCCCCTCTTGTGGCCACAGAAGGTCCACCGGCCTCGTCGCGACTCAGCCTGCGCTCGCGCGTATCGCGTCAAAACTCGCGCTCTGAGACCGCGGGACGCCCATCGACTGCCCACTAATCGTAATGTCTTCTCCTGTCTTGTACACCGGTACCTAATGTTTTCTGTTTTGCCTTCTTAATTTCTTTGTGTCCCGTCCCATATTCTCTACATTTGCACCCGATCTTCCCCTCTTATATTCTTACGATCTTATTTTACCTCTTTGTTTGATACCTCTTGATGACATGCTTCCATTGAGGGGCTCAACTTCATGTGCTCCCAGATTCTGTTGCGGAACGAAGTGAAGATCTCAGCTCAACTTAATCCAGGCCCCGTCAATGTAATTGCTCTTTGGAATCAGCCTTTTTATTTACTCTAATAAGGTCATTTACCTTCTACTGTCTTTTATTCTTCTTCATTTTGACTCCCCTAGCTGAAATGAAGACACCTGTTTACTTTTGTTCCAGAAAGCCCGACCACCGTCCTGGGAAGTGTCCTGAGTAAAAAACTAAGTGGTAGATGTCGGGTCTTTAGGGCTGTGATCCACTGACCATGTGGGGGGGTGTGAGGGGACACCGGGGTCCAAAAACAGATCAGCTGTAATACGCGACAATTTTTCTTTCTCTGCATAAGAATAGAATGTCTAGGAAGAGATGTCTATACTCGTCCCAGTCCCAGTACATCTATAAGTATTATTTTGCGCATGCAAAGTGGGCTGCTCCAAACCTAGCGCGGCATTTAGAGCAACAATGCATTCAACCCGTTCTACAGTGGTTGGCCGCAACAAAAGAAATATATATAAATATAAATAGAAACCTGCGGATAAAATGAAATAATCTACCTCAGTGAAGAAGGTTTCTGTATTCTATATCATGAAGCTCTAGTGCTATAACAGGAAAAATGCCTTTGCGCTTCGTAGCATATATGAGTAAGTTTCACACCCACACCCACACCCCCTCCCGACCACTAAAGATAAGTCTCCTGTGTATGCCTTCCTTCCCCATCAGCTAGGATTCCGTTCTCCATGTCATTCTCACTGTTACCCCGCCGGCGATATACAGTTCCCTCGTGAGCAAAGTTTCGCGGCGTAGGGAGGGCTTGGTCGCTTGGTCGGCGACGACGCACAAGCTGGTACCCACGGTCCAGCTCAATTTCCACAGCCTCGCGGACTTTCAGAGCGCTGATAGCAGGCCAGACGCCACGCTCACCCTTGAGCGTCCACTCTGCAATGCGGGCGCGAGTAGGCTGTTGGAAGAGCTTGGGTAGGTCTTGGAATGTGAGGTCGGGAACGAGGGTGAGGTTGGGGCCTGGGATGGTTTCATCGATCAGGAGGCGACTCAAGGAGCCGGGGAGGAGGTTCATGTAATCTAATTGGCGGAGGCGGTGGCGGATCTCAACGAGCACTAAACGCATCACGGATCGGGAGAGGTTGTTCCAGCCTGTTTGGTGGCGGTCGAGGAGATTGAGCTCGGAGCGGAGGAATGGGATCAAGTAGGGCCGGGCCTGGGAGACGATGAAGTGGTTTACGTTGAAAAGTTCAGCGATGCGAGAGAGGGGAGATTCGCCGTCGTTGTAATTGATATGCCGCCAAGGTTGAAAGACGGCGTCCTGGGTGAGCGGCCAAGGGACGATTGAACCGGTCTCATCCTTGCAATAGATAGTGACGGGGGAAGAGATAGTAGACGAAGACGAGGCATTAGATGCTGCGGCAGCAGACCAGATCAACTAGTAATATAAAAAGGTTAGATAAATACTCTAGGAAGGAGGGCAAATCGGATGAGATTGAGACATACCACATTCGGTGCCGTCAAGTAGTTGAGAAGATTAGGGGTACCAGTCTTGCCAGCAGTAGCAACGGTAATGTTTAAGATCCGTTTAGACCTGGCATAGGCCTCTTCGAAGGTCAAGTCACCCACATTGACACGGACACATTCTTCGAGGAGCTCCATGTCGAAAAAATGTCCCTTTTTGAAGAATCGTTTTAACCGCCTAAAAAATGTTTGGATCCAACTGTCGGGAGGAGTTCCTTCCGCGCCTTTCTGTCGGCGATCAAACGCAGAAAGATCAATAGTATCGCCATCCAGCAGTGCAAGAAGTTCACTTTCAGGATGTATACCCACAAGTGCAGCGATCATTGCGCCAGTAGCAGTACCGGTGATGATCCGCGGCAGCAGCCCTTGAAGGTGCAGAGCCTTGACGACGCCCAAATGACAGAGCCCGAAAGCCGACCCGCCCTGCAGCAGCAGGGTCGTGCGTCCAAATGCTTGTCGAGTATCGTGCAATAGCTCGAGTTTCGCCTGTGAGGTAAAGACCCCCTCGTGTCCGGAGTCTGGCTGCAACGAAGCAATATACTGGATTGATAACGCAACCTGCGTGATATAGTCATCGATCAAGAGTTTAGTGCCAGCGTAAGCATGAGTAAACAGCTTAGTGGAGGTAATATTGCCGAGGTTGCGGACCAGTCCAGACCGAAGCAGATTGACAAGTGTCAAAATATCCTCACTCTCACGGGCTCTCATTAAGGACTCCATCCGCCCAAGGATAAGCCGATAGTCATAGTGTCGACTGACAGGATTCTGCCGCCTAGGCAGATAATTAGTTGATGAACAGATCAAATAATCTCATTGCTAAGTTGCCATACCAAGTGTCTTTACTCAGGAGCTCGTCCAGCTCGAACGCAGCCTCCTCCCACTCCTGGTAGGACTGCGCCGTGGCGAGTGTTTGAAAGCGCCGATTCTTGGGCGACTTCGATTTCCACCATGACAGCAGCTTCTATGGAATTATGAGCCTAGTTTTAGTCTTCCTTTTGGTCTGGGATCCGGGTTTCGAGCTGGGATTCAGCAGAGATGGTGGGTTGGCGGGCAAATCCAGCCAGCAACCCCCCTTTCTCCGCCATTCCCCGCGTATACCCCAGCCCCAGCAGGAGTCAACAGGACAGCACACTCACCTGTTCCCAGAACTGCGTAACATCCAGCATCATACTGTAGATGGCGGACAGTACGTTCCACAGGCCGGACAGCCAGGACCCCATTTTTGCGCGGTCGAGGACGTCCAGGTCGCTCGGGGGGAAGCTGCTGGTGGAGCGGCGCTTTCACATGCTAAGGCGTCACGCGCGTGATAAGAAGCCGTTCCAAAGAGTAATCTATGGACTTGGTCTTTTTTTATCGGATCGCTCTTCTTTCGGGATTAGAAAGCGTCAAGTGAACGCGGCGTTGATGTGGGGTTTGTAGTTGGAAAAGAGGTGGCCGTCCTCCCGAGCATGAAGGTCGTGAGGTTAGAAGTTAGGATTCGGCAGGGGTCGCACTCAACGAAGAGCAGCATGCACATAATTCTATACCACCAATACATAGACTTGTATACTCGAGTATATCCTTGTCTACAGAACATATCATGAGAAGAGAAAAAAAAAGAAAAAGCCATGCCAGAATGGACGCGACAAGGTCTTTCTCTACAGAGCACAAGGCACATGCACTAGCAGGAGAGGCAGTGTGAATCGTGAACAAGCACGGCAATTGTATTGCGCACTGTTTTTACATGTCTCATACAAAGAAGCCATCAAGATAGGGAAAATGTGAATTTTTGCAAGGTCGTTTGTTTTTTTGTCATTCCGCTTTGCTTCCCTATATGCAAGTAGGCGAAATTAAAAAGAAGCTTCTCCCGGACACCCGATCCCAATTCAAGCGTTTCAAGCGTTAATTCTTTACTCGGCCTCAATGATGTTGCCCCGCTCCGACACGTACAGACCGTCCAAGAACTGTACCAGTAGAATTAGCATATGGGCCTCGTGAAGTCCCCGGCGGATGAATCCGATTCGGAAGAGAAGGAAAATTAGAGCTCGAGTAAACTCACCTTACGGATATCCTTGTTGCGGACACGGCAGATCTGCTGGATGTCGGCGGCGCTCTGGGAGACAGCCTCCAGGGAGTTTCCGGAGAGCTGGAGCTCATCCTTGACGTTGGGGGAGGTGATAACCTCAACGCCAGCCTGGGCAGTGAGACGGCGGACGTACTTCTCGCCGAGGAAGTTGCGGATCTCGATCTCGGCGCAGCCGGTCTCAGCGTTCTTCTCGATGTTCACGTTGATGGGAAAGTGAGCGTAGACGTAACGCATCTTGTACAGGAAGCCGCGGGTGACACCGATGATCAGGTTGTTGATGAGGGTGCGGACGGTGCGCAGGGTAGCGACACCCTTGCGGGCACCGTGGTGCAGCTCGATCGAGATGATGTTGGCCTCGGGGCGGCCGAAGGTGACGGCAATGTGGGAGAGGTCCTTGACGAGCTTGCCGCGGGGGCCCTCGACGGTCACAACCCGCGAACGAATGTGAACCTTCACTGTAGAGAGAAAAAGAGAACTAATCAGCCGATGTTCCTTATTAGGCACGATATGCCCCTTCTAGTCCAAAAGTGTGTGTGATCCAGAATAGATCAAAATCAAAAAAGCACAATCCTCCTCTTGTCGCTTGTGTGGTCACTTGTCGAAAGGAATAGCGGTCTTTTCATTGTCGAGTAGGAAGATACTGCTTCCCTGCTGGAATTCAGGTGAAGCACTTCCCCTGCCCGTGAAAGAGGTGCGACCGCAAATTCCACCACACTTTCCCACCATCCATGGCCTCTCTCGAAAATCAAGAAAAAGTCGCAAGCTCACCATTGTCCGGAATGGGCAGCCGTTCCTCGGAGTGAATGTACCGCATCTTGACTGCGTGGGTGGAATTGGCCGAGGGGGGTGAATTGTCGATGTCGGGAGGATCAAAATTCGGGTTGGAGTTGATGGTGGAGCGAAATTGCACGTCACGGGATTGTGCGTCGCTTAGGGCCCGTTCCGGTCTAGCGTAGGGTTGCTTATCGGGCGATCTTATCATCACGTGATGGTATGGATATTTCTACATTGGTGTTTGTGGCCTGACAAAATGGGCTGTCAATATATTTGATGCCTTGGTTGGTGCCTTGGTGGCTGTGTTTTAAGGTGAAGTAAAATGACAAAGTCTCTTTTCAAGTTCCATACAGCATAGACACTATGTACAGCCAGGCAATTTACGCGTAACTAAACAAAACCCGCTCGGCCCTTTTCTGGGACATGATGATAAAAATGAAAAAAAAAAATTACACTGCATCCAGGACAAAGCTCCAATCTCACAGATGTTCCAATTCTGGAGTCTTATGGCTGACATCCGAAATCCACTTGCCACCAAGTTGACGCAGCGTCGATGCCAGCTCGTCGCTCTGGTCCAGGGCAGCAATATCATCTCCGCCACCAATGCTCTTGCCATTGACAAGAACATTCGGTACCGTCCGTCTTCCAGTATTCTGCGCCAAGAGCTGCTGCAGTGCTGCTCCGAGCGGGTGCTGGTCCAGCTCAATGACATATGGTGCGGGCGAGATGGAGTAGTGGTCCAGCAGAATGGTCTTAGCTTTTTTACTGAAGGGACAATAGGACTTGGAGAAGACGATGACTAGAGAGAGACAGCAAGCGTTAGTCCCATAGATTCTCTGTAACTCCAGACGCGCAACACAAGAGGGAAGAAAAAGAAAAGAAAGGAAACACAACACATACCAGGTGCCTGCTTCAGAATAGTATTCAGCTCGTCCTTGGCATTCTCGTGCTCCGGATCTTCCTCTTTCTCTTCAGGCTGTTCCTTCGGAGCCTCTACCACACCCGAGTTCGACAATGAGTCCTGACTGCCCTTCTTCGGGACACTCATCCTAGTGCGCCCGGCGATGGGAATCTCCTCCATCTCGGCCTCTTTATCCTGCGCCGGCGGTATGGCCGGGTGTTCGATAGCGGCGCTGTCCCCCTGGACACTCGCGACATTTTTTGAACTGACCGCTCCGACAGGATCGTGGGCCTTCTCTGCCGCGAGCGCTTGTTTCGCCGCCTCCTTCACTCGCATCGCCTCGAGAGTCGATCGATAAAACTTCTGGTTCTGAATTTTGCTGGCCTCGCCCTGTGATACGTGTGGTATAGATTAAAATCATGCGGGGAGCAATAAATGGCAGGACGTAGGGCTGAACGCGGGCATGGCGGAGTGATCTCATACCGAATAATAGAAGCACATGCAGATGAGCGCGATAGCTGCGACCATGAGGAGCCGCATACGCCGTTGAGAAGGCATACTGGGCGGGGCTGGATCGTCAGCCGCTTTTCAAATGCGTTAGAGAATCGCAACGGTTCTTTCGATCGAGGATAATAATCGAGAGGCCGGCGACCATGAAAACGTCCCGACGCGACCCTCCAATTTGGTAACGCAATGTGACAGGTTGGCCGGGCGCCAAGAAATCCCCCGGGTAAGCTTCAACAAGGCTGCTTGGCGGGCATATGAACGCCGTGCAGTACAGATTCAGTGCAATTCGACACAACAACCCTGAATTGTGACCGTGTGAGGTGAGACACGTTCGACACAGGACTGGGCGGAACGGGTGTGGGGATTGCTTCCGAACTCCCAGGGGCCAAGGCCATCCCTGAGTGCGGGACTCAGTCTGAGCGTGATGCTTGGCAGGAGTCAAAGCAACGTCACGGGATATTGAGGATACGCACACACTGGCAATGAAGTATGATATGAACTATGGAAAATTCGTACGAAAAATAGATTCAAAGATGGAATGAGATCAAAGCTGGCATGGGTATTATGCTAAATAACAGGGTTTTGGTCGAGGCGCGACTCCACATGAATCCATAGACGGGCGTACATCGGCCACTATTAGGTTTATGTAATATGGGTATGTATGGTGGGTGTTAAGAGTGTAGGGAGTGTAGGGAGTGTAGAGAAAGTCACAGCGATGGGAGGAACTGCAGAACCAGCTGTAGCGGAGGGATCGGGGGGAAGACAATTAAGTAGAGGACGGCTATGAAGGCCGCATTTTGATGACGGGGCGACGGGGCATAATGCGTAGGGGTTCGGTAGGCAGAGTGGAAACTGAAGAAGATATTAAAAGGACCACAGAAGTCACTGCCGCAAGAAGCAGAAACAGCTGAATATGGACGAGGCGGGTTGGTTCAGGTTCGTTTAGGTATTAATGGCAAGACCAGGTCGAGAAGAGTGGTGAGCAGTAGCGCCTCTTCGCTTTCCCTGAACGATGGTCGTCCAGTCTTCCCATTCTTTCGCGATTTCGGTCAAGACACTGCCCATAACGCCGGCGGAGGCCATGAGACCGTGACCTTCGCCTTCGAGAATTCGCACTTCGCAGCGACGCATTGTCTTGCCCAACCATTGGACATTCTCCACGGGCACACGAGTATCCTTGCTGCCGTGGTGGATCACGACGGACCGGGTGATATCCACATAGCGGAAGCCAATAGTCTGACGGCGTTCTAGGCAAATCAAGAGATCAACAGCCGGATTGGCATTGGCCGTCGCGAGTTCCCAGATCCGGTGGGTGAGTCGAGTGTCATAGTCACGCTGTCTTTCACGCTCTTCTTCAGGAGACTTCGCACGAGACCCCAGGGTCGCATCGCTTTTCCGGGATCCAGCATGGGATATATTAGATAGTTTGGCACTAGAACCAAGTGGGGCGAGTCCATCAGGTTGCGCCTGTGCATCATTCGCAATACCCGAAGGGACATCTGGAATGGGAGGAACCAGGTCTTCCTTGGCTGTCTCTTTGGCTGTCTCCTTTGTGGGCTTCTTCTTGGATCGTCGTGGGGACTTTGGCAAGCTGGTGGTGATGCTAGCACTTGTGGCACTCATGAAGCTGGTATTGGCCACCTTCAGGATGGATGTGGGAAGAGCCCGCAGGATTCGTTGAGAGTACGGAACGGCATTTGTAGGGGCAGGGTCTTTCTGGGACCCGATGCTGGAGAGCTGAGAAGGGGGTATCCAGGGAGCAAGAAGATGGATGCGCCCACGAATATGCTGGGGAATTCGAAGGGCGGTCGCAAGAGCGTAGATTGCTCCGGCGGAATGAGCGAGGATGGAGAATTTAGTTACTCGGAGATAATTACAAACAATAGCGACGTCATCTAGCGTCTGTCAGCATCAAGGACAAGTTTGTGCGTGTAGAAAAGACTGAAACTTACCAGGCCAGCTGAGCGGAGTGCTTGGTTCATCCAGCTGGTGTGGTCCGCTCTCACCCACACCAGGACGGTCCAGAGTCACCAAGCGTAAGTTGAGGGTCCGAGCTAATTCATCATAGAACGCCATGAGATATCGAGTGAGACCCATACCAAGACAGCAAAGCACCACATGGCCCTTGGGATCACCGACTTCAGAAAATGCGATACTACGCCCAGTAGCGGGATGAACAACCCTTTGGGTGAGTTTCGGAGAGAAGATATAATCATCCACGGCCAGATCGATCGAATCTGCACTGGACGGTCTCTCAGTATTGAGTGAGGTACGACCAACTAAGCCAGGACCGGACGGCGTGCGGCGATGTGACTTAGTGGGGGTCACGGGCTCTAATGATCGTCTATATCGTGTTTTCTCATTCTCATGGTTTTCCGCATGCTTTGGTACTTGAGGGGAGAAGTTTGTAGGCTTGGATGCCAAAGGTGCACCCGGCTTCCCCGTACGGCTTTTTCCAGTCATCACAGATGGCGAAGGCGCACTCTCATTCAGAACCGAATGCTCGCTCTTGGACGAAGTTAGAGGGGTTCGCCCTAGGTCCACTTGACTTGAGCTGCGCGAGCCCTTTGACTTCATTGGCGTTGTCTTGGTGGACCTTCCAGGGCTGTCGTCGACTTCCAGCTCGGTCTTGATTCTCTGCTGCTGGTCTTTCAGCTCTTGAATTCTCCGTGTGACCTGCTCCGCGTCGTTACTCGAACCTGGCAATCCATTTTCCGAGGTAGATTCTTTGCTGGCCGTGGATGAATACCGGCTATGACGAGCAGATCGCCGCTTCTTCGAGGCTGAGGATTGGCTGTGTCGGTGACGCAGAGACGAATCACGGGTAGGGATAATCCTACCACTACCGATGCCGCCCGGGCTGTTGTGGTGATCGGGTGTGTTCTGAATTGAGGGCAGTTCTTTATTTGGCGGGGTGCTGGCCACCAAAACTTCGCTCGATTCCTCCTTCAGGCCATGAGGCGCCGTTTCTTCCGCGACGTCCGCCATGGAGTGCAAAGATCGGATACTAGCCCGGCTGCGAGGAGTATTTTGTCGCAGGCTGTCGCTATAGCTGGTTGTTCGTCGCAAGCGATCGGCCTGCGATTCCTTGTCGCCCGAGAACTCGCGCGAAGATTTCTTCAGGAGCCCGAAATGACCTTTTAGGCTCTTCGTTCGGCCGGCGGAGCTGTTGGACGCGATGCTGGGGGCTTTCGAGACACGGGGGGCCGGCTCAGTGCTGATCGTCCCGAACGCAGTATCTTCCGGGGCGGCCCTTACAGACGTATAGGAATCCCTCGACGCCGGGCGGGTGGATGAATCGGTCGTTTTGAAGGGTTTAAATTTCGGAGAGCGAGGGGACTTGGGTGACGGAGGCGCTCTGGCCATGCGAATGACAGGTGACGAGGCCGCATCATCTGGATGCAAAAACGGACTGTGCGGGGGCTCTTCGACCGCGGCGTAGGTGCCGTAACTCATGCCAAAGCCATGCTGCTTGGAAGGAGGAATGGTAAAACACGGTGCGGTGTGTGGAACCTCTGGCAGCCCAGGATCGGAGGAATCCTTGGAGTCGATTCGGGGCACGTTATCGAAATGCGAGTTCAGGGGCACGGAGATCGTGGACAGCGATGAGATCAACGAGGAGATGACTTCGGGGGACGTTGGATCGGCGGACGAGGAAGCTCCTTGGCCGCGCGAGGGCAGCGACTTGCGACGGCGACGACGACTGAGCAAGGCCGACTCCGCTTGCTTGGGCGGCGCCGGCGGAGTTTCGTTCAGATGCATGGCGTTCAATAGTTCCAAGGAAAACTGATGGTACAACCCGGGAACGGGTGGCAGCCGAGTCCGAGTCCGATTGTTTTCCACCTCACCCAGGGTTATCAGGGTACTTGTTCTGGGGTCAACGAGATATGCAGGGTGGGAGCGCAAATGAAATGACAGCGCGCATGATCTGCTGCAGTCGCTGGATCACTGCAGTTGGTTTCTCTTTTTGGGGAGGGTGGGCGCGCCGCTCTGGCGGGTTTTGCGTTGGGCCTAGTGAACCCCCCTTACAGAGCGGGATCCGGAGGGTTGGTCGAGGAAAGCGAGAGATGACAAGGAAAATAGGAGAAAGGGAGTGGCAGGCGAGAAAGATGATCACGTTGAATTAAGGAGTGGCTGGAGAAGAAAAGAGAGCGACAAGAGTATTAGAGAGGGGAAGTCTTAGAGTCGAAGGGGGAGGGGGACCCTAAAGGATAAGAATCTCAGGTGAACGAACTAACAGCCGGAATCCTAGTAAATACTAAATACTGTAATCATGTCTACTGGCCTAAACCTTCTCCAAGCGGCTATGATTTTTTTTTCCGTTTGGCCCATCAGAATAAATTAGTTTAGCGTTTACGCCTTCAGCTCCACCGATGGATCCCAATTTCCCACTCGTTTGTGACCAGTGGCCCAAACAGGAAGCACCAACACCGATCCCCATCCCCTGTTCGTGTTGGGTTGGAGGAGATCGGAGAGTTTGGGGAAATGCAAAAAATCGGAAGACCCAAATGACCGAAGTCGAGCGAATGTGTGGGATTGATGGGTCTCTTCAGAGTTAATTGTCTAAAGGTAGCCGGACAGGGAGAGGAGAGGATACCCAGTATATACTCCGTCTATAGTTTTGCGCACAACGATGGAGCCGAGAGATTGTTCGAGAAATCCACGTGGGAGCTGTCGAAGCCAATCTCAACATTCTAGAAGACCCTTACCGGAGCAAAAATAGAGTACCCTGCCCGATCCTCGCGGTAGTCGACTCCATAATGCCTGTGCTGTTGGTCCTGCTCACACTACGAATAATGCAATGTCAATGCTGCTAATATTCCGGTCCAACTTGGGCCATGTCGATCGGCGGGTTACCCGCAATCTCGGAGATTGAATTATATCGTGCCGCATTCAAGCTGTTTGGGGGCTATCGAAACCTACTAGTCTAGGGCAACTATATCCGACCGATATCCCGACTCGGTCGAGGGAGTACCCTCGTAGAAACCACAGGTGGAGGCACCTATCTGTATGACGGGCTATATGTACCTACCAATTATCATGATTGACCGATATTTATATATGTAGCGCCTTCGATTGAGCCATGTGCTCGTTGGTTAGTGAAACCTTCCGCGTCCCACTACGGATATATCTCGACCACCACCTAAAATATATATATCCCGATTGCGTATCAGGGCCCCGACCAAGCAGAACATGGGGATACGTATAACTCGGTATAGAGACCTGCGAGGTCTTTTTCTTTCTTCTTGAGCCGAACAAAATCAAGCAGGGGAAAAGGGTTTCTGAGTTTGATAATATCAGGATTCTATCTATTGGCACCCACTGGAACCACCGCGGCATCTAAACAAACACGGGTCGTGTCGATGCTGACCGCCCGCCCGCGGCAATATCCCGACACCCTGGAGCTCCCAAGGATGATCCAGGATTATTCTGGATTATTCACCGTGCCAGCATTTCACCACACGGACTATCTGTGTTCTTCCTTTCAGTGTCGCACAAGATTTTGGGGCTGCCGTTGAATCGCCATCCATTGACCCGCCCTGGGGACAGTATCGCCTTTATAGACATGCGGTGACCAAGACCACGCATCCTACTCTTGTCCGCAATGGACGCCTACCCGCAAGACTACGTCAACCACAACCTCCCGCTGGTCCTACTTACGGGCCTCGAGGCAGATATTGAAGATGACACAGGGTCCGCTGTCGACTACCCTCTTCTGGAGGAGAGGGGCACTAAGATCTTCTCCGACTTCCCACCGTTGAGCGGGGCGATTGCGGAGGAGTTGCGGAGTACTCTTTTGGAGCAAGATGGCTCCCAGATGTCTTGGAGATCCTCTCTCAATTCCAGTGCAACTTCGTCATCACTACAGCTAGGGTATCGGGTCAAGAGCACGGGTCGGGTAAGCGCTTCTTGTCACCGCACTGCTGCAAGCAATTCGCCGAAGTCAGCGAGCCGTCTTGGTATGCAGGAAACATGCTAACTCTCATGTAGACTTATAGGCTCCCTCCGCGCAAAGCAGATCCCCCACAGAACTCCTCTCCAGCAAGTCCGACGACTACATCGGACGGGAGTCCCTCGGGGTCCAACGCACCATATGTCCTCCACTCGCCCATTTCCCCGTTGACTCCTGGCTCCCCGACCTTCCCAGATGGTCTCCTCACTCCAATGTGGGTGACGAAACACCAAGAGATCGTCCCGGCAGCAGTGATCAATTTCTTCCCCCTTTCCCTCGACCCGAACATGGACTCACTACGTGACAACCAACTGAAAATCGAGATCAATGGCCTGAAAAAGGAGTGGGCATCTTCTGGGTTCAAGACGCGCTTTTTGGTTGTGCTGATATCGGAGGAGGGGGATGGAGGCTATGCTGGCGAGATCGATGACCGTGTTGCCGGGATTCGGAGAGCAACAAATTCGGATCAGAAGTCTATTTTTGTTATTCCACCGGATGCGACATCCTCCGAACTACAGGACTTTGCGAGATCCTTGTTCTCTTTACTACAGCCTTCGGTGGTGGAGTACTATCGTGATCTGTCTAAACACGCTCGGCGAAAGCGGAATCGGAGCACCATCCCACCTCCAACGGCACCGCCAACGAGCGGTACTTCTCAGACGCTATCCCTTCAGGGGTGGAATGTACGCTATGAGTTCAAGCTTGGAATCCTCGCGGAATTCCGGCAAGAGATGGATGCTGCATGCCGAAACTATGAGAGTGCATATGAGACATTATTTGGACAAGAGGTCTTTGAGAACATTGCCGGTTGGGATCCTCGATTTAACGACGCCCGTCTGTTGGGGGACACTCTCGCGATTCGTATCATTCGTTGTCTGTTATGGACAGCTCAAACCACTACCGCAGTGCGGGTTTGGGTTGATCATCGGATCCGTACAAAAGATATTGTCAACCGGCGGGGCAAAGGCAGCAAGAATTATGGCTGGGAGGCCTGGGAGGCGCGCTGGTCTCTTGTTATGGCCCAGCTCATTCGTCGTGCAGAGATATTTTTGCCATCCCTGGACGCTTCTGGTGACCAAGGGATGATGGCCTTTTCTCTTTTCAATCCTCCTGAGAAATCGATCCCCGCAGGCGAACGAGTCACTCCCTGGGAGCAACTTCACCACGAGGGCTATTGGCTGTATCGAGCAGCCACACATACAATCCTCCGGCGGAATCTTGCTCAGCAGATTCCAAAAGAGGATCGCATTCCCCCGGAACAATCGCCTGCCTCCCAAATTGCCAATAAATCATATCTATATGACACATATCTCGCGCCTGAAACACATATTGAAGCCTCACAGCCAGATCAGACAGGTTTTGACCACTCCGGCCTGATACTGAGCTCATTGAACGCTGCTCTCGAGGAATTTTCTAAACGACATCAAACGCGACAAGTAGAGAGGCTCAGCCTCGAGATCGCGGAAGAGTATATGCGTGTGGGCTCCTGGACCGAGGCATATGGTATTCTCGAGCCACTATGGTCGACCATCAGTTGGCGCCGTGCTGGCTGGTGGCAATTGATGGAGAACTTTGGGTGGGCTCTAAGAGAGTGTGCCCTGAGAACCAAGAACGCCGAGACCCTATTGCGGGTGGATTGGGAACTTTTCAACAAGGGTGAGCTATCTTGTATCTACTATATTATAGCTCGGTCATATATTCTAACTTTCCCATCGCTAGTCTTCCCACCGCGATCTACATGGCACTATGACGTTCACAAAAGCCTCGAGGATCTTCCTGCAGAGGCACCCAAGCCCTCGGTCGTGCTTCGAGCTGAGGATGTTATGATGAGCTGTAAGTTTTAATGTGCTTTGGACAACTGTGTTGACTTTTCAAAGCTGATCTCGATATGTCTCAGTGACCTCATCTATTGTTTTTGAGAAATCTGAAGGGAACGTGGGGGAACCTCTCAAGGCCCAGCTAACCATTTCATCGCATGCCCAACCCAACTCGGCACCGATCAGGCTCTCGGAAGTGAAGCTAGTATTTGAAGGCTGCCTCCGCCCTGTGAAACTCCAATCCGACCAGGACCAGAATGCGGATACGACAACGCCTTGTTGTCTTTCGTCAATATCACTCCGTGAGCCTAGCTCTGTTGGTGATTCATCCATACAGTCTCCAACGGGCGGCTTGGCTACCTTGGTTGGAGTTGCCGATCTGTCGATTGGACCATCTCAGACGAAGATCTACAATCTGATATGTACGCCCCGCGAAGCGGGCGAGGCACAACTTGCTTCCATAACCATGCTGGTTGAAGAGGAAAAGTTTGATCTCACTTATGTGATCACCGCTCATGGCCTGCAAGACTCCTACTGGTGGCAGAAAACCCCCAAGGGACCTTCGCGACGAAGAGTCGGCAAGGATCGTGAGACGGGCCGATGCAAGATTATGCCAAAGCCCCCCAAGATCCGAATCTCAACCCCTAATTTGATAGAGACCTGCTACGTCAATGAGCGTGTGGCCTTGAAGATCAAGATCCACAACGAGGAAGACGAGGCTGCTGATGTGTCCGCGGAAATTAGACTTTTCGGTAGCCCCGAGTCTACAACGACTTTGCAGTGGCTAGATGGCCATGGCGATGAAGACCCTTTAGAATCCGGAACCAGTTCTCCGACGGAAGGCCCCTCTCATTTCCTCAAACGGACTGTAGGAGTCATGGACAGTGCATCTGAAAAGGAGCTCACTGTTGTGCTGGCGGAGACACAGGACGCCGCGAAGTACACTCTGGAAGTTTCCACCGTTTATCACCTTGTCTCGGATGTACAGACTCCAATCAGCAAGACCATTACGGTGAATCTTTCTTTCATCCGGCCATTCGAAGCTAACTACGACTTTATGCCTCGCATCCATCCCTTGCCCTGGCCGAACTTCTTCTCAGTCAGTGATGATTTGATCAGTGAAGATCACTCAGCCAAGCCGGGTGGTCTATTTCAGAGGTGGTGTCTCAACTCTAAAGTCGTGTCGTTTGCTCTAGAGCCTCTTGTGATCGATAGGATGGCCTTGAAGCTTCTTAGTGTGAGCGACGGCACGACATGCAACCTTGAACCTGAATACCTCGTCAGCCCAGACACACCACACATCGGCCCCGAAGAACTTCGCGAATCCAACTTTGTCCTCGACATTCAAAAGCTGATCCTGGGTGACCGCCGCCCCACAGCTCTTAATCTAGCATTAGAAATCAGTTGGCACCGGCTTCCCTCTGGAAGCACAAGCTCCACTCATGCTGAAACTGACATCACCACGACTATCCTGGAGATCCCCCGTTTTGTCGTTCCGATGGGCGAGCCGCGCGTCCTCGCTTCCGCATCGGCATCCACTGCCCTATCGGGCTTGATCCACCTGGAATACACGCTGGAGAACCCATCAACCCATTTCCTGACCTTCAACCTGATGATGGAAGCCAGCGAGCATTTCGCCTTCAGCGGACCCAAGACCACCGTCGTTCAGCTTGTGCCCTTGAGCCGGCACGTCGTGCGATACAATATCCTGGCTGCTAAACGCGGGCTCTGGATCCAGCCGCAACTGGTTGTGGTTGATACATACTTCAACAAGACCCTCCGCGTCCTTCCTACCGGCGAGATGCGCGCAGATAAGAAGGGCATTCTGGTGTGGGTGGATGCAGACGATTAAGCATAGCCAGTAGGCGTATACCCTGTCTTCTCCCCGCCCCCAATTCTGGCGAATTTCATGAGCAATGTAATTAGTTATTGAGTAGCTAGCATCTGGCCAATCCAGACATCACGTGTACTTTTCTGGTATTGCTTTGACTCGAAAACTATGATGGTAAGGAAGTTGGACCCCTTCAGGTTGAATTATGTGCGCCCATATGTGCGTTGGCCTGACAGAACTGGCCGTCCATGGCGCGTCCGTATACGTAACGGTCCTGTCCCTTCTTGACATTTTCCGTTTATCCACAGCGGTCCTACTCCCTATCCCAATACCACTCACGCAATTTGACGATATGAGATATGGGAAACCCGTATCAAATATTCCTATGATAGCGTTTCTCTTCCCGGGCGGAACAATTCTAGTTAAGAATTTTCAATTCTACTTCCATTTATGAGACATATGCACAGGAGACTCGTCCTGCAACATGTGCTATTCCTGTCAAATATAAACACCATTCATGAGTCAAGAAACCAAGGTGCAAATCAGGCCTTGCGTCCGACATTTTTGTATGTTTTCGAGTGTTTTCGTCTACCCTGAGGCATTCATATCGACCGGGAATGGCCGACTTTCTTGGAAGAGAGGGGCAAGGATGTAATAGGGACTGGGCCTACCCAGAAAAATACCCTGAACACTGATTGGTGGTTATAATATTGCTGACGATCCCGTCAGATATAGTCTCTATCTGCTAGATGGTTACAATGAGCCTTTCACCGTCTTTGAAAATTCAGCACCTGTTTCTTCATCCGGAAGAACCTTTCAGTGTTGTGGGTGTGGTCGATTTGGTGATCCGATCGGCCATTTTGTGCCTTGCTAGATTCAGCTGCGAGCTTCCCTGGTTCAGTATCTACCCAGATATCACCGTATCACCATATTTCCAAGCTGCTATGCACTAATGATAATCTCTATTGAATGCTGAAAACCCAGCTTATGATCACTGTTCCTGTGTCTCCATATTGCCGTTCGGAAAATAACAGCCATGCTTCCCATAAGGATGAGAATCATATAACCATGACCACTGGCAAGCAACTCGATTTGACTGTGTGCTTGGCAATTAAAAAGGAGCACGCAAACTTGGAAGGGACATGTGAAAATGGTAATCCAGGATTTACTCCCTTGAGCATAAAGCACAAAAAATTATCCCGATGCATAAAATGATCAGGTGCCGAGTCTCCCTTGCGGGTTTCACAGCTTCATCATAAGCACTGTAATGTGCTTTTTACCGCGCATAACTGGGCAATTACTGGGCCTCAAGGCTACATACAGGTGTGGGGCTGCCAGCGGCCTTAGCTCGGAGGACCAGCCTGGGGAGTAACTAAATTGCGACGTTGCCAAGTCAGCCTATCACGCGAGTGTTTGCTCTGGCAAGCCCTTCCCGAGTCCTGCAGATGCTTATACGGAAGGTTATTGAGGCGCCCGTGCTGTGATCTTCTCCTAGGCTACAGCCTGCGGGTTGGTCGAGGCGTGGCGAAGCCACTCAGGGAGTGGACCATGCAAGCCTGGACTTGGACTTGAAACACGACTGGGCCTGGTACTGGGCCTGGTGGATTGTCAGTTCATACGGACTCATGCCGCACAACATGCGGGGTCTCGCCTATACCCGTATAGGACAGACGGGACAGGTGAATTGCAGGGAAGATGAGGCATTATGTACGATGTCGTAGTGACATGAAAACGCCGGCTCAGATGAAGAGGGGGTATGATCGGCAAATTTACCCGACCTTGATGATTTAAAAGGTCTAAACTGAGTGAAGAAAGGAGGCGAGATCAAGACACTCGAAATCTTTCTCTGCTCTTAGGCTCTTGATTGTGGGCAGCATGGCAGTCATTCCTAGCCTTTCGCTCGAAGCAGGCGCGCCGCCACGCATTGCTCTGGCTTTGACAGGCCTGGGCCTGGTGCTGGTGCGTCTGAAAATAACTGAAATGTGTTGCTAAGACTTCTGACCGACCTGATTCATCTGATATAGATCTTGGCATACTTTGTGGTCACAGTTGTATACAATGTCCTGTTTCACCCGTTGTCGAAATATCCTGGCCCGAAGTCGATGGCGGCCACACGTATACCCTATATTAGGATGATATTAGGTGGGCGTTTGCCACAACAGGTCAAAGCTTTGCACGAAAAGTATGGCGGAGTAGTTCGTATTGCTCCCGATGAGCTCTCATTCATCGACGGGGACGCATGGAAGGTGATCTATGGTACACGTCCGGGCCATGGGCAAAAGGATAAGGATTATCGATTCTATCCACCAACGGCTGGAGGCGCCCCGAGCATCATCAATTCCAATAACGTGGATCATTCTCGTTTTCGCAGGCTCTTGTCGCACGCATTTTCGGATAGCTCGCTGCGTGGCCAGGAGCCTATCATCCGTGGCTACGTGGACCTCCTGATGCAGCGCCTCTGGGAGAAAATCGAGGATGGCAAGCCCGTCGTAGATTTGGTGTCTTGGTACAATTTCACCACATTTGATGTCATTGGAGACTTGGCGTTTGGGGAGCCTTTCGACTGCCTCAAGAATTCCGAATATCACCAGTGGATCACCATACTCTTTAGCCACCTTCGCCTCGGAGCCTATGCAAATGTGTCTCGACGTTTCCCTGGTTCCAAATATCTTTTACCGCTCATAACACCTAAGCGTATCATGAACCAGAGAAATGCGCATATGGACATGACCAAGGAGAAGGTCAAGGCCCGGCTCACCAAATCGAACGAAAGAGCGGACTTCTTTGGAAATATCTTGAAGTATAATAACACTGAGAAGGGATTCAGCTTCCCGGAAATGATCACAAATGGTAGCACGCTGATTATTGCCGGCTCTGAAACCACTGCAACCTTGCTGTCGGGAGTGACCTATCTCTTGTTGAGGAATCCTCGGGTGTTGGCAAAACTGCAGCACGAAATTAGGTCGACATTCCATAACGAGGATGAAATCACTTTGGAATCCTGCAACAAGCTGGAGTACTGCCTGGCCACTCTGACTGAGGCACTTCGATTGTATCCGCCAGTGAGTGTCGGCCTGCCTCGCATTGTAGATGCTCAAGGGGATATGATTGCTGGCAACTGGGTACCTGGAGGGGTAAGTACACAAACTATGTTTGGTATATATGAGAAATTTCTCAGTCTCACAAATACATCTTCTTAGACCATCGTTTCGGTCGGCCAGCTGGCAGCAAACCATTCACCCACCAATTTTGTCGATGCGGATCAATTTCTTCCAGAGAGACACTTGGCGGACCTGGATCCACGATTTGCTAATGACTCCAAAACTGCGATGCAGCCCTTCAGCTTTGGCCCACGGAATTGTATTGGTCGGAAGTATGTTTCTCTGCCCCCTTCACTCTTCCTCTTGTTCGTCAAATTGCTAACTCACCGTTTGTTGCTTGGCATAGCTTGGCGTATGTCGAGATGCGTAGCATTCTTGCCAGAATGATTTTCAATTTTGACATGGAGCTTGCAGAGCCTGAAAAGGAGTGGCTCGATCAGGACTGCTTTGTACTCTGGGACAAGCCGGCCTTGAATGTTAAGTTGTCAGCAAGGGACAAGCAACGGTAGTTTGATTTGAGCTATAATAGCAACCGACCTGGGCCATCTTTCGTAGGACAGAGTCGCATGAGCCTGAATGATAAGATTGATAAATAAATTGTTTGATTATCTCACTCAAACTGTGGTATTAGGCTAAGAAATTAAAAAAAATCCATTGCCTTTCCATCCATCCAAGATCGTGTCTATAGAATGCGTCCCAAAAGGGACGTCGTGAAGGGCTAATCACGTGCATTGCCCTTATCATAATCAGGCCCAAACCGGCTAGCGGCGATCGGCCGTCGCAGCTCTCTCCAAGAGCTTCGTCACATTGCCGCTCGTATTACTCTTTTGCCGTGGGCAATCCTGTTGATTCTCTGTGTTCCGATCACTCTGGCCATCCATCTTGGCACTGAGCACGTTGTAGCCTGAGAGGCCCCCCATTTCATCCTCTCCAGACCACCCCTCTCCCCTCAAGCGCTACCCGGACGTGTTTGAACCGACGACCCTCGTCGCAGACCAGAAGCCATGGCGACCCAAGCAGCGCTGATTGCTGACACAATTGTTGGCATGAAACGTGCACTACGCAGAGAACGCGATGGTGAGTCGAACTCGTTCGACACTGCTGGCCCAGGCTCTGTTGCTAACCTCGGTCTTCCTCGGACAGACTCCGGCCCCGACGACGCCATCATCCAACCAACAAACCGCGGCAACAAAATGAAAGCGAACGCGAAGTATGTTCGTGAGGGAGCACTGGGCTACATAAATGCCGAAGAATTCTACAAAGAGGTGCGTTCTGCCTTTTGCCGGGCTACATTCGGGAGATCGCCTCCGCTGCGACCTATTCAAAAGACTTGCTGGCTGACATGCGGTGTCATTTCTCCGAATTTAGAAGATCGAACATGCCGGCTATACCCGTCATATTTTACAGCGCAATCCGATACGATATGATTCCGAAGGCGATGAATTGGACGAGGAGGCTGAAGATTCTGAGGCCGATGCGGCCGCCGCTGAAGAGAACCCATTCTCAGGGATCGCATTAGAAAGTTTGTGACCATGGTTATTGCACCGAAACAACTAATTTCTGCGGGCTAACAAATTTCCTTTCTTTTCCAGCGCTCATGTGTCCGCTCAAGCACCCGTCCGAACTCCCCTCCCATCCTTCGCTGTCCCAACCTTATACCTCACAAGCCATGGAAGATATGACACAGGCAGTCGAGGAAAAGCTGCGCCAAGAACGAGCTCTCCTATGGCGAGCGAGGAATCTACACCGACAATTCCTCGGTGACGGCGGTTGGATGCCTTGTGGCACTGTGGAAACCCTCGACGACCGCTACATTTTTGAGCCTCGAACTGCCGATGACATCAAAAACGCCTCCTTAGCTCAGCAACGGATAAGCGAGTCTGGTACCCCTGTGATCAACGAATCCCTCAATTCCTCCATCAATGGATCCCAAGGGATGCTGCAAAAGGGCATTCTCGGGCAAGAAGGACAACAGGCCCCGAATGAAGTGGAGAATAATGTGGAGATGACTGACGCCCCAGAGGCCACCGCGCAACCAGCGGCTGCCAATGATGTCCCAGAACCTCTTCAGGGTGTGAAATCAGAAGAAACCGATGCTGCTGTCAAAGATCTGCCTCAGCATTCAGAAGAGTCTGCTGCAAGAGGTAACAATATCAGTCTTCCAGCCAGCCAGGATGGAACTTTGGGCCGCCGTGAAAAGCAGGAGGACATAGATATATCCAAGGACGGCGAGAAGGCCGATACGGACGAGGCTCTTGAGAACGAAACCGAACAAGATGAAGAGATGCAAGATGGTTCGTCCCCGGAGCCACCTCGCCGAATGACCACTCGCGCCCAAACCAATGCGGTCAACCTTCCAGAGGCTGGAAACCAATCCCCCACGTTCTCTACGGATAGTTCCAATACCCTTCTAGTTCCTCACCCGCTATTTCTCATTCCTGAAAATGTTCGCCCTGACGCGAACTTTGGTCTTCCCGCTACCGAGGCCGAGGAGACTCGTCGACTCTTGTGGTCCTATATCCAGAAACAGGAGGAGACCGTGCGCGGTTTTGAACATATGCTTGACTCTCTCCTGCGCGCCTGCCACATGAAGGCCGACGTACTCGAGTGGTGCAAGGCCGAGGGCCACGTTGGCGAGATGAGCGATGGCGAAGACTGGTACGACCGCGAGAAATGGGGTCTGGCCGAGGGCGAAGATCTCAAGAAGGGCACCGACGAAGACGATGTCGAGACTGTGGACGAGAGCCGCACGACGGCGAAGAGGGGCCGCGGACGACGGCAGTAAAAAGCCTGCTGGGCGACCCTGGCTTTACCGTTGCTTCTCCCTTTCCTTCACTCGCTCCCCGTATTTCATGTCTCTCTACGGTTTTTACTCATTTCTGTCATCTTATTCTGCCCTTTAATGCACTCATAGCGTGGTGTTGGTGGTATTCGGTCAATGTGTGGGGATAAATCTCTCTCCATCTACTTTCGCCCACGGCGCAACGCCCTGGACCATGCGCTGTCAAATATACCCTTCGGAGAACGGAAATAGTCAATTTCAATTTTTCTTTCTTTAATATTCTTTCCACATCCAGCCTTCGTCTTGTATTTTCTAGCCGAAAGGCAGCTCATCCAATATCCTTCATCCGTTAGAACTCAATGAACAACCTCAACTCTGGCGCGAACAATCTGATCTGTAGAGAATCATAGACTCATTTGACCTGCTTTTTTCAGGTTCTTTCTGTGCAAATGGTACCACTTTGAGCGGCGAGCTCTCTCGTACAAAGAGATTTCTATTTAAAATGTCTAAGCTCACTCAATATACACAGGTGGTATGGCTGTCAGACTAGAGCGACTCATGGGAATCTTGAATACTTGGGCTTGAGGGTGTAGATGAAATTAGTTTTATGAAAAAGAAATTATGAAAACGCATAATTTTGAACTTTTTGCCCATTCTCTTTCCATTCTCTTGGGACCATATGTTTGCAACTAACGATGAACGATTCATTAAGTCGATGATCAGGGGAGATTTCGTAATATGCATACATATAACCTGGGACAAGCGTGCCTTCTCTCCAAAGACATGAAGATCATGCCCATAGATCTCTTCGGGCTCGCGTTGACCGGTAACAAGGGACCACAGAAAGTAGTGAAGGGAGAGAGAAAAAAAAAACAATCTAGCTCCTATCCAAAGGCCGTCCATTCGGGTGCATGAGGTTGACCAACACGCCCTTATCACGGCCAAGCTGACGGATAAGGTTACGGTCTGGTTGGAAGGGATCGCCATAAGGGCAGGTGATAAAGACAGTGATCCGGCGCAAGCGCTTGAAGTTTTGGACCTGGTACAACAAGAACCACGTCAACTGACGGTGAATTTCGTCCAGTCTCCGAAATGGCAGGTACTGGTCAATCTGACAATCACGCAGCACGAGGTCGACAATGTGCAGTGGCAGCGCCTCGGCCAGGTCTTCCTGCGCCATACCCCAACCGATGAGGGCAGAGACGGGCAGACGGATAGTGTGCAGATTTGGAAAGGTGCGGAGGATGCCGTGCGTGAGCTTCATCGCCTTCTGTTGGGGTGGGGCCTCATATGCGCCGTGGAAAATGAGTGCAAAGTGCGGATTCAGCGTGAGCCGACGCAGCGTTGGGGCAACATGTAGCAGGCCAGGCTCGATGGCGCCGACGCTACGCCAGGCTTCGAGGCTGGTGGCATACTGCATACCGAGGCGGAGCTGCTCCAGCGAGTTCATCTGGGCCAGCATCCAGATCATGTCTGTTGTGTTAGCCATCGATTGATTTAGAGATAGACACTGGAGACGGCCCAAGTTACATTTGGCGTGGGGGATTTGCATGGCATTGGTGATGGACTCTGCAAGCTTGAAATGCTGCATCCACATCCCGAGGGACTGGAGTGCAGGGAGGAAGAACCAGCCCAGGAACTGGGAGTCGTTCAATCCTTCCAGGCCACCGAACATGGGTACCTAACCTTGTTCGGCGTTGTAGGCCATCAGGCGGGGAGAGTTGTTGCCGTAGTCCACGACTCGTAGCCGTGTGAAATCCGACATCACACCCGCTGGAGCGTGGAGGAGAGCTTGAGTCATCATCAGGCCTGGATAACCGTGATCCAAGACAAAAGAGCAGTCTAGCTTGAGGGTCTGGAGACCATGCAGCTGGGAGATGAGGATTGCCGCGTACGCATTAGCTTGACCTTCATTCAAGGCTTCTTTCCACTGAGTGCCGTTTGCAAAATTCCCCTGGCGAATGATGCTCAACGCAAAATTCCGGACCGTTGCAAAACCGCGGAGATCCTTCTTCCACTCGTCCTTGGGCATGAATGGCATGAACGGATTGTCAGGGTAGGAGACCGTGAAGCTGACATGCTGAACCAGGACAGCAAGCTCCGGTCTCTCATAAAAGGTACGGAGAAGCTTCAAGATCTGCAAAAACGGAATGGGGAACCACTCCCAGAAGAGAACTCGGTAGAGAATCGGCTCGGCAGACGCTCGCAGCTGCTTTGATGCCATGCTCACAGCCGACACATCGCGCCGGTGAAGGCATTCTAGCACTTGAAGCCAGCAGTCAAGAGGAACCCGGGTTAATGGACAAGCCTGGGCTCTTGCGGGGATATCCTGACTCATGGGAATATTTTCCTTGGTTACATAACTCTCAATAAGAGGCGAGTCTTGCTTCAAAGACCCGAGGGACCCCGAGAGAGCAACGCGACGCGTAGGTGTAACTTGATTGAGAGACATCTCCGCCAAAGGAGCCGAAAGCATGCGACGGAGTTTTGACCTGGTCATCATTTTGATAACTGTGCTGTGGCTGAAGCTTGCAATTGCAGAATGTTAAAATACCAAGTTTGCTCCAGGTGTCTTGAAGCGCGTTGCAGAATTAGTATAGATAAGGTAAATAATGATATAGGGATTAGGAGGCTCACCGGATTCACATGAAAGTTAGATCTGAGGCCTCCAGATGATATCAAACGAGTGTAGCAGAGTGGAAATGAATGTACTGGTGCTCACGCTTGGCGGGTTTTGATGTAAACAAACGAGTGTGAGAGGAAGCAACATGCAAACGGGAGAAACTTAGGATAGAAGATTGGAAATGAGTGAGAGAAGGTAAGAGGGATCGCGAGGCTAGCGTGTCAAGAAGAAGATTTGTAGCAAGAGCCACAGAAAATGTCAGTTGTGGATGATTTAAAAAAAAAGAGGAAAAGTAATAATGCCAAAGTCGAAAATAAGCTATTTGAAAGCATTTCTGGCCGAAATTATGAAGTACATTGACGAAACACTTTCCAATAGGAGATGAAATACTATGAACTTACTGAACTGCGCGAGTGAGTTCAGCATTACTTCGATATCTTGAGCAATTACTCGTATCTTCACTAAGTGAGAACACAAAAGCCTTAATATGTTGACAGTTCTGCATGTGAATTGATTGAGAAATGTCATTTAAGAGACAAAGGACATGAAAAAGGTCTATTGATGTAGAGCTGCTGCGTGAGTGTAAGATGGCTCTAATGTATCGACCAAGAGAAGAATCAACATAAAATTCAAGTATATTCCAAAGAACGTAAACAATTCTATTGAAACAGTAATACCAAGAAAGGGAAAATATCTACAGCTTCATCGAAAAGAAAAGAACAGAAAAAGAACAGAAATCGAAAAGAAAGAAAGAGAATAAGAAGAAGACAATTTCTCAATCCCAAATCTCCAACGTCTCAGCAACCAAGAAGATCTCATATTTGGCCAATTTACAAGCCACCGGCAGTACAAATCTTCTCTGCCTCCGCGACACGTTCCGCGTAGCGAGTCGGATAGGCCGACCCCTGGACTTTCTGGCAGAGCGTACCAACATCCATGGTCTTCCAGCCGCTAATGCCCTGCATCTTCTTGTAAAACTGGGCCGCAGACTTGCCAGCATCCATATCGGCCGCGATGTCCGGATAGTACATGGCGCGCTGCTGGAAGATACCCACACTGTCGTGGTCCGAACCAACCTTGTCGTGCGGGTAGTTGAGAGACTCAGGGACGGCATTGTTGGCGTAAATCAAGATACTCGACTGTGCAACTGTGCTTAGCCGGGGATCTTTTATGGTATGAAGTTTATTGGTGCTTGAGTGCTTACCTCGACCAGTGCAGTCGCAATACCAGCCGTGCAGCCATGATGACCAAGGTCTTCGCTCTTGGCCTCGGCGATGATCTCCTTTGCATGGGCAGACTGAGTCGAGCTCAGTCCGGGCAAGGTGCCGTTGCTGCCACCGCTGCTACCGCCGTCGCACTTCTCTGTCACGTAGCCGGTAGTGCCAGTCTTGACGTAGTAGTCGGTTACGTAGCAGCCGTCCGAGGTTTTGTCCCAGAGCTCGTCACCATTGATGCTGGTACCAGTAGCTTGGCAGGTGATAGAGACTTCTTCGCCTTTTTTGTAGCTCTTGACCACGCTGTAGCTGGTGCCAGGGCCAGAGCGGCAGTTGACACCGTCACCACTGATGGGATAAGCGCTGGCCAAGGGGACCGTGACGGCAACGGACAGGGCGATGAGTGGAAGATACATGTTGCTATGAGATCAGAATTTGGGTATTGATCAAAAGACGAAAAGTCAGTAGAACAGTGAGATTGAGGGGTTTGTGTCGCTAGGATGAGAAGCTTGTAGCTTGTTTTGCTGTGGAATGGAAAACAATATCTCGACTGGAATCCAGGGCGACTTTATACTTCTCGTCGGCCATACTGACGCTGACATGGGGAGCATTCGTGTAGTCATATTGTTCTCGGCTAGTGACTATCAACATCATTCCGTGTTAGCGTAGTTTACTTCACATTGTGGCATAAAACATGCCGATCCTTCAGGTGTGGCTCGTATAGGGCTGTCAAGGGAGGGTCCATGGGAGGATGCGAGGCTATTTTTGCCATCGTATCCGGAGCTTCTAGCAACCAACCCATACTCAATGTGCTCGAAATGAAGAGCTACGGGACTAGTTTGGCCCCAGGGTAGGATGACCCCAGAGCCCCATCTCGTATGCGTGATGGAAGCGAAGGGCTCTACGAGGTACGGGAGTATGAAACGGATGCGCCACGAGGCTATTCAGAGACGGACTGAAAAGAACGCCAGGAGAAGCATTGTTCAGCGAAGTATTATCGAACTCTCTTGAATGCCGAATTTAGGCATTTTCATTCATTTACATGGAGGGCTACCAAGATGCCCCTGAATAGTAAAAACCAAAGAGGGGATCAGGAACAGGAACGGGAAACAACCAATTCTCATAACCCGCGGAATGTGACCTAAAATAATACGAACCCAATGGAGAATTTTCCTCTCTAGTTCAGGAGAGAACAGAATAGGAGACCGAGTATCGATCTCCTTCGTATTGTCCCATGAATAAGTAAGCGGTCCCCCTAAAAATAGATGCCGATCACCCGTATTCACGGGCACCTCATTAGCAGCGAACAGAGAGCCACTCTGGCTGAATCCGAGCTTGTCCCGTCTTCGACTTCGTGACGAAAGGTTATTCTCCGATGTTCAGGAACCGTTCCATGCAGATAATTCGGTCCAACATGTTGATGTCCGACAGAGTTAGATGCGCTTCTCCACAAGATAAAAGCTCTGGGGCCGGACCCTGGGCTCGGCTCGAGACCTCTCAGCACATACCTACCCTACCTCCCCTACCTCAAAATAGACCTGTCACAGGTAAATGCCAAAAAGAGAATAAAGGACAATATCGGTATTTATAAATCCCATAATTAAACTCGCCGTTTGGAATAGTTATTAGGGATATTACCAATAAGAAACCTATTCAGCTCGATTGGCAAAGGGAAAGAGAAGAAATTCAAACCTTCGATGTGTAACGGATAACTTAGATTATCCCGAAATGGAAGACGAGCTCGGTGTAACGAAATTAGACTCAAATAGCTCGTCTTTTGAACTTGATTTCGTGGATTCACGCCGGGTTCAGAATTGAGTGTGGATTGATTACTGCACTCTAATAATACAATAGGGCACATTGAAAACGAAATTTTGAATAAACGCTCACTTCATGAGAATTAGGGTATAGGGTCTTCATGGTCCACCTAGTCCAGCAAATCCCGCATGGGTTGTCCCATCCCGATCACCATAGCTCTAGTCATAATGGATAATTTACACACTGCAATGAGCTAACAAGTCTCTTCGAAAAATAATTGTGGTCGCAATGGGTTTGGTTGTAACGGTATTCTTTTCGGTAGTCGCGTAAGGGGAAAAAAAATCAAATGGGGACTGAATACCCGTGGCACGGATCTGCAGACGGGTACCCATGGATAACAAGGATGGTCTATCGTCTACTGCCCCAGTATCGTTGAAGATTCGGATGTATCCATCTGCTAGTGAATGTTGCAATCCGTGAGTCTGATGGGGGCATGGACTTCCGATGTCCAGTTTGGTCCGGCCTTGTTTTGTCTCGTATTTTGGCCGGGATCCCGCGAGGTCTCGGCCAGACCTTTTCTAGCGCGGATTGCAGATGTTGAATGCCCTTGCTAACCCGGCCATCTTATGTTCGCTTATTGCTTCTTGCCGCCGGATTTCTTGGCACGCTCACGCTCGCGCTTGGCGTAGATTTCGGCAGTGAAAGGGCTAATATGGAGGTCAGTCGTGCTTCTGGGAGAGTGGATGGCGAATTTATGAATGACCACTTACTCCTCCCATTTCAGGGCGAACCAGTAAAGTACAAAGACCTGGGCAGTTAGAAGAAGGCCGGCGACCTTGCCTTCATAGAGGGCGACACCGAGGAAGTTGAGGGTGCTTCCCCAGTACATCGGCGAGCCGGTCACGTTGAAGGGGAAGCCAGTGACGGGAGCGTCCATAAGGATTCCAAAGTAGTCACCTAGATATGTACCAGTGACACCGAGTGCCCACATGCTGGAGAGAACAAGGACGGATCCCAAGGCGAAGAGAACTCCGCCAATAAGAGGTTGGTGAACCGGGGCATAGAAAGGTTGCTCATCTAGGGCGAGTTTGTAGACATGATCACGCAGAATACCGAGGGAAAATATGGCAACAGCCAGGGCATAGCATCCTCTGTAAGGACCGCCGAAAATGCGAGTCAGGATGTGGTTGTTGTATTCTGTGACAGCATCGGTTATTAGCTGCCCTGTGACCGAAGTACCAATACGTTCTATCCTCCGTAAAGAGACTGACCTGCGCGGGCAACAATGCTGCAGCACGATTCAATTTAGTAGGGTGATTCATGAGGCGCAAAATTTTTCAATGGAGGCAACTCACTTCCAAAAGATTGGATTGAAAGCAATAGTCGCGGCGGACACTGCCAGGGTCAGCGCCAATCACATGCAAAATGCGGAGAAAGGACCAGGGTACGAAACGTGAAGGGGTTAAGCTTACACGCCAGATACGACGAGTTGAGGTCGACAAAATCAGTCAGACTGGCCATCATGCAAAAATCGGCGGTGCGAGACAGAGAGGTGTAGAAGGACAAGGAGGGGGACTAGGCGAAGAGGAGAGTTGGTCGATGGGTCAATGGGCGGAGCTTAAGTAAACAAATGACGTTTCTCCGCGCGGTCACGGGATCTGTATGCGGGCTGCTGGTCGAGTTGACGGGTTTCTGCACAATGAGGACTGCCACTCTACATCTATTGTTTTTTTGAACTCTCTGCATTCTTTTCATTGCCTCTTGAGTTCCGGAACTCTGAGAGAGCATCGCCTTGTTCACCGCCGTTTCCCCTCCCGAATCCCGCGTTGATCACTACGCCAGCGGTCCCCCCGAGGAACTCCTTTCTTCTGAGCTTCCCCAAGAGGTCGTCATGCGACGCGGAGCTCTCAAGCGTGTCCAGGGACAATGGCCCTTCGTCGTCGCGACCTGGTAATAGCGAGTGTCGCCTGTTTTATCGCCTGGGGTCTGGTGGTCCGCTGGCTGCCGATCCTCCGGTATTTCGGATATGCGCTGGGGTTGGGTGCGGCGTTGGTCTCTGGCGGGTTCCTCAGCCTAGTGATCTTGACGACCCGAAACAATTATGAGAAAAGGATCGCTCCAAAGAGCGTTTCTGTCGCATTCATTCACCCAAAATTGTGGCGCAAAGAAATTTTGACTGTTCGCAAGACGGCCCGTTACCGCGCCAAACCGTTATACCCAGAATCCTTCGTCGTCTCTGAAGCAATCGATGAACTTTTGGCCCTCGTCAATCGTGAATTTGTCTCGTCATGGTACCACAACATTAGCCCGAACCCTACCTTTTCGAACGAAATTGATCGCGTCGTCCGCGTTGCGCTCGAGAATCTCCGAGATAAACTGCTGGCAGAAGATCTGATCTCGTTGATCGTCTCACGAGTGTTTCCAATTATCACAGCCCATTTGAAAGAGTTTGATGTCGCTGAGCGCTCGGTGCGTGGGCGAAATCTCAACCGAAATGTGACGGAATCTGAAGAGCTGGATCTGGCGATCGCTAACAAGTTTCGTGAGGGTCGGCTGCACCCCGCGGTTGGGCTCTCGGCGTCCGACCAAAAAGTGGTGCAGCAAGAATATCTACGCAAGATCGCCGTCGGTCTTCTACCTCAATTATTCCCCGAGAATGTGCTCAATAGCAGGATTGTTACCGTCCTCATTCGCGAGATCATTGCGTGCGCCGTGCTTCTTCCTATCGTGACTGCATTGTCAGACCCTGATACCTGGAATCAGTTGATGGAAGCGTATGGGCGAACGGCCTTGCAAGATCGGAAAACAGTGCGCAAGTTGCGTGCGGCGCTGGACGAGCATGCTTCCCCTGCCCCTCGATCTAAACGAGGACAGCCGTTCCCAAGACTTTCACCCCACGACTCCGAGAGAGCTTTCGAGCGTTTTGTTCGTGCTATTAGACGCTGCAACAATCTATCGGATGCTCGTCGTTTCCGCGCCCTTGTTTCAAGCCAGCTCAAGCGGGAGAGCATGGTCGAAGGGCAAGACCAGGTCTACCTCAGACGTCTTGAAACAGGAAAACGAGTTCTAGATCAAAAAGTCGCCAAATTAGCGGTTCCGGGGGAAGCCTCTTCTTCAGCCGTCCTAGCATCGAGTCATGCTCGGCTTGATGCTGCCTCCGCCCCACGAGATACATCTCTTGTAGATGTGATGCACAATGCATCCGGTCTTTCGTACTTCATGGAGTTCATGGATCGCCAGAACCTGATGCCTCTTGTTCAATTCTGGATCGTGGTTGATGGGTTTAGAAATCCACTGGAAGACGACTTCGGCGAGGATTCATCTACTTCAAGTACCTGGACGAGCGCTGATAGGAATGACATGGCGCTTCTTAGTGAGACATACCTCAACAAGCCCGAGATCAAAGTCTCCAAGGAGTCCCGGCAAGCTGTCAAGACCTTCCTAAGCGCTGGCAAGCGTGCAACTGCCGAGCAATATCGTAAGGCTCGAACAGTGGTGTTGACTACACAATCCGCGGTCTTAGAGGAGCTCGAGGGTACCTACTACCCTAAATTTAAGGAATCCGACTTATACTGGAAATATTTAGCATCAGACGAGACTTCTGGCTCTCAGGCCCAGATACCTCGCCCGCCTCCGCCCACTGTCACTTTTAATGCCCCTGAGAGGCGACCCTTGCCTCCTCTTATGGTGCGCACCACTTCCCAGCCTGGCACCAGGCCCTCTAAAGACCTCCGACGAGCTGCGGTTTCATCCAGTGATGTACGTAGCATGGGAAAGATATTTGATGATGATGACTCGCCACGACGTTCTATTGACTCTGAACGGTCTGCGCCTCTATTTGACGACGATTATGATACAGACAATCTTGCCAACTCGACTGCCAGCCTAGGCAAAGATTCACAAAATGGTGACAATGATGCGACTGAGAGTCAAGTCCTAGAGACCATGGAAGCTGCTTTGAACGACATCATAACTAATGAACCCAAGAACGGACGCATGGAGGACTTGCGGAGTAGCGACTTGAGAAGTAGTGATGGAGCTTCTTCCTCGTCCCTGTTTGGGCCAGAGCGCCCGGAGCTTTCGCCTCGTACTTCGTTCGATGTGCCTCGCCCTGATGGCCGCCCGATCGACAAGGCGAAGAAGAGCATTGCGTCGCTCGGGTTAGTCGGCCATGGAGCTCGTCTGGGCGTCTTTGAAGACGACCTCTTCCCGGACCAGCAGAAATTCATCGAAGACGAGTATGAAGAACCTGTTGGTGCCGATGAACAAGATCCCGCGGATGAAGTTCATGAAGCAGCACCTGGTGACCTAGGTCTTACTGAAGCCATTGAGGTTCTCACCACCGATATCGACAAGCTTACAGCCCAAGACTCAGTCGTCGAAGCATTGACTCGAAAGGCTGAATTGACTAACAACACTGCAGAGCTCCGCATTTTGCGGAAATCCAAAGCGAGCATTCAGCGCGAGATTCATCGAAAGGAGATGCAACGGCAACAATATATCATCCAAGAAAGCGACAATAGTTTGTATGGCCGGTCCACCGTCCGTATTAAGTCTATTGTGGTGGGCAAGGAGGAGGATGATGGCCGAGAGTTTGCAATGTGTAAGAGACTCCTATTTTTCGACGCTCACCTCTGCACTTTCTAACCACCCCGCCTTTAGATGTTGTTGAAGTCCAACGGAATGCCGGCGAACAAATGCCTGCTGCATCCTGGGCTGTCGCACGTCGGTATAGTGAGTTCCACGAGCTCCATCAGAAGCTTCGCATGAGCTATCCTTCCGTGCGACACCTAGAATTCCCGCGTCGACGCATGGTCATGAAACTGCAACGAGAATTCTTGCAAAAACGGCGTCTTGCCCTGGAAGCCTACCTACAACAATTGCTTTTGCTTCCCGAGGTCTGCCGCAGCCGGGACCTGCGCGCATTTCTTTCGCAGCGGGCCATTCTCCCTCGCGAAGAGTCCAACCGGAATAGTGAAGGAGAAACCAAGGACCTTGTGACTCGTATCTACAACTCCGTTGCTGACGGCATGGACGACTTCCTGGGTAACTTCGGTGTCCTCGACCAGCTCTCTACAGCCGGTCAGAATCTTATCTCCGCTGCAACCCAGCAGACCAGCTCAATCACGGTGCAGGACCCTGTCCTCGCAACCGAAGACGCTGTCACCGCGGCGGAAGCTGAAGCCGAACTCAACGCCTTCGAAGACCGCGAGCTCGAGCCATTCATCAAACCCATTTGCGACCTTTTCCTCGAAGCCTTCGAACTCAACCGCGGCAACAATTGGCTCCGCGGTCGCGCCGTTGTTGTCGTTCTACACCAGCTCCTCGGCGGCACCATCGAGCGCAAGGCCCGCGACAGCGTCCGCTCGCTCTTCCAAGACGACTCGCTTCTACGGTACCTCACTCTCGCCCGCGACTCGCTCTTCCCTGACGGCACCCTGCGAAAATTCATCCCCCGCTCCGCGCCTGAGCGGTTGAAGAGCCGCGCTGAGGCGACCGTCGTTCTCGCAACGCTCATCCCAGACCTTGCAGGTAACGTCGTCGGCCGCGCGAACGCGCAGGCCGCCGCCCGCCGCATTTTCGCCACTCTCAACAACCAGCCGCTGAATACGCACCTGGCATTCACGGTGCTGGATGAGATCATCCTAGTGCTTTTTGGCAGCCGCGAGCCTGGCCGCTCCCGCTGAAGCGCGCGCTGCTTTTCTTACTTCGCCGGACGAGGTCCTCGAGATCATACCTGTTGATTGCCATGTGCTCATCCCCCCGTTCGTCCTATGTGCATCTACCTGTTTCCCTCTTCCCATCTGTTTTCAGTCCCCTGTCATCATCCAGCATCGCATCTATTTTGTCGCCCTCCCCCCCCCCCTCCTCCCCTCCAGCTGTCCTTTTCTCCAAGCGCTTCGCGACCCCGACTTCCTCTTACCCATTTCATTGTACATACCGCATAATCCTCTGCACATGATACTAGAGACGTAATATAGTTATGTAATCAACCTTTCCTTGATGATTTCAAGATTAAGCTCTCTCCCCCCTGTCCTTGCTGTTCCTGTTCTAGTCCGAGGTAATGCGCCGTGGTGGAGAATGTGGCAAGTCGCCTAAAACTCGAGCCAGCGTGGGTAGTGGGCCTGCCAATGGATGCGGCTGGGCTTTAGCGCAACGCCCACTCTCAACGTCAAGAACGGCCCATTCGGTATGTGCTGTATGACCTGTACGAAGTTTCCTCGCTCTACAAGGTAAGTCTGAGTGCAAGCGCTACATGGAAAAAATATAGAGGAGGACCAGGTTGTCCAGATTGGAAATTAGTGGAATTGATAGTTCCCCATCGTGTGAGAAAGGACCGAAACGGAGGCCGAGGCCGGACACGGAGAAGGGCCCCGGTCAACCGGGTGTTCAACGTGGGCCTATGAGGCAGAGCTGTACACAACACTTTTCCCCCGCCCCACGCGAAGGGACCAGGCATGGTGACGAAGGTGTTGGGAAGAAAAGTGAAGTCTGCAAAGCTAACAGTAAGGCCTGGGGCGACAGCGAATAATAGAAGCAAGAGATACAGGATCAGATAAAAAGAGAAAGAAGAAACAAAGCACCGTAAAGAGAATTCCTTTAAAGCTCAATTTCAACCCGCGCCGTCTCTTAATTCTTGTTTCTACTTCCCGAAGACCAGAGTGAGAAACGCGCATTTGCAGAACAGCCGATGAGGAAATTCCCGTAGAAAGGAAAGAGAGGCGCAAGAACATATCAAGAACCGGGAGTAGGTGGTGCTGCAGCTGAGGGGGAGTGTTCGGAAGTAGAGGGGTCAACCCTTGTCGTTTCATAGTGGAGATGAGGAGGGGAGTAGTGGGGAAATAAAGGGCAGTATCACAAAGCATAGGCAGAGCAGAAGAAACAAAAAAGAAAGAAAGAGACGGAGAATCCCGGGGTCATAGTTGCATGATACAAGACCCCGAGTCGGGTGTGAGCACCGATCTAGGCGTTCTCTTCCTTGTTCTTCTTTTTGGACTTCTTGCCCGCGGGTTGTACATTCGTGCTCTCCTTCTTCTGGTGGACGATGAGGCGTGTCCAGCACTCCTCTTTGTCCCACTCGAAACCAGCGAGGTAGGGATTGTCCAACTCATCATCAGCCTGGAAAGGAGTCAGCCATGAATTGAATTCGGATGAAGTGATTGTATATTAGAACAAGACCGAGGTGTTCGGGATTGAAGGGGGGGGGGGGGGGGCAGTCGTTGCACCTCACCTTCTTCTTGAATTGCTTGTAGATGGCGTCCAATGCGTCCTTGATTGTGACACCTTTTGAATTCCGGGCGGTTACCTCGAGGCCAAGGGGGAAGTGCAAGTCAATCTTCTTGACTGGTGGATTAATGAGGAATAGCTTTAGGATGTCCTTATCCTCAACTGTTGATGGTGAGGTGTTGAGTTTCCTGATGAAGAAGCCAGAAAGAAAGGTAAGAGATGAATAGTAGAAGGAGGAACTGGGGCTGCCAGCGAGGAGAATGGGAGAGTTCAAGGGAGAGGGTACTTACCATCCTGTTTTTTGTGTCTCGATGGGGAGTGTGATCTCAATCTGTTTTTCTTCTACAAGAATTCACGAGTGATGAGTATGATGATGAATCATGGATGAATCATAAGCTATAAGAGGGTCGAGGGGGTGTATTGACAAGCAAATCATGCCTGGCTACAGAATGGCATACCTAGGTCTTTGATGTTGAAAACGCCCTCGGCTGTTGATGAAGCCCGCTTGTGTGTCTTCTTCGCGTCCTTGGATACCTCCTTCTCAGTAGAGGCCGGGGGTTTGTCGTCTTGTATGGAAAGGCCTGCGATAGCAGAGTCGACCTTGGTTAGAGGGACAGACATGGTTGGAAGTGAAATGAGATTCCACGGGAAGGTAAGTTAGATGGATGCGAGCAGAGTTCGTAGCAGTGAGCAGATGGAAAGAGAAGAGAAGAGGAGAAGAAGAGGAGAAGAAGGGAAGGAGAGAAGGAGGAGGGGGTGGGCAGGTGACCTGGGGAAGTGCAGGGCGGGGGGGTTCACGACCAGTCCATTCCATGTCAACTTCACGTCGAGTCAAGGATGTCATCAGGAGCCAGTGGAGGCGCCTGCTACATTGCACCGGTCCAGACTACGACAGTCCGACAGTCCGTGTCCAGGACAGCGATGCGATCTATCTGATACCTCCGATACCTCCTGTTCTATGTCAGCTACTCTATTCACTCCTGCTCTCCAGCTATCAACACTCGAGACTTTCTGGCCCTTTTCTCCATCTCTGGAAGCCCATCGGATTTGCTTCCCTTTACTCGGTACCCTTCGGATCACACGAGCAACTGACATCAGGGGCGAGGGTTGGCTTTGGGCGCCGACCAATCTGGAGCTGCACCCCGCATTCGACTCCACCCGACTGACCTTATTTCGCGGGTGAACGAGACACTCGAGCCGATTCCAGAAACAACAACGAGACTGATCAACGGGGCGTCGTGCCAATTCAAATCCGACCATGCTCGTCTGTTGGAGCATCTATTGAATTGTCTCCATGTCTCAATTTTCCGACCTGCCAATGCGCCGTGAGGGCCCTCTTTCTCCCCATTGATGGGCTGTATATGGGACGACGATCACCTGATGTCATGAGCAGCGACTTCGATAACCCCAAAATCAGCCCACGTCCCAACATGCCACATCCCTTCACGTCTCTCGTCGCTCAGGTCTTGTTCTTGGCTTCGGATGGACGTCCGTCGCTTGAATGATCCTTTGACCCAGCCGGCCCCAGATATCAAAAAGTCGGGCGGTTGCAATGCTCTCCCCCACACCATCCGGCGATGACGATCGCCTTCAATGGGCCCCAAAAGTGGATCCCTTCCGCTCCCCGCGCCGAGCATCCGGGGCTCCGGCCATAATCCACACGCCGCACGCAAGGGTGCGGGCCCGCGAGAGAGTGTCATCATCCAAGATCTGGTGCTCAAGGGAATTGATGGCAGATCGCCTAGATCAAAAGACGAGGAAAGACTCAGTAAACCCGGTCGGTATAACGGAATCGCGTCCGCAAATCCAAATCCCCGATGGGGAACGGCGGGGGAACGGTCGTAAGCCAGCACCACGACGATGGACATACATGCCTGACCGTTCGAAAGACCGAGCTAAAATACAGTCTTGCACCAGCCATTGAGTCTCTCCGCAGGGAATGAACGCACATTCCTTGACCACCCCTTGCCGAACCCTGACCCTTCGCCAGACGGCGACTGAGGTTGACACCGCTGGACACCCTATCCATGCGACCTTGCCAATCGACCAATTCTCCGATTGGATCACATCAGGTCGATGGTCCAAAAATTGTCGAGGGCTCGGTACTACATAAAGAAGACGAATCTTCGGAGAAAAGCTGCTAGGGCAATTGCTGCGATAAGGCCCAGCAGGAGGGAATCGCTTGCTGAGTTCCTTCCATGATACTGCCGCCTATTCCCAGGTTCAGCTAGCGAGCCTCCATTCCCATGAATAGGAGCTCGCTCTTCCATGACCTCCGACACCTTTTCCTTAGGTATTGTGATTCGGGAATATGCCAGTTTAGACAGTCTGAGTCTTGCTGGGAGGGTTGGATTGTGCCTCGACTAGACCAAGCCTTGAAAACACCCCAGAACCCAGAGAAGGTTCATCGCTTCCCTTACGTATATGTATACCCCGTGGTCCCCTACCAGGTCTCGACCCCGATCCAGACATAGCCCATTCCTTGCCAGTCATACCGGTCCCATCCATTCGTAGTGAATGGCTCCAAGATATGGACTCCCATTCCTGGCTGCAACTGAGTATTCTCTGCTACTCTAATGCAATACCCTTCGTGCATGCCTTCAAGCATGCTTGCCAATGTCTTCTACCGAACAGGGTGTCTGATCGCCTATGCTGTTTAGACGTGACTGCTACCACCATTTTAGCGATTGATTCCTCTCACTAGCTCCCACCAAGAAGCATCTGGTGTCTGCGCTAGACGGTCTGGTAGAAAGACCCCTGCCTGAGGGTGGAGAATGACTGGATCGGTGGAAAGAGATCCTTTTCCCGTGCTGCGGCTTGGCATCATGGAACTCGGGTAAAACATCGGCTGTTCTTATGCTTCTACAATCATTCTTAACTCTCATCGACTGCCAGTTCACAATTTTGGACAGACCGCTAGCTGCCCCGAGGGACTTCACGATCTCATGCAAAGAGCGGTGGACAGGGCGGTCCGGATTCTCGACGATTCTCTACGATTCTTGACGATCCTTATCGCCCGTTTCGCCCGTGGGACGCCAGAACCGACCCCCAGCGGTGACTTTCAACCCCCCTGAAATCCAATGTTCGATCGAAAGTCAATTCGGAGTTCCGAACTATGGTGTTTCCTTTTTATCTTGAAGGTTGGATTTCCGTGATCCTGGATTTCTCCAATAATTTGTCCCTTCCTAGGCTGTGAAGCTATAGCTCCATCATAGCGTGTGGCAAATTTGCTACTATTGCCACTAAGCGAGATGCGGGGCAAGCTCAAACTTCAGACCAAAACCTCCGAGGCCTCAGAATTCAGGAGATGTTTCTATTCATATCGACTGCTATGAATCAGGGACAGGCGCATGCAACCGCATCCGAACAGCTGCAGCGATCAGCGTATCGCATGATGTCGCACGGAGCTTGTACCTCTGATTCTACATCAACCTCCGAAATCCGTGACAGACTACTGTCTCACATCCAGGGCAGTGCCACGAAGCGGTGTAAGTGGCTGGTGGGGGAGGGGTCTAAAGGCCAATTCGACGAGCAATTGCACAGCACACAGCCCCACTTGGTCGGCGTCGTCCTCGGAAGGGACCACGATGGATCCCCACGGACCCTGTTTGCCACGGGTGGATAAGGCAGCCAGACTTGGCTTCGCCAAGCACGCAGTGATCAGAGGGCTGACGGCTTGGCGATCAACTATACCAGCAAACACAATACTTGAGCTTCAGGAAAGCAAGATATACATTGCAATCTCGCAGGAGAGCAATGATCTTTGAATCTGCTGGGCAATGACGCCTTCGAATTGCCCCCTGATTGCCCCCTCCGACCCCCTCTGCCCTCGTCACTGTGCCCCGCTTGACGCCAACGACCCGGTTGATTGGTTTCGCGGGCGGGTAACCAAAAGCAATAGGGAGAAAGGTAAACCCAAGAGACACCAATCATCATTTCCCCTCGAAGACCACGGGCACCACCTGTATCATATCTACGTGGAGCATCCACTCCTAGGTCTCCATGCCATTCTGGGAGATTGGCGGACAATCGCCACCACAAGCCACGTAGCGCTGCGGCGTTGGGGCTGGGATGATTTGGCCTGCTAGGCTCTAGACGGAGCAGCTCCTGTCGACGAGTCGGCGATTCGCCTAGTGTCCACCTGGAGGGGGAGGAGGGGTATATATTCACAGCCCCTCCTCGTCTCACCAAGCCCTCCCTTTCTTCCTTCTTCCACCATCCTCCTCACTCCCAAATCTATCTATCCTCCCACCTCTTCCTTACAACATCAATCACCATGGGTTGGTTCTCTGGTACGTGATCTGACCAGAACTGGATCTCACCTGGCTGTCTCACTGGCCAATGTCAACTCACCGATTCTGCCCCTGACCACCTCTCTAACATTCCGCTCTTCAGAGGACTCGAACCAGGCCGACTCGTACAACCAGTACCAGGATGGTGGCGTCAGCCGTGAGCACGAGGCCTCCTTCGCGCACGAGCTGATCGCTGGTGCTGCCTCCTACGAGGCCGCTAAGGCCTACGAGGAGCACTGTGACCGCAACGGTAAGCCCTCACCCTCCCTTCCTCCCCGCCTCTCATGAGCGTTGCACCTCCACGGAGCGACAACGGGGGTTTTTCATAACTTTTCTAACATCTCTTTTCTCCAATCCAGGCCAGCCCCAGAGCCACGAGAAGGCCAAGGAGATCATGGCTGGTCTTGCTGGCGCCTTCATCGATCGTGAAGTCGAGACCCGGGGTCTGGACTTCATCGACAGGGAGAAGGCCAAGTACCAAGCCCGCCAGCACATCGACAACGTCTCCGCCGAGCAGGCTGGCTGGTAAGCGAGTTTCCCGCGCGGAGCGTGCGAGACTGGCTTTGGGACCGAGACTTGTACTAGTTAGCTAGCCCGCTGCTCTTTGTGGTTTATGAGTGATGCAATTGAACGTTTCTCTTAGCCCTGTGGGCCAGAATTTAGAATCAATGTCCATGTCTTGTTTTGTTGGAGCGTAGCGTAGAAGGCTGGGGCGTGATGAAGCATTCGTAATGTTGAGTGCTGAAGCGCAGGTTCCGAGAAGGTTGTAGTCTTTCTGTTGACTGTGATTGTGTTCCGCTTCAGCCAAAAGGGTGTTGCTGTTTTGATTTTCCCAATGCAGAACACTATCGGGAGAGGCTTCCGATAAGCAAAGTTATCATCAATCCGTGGAAAAATTTTCTGGGGCCGTGAATTGAGAACCACAGAGAAGACAATTTTCTGAGCAGCCTACTTGCTCTATTGGACATTGTAAATGGCAGCCTGACTGACTGACCGTGAAGAAGGCATATTGCCCCGAGAGATTATGGGCCACGGCACCTGGTCGGCGACAATATTTGTCCCGCTTGAGGCTCCCATATAATTTATAATAGATTTGATCGCCCAAATTGAGCAAGCTACGTAGCTTGAGCTTTATAGAGCCGCCATGAGCTAGAAGAATGCTACCTGACCGCCAAAATTAGCATTGCCAGCGACAATTATTCAAAAAAAAGGGGCTCGTCAACAGCCAATCGCGACATGCGAGGCAATACGCGTATAGCGTATAGCGTAATCGTATCAACGGCTACGGGGTGGAGCTCCCTCGCCATAACGTTTTTTGAAAGTGGTAGCCTTGCAATGGATTATGTTTTGTTCAATGTATCGCATCGAATTTCTATTTGAAGCCGGCAGCATTGTACGTATGTACATTTTACACCGATACATGTATTACGCATCATCTTGCGGATTGAGCATCCACCTGGCGCCTCGAAAATCTCTACCTCAGAAATCACTAAAAGAGCCAGGGAAGGAATAAGAGCAGTTGTTCTTTCTTTTTGGAATTATAAAATGACCTCAAATAAACAGGTACGCGTATGACTATATAAGCTGCAACGCTAGATGCTTCATGCTGGCAGTCATTCCAGAAAATTCCCCGATTGCATAAATCAGCCGCAGTCCAGCCCCTTAGCGCACAATGCTGCTAATAATGAAGAAACTTGAGGCTTACGGCTCCACTCTATTCAGATGCGAGTACGGTTACGACAGGGATTTCATTGGTCTATAATCAATCCAGGCCAAATCTGGCTACTGCCTTGGTTATTATTAGTCCTAGTTCTCGACGGAGTATATCGCAATGATCATTGAAGAAGTGAATTTTTATTTACCACATTGGGGGACTACTTAAGCCCCGGATCCACGGACAAATTGTCACTTTCTTTTCGTTCTGGCTTGGGAAACCCAGTACCGTCACTCGTTTCAAGTTTTTTCGTTCTTTATTACTGACATTCATTTTCATTCTTATTATGGCAAGCTATGCTTTATACCAATACACGCCCAGCCTGGCCGCAGCTGTCATAGCACTGATATGCTATGGCGCAAGTTCCGGCTATCACATTTACCAAATGATAAAGCTACGATGCTATTTCTTCTCCACATTCATCGCCGGCGCACTCAGTCCGTACCCTGCCCCGCTCAAACTAATGGTTACTAACTCTCTGGTCTCCAACCAGTGATGACGCTGGGCTACGCACTACGCGCTATATCATCTCGAAACACCACAAGCCTGGGTCCCTACATCGGACAAAGCATCTGCCTTCTTCTTCCGCCGTCCCTATACGCCGCAACCATCTATATGATTTACGGCCGAATCGTCCGTTTCGCCCGCGCCCCCGAGCTCTCAATCATCTCTCCACAAAAAGTCACCAAGGTCTTTGTTATTGGCGACGTCCTCGCCTTCTTGGCCCAGGCGAGCGGCGGTGGTATGATGGCGATATCGTCCATGTCAAGCTTGGGGCAGAAGGTCATTGTGCTTGGCTTGATAGTACAGTTGTTATTCTTCGGGGGGTTCCTGACGATCTCACTGATCTTTTACCGTCGCATCCGTGCACGCAGCACTTTTCCCATTCGGGCCATGCCGTTTGGGAATCTTCTTTTTGTTCTCTTTGGCGCGTCGGCGCTGATTATCCTGCGGTGTTTTTATCGCATCATTGAGTTTTGTCAGGGGAATGAGGGGTATCTGATCAGCCACGAGGTTTTCATGTACTTGTTTGATACAATTCCCATGCTCATTGTGCAGATCATGTTCCACTACTATCATCCGGGCAAAATCCTCCAAGAAAAGTTTTACGGAGATTTGGGAGCAGGCGTGGGGGTGTGAAACAATAATGCTTGGTCTTTTTTGGGGGCATATATGTTGGGATTACATCTTCCCGGACAAGAAATTGTTGGTTTGATGTCCGGAGAAGCAAGCGAATGCCTTGCTGGCGTGCCTCTCAAAGGAAGGATATGGGAATTCATGAACTTTAAGACTATACCCGAACACTTTTTGATCACTTCGCAACCAATTTCCATGAAATTCCTTTCTTCCTATTGACGTCCAAGTAGGGCCTGTCGCATCGTATTTCCCCTGTTATTTCCCTTGTCTCTAACGATCTCAGTATCACCCTTCAACTATCAACATCGCGCTTGCGCGCCTTCTGGGTCTTGCCTAGCACTATCGTGCTAAGGTCACCCACTGGAATGGTAATAGGGAAGTCCACTGCCTCGAATATCTGGGCAATAAAAATGTGCCAGATTGGCAGGCAAAGCGCAAAGTTGAACGCTCCTGCGGCCTATTGGAACACACCATGATTAGTCGGGCGTCCAAAACCGACAGATAGGAACTTGGTTTTGGGAATGAAATACCTGTTGTAACTTGGCCGCGTGGGCAAGATTTCCAAGCGCGCTTTGGAAAAACGTTGCCGCGGTCAAAGCAAACGTAATTACAAGGAGAAACAACGCTAGGAAGAGGCAGACATTGGTGCGAATCGAGCATATCAGATAGACAAAAGTGAGGACGGCAAGAATCGCGTAGTAGAGACCTGGAAATGCGTCGATTAGCGCTAGGTCCGACAAAGACCAAAGGTAGTAGGTAAGACTTTTTGCTTACCAGTTGTGGCACTATACTCCGGCGTCTGCATGCCTTCTAATGCGTTTCCAGTTGACGAGTAATTCAGCCCTGTTGCAAAAAAAGGCATTTGGGTAGTGCCTTGGACAATCCAGAAAGTACCTATTCAAGCGACTATCAGCGAATGACCCTTGTGTCGGCAACGAACGAGTCATCACAAACCATATGTGAAGAAAAGAGCGCAGGAAAAGGTATTGCCAATCAACCATTCGCCAACGGCGCCAAATATTTGTACCATGCCCCCGAAGAAGATATAGACGGGTCTTTTACATAATGATAAGAGTCAGTAGGGGCTCAACTTGTTTGATTTCGCTTTTTAAAGAAAACGAATCTCGGAAACGAGAGCTCACATTATTGCACCCCCATTGCCCCCTGATCCTCCCCATCCCATCGTTTGCATCGCAGCGGGTGTCGCAGCCAACAGGAAACCCAATAGCGAAATGGGCGTGGGATTACCAAAGGTGCGGCGCAGATTGCCAGCAGCAGGCATTTTAGGGCTTAAGTATAGCTTTTCAAAGGCATCGCGAGGGATAGGGAGAAGGACACTCTCGGCTGTCTGGATGCGACGCAGCATCTCGGCAGTCGAGGCCTCCTGTTTTTCGCTGACGTTCTCTTCAGACATGCTGGGTAAATGAATAGACAAAATATGTTGATGTCTTTCAAGTCAATTATTTGATCCTGGGGAAGGCGATTGTAGCCGACCCTGTAGAATACAAGCAAAAGTGGCAATTCTGAATTCCTCCTCCCCGAATTCTCGCGTCGAGGGAGGCCGATCTTATATTTCGAAAGATCCAGACCACCCATTGCATAGCCCACTATTCCATAATTACAGCAAATCCAATAATTTCTCTATGTACTCCACAGCAGCGACTAACCCCAAAAGTTCCGTTCTGGCCACCTCTATCCACTTCGACCCCAACCATAACCCCGGAGTAACTCCACATACACCTGCGCCCAAATTCCAAGGCGAGGCTCCCGCGCCAGGGGCTAAAATCTGACCTGGATCCCAGACCATAGTGCTTTGCATATCTTGCATTAATGACAAGTTGTCGAATTGAGGGTTATGATTCGCAGAAGCAATGCCCTCGAGCCCGTCCAGCGCAGGCAAGCGGGTCCGGGATAGTGGGTTTTTGTGGGGGTGAATTGCGGGGGATAGGCAAGTTTTGTCCCCCAAACCGGGTTTCCCCCGAGAAACTCATTGGAGACCCGAGGCAATTAACCGGTTATAGTGCGACTGTTGGCCCTGAGAGCCTGTTCAGTCGGCTGCATGGGCGATTCCTCGCCTTTTTGCCGGGGTGTACGGGCCAGCTGACGGTGTTATAAAATGGGATTGCACTGCGCCCAGGCTTGCCAGTGCAGTGGGTGGCGCCCGCTGAAAGTCTATTGGAAAGCTTTGTTGCATTGCTTGTTGTGGCTTAACTTTCTCCCGCATGAGTGTTCGGAGATGGTCCTCTCTTGGCTGCTCGAGCTAGAGGGACAAGTACAGTCGATTTCGAAAAAAAAAAAGAAAAAACTTGGCGCACACGCACTTTGCTTCCGAAGTGAACTAATTTGTATTATGATATCCTAGAAATTATTTCATTTGTTTCATATCTTCCGGTAATAAGTATACTGGGGCTCAGGTTATTATGAAGCATCTTGAGAGATTCAGAAAGATGCCAATGGACTTATATAATTGTGCCGATCTTGGGAATCGTGGATATGAAAAGCGACGCAGCAGCCCAGGACTTAGACACATTTATCAGATCAACGACCAGAGTCATAGCGATAGGGCCGGCTCACGACCACAGACCGTTTAAATAGCGACCTTTTGTTTCACATCTCATGAAATATTCGAGCACTAATCCAACTAACAGACTCACCAATGGGTGGAGCAAAAATGCAGCATAGGAATACCGCGGAAGCCAGAACCCCCTATACTGCCAGGGTGTATCAGCATATGGAAGAAAAAAAGCAAGTAAGGAAAGTCCAATGGATGCAAAGGCCATCTCATTCCATGCTGCATAAATTAGCGCTGGGGTGTTGAAGCCGCCAAGACTCAGTAACATGACTCGTGCCAAGTCGATCTCAAGCAACCTCCCTTCTAATACAGTGATTATGCCAAGACTTGTTAGGGAACATGCTTATGCAAAGGTAAGCGTTCTCCATGGCTTGCCAGGATTGATCTGGAATAGTGATAGGATGAAATAATCGCCTGATATCGCAGAAAAATGACCACCCATGTAGGCGAGGACATACTGTGGCAGGTAGGCGAGCTGCAATCCCAAAGGAGGCCATAGATACCCAACAGAGAATACCATCCGGATGGCGAAGCTGGATAATCCAGAAGTGGTCCAAGCAGCTAGTATGAGGAACTATTTGTGCTGAAACACACATCTCATAAGCTGTTTTGCACTTTTGCGAAAAACTTTCGCTAAGAGGACTGCCATGATGTCAACTATCACTGTCAGAGCAAGATATCAGACTTGTCCCTGAATCCCGTCAATTTGGCGCCAGGACAAAATATATACCTCCCACAAGTTCGTCTTCTGCACTCCTAGGCGAGAATATCCTGACATATGCTACGGCGTCCAACGTCGGCACGACAAACGTTGTATAGACAATTCCCGGGAGCAAAAGACGCCATATTCGCGAGCGGACCATTGTGGAGCCCGGTACGTGTCTTCTAGATATCTGCACACGGGTAAAATACCCTGACAAGAAAAAGAATAGGCCCATAAAAAATGAGTGATCCATCATGTTCAAGCCGACTAGGGCGATGGATTCCTCCAGAAAACAATTTGACCGAATCTTCCATGATCCCACACCTCCATAAGGAATCGCTGTGTGATGTACAATGACTAGGGCCGTCAGAAAAGCCCGCAGGTTGTCAAGAGCGTGGATCCTTGTAGACTGGTGAGTGGCCAAGTGTTGCGGGATTCGAAGTTTGGGGCGCATGAGGGACAAATAATCCTTCCGATTCTTGGCTCTGCGCCCTTGCCCCATAATGAGGGTCGGAATCAGACACGCGAGAAAGTCTCCGGGTTGGGACTGTGGGCCCAACCTGGAGACGAAGAGGGGCACCGAGACAACAATGTATAGAAGTTTCGTAGAATTCATAAAAGACCTCGGACCCCGTGTGCATTCTCGTATTCGGACGCATGTCGACGTGCATTACGGAGTAAAGAGGCGGGAGTTGCTCCGTAGCGTGGATGCTGGAGGGGGTCAGCTAGCGAATAACGGCCAAATACATTCACCCTCTCCCCCATTAGATAACCATCAGTTGAGAGATGGGCTTCTTTTGTTCTGAGAATATTTATTTGTATCAGCAAGAACCGAAGGGTCGTTGTATCTCGTAATAGGTGAGACTGTTGGAATTCATCAGGGCTAGCAAGACCAGTGATTCTTGGAAGTCTGCGGAATTACGGCTTTCAAAATGCTCCATACATCGGACGCAGAATCTCCACGCGAAAGCCCCCGCAAAAAGAAGTACCGCGGCACTTAAAAGATCGCCAAACCCCGAGGACGCGATAAGCAGCGATGCCAAGACCCCATAGCCGAGCCGCGTTGCGATTGTTGCCAAGTCTTGACTGAATCATTGCTGGTGATGTCGCTGATAAGCGGAATCTCCTATCTATTGAATCCTTTAGGAAGGTGGCTACGACTCCGTTGACTACGTCTACTCCGTACTCCGAGCTTCCACTCCAATTCCCCGGAGACCCACCCATCTGTCACCCCGGAACTGCTGTAAGATCCGAGCCCTTCGATAGTGCTTGGGCAAACCCCTCCTGACTCGCCGTTGATAAGATAAACTAGTTGTTCCTATCCGCGATAACAAGCTCTTCGGCCGCGTGGTCAAATCCTATGTTCTGTTAGGCTTCTAGCTTCGGCCGGCCACTGCGATTGCGATAGTTGCTTAGCGTCCTGATTCGGATTTACGTAATGGCCATGCGATGGATTTGACAATAGGAGGTCTTTCTCTTGTAGATATGGCTCGGCACTTACGACAAACTGCGTGAGCAACTATTACAGCTGTAAAGATCATCCTTTGAACTTTCTACCCGAATGATAAGAGTAATGCTATCGAAACCTCTGCTGATAAGTCTCGGAAGCAAATTGAACTATAAAACTATGCACCACTTTTGCTGGTACCTGAAAACACGTTATGACAGTATCTGAAAGCTTGAAGAGTATGGTATCAGACATATCTTAGTTTTCAATAACTCGCTTTTTCTCTCCATTTTAGGCAAAATCATTACTCGTAACACAATCAAGACTTGTATGATCAGGTTTCGTCTTAGTTTTCAGCCAATTATAGAAGTCTCTGTCTCATTACATTGAAGTTTCAAAGAAACAAGCTCAAAACTCCGGTCTGCCCATTTGAGACAATTTCCTCCCGCGCTGTATCATGCTATGCATGAATTGAATACATTGTATCTCTATTGTATGTGATAGTTCTCCTAGGAGTCGGCAATAACCGCCGTTGCGATTACTTCTATCAGTAGGAAGATACGTATACTAGCTAAAGCTCCTCTCCTATCGCTTCCAAGGTGACACAGTTTGGATGGCGCAGCAATGTAACAAGGAATGCAACATTGACTTAGTTAGTTAGAATTCAAGATACCCGATATCAGTTATATCACGGCAATATAATTATTGGGTTGAAAGTGGTATATAAAATGCCCATAATGTCCTGCCAGCAGATAATTTCCATCAGCCGATAAATTCTCATTCTCAGCAAGAGCACTTGCTCAAGCAGCTATGAAGGCCTGCCTACGTCATCTTCTCCTCGGAATAAGCTTATCAGGATTCAGCCTAGCTGACCCTGTGCAGCGAGGTGCTGATGTGCTCAGATTCAACGAACTTGGTGATGTCACAGCTGACTCCCTGCACAATATTCATGTCGAGTTTCTGGACGACGAATTTCAGGGCCAATTGCAACTTGTCTATGGCGAATGCAACATTCGACACCCGGTTCATGGTCACCACGAGCTTGGAAGTGTTTATGTGAAACGGGAAGCACAGCCATCACGGTTTGTCTGGGTTATTCCGGAAGATGCCCCCCATGCATACTGCCTCCATGCATTCTCGGGCTCGACACTTCTGGGCCGTTCGGCACCCATTGAGATAGCAACACCGCTTGTCAAACGAGAGAGTATCGCCGACGTTGCAGATACTATGGGACCTTGGTTTGATGGCGTGGCATACATGAAGTCCAAGAATCACACCGCTGCCTTTGTTTCCAAAGCCAAGGACACCTCGGTTGCTATCCTCGGTGGAGGGATGTCAGGGCTTATGACGAGTTTGCTGCTCGAGTCTGTTGGCATTACGAATTGGCACATTTTCGAGTCCTCTCAGCGTATTGGTGGTCGTATCCGCACGAAATACTTGAACAACACACGCCCAGATCAATATCAGTATCAAGAAATGGGCCCCATGCGCTTTCCCGTTAGCATCACCTACAGCGACACCAATGAGACCCTCGAAATCCAAGATCATCGGATGGTCTTTCAACTTGCTGGTGTCCTCAATGGAATGAACGTCGACAGACCCGAGCTTCAAGTCAACTTCATTCCCTGGATCCAAAGCGGTCCCAACCTCCCTGCAGATTCTGGTGGTGATCGTCTGCCAGACGGGCGCATCCCTACGGCCGCAGAGGTTGCCGCGAATTCATCCCTTGTCTATACTGCTCCACCTCCGAGCGTCTCCGCAGTTGACGCCGCTGAAGCTGCCTTCGATAAATATACGAAGCTTGATGAGCGTAAGACGATTCGAAAGATCGCCACTAACATGTATAAAGCGCATAAAAAGGCCGTAGAGGACGGCATGTTCCACTGGTCCGAGGCCGGATATCTGCGTTATGCCCTGGGTTACAGTGCCAATGTCTCAGACTATGTTGCTGGGACAACCGATACGCCTATCTGGGGAGACTTCTATGACGATGTCTACTTCGCTGCAACCGAATGGCGTACTATCGACAAAGGCTTGGAATCTCTCCCGCGTGCCTTTTACCCCCATGTGGCTGATAAAGTGACCTTCAATCGTACGGTGCAAGGAATCATTTATAATGAGACAACTGGCAAAGTCGCCGTTGCTTGGCGCGATGATCCGCTGAAGATGAAACCCGAAACTGCAGAATTCGATTACGCAGTGGTCGCCGCTCCATTCAGCAAAGTCCGGCTCTGGGACCTTCCCCGGTATTCTTCTCTCCTTAGCAGGGCCATCTCAACACTCAATTATGACCCAGCATGTAAGATGGCACTTCTTTATAAGACTCGTTTCTGGGAGCACATGGAAAACCCGATTTTTGGTGGATGCGGCTCTGTCGACGTATCAGGCGTTGGCAGCGTTTGCTACCCGTCCTACAACATGAATGGCACTGGCCCCGGCGTGATTCTCGCCTCTTACATCTCCGGCACCCAAGCCCGCTCTGCTGCAGCTCTTACTGACGAAGAGCATGTCTCGTTGATCCAACGCACAATGGTCGAGGTGCACGGTGATATTGCGGCCGAGCAGTTCACTGGAATATACGACCGTCAGTGCTGGGAGTTTGACAGGCACCAGGCCGGTGCTTGGGCAGATCCGCTTGTCGGACAGCAGGAGCTGTACCTTCCGGCATACTATCAGACTGAGTTTAAGACCATTTTCATCGGTGAGCATACTAGCTATACCCACGCATGGATTTTCTCCGCACTGGACTCAGCTGTGCGTGGAACAACTCAACTTCTGCTAGATCTGGGTCTCGTTGATGAAGCCAAGTCTGTTGTGGAGACCTGGATGGGCCGCTGGATTAAACTATAAGTAGTTGGCAGGGGGGACTATGAACTTTATGATGCAATTACTTTTTATACGACTACATGAAGTAATATGAAGCAATGAAAGTATTTGATCTTCTTTCAAGACATCAGGAACAAAGAAGGCAATCATGAATGTAGCAAGATTGATCCTTTATATTAGAAAAGCTTCGAAAGGTCATCATTATTAAATCTTAAGTCAAATAATCAAATCCAATCTAACGGGAAATAATTCTGTCTTTCTCTTGGTCCATCGCTGCATGAGATTCAAGGAATCACCTCCTTGCCTTGCCAATCCCAACATTTGCCCCTCCCACTTTCAAAGCTCGGTGGCAGCTGAGCAAGGAATCGCAAGAGGAGATCAGCCGCATCCAAAGGCTCAAGCATCTCTCGTCCCTTCCAAAATTCCTTCGTGAATTCTGTGTGAACCGTACCCGGATGCATTGCAACAGCGAGTGCTCTCTCCGCACATCTCCCACGTAGGTACAGGTCGAATGTCTTGGCGATCTGATATACCGATGCTTTACTGGCTCGGTACGAGTACCACCCACCCGAAGCGTTGTCGGAGACTGATCCCACACGAGCAGCCATCAGGGCATAGATAGCATGGGAAGGCAAATTCAAACCAATTTTACCCCTTGACAAAGATAAATCCGATGGTGGAAATGGAGGTGCAGATTTGTTGGGTAGAAATTGATATAAATGTTTCATCAGCAATAGAGGTCCGATGGCATTCACTTGAAAGCTATCCAATGCAGTAGCAGCGTCGATTTGAGAAGGTGATTTCTCAACATGCAAGACACCAGGGATTGTCAATGCCAGACGAAGGGGTGTGTTGGGATATTTCTTGCGAATTGTGTCAGCCATTGATGATATACTGGGTTCATCTAAAATTTTGATCAGTAAGAACCTAAAACCTCCTCCCTCATATAAACATCTACAAAGTACCTTTGACGTCCACTTTCAGAACATCCAGCCTCCCTTCAGAATCAGGCGGTAGCCCTTCGCCAGAAAGAAGCTTTTGTCGAACTTCGTCACATTCGTTCCGCGCCGTCGCCACAACAGGGAGGTGGGTTTGCGCCAAAAGCTGTTGGGCGAAGGCAAAGCCTATACCGCGAGACGCTGGAGTAACCAAGGCAAACCCGTGTATTGCCGAAGCCATTAGAAACGTTTTTATTTCAATACAAGAAATGAAATGATAATTAAGTCTCAGAATTCCGTTCCTCGCGCCCCTGTGTCTCCGTTTTATGACGTCATGGTTCCTTGTCACTTCCCTGCAATCCCGGTTGCTGCGATCGAGCATCAATGCGCAGGAGATCGGACTTCATCGCTATCAATTAGGTCTGGACTAATAATTATCAGATACTTTGATTTTCCTGGAGTCGTTTTGGATACGATTGATAGACAATTTTGCTACTAACTGCCTTTTTATCAAACTGTTACAGTTCCTGTGCCTTCGGATTATGCATCAAGTCTAGAGGCGAAATGAGACCTAAAGGATGAATTCCAATTTGTTCTGTGATAGAATAATAGCCAAATGCATAGCTTAATCAGTCATTTTCCTTCCAAGTCGTTAAAAAAGTCTCTTCCAAATTCCCCGCTACTATCGTTAAAACGAATCTTTTTATTAATGGTTTGGATCATTTCCATGTCCTTCGGACTCAATTTAAAATCTCCTTCTAGGTTTGACTTGATTCGAGATGGTGTTTTAGATTTCGGGAGGACAGAATGCCCTTGAGTAACTCCCCAGGCTATATCAATTCAGTCAGTTAGCGTCTTCGATCCACTATTGACAGAGTTGACTAACCAAGAGCCACCTGTGGAGCACTTTTATCGTATTGATCGCCAATTTCAGCCAACACTGGCTCTTCGAGCAGCTTTCCAATGCCACCTTTCTCGCTGTAGGCTGCATTTTGGTTGCCGAATGGCGAATAGTGGGTAACATGGATTCCCTTTTCCCTGTGCCAGGCAGTGAATTCAAGTTGCTGTAACCAGGGGTGACACTCCATCTGATGAACAGCAGGAACAACAGAAGCCTCTTTAACCAATCGTTCCATCTCCGCTTTCGAGAAGTTGGAGACACCGATTGCTTTGGCCTTGCCAGTATTTAGCAGTTGCTCCATTGCCTTGTATGTCTAGATATCACATTGTCAGTTCGACTCTCAAAAGAAAAACCAGCATGAGAAACTATTTTCATACGTCAACAATATCAATATCTTCCATGACAAAGTTACCACCCTGCTTCGGAAAGAGATTTTCTCCGCGTTTCCACGCTACTGGCCAGTGCATCAAATAAAGATCCACATACTCCAGTCCCAGGTCATCGAGAGACTGTTGCAACGCTGTTTCTACGTCATCCGGGTGATGTTTGTTACTCCAGAGTTTTGTCGTGATGAAAAGATCTTTCCGAGGGACACTGCTCTTCTTAATAGCCTCGCCAACAGCTTTCTCTGTGCCATACCTAGGGTAATGATATCAGTCTGGCAGAGCAAAAAGTTCATGATTATTTACTCACACCCTTGCTGTATCAATGTGGCGATAGCCAGCTTTTATGGCTTCAATCACCGCGGCTTCCTGTTCCTCTGCGTCTTGCCAGGTTCCAAAGCCAATGGCAGGAATTTCTGCTCCGGTGTTTAACTTGAATCGGGTCGCCATGGCAATTGATCAATACTAAGACACCAATGTGGCAGGCGGGCGTCTTAAAGAACTAACTTGTAAGTCAAATTCATGATTAGAGAAGATTTTCTCTCGTTGGAAAAGACACCAAATCGATGGGAGGCGTCCGTTCCTCGGGTTCTCTCCAACGGTGACGTATAGATGATGTGAACATCCTAAATTCTGCTAGGTTTGTTCTCTCACTCCAGATAATTCTCAGGAAGACCCATATGCACGAAAGTTTTGTATATATTCTACAGTGCTTTTCTACTTCCTTGGATTTCTAATAGGTTCGCCTTTTCCGGGACTACCTGTCTCTTGAAGAGTCAATCAACGGAGTAGGCCCAAGGCTGTACGTGATGCATTACAGACAGTCATGGTTCTCCTTCCGTAACTAAAGGAAGCATGTTGGGGTCTACGGGGTCTGTATACGTGCACTTTTAGTACTATATGTACGGTTCAAAGCCTGAAGCGACCTCCTCGGACCCTTATCACATAAGTCTTTAGTTAAAAGTATCAACGATAAACAGGAAGTTTACAATATTGCGTCCGGACATTCTTTTCATCAGCTCGAGGGTCACAGGGATAATTAGACAGCCATAACTTGTTAATTAGATGTAAAACCGACCGAGGAATTCTATGATCCCCATCCGGCTACGGGGTATCCAAAGTACAAAAGTACCGAAGATCATAAGGGATTCTCATTCAGCGCGGGTCCCGCACAACTTACCGGTCGCCCTACAGCTCGTCTGGATAGTATATTGATAATTCCCGTCTTGTACATGCATTCACTAATTTAGTGATGATTTTTGATCTGGATTTGAGGTATAATTCGGAATACTAGGCTCTCCCTTCTGTTCTCATGTCGGTCGGCAGGGATCTATCAACTTCCGTTCGCCCCCATTCTTGTCTTACAATGCCACGATTCCAGCCACGATGCAAACGCGAGGCCGATGATGCTACACAGCATTTGCTCACAATTGCGCGATGCCCTGTCAAGTTTTGATTACGAGTCGCTTTGAAATAGATTTCTTTTTTGTGCTCTAGTGGCGATATGGATGGTGGCTATAGATCTAGGTGAACCTCGTTTTTGTTGAACAAAGAAAGTCACGGAGTAACTGGAGCCTGATCCACAACTTCCTCTTCTCCCTTCCCCAACAACCGCCACTTCCACTCTCTCATTTCTTTCAAGCATGTCTGGAATGCCGCCCTCCATCCAGTTCACTCGATATGCCGTCGTCTTCCTCCTCGCAGGAGGATCGAGCACTTGCTAGAGCCCGGAAACGGAACCAGGTCTTTCCCCGCACCAGGACGGGCTGTCTGACATGCCGGCAGCGGAAAAAGAAGTGTGACGAAACCAAGCCCCAATGCCAGGCGTGTACGCGGAACGACCTGAACTGCTCATGGCCACCCCACATAGTGCGAATATTCGGTCTAGATGACCAGAAAATTGGCCAGGATAGCTCTGTTGAAGGGCAAGCATCAAGCTGGGATGATATTACAGTGACACCATCTGCATCTTCCACTCACACAAGTCTCTTCAGCTCTCCCTCTTTAGTAGAGACTACGGAGGATTCGGGCAACGAGGATAATGAATGGACCGTCGCTTGGTCCTCTGGAATCAATGCATTTCTGAGTCCAAAACGAGCCGGCATGCTTCTGCCTGTCTCGCAAGCCTTACTTGCACATTATCTGGAGAATACCGCTCCTCTGTTATCCACTGCCCCAGCACATGACGCGCCCTTCATTTTCTGGGTTATGCCTCTTGCCTATAACGACGATCTTCTAATGCATAGTGTTCTGGCATTAAGTGGAGCCCATCTATCATTCAGATCGGATGAGAACATCGCCGTTCAGCAGGCAACCTATCGCCATTACTGCTTGGTATTACGGACTCTTCGTCAAATCTCAGACAATGAGGTCTTGTTGAGTGACCCACATGCCCTGCTTCGAGTAGTCCTAGCCTTGGTGATTATGTGTCACTATGAGGTACATGAATGCGACTCATCCCATGTCCCATCCACATTCTGCTGACCATCCTTGACCTATAGGTCCTCTCAGGCAATATAAGCGGATCCCTTTTCACTCATCTTCGAGCCAGTCGACATCTTGTGCTAGCACTGCGAAGCAAACAGCAAGAAATTAGAACCGATTCTGAGCGAAGGCTATATGGGTTCATCATGGAAGTCTATTCATATCTTGTTCTTTGCAATAGTGTCACTCCATTCGGCATGAACCAGAATCGAACTCTCGTTCACGATTCTTTCCTCCAATCGATCGATGACTTGAAACACTTCGGGGCCTTTGGGGTCATGTTTGGTGGAGGCCATGGTTTATTCGAACTACTATCTTTGGTATCACTATTTGCTGCTCAGCAAGACTCACTACCTCCCCCCAGCGAGCTTCCTAACTCTGAAAGATTCAGTATTTACAAGAGATTGAAGAACAGCGTCGTCAATTGGAATCCTCCGGTGGTGGAATCCGCCAATTCCGACTGGCTGTCTCAACGGAGAGCAGCCTTAGAAGTATGCCGGCACGCTTTGTTAATTTTCTTGGAAACTGCTTTATCTTTCTTCACAAAAGGTGATATGGAAAGAATTGGTCATATACAAACACTCATCGACGTGGCAATCTCATATCTCCCCCAAATCTTTCCCTCGAACTATTCCTGCATTTTGATGTGGCCCCTCATGATAATCGGATCATGTATGGTGAACGAGGAGCAAAAAGAACTTCTGAAATCTATTCTCACTCATAATCACTACATGATGAGGAATTCTGTCCAAGGAGGTCGACTACTAGAGCTGCTATGGGAAGATCGCGACGAAGCGGCGATTGGGCCCTATGGACTCGGTTTGATAATGAACAAGCACGGGTTCGACTACGGTGTAATATAGCATGGATCATCGATTCAATCAACGCACATATAGTTTATCTGGTCTAGACAATAAGCAGATCATGCATGTCATTGACCAGACGCCTCGGCTCCACATGTCATCACTATAATAATCCCTCGGCCTGTCCTCGCCTCGTGCCTCCGCATTTTACCGCGTTTCCGCTATAAAGCCCAACTCAAATCGACAAATCATAATCAGTCATACTTCCGCTTCCCCGCGGCTGTTGTGTGCCACATCAGGTGGCACGCGCCTTCTCGCGGAAAGAGATAAGGCAGAGAGTGGGTTCTTATCTACAGCCGCTTCTTTATACTTCTTTGAGATTGATTCGGGTTCAAGGGTCCCCGGCATTTTGGACCAAGAATGATCTATATAAACAAAGACATAGTGCTCCGGGTCTATCAAATATGAGAAATCAAACCGGTATTCAACATACTCGATAGTCATGGCTCCTCGTGAAAATAAACCATCCATCACTTTTGTGAATAGTCTAAGCGCCGCAAATCCAGGCTGGCATTCTAGCACTATCTCTTCCTGTGGTGAGCAACATGTGGTTGTGACATCGCGTCAGACTGCACAGCGTAAGGAGGGCACTTGGCCAACCACATCTGATGATCAGGTCCAGCAAGCAGTGGATACTCTCGCCAGTACGCTTAAGGCTGGCGGGGCTTCTGCAAAGGATATCGTGAAGCTGACGTTTTATCCCGTGGATTGGGCCACGGAACAAGCTGACGATCTTCTGAGTCCAATCTTGCAGCTCCTCATAGATAAGCATGGCACAAGGCGCCACCTTCTGGTTACAACGGTACCCGTCTCTAAGCTTTCCTCTCCCGAGGCCATGTTCGAGATTGAGGCAATTGCCTTGGTTGCGGGAGCCTCTTGGCCTTGGGAGGACACCCAGGACCTTCATTCACCTGTACCTCCAGTAAAAGTCGATGTTGTCGTGGTGGGAGGTGGGTTCTCTGGTTTGGCTGCTGCCTATCAATGTAAAGAAGCTGGTCTAGATGCAGTTGTTCTAGAAGCAAAGTCTCGCATTGGTGGCCGAAGCCGGAGCCAGCAACTCAACTCAGGCCCGGGTGTTGTTGAACTGGGTGCCACTTGGATCAACAAATTTACTCAGCCAGAAGTTTTTGCACTAACCCAGAAATTCGGGTTAGAATTGGCGGAGCAGTATACTGATGGCGATGAAGTGTTTCAGCGACCTGATGGCACAATTATCAGAAGTCTACAGGGCAGTATGGGCAATGTGAATTTCCCTTTCTCTGCTAGTGAGATCTCATTTGCTGATTCTATCTAAAGGGGCTGACTGAAGAAGATCGCGAACAAGAAGCACTGTTGGTAGGGGCTCTGATGGAGCGCCCCGAGACTCTGGATATACGCAAATGGAGCGACTTTGCTCCGGAAGAGGACATCACCCTTGCTGAATGGGTATCACATCTAGGTTGCACCGGAGATTATGTTCAAAGCATTGCCAGCCATTTCTGCAGCGCGATCCTGGGACGTGGCTCAGATGTGGTCGGAGCTCATTACTTCTTAGACTACGTCAAGTCTGGCATGGGCTTTCTCAGTCTTGTGACCGAAGGAGAGATGGGCGCACAGTCATTGAAAGTAAAAAAGGGTACTTCTGAGATTGCATGTTCCCTTGGACGTGCTTTGCAACCGGGCTCTATTCTTTTGAACACTCCGGTCGATACAATATTGCAGCATGGAGAGGATTGTCAAGTCAACACCTCTACTGGAATTTCTTTCAAGGCTCGCAAAGTGATTCTGGCCAATCCTACGAATACTTATTCTGATATTCGCTTTTCGCCTCCTCTTCCTGTGAAGAAGATCGCACTCGTTTCGGACACAAAACCAGGTTATTATGCCAAAGTTGTCGCTTCATATCGAGAGCCATGGTGGCGAAATGCGGGTCTTAATGGAAAGTTCATAAGCCTCAAGGGTCCGATCTGTTTTTCTTGGGATACTTCTGATCTGGACGATGCCCAATACTCTCTCGCATTCTTTATTGCTGGAGATATCGCTAATCAGTGGAACCAGCTTCCTTCCCTTCAGCAGGAAGCAGCGGTCATCAACCACTTGGCTGAATTGGTCGGGACAGAACTGGCGGATCATGCTTATAATGTTTTGGAAATCAACATCGTGGAGTGGAATAAGGAGGAATACATTTGGGGAGCACCGACATCTGTAATGGGGCCGACTATGCTTTCCCAGTATGGAGAAGAGCTTCGAAAGCCTTTCTTAAACTTACACTTTGCTGGTGGTGAAACTGCTTATGAATGGAAAGGCTATCTTGAAGGTGCAATCACTGCTGGATACAGAGCTGCAGCAGAAGTTGTGAAGGTATTGCAGCCGGAAGCAAAGATTTAATGTTTTTTTTTGCGCGAATCGGACTTGTTTCATCAAGGCAGATTATATCTGAATCACGTTGAGGTCTATGATGTTGAACACCTCTTGTGTTTACTAAGACTTCAATTATGGAAGAAAGGATTAATTCAAAGATTGATATCATGTCCTATAGCTTGGATTTTGGTCTGCTAACCATCAGGCCATAGCAAATAAAAAATAAACCAAGAAAAAAATATGGAGCCCTAGGGCTACCTCGTCCAGAACCTACTATCCTACTACTAGCAGGTCCACTACTATTTAGTGGGCCGCGGCCGGGCCAAATATGTTTGTAGTCCAGTCAAACAGCGTCTTAGGCACATCACGGCCCCCGTAGTTAGGAGGTCCATTTAAATTCCGCGCGCCGAAATTTTTTTTCCCTGATTTTCTCAAGCTTGTGATCTTTGGACCTCAGCAGCTTGGAGCTGTCTTCTGCCTCTCTTTCTCTCTTTATCATCGACCTTGAGCTGCTCAAGCAGCTCAGGTCAAGCTATCCCTTTGGGGTCAGAGGCCGCATGATGTTTTCCGACCTCGCTGGCTTCGTCAACCCATAATTGTAATAAAAGGTAAGGACGATTTGTTCTCTTTTTTTCACTGCACCTCTCCCCTCGTTGGATGATGACTCCAAAGACATGCAAAGGCATTCCTCAATCTTAAGATATCGTGTGGAATCTGTCATTCTATCAAGTTTCAGCCTTGTCTGACTTCAACACAAATCTTCATTGTCATTCGTTACCAGTCTTTCTTGACACAATTATGCTAACAAGTTGCTGGTTAGGTAAATACATACACATTTCGTGAATCTCTTCCCTCAATTGCGGCATTTGCCTTGCATGAAGAAATTTTGAACGAACGGGCGGACAAAACGTACCCATGTCCCGGCATCCAACAAAAACAGAGCGTACAAACTCTGTGGGTGCCTGGGAGGTGGATTACTTGTTGAGAACTCGTCACCTGATCCTATTCCCAAATTCTATCGCTTGACATGATTACGTCTATCGAGTTGGGAACAAAATTTTCTGACTGAATATTTAGGTATTTTATTCTAGTTCTCGTTATCTGCATGCCCCTCGCACATGGTTCAATCTTGTATGATGAATGTGTTATTCACACTGTTTGACCTGGTTCGTCCGGGAATGAACATTTATACAAAAATCTGATTTAATGAGGTGAGTCGGCCTGCATCCCATCTGAGCCCATGAGACGAGTCCATACTGACGAGGACCCCCACAGCCTGACTTAAATTGCCATGTTTTGATCTTGCATTTCACGCTTGCATTTTCTCCGAATGCCATTGCTGACTCGATCCGATCAATCACTTAGGAATACCCTCAACTATTATTTGGTCGATGGGATGGCCCTTGTCTGAGTGAGTACCACCTTGTCTTTTCTTCTTGCCCTCATTTCATGATGAACCCTATAATTCGCTGTGTTCTTTCTGAACTACATTGAAGATACAAATTATATTCACCTTGGAGAACTGATCTCTTCACTTGTTTACACGATGCTTGATTACATCCTGTTATGTGTACAGTGGCTAATATGCGCTGCAGGTTCTCATTAGATACCCTTGATACCCCCCTAGTTTAATCATTTCAATCAAACATAAATCTCTCATAATCATCGCTCTTTCGCGTAAACCGCAGCCATGGCTACATTTTCCTCTCGGCCCATTTTCATAGACGAAAGCTTAATAGTTCTTTCTTCCCCTCGAATTCAACTCCTGTCCCATCCGCCGTACTCCCCGACTCCCTTGCTCTGAATCAACGTTTCCAGGTCAATTTCTCTACTCCACAAAATAGTTGTGTCTCTTATGCCACTCCTCCAGACTATCTTTGTTGTAGAGAGTATGCACGCTCTTCTTCCCCTCTGGCCATCGCGCCCATGCCGGCTTTGAGTCGGCCATGATACAGACCATCTCCGCCGGTTCAGGCAGGTCCGTATCAATCGCAGAGGCAAAAGGGTGAATCAATTCCGGCCAATGGTGATCCCACAGCCACAGCATGGTGCTGCAATTCGAGCAAAAGTTCCGCTCGGAAGCGCAGCGCTCCTCGTTCGGAGTTCCGCGGTCTTTAATTCCATTGTATTTCCTAGCGACCAAATAGTCAGATTCGATCCCGGGATAGCAGTATTATATATAGCCCGTGGCCCAAGGGCGTAAGACTTCGGAAGTGTGAAGGGGTCGGGGCACACTTGATCAGGTCCTTTCCCTTGAGGATCTGGAGACTATCCGCGATGCCACCCAGGTTCACGGCCCCACTATAACCTGCCACTTTGCGACAGATGCTGCAGGCGCATAGTTGGTAGGGGACTGGGGTTTGCGACTGGAGAGTGAATTCCACGCCGCCGCATTGGCAGCTGCCATCCAGTTTCCTATGGCGGTCCGTTAGTATTACAATGCGGGGTGATGAGAAGTGGGCAAGGGTGGCATGAGCGACACGTACATTGGCATATTGGCTGTAGTTTCAGTTTAGACGAAGATGCTTTGGGTGTGAAATGAATCTTAGTACAGGGAAGAAGGTCGAGTGAGATATGATAAGAAGTGGGATTGGAAGTTAATTCCAGAGGAATCAAGGGCCTCTTCAGTGCATATATATATTTCACCGTGGCAAGGGATCAACACGCCCAAGTCATACACTGCAGACAAGACAAACAAGATGAGACAAACGGGCTGCTGATCTAGCAGTACTTTGTTCTATCTCTAATCCACTCAATGGCTCCTCTTTAATCTCCAGTCCTGATTCTAAGCAGCTCGCTACATCATCGGCGCATCCGCCAGTCGTGACTGGTTGGCTGAGGCGGTGTTTGTCTCTTTTGCTCCGTTTGTCTTCGGGCCATCGACCCGCTCTCTTGCTGGAACTCGTGGACGGCGATCGATCTCTGGAATCATCATTCACTCTTCCGCGCAGTACAGCGAAGCCTCGGAGGTGTCAGTACTGCTAATACCATAATACGTCCCCGCTGTTCTCACCAGAGTATCAAAATGTCGTTCGGAGCTCCCGGAGGCGGGTCCGTGAACTACAAGCCCACGCCGTGAGTCCTTGCGCTCTGTCTCTTCATGCTAGCTACAATCCCCCGTCCAATCCGGATGGGCTGCTCCTTAGCGGCTGATATTGTGAAAAGAATTTGCGCTGACAGTTGATTGCCTCTCAAAGACCCGAACGTGGTAGCTTCCCTCTTGACCACGAAGGTAAATCTCTACACTGGTCGATTCGAATGGGCCTTTCGACTGTGCCCGTCGGCGAATACGGACCTCACTAATATCTCGTCTGCTGTCACAGGAGAATGCAAGCATATCATTTCTGGGTACTTGAAATGTATCAAGTCGAATAAAGGCACCAATGACGAGGCGTGTCGCAGACTGGCCAAGGACTACCTCGCTTGCCGGATGGACAAGTACGTGGAATCCACGACCGAGACAGACCTTTTTCCTTTCCTTTTTTTTCTCTTTGCGTGGAGGTTATGCCGCTGCTGAAAACCAAGAATCATGCACTAATGAACTGCCTGTCTTCTATCTACAGGAATCTGATGGCCCCCGACAACTTCGAGAACCTCGGACTCATATTCAAGGAGGGTCAAGATAAAGGCACTTCTCCGACCAATACGACACAAGGAGGAGAAAAAGGAGCAGGAAAGGCCGACTGAGCTGGACCAGAGCGAGGGGACAGCCTAAACCTTAGCATGAAGGGGAATGACTTTTTTGTACGATATTTTGTAGAAACCACCGCATCCGCGTTTGGAGGTGCGCTGGCGCCCCTGGACGGCGTTGTATATATATGAAAAAAGAATTGTATTATAATCCAATAATCTCCGCTATTTTGCTTTATTCTCGAAGCCGTTGTGCTCAGTATTCGCGTATCTGAATGCCAGACGTGAGCGGCCTCGAATTGGCTCGAGCTCTCTCGCATGCGGGGAAAACCCGCCTCCGCCCAATCACTTCCGCGCCTTCTTCAACGTCGAGCCCCCAGGCGATCGCGAACGCCAACGCACTCGATGTCTTCCATCGCACGGCCACCAGACGCATGTCTGGTGGCAATTATCCTGATTGTGCGCTCGCGCACAGGCCCCCGCCTCGTCTTCCACTACCCGCCGAACCCGCTCAGCGAGAACCGCCTGAAGACGAGCACCAAGGGCGGGCGGCGCATTTCCCGCACGCGCAGCCGCCAGGGTACTAGGAACGTTGAATCCAGCTCGAGCGATGAGTCGCTCAGCTCTGACGAGGATGAGGAGGAGCGCGAGCCGAATGCCGCAGGGCCGTCAGCGAACATTCGTCGCGCGAGCAACTTCGGCCTAGAAGGCCATGTGCCGGTCTCCGCGTCGCCGGGAGGTGGAGAGACGCACAGGCCTGGGTCTCTGGGGTCTGGCAGAGGAGCGTCGCTACGCAGACGGGGTGGTGGCGCGTCGGATCTTGAGGATGATACTGGTGCGTCTGATCGACCCGAGGATGGGACCGGAGGCTCGTCGCGACCACCGTGGGAATCGCTCCTGGGTTTGCCGGGCAGTATATGGGAAAAACTACTGAGTCCGTCTCGATCGTGGCATAAACGGCGGTATGAGGTGGGGATTAACGACCTGGCGCTCATTGGGTGGCCAGTCTTCGTGCGTGAGGACGGGACCTGGCGCAAGCAACGGCGGAAGAAGAAAAAGAAGCACCAGGCTGAATGGGATGGCGGAGAGTTGGGGCACAATGAGAGCGCGGAAGATGGACAAGGTGAAGAGGATGCGACTACATCTCCTGACCTCGGAGGGAGCGTTGCTACGATTACCGAATTGTCGTTGACCGCGTCACCGACGGAGATGAAGCGTGCGTCGACGGCTAGTGTGAAGACGGGGAAACAGCAGGACGATTCTTTCGACCCCGAGGACAACGACCATATGACGATGTTCAATGTCGTTTTTGTTATGGATCCTCCTTTACTCGAGTATTCCATGCGTGTCCGCGAGATCTATGAGAACATCATCAAGAAGTTTGCCAAAGCTCTCAAATGGGAGCAGGCCCGCACAGATTACGTGTGGAAGGAATCGCAACATATCTTGGGAATGCGGCGCAAGGCGAGAGAAACAAGTAAGTTCTTGACTCTAGGCACATCTGATCATTCATGTATCCTGACATTGATGCCAGAAACTTCGGTTCAGAATCTATACTCCGAAATGATATCCCAATCATCTCTGGCAAGGGCTATTTATACAGTCTACAGCAGCATCTCGGCATCAAAGATCGCATCAGTATCTCTCAGCCCCGATGTCTCCATATCCCTACAGATCCCTCCTTTGACATCCACTGCCTACCTGGCTGGACCAGCCGACAAAGCATACCCAGGTCTTTGGTTGACTACAGCGGACAGCGCCACCCCAGTTGATGATCCAGGCAATGATGAGAGCAGTACACCCCATCAAGTACTAGCCAAACATTTTGCTCTACTTTTACTTGACAGCGAGGCATCGATCATCAAAGATGTTGAAGCTTCCGGCGGCACGCTAGCCCCAGCGCTGGCACATTACATCCGATGTTCCAAGCCCACCAAGTCATTCGCTCAAATATCAGCGTCCTCCGGAATCCCACTGTCGACAATCCAGATGCTGGCAAGCCACCTGGTATACTGGCGTCGGGCCCGCGCAATTCCCCCCATCCACCAACGAGACACCTACATTGTCTCACCGAATTGCGACTTGAGCAAATTGGAAATTGCTACGATTGCCTACCAACATGCCTTCCCGACGCTGCCTAGTCTCCCAAAGATGCTTTCTGCACTCAGCGGGACACCTCGGGCCTATGCTAGCTTCATCCCCAGCAAAGATCACAAAGAGACGTACTTTGCCATTCTGGCCTGGCTCCTTCGGGGTGGCTGGGTCACGCAGCTGCGAACTTTCGCTCGTATCAAAGTCACCCCGGAAATCAAACTCGCCGTGGAGACTGCCCTTCGAAAGGAAGAGGTAGACCGATATCTGGCCAAGGGCAGTGCCAGTTCCGTCGCTAATGACGATTCCTCCGACGATGATGATGCCAACTCGTCGTCGTCCTCCTCTCTCGCCAGTCACGGCAGCGGCGACGAGACACCCATGCCCGGACGCGCCGATCCCCGCGCGCGACTTCGTAATTCCCACAAGCTCCTCGACCGGTCCACGACCCTCCGCCGCTCATCCCTGATCCTTTCTCCACACCGTGCTTCGCCGCTCGAGTCGCGGTGGCTTGACGAGATTGTCTCCCGGTTCCCCGACCAGACGGGCCTCGGTCACAGCCTGGAGGGTGCGAGCCCGGACATTGCGCCAAACGATCTGCAGACCATTCTGCAGAAGTACTGGCCCGTGTTCCTGAAGTACTTTAATGGCTATGACGCGCTGGAGAAGATTCCCGTACGTGAGAGCCTGAAGCGCAAGTTGGTCTGGCAGGTCCTCACGCGGCTTGGCTTCGTGACTGGGCCACCGGGCGCGGTCGAGCTGGATGCGCGAGAGCAGGTGCTCATCAGTGTGCGACATTGGTAGCTGCGTGGGTTCTCTCTCTCTCTCTCTCTCTCTCTCTCTCTCTCTCTCTCTATACTAGGCTTGGGCAAAACTTTGGGGGTTGGGGTTTGTTCTTGTTTCAGCGGGGATCTGCAAAATACATATACCACTCTGTTCTGCTTCCTAGCCTTGTCATTATTCTCCAATTCAGCCTGGCGTCTCTCTGCACGACGCTGTATAACTGATCAAGCCACCCCATCCCACGTCCTGCCTACGATGCAGTAAAGCTAGTTAAGCAAATCTGCACGGTCAGGAGGGGCGCCGGCGCTGGCGGCGACGATATAATACCGATACCATGGCGCAACTGGCGTAATTCGATTACACACAGCTCCACCCTTTCCGATGAATCCCGCGTGCCCTCAGCCCTAATCGCGCGCTGCCGAATCTCAACGCGCCCCCGTTCTCCCGGTCCCAAGCAAGACCGCCGAGCGAGACCGTCGCACTCGGAGATCCCCTTCGAACGAACTCGTTCCCTCCGTCGTGCGGTCGTACAGAACTCCCCCTTCCCCCTCCCGTTACGTCTCGTACGGGACCCTGCAACACGATTCGTCACGTGTCCGCCCTCTGCGCGGGACTCCCATCACATTCTTCGGTCACACAGAATAGCCACGGGGATGGTCCAGACCTGGGGAGAAGGGGGAGAGGGCGGGGGGATAAGTTTTCTTATTTGAGCTATTGCTGGGCCCAAACTGCCCCGACGAGTTTCCGCGGGGAGAGAGGGGTCTATGTAGTCGGTATTATACCATCAACAATCATCATCCGATCGAAACTACAGAGGAAAGTCTTGTAGGGCAGTAGAAGCAGCAGGAGTAGCAGCAGTAGTACCTACTACTACTAGTGCTGTCCACGGGCCTGGTATTACGCGGATAGACTCGGATCCTGGGTAGTTCGTGGTAGGCGGGATATTGGTGAAGACCACTCAAACCCTTGGCAGGTACCCGAGGACCTTGAACCGGTATATCCGGGTCTCCGCCTGTGATGATTCCGCGACCACCGATCGCGAGGGCGGAAGATATAGTATAGAACGGGAAGAAGCGATATGACGTTTCAACTCGATCCAAGGGGTTGATGGAAAATCCCGAACTTTGGGTAGAATGGATATATGAGATACTATACTCTGATATTATATTCTGTATACGTGTCGTCTACATGGATGTCAGGGTGTGTGCTCTCGGTCCTAGGTCGGCCGATAGGCCCAACAGCAGCGCCGTTGCACCGAGACATTTGAGGATCGAAATGTGTGTCGCCCCAGGGGGGCCAATGGGCGGAACAGAGGGGCCCCGGTGGACCCCGCAAGGGTTGCTAAAACGTGAAAAAAATTGGAAATGTGCCGTTGAAGTTTTTTTGAGTACGGAGACCGGAGATGCAATAGACTTGAGTCGAATCTATCAGCTTTTAGAAAGCAGGAGTTAAGCAGATTTTGCCTTCACAGGATCTTCGGGCAAGAGAGAGAGAGAATGTGTGTGTGTGTGTGTGAGAGAGAGAGAGAGAGAGAGAGAGAGAGAGAGAGAGAGAGAGAGAGTAACGAATGCACGTATTAGCTATGTAGATTTAGTCTATTGGAGCTGACTCTCGAGGAATCTAAATTACAGTCTCTGTCTGTATATTACATGTAATACTGCTACAGAGGTATGGGAAAATTACTTGATGTAGCGGGCTCGAACTTCTGGGGTAGGTTCTTTGCAGTCATACCCAGGTGTGGCTGTCAGGAAAAAAAGTTCAAGCAGAGAGAATCGAGCCCCGTGAATCATGGTCTGAAGTAGAAGGCCGGTATGCCTGCAGCCTCGATCGCGGGCATGATGTAGGACTGCTGGTTGGTGGTGGTGCTTTCCGGAGTGGGCGGATACCACTGCTGGACCTGTCAACAGCGCAGGACGGCGTACAACGGCCGACCCAGGCCTGGTTCATGCAGCACAGGTCTCTGCCACGTTCGGCCTCGATTGGCACCATCGAGTTATACTTTAGGGCCCCCTCGCCTGCCTACGGGAGCCCGGGGAGAACACTACCGGTGATCGGATCATGCCCCAGGTTATTTTGTTATTTTGTTTCTGAGGGGAAACACTTGTAGGTTTCAACAGCGTCGCTTGGTCGGGACGGAAGTAATATATCTAGATAGAATTCCGGCCTGACGGTGTGCGAAGCCTGACGCCCAGGAGCCTCACTGTATGGTATCTATGACGAGACCAGGTTGGAAAGGTACGGATTCAAAGCTCAAGTGAACTCCAAACTAAGATGTCTAGAGCTGATGGGGGAAAGCCATGAACCATATATAAATGGATCAAACCCTTTTGTCTGTTCTGGCCATGTCCAGGTCATGTTGAGAAGGTAAAATAGGTAGTTTCGATGAACGCAGGGTGCCCGGGGTACCTTATGGCCCGATAGGCATGTAATGTACTACGGACCTCGGACCAGCCAGAACCGAGCAGGGAACGGTACGAGGTGATAATCCTAGTATCCTAGATGACCTGAACTTTCTGAGAACTAGGTATTTGCATATTTATTCAGGACCTATCGACCTCTATCATGTCGCTAGACCTCAAACCAGGGCCCATAAATTTCGCGGCATTCGGGCTCCCCAAAAAAAAACCCATAAAAAAAACCCTTGGGAGCCGGGAAATATGGTGCTGTGCGACTGGTATCGATTGCGGGCCCCGTTTTCCCTCGTTTTGTGTGTGTTGCGGGCGTACGGCACCGACGGATTCCACAAGGTCTCCATACGAGATTTCCTTCCCCCCTTCAAATGTCAATTCCAAAGGACCAAAAAAAAATAAAAAGTTGCGTAGTAATTCACGGATGCGAACTGTGTGTTGTGGCCGAGACCTATCATAAATCATCAATCCAAAATCATAGTCCGAACAGAAGAAAACAGGGCGGCCCATACTGTACTCCCGCTGGCACTGCTGGCACTGGCACCCCGCTACCACAACCGGTCCTGATTATTACCCAAATAATAATTTTGCGTTCCTGCTCCCTCCTCCTCTTACCCTCCCACCAAACTTCCCCTCTCTCACCTCCTCCCCCCTCCCCTTCTTGGGCGTTTCGTGCTCAACCTCTCTTCCTCGTTTCGGTCCTCCAAAACCGCTACTCCTCTCCGACACACTTACCCGGGAATTCCTCCGTGCTCTTTCCGCGCGCTCATTTCTCCCACACGAGATCCTCTGTCAACGAATCCGGTTCGGCACCTCTCCTTTCTCCTCTCACCCCTGGAGAGAACGGAGTGACCGATCTTCGCTCGTGACTCCGTGAGCCGTCTGTGAAGTGCAATCCGCGCTTTGCTTCCCCCGGCTTTTTTCCCACCGGCTCTTACAAGGGGTCCGCGTCGCTGTCTAGAACACCGACCGGCCTGACGTCCAGCGTGCTCCGGTATCCCTGTTTCCCGGCCAGATACAGCCCATCGCTTCCTTGGATCGTTGTGCTGCACTGTCAACCGCTACTCCGACAATCGACCGTTTGTGGACGCAACACAAGACCTCTTCAGTTTCCGTCTTTCGTCAGGCAGATTGATCGTGCAAGCCAGTAAGCTGGTGTCTTCACAGTCTGGTTTGCAGAGCATCGACAAGGCAGTGCCTTCTCTTTGTTGAAAATTTTTATTTTCTTTCTGGAACTTCCCTCTGTTTCTCAATTTTTCGTCCCTCTGTGCGTTTTGGTGGCTCGCATCCATTCCGACCGCTCCCTTCGCAACGATACCGATACCGTCAGTGCTACCGATGCGATCTGTGGTCTAGACGGTCAATTCGCACATTCCTCCCCAGACCGAGTGTTTTTCTTCCTCAACAACCTCTCCGCTTCGTTTCGTCTCACCTTGCCGGAAAAACCGCTGCGACTCGTGGGTACAATACCGAGTGAACGGGAAGCTGCTGCTTGGTGGGGTTATAAAACGGTGGAAGTTCCTTTTCTGAGAGATACTGGTGCCGGAGTTTCCTAGCGCGTGGGCGTGTATAGAGATCTCCAGGCCCAAACGGAAATCGCTGTTCCCTAACAGATTTACTTCTTTCAACTCAATCCATCTCAATCTAACCAAAAACCACAAAAATGAGCGCTACATTTTCTTATGCGCAAGCCGCGAAGGGCGCTGCTGGCACACCGGCCTCCAACAAGACCGCGACAGAGCCGGAGCAGCCCGAAGTCAGCCAGGAAGAGAAGACCGACGATGCGCTGGAGTCTGTGACCGCTCCTTCGGAGTCTGAGACGCCACAGGAAGCTGAAAAGACAGTGTCTCATGCGGACCCCGATGCGGAGTTCACGACTGTGACTAGCAAGCACTCCCGATCGAAGGCCGCCCACTCCAGGACCTCATCACCGAGCGTTCGATCTACCGCTACTCAGTCCAAAGAGGGAGGCGACTCCTCCAGTGTGCCCAACGGCACCGCCGATGCTTCGTCAGATAAGCAATCACAGGATGTGAAGGCAGATAAGTCAGAGAACGGCTCTGAGGGTTCCAAGGAGAAGTCTGAAAAGTCTGAGAAGAGTGCCCCGCCAAAGGAGCTGAAAGCTGCTCCTCTCCCCTCCGTGAACATCTGGGAGCGCAGGAGGGAGGCCCAAGAAGCCAAGGCCAAAAGCACGCCTGCTGTGCCAACGAACAAGACGACACCTGGGAAGGCGGATGAGACCCAGCAGGACTCCTCCAAGACCACTTCAAAGAAGAAGGGTGCTGATGGTTCTTCGGAAGGCACCAAGGACCGCAAGAAGACTGAGGGTGGTAAGGGACGGGATGAGGCTCTTCCTTCCGTTACCGACGCTTCATTATGGCCCACCCCTCAGGTTGCATTGGGCGAGGAGAAGAAGAAGGCTCAGGAGAAGACCGACAAACCTGAGCGCACCGAGAAGAGCCCTGTCATCCGAACCCACGGCAAGGAGAAGTGGATGCCGGTGAACTACGTCCCCACTGCCGTTTTCAACACTCCTCTCCCATCGTCTGGCCGTGGAGGCCGCCGGGCCGCTCGCGGGGGACGCGATGGCAGCCGTGGCGGTGCTCACGGCGCTGGTGCTGCCAGCGGTGAGAAGGCTGCGTCTGGACAGGCCAGTCAGGCTTCCGCGGCCAAGCAGGGCTCTGGAGAGCGTGGACGCAATGAACCTACCACTGGCCGTGCCACTTCTCTTCCCGCCCAATCAAGACGGTCCACTAGTCCGGATGCTGCCAACCAGGAGGGACGCAAGGCCCAGGCTGCGGATCGCAAGGCTCGTGGCGCTGAAGATGCCGCCGCTGCTGGCGGCAAGCAGACCAACGGCGGCGAGAACGTCTCTCGACCCCAGCGCGAAGGCAAGCAGTTCACCCGGAACCAGGAGGCCCGAGCTGCTAACTCCAAGGCTGCTCACCTGGCTGTTGATGCCCAGGCCGCTACTCGTGCCAACGACCGCCGTGCCGAGTCTGGTTCTAAGTCTGCTGATTTGAGCCGCGATTCTGCTGGCTTCCAGGAATTCAACCGGGAGCGCGGCGACAACCAGCGGGGAGGCCGGGGCTCCACCCGTGGCCGTGGCCCTTACACTGGTTTTGGCCAGAACCCTCAGTTCGGCACCCCGCAGAACAACTTTGTTCCCTCCAAGTACGGTTTCAACGACCGCCAGCGCTCGCAACATATTCAGAATGGATCGCAGCAAGGTCACCGCATGACCGTGCGGTCTCCCTCATTGCCCGCCTCCACTGGTGTTTACCCCGGTGTTTACCCATTCCCGGCTGACATCAACACCATGTACCCCTACCAGGCTGTGGCCCCTGGCCCCATGAGTGCTGTTCCCTACCAGCAGTACATGGAGCCTTTTTCCCTAATGACAATGCTGTCCATGCAGCTCGAGTACTACTTCTCGGTGGATAACATGTGCAAGGATATGTTCCTTCGCCGTCACATGGATTCCCAGGGCTTCGTTCCTCTGGGTGTTATTGCTAGCTTCAAGCGGGTCAAGTCTCTGACCGAGGACTTTGAGATGCTCCGTCATGTTTCTCGCAATCTGCGAAACGTCGAATACCAGACTGGTGAGGATGGCGTGGATCGCCTCCGCCCGAAGGAGCGATGGGGCCAGTGGATCCTCCCCGTTGACCAGCGCGACCCCTCGGCCCAGCATGAGGGTGCCCCCCCGGCCACACACACTGGCAAGACCGACGAGAACACCCCATTGAACAACAACCATGCCGACGGCACTCCCAACGGCTCGGCTCACCATGGGTCGCGACAGTTTATTCCTAATGGCACGGCATCCCGCCAAGCCCCGACCTCGCTTTCTTCTACGGCCCCAGAGTTCATGCCGTCCGTGCCATCGGCGCAAAATGAAATTGCCAATGTAGGAACCCCCATGGATCTTTCTTTTGTTCCCGGAGGCAGCCCAGAACTGGAAGAAATTTCTCCATCCCCCACTTCTGCAGACCAACCATTTATTGACGAATATGATTCAGCGTGCCGACTAGATTCGCCCTCGATGAACCCGGTCCCCCTTGGCTTTGGACCCTCGTGGTGCTCTCCTGGGTATGATTGCTTTCGCACCATTTTTTAACCGATCACTATTGACTGACTGTGTTTGTGTCTGCTCATTAGCTTCGATGTGGAGAACAGAAAGCATCATCCATGCCATTCTGCCACTCCCCTGGCTGACGAGTCGCCACCAAAGCATCACTCTTTGTTCGAGTCAAACGGACCGGGCCCTCCCCGCAAAAAGAAGACGTCCAATGTCCAAAATAAACCTGACACCTTCCATTTAAATCCTCCCCATGGTCGACACCAAAAGTCAACCCCCCTTGATTCTGGCTTTGTGACCGGCCCTCCCTATCGTTCCTGGTCACGGTACCTCATCCGCAATTTCGATATGCCACTGTACAATGAATTTCGGCGTTTAGCCCTTGATGATCTTCTAACACGACACCTTGATTATGGTTTCAATGCTCTCATGGGCTTTTACCAAATCTGTCTTTTCAGCCATTGCTCTTTTCCTCCGCAGGTGTTCGCGGACATGGTGGGCTTGTCACGAACCAGTGATTTCATATACCATGATGCGCTCTTTTCACTGCTTTGCTCCGCCATGGGAAGCGGACTTATGGAAAAGTCCAACCGTCACAATGCCGGGTTCTACTTCAATCGCGAGTATGGTAAGAAAAGGCGGTGTTGGAAAAGAATCATCTGAATGACTCGTTATCGGTATCCATTCTCTCTTCTCGCTCTCGATTCCGTTGCTCTTTATTTCTGGGGTTCAAATTTTTGTTCATCTTTTTTACTTCCCCTCTTCGTTCCATTCGCCCAAATCATGATCAGCATTGTTGTGTTCAAAAAGGTTTTGCATGCATCGTCGCCCACTTCTCTTCTAGAGCGCCGAATGGTTCATTCCCATCGCAACACCGGCGACTTGGCTTTTCCCGGTCACCGTGAAGCCTCGGAGTTCGTCTCACCTCTTGTTTCTCTTTTTGTTTCCCCCTCTCCGCGTTGATTGCTTCAAAAACCATGGGCTTTCTTTTCCCCACTTCAAAATGTTTTCTCCGGAGTCCGGGCATGATATTACTGGGCAAATATTCCCTTTCTTGCCTACACCACTGCCCGATTCGATCGGCGTGCTGGGCCCAAAAAATGATTGTTTTTTTTTCTTCTGATCATAGAGATTTTGTGTGTTCCTTTTTTTTTTTTTTTTTTCCTCTTGTGAAGTGGTTTTTTGCCATTGCCGCCTATTTTATTATCCAATCCGGTCAGCTGGTGTCGATTCCGGCTCTTGTGTTTTGGATCTTAGCGAGTATCAGCATGACGGTGTACCGACTCCGAGCAATGCAATGGTCGAGAACCATCAATGAAAAAGTGCCTTGTATGATGTCATCTACGTGACTCTAAGTGTTTCCCCCCATTATATACCCTTATTTTCCCATGGATTGGGCAAACAGCTTCCAGTCTCAAAATTTCGCTGGGGCTGCCCTACTACTCCGAGCAGTTGCTACCGGTGCTCTTTCATACTAAAGTTTGATGTACGGCCGAAGTCTGCTGGACGTGAAATCTTACTCGGCGCTTTTCTCCTTTTTTTCAATGGCGTTTTTATCTTGCACCGGTGCTTGTTTTCCCGTGACTGCCAATCAGCCCTTTTTTTGTGCATAAATGAGGTCATTCAGTGTGTTGTTTGTCCGAGTAATTGACTTGCATACTATGGATCAAAGCTAGAGAGTTCAGATTCAAAATTAAAATTTTTTTTTGGCTTGTCATGGAATTTGTTTATTTTTGTAGAGTCTATGCTTACTTTTCATTTGACTCGAGCTCACTGAACCTGGCGTCCTGTGATTGAGCTCTCCAATCCATCTGTACTCCGTGTTGCATCCTGGGTGCCTCAGGCGCCAACAGCTTGACCAGTCGGAGCAACGCCAAACCCCGAACCCTCCATGCCCCGAACAGCTCGTCTTAACCGGCTGACTCTGCCTCTCCACCATCCTCTACCCCAACCTCGCCCTGATATCATCACCCGCAGTCATAATGGAGGGTGCAACCCGCCAGACCTCGAGACTGTTACGGTCTCGTGGTACCAACGTCCTTCAGCAGCGCCGCCTTCCCCGGTCTTCCACCGCGACCAGCGTGACCTCCCCCACAACGACGAGCCGTGTCGAATTCCCCTCGGAATCTAGCTCCAGAATCCATTTTTAGCAATTTCGCTGCCGCCGGCTCCTCGCAGCAACCAGGACTCGGTCCCACGACGTATTTCACCAATCGACAGACCCTCCCCGCAAACACGGTCGTGCGCTTCGTCCCGCAGCAGACGGCATGGATCGTTGAGCGCATGGGAAAGTTCCACCGCATCCTGGAGCCGGGTCTAGCGATCCTGGTTCCATTTCTGGATCGGATCGCCTACGTGAAGAGTTTGAAGGAGTCGGCTATCGAGATCCCGAGCCAGAATGCCATTACCGCCGATAACGTTACCCTGGAGCTGGACGGTGTTCTGTATACCCGTGTCTTTGACGCATACAAGGCTAGGTGAGTGTCCGTACTGGCACGGCAGGTCTATTGATACCAGGATCGGCTAACGAAGGACTGAACTATTTAGCTATGGAGTCGAGGACGCAGAATATGCGATCTCGCAGCTTGCGCAGACGACGATGAGATCTGAAATCGGTCAATTGACCCTGGACCACGTCCTCAAGGAGCGTGCCACACTCAACACTAATATCACACAAGCCATCAACGAGGCCGCCCAGGACTGGGGTGTTGTCTGCCTACGATACGAGATTAGGGATATCCATGCGCCAGAGGGTGTCGTGGCCGCGATGCACCGCCAGGTCACCGCGGAGCGTTCCAAACGTGCCGAGATTCTCGACTCCGAAGGTCAGCGCCAGAGCGCGATTAATATCGCTGAAGGTCGCAAGCAGTCGGTAATTTTGGCTTCCGAGGCTTTGCGTGCCGAACAGATTAACTTGGCTGCGGGTGAGGCGGAGGCCATCAAGCTGAAGGCCGAGGCTACCGCCCGTGGCATCAATGCTGTTTCCCAAGCTATCCAGGACGGAAAGGAGCATGCTCACGGCGCAATTAGCTTGAGCGTGGCAGAGAAGTATGTTGAGGCTTTCTCCAACCTGGCTCGTGAAGGTACTGCCGTCGTGGTCCCGGGCAATGTGGGCGATATGGGTGGCATGATCGCCTCGGCCATGTCGGTCTACGGCAAGATTAGTGAGAGCCAGGCCAAGAATCTTGCTACTAAGGTTGTTGGCAAAAATGTGCAGTCTGCCGAGACCGCCCAGGCTGCTCAGTCCGAGGAGTATGATGTTGAGAGTGAGATCCAGTCGGCTGAGGAGTCGGCGGCCCACGATGGGGTTGCACAGAACGTGCTGGACGGATTCGACGAAGTCAGCAAGAAGAAATAAATCAATGCCGCTGCCGAATACCAGCGATATGCGAACGATGAAACATTCTCTATCTCTCTATCTTTCTCCTCCTTTTTTCTGATGCGTGCTCCTGGATTATCTCACGCCCTCTTGCATTCTCCTCCACTGCTCTCGTTCTGGTGCTCGTTTCCCCGCTGTATCACTCTCCACTACTCATGGTATTTCCTTTGACCTGCTATTCTGGTTTTTAGCATCTGTTCAGGAGTCCCAAAAGATTCTCGTCTCTTGTACTGTATCGAAGTTTGAATCGAATTGGTGATCTGCCCAGAGCTTGTATGTACATATGGACGTCATGAGGATTGATCAGGGAAGAAAAAGGAAGAAAAGGGAAAGAACAAGAAGCCCCCAGTGTATGATACGTATGTAGAATCCAAGTTTCGACAAATCGCTGCACTATTCACCTTTGTAGAACGACCTCGTAGTGGCGGTTGACACCTGCTAGTGTCGTAGCTTAACTATAAAGTTGAGCAAACGCGAAAGGGAGCTCGGGCCACGCGCCAAATCTGGAGATTCGCGACTTTTCGATCGGGCGCGCCCTCCTTGTGCCGCTCTCTTCTCCCCTTCATCCCCACCACCACCCGATTCCATCTGCAGTTTCTCCCGTTAATCTCACTCCCTGTGTCTTACTCTCCGACCCAGAATTTTAAACGCCTGAACACTCCTGGCCTGTGTTTTGGCTGTGCGATGTCCTGCCCGATAAACACCTGAGCCGATTCTCGCCCTATCCCGCCGCTCTTACGAGAAGTCGTCATCCTTCCTCCATACTCGCAGCGAACCGAGTCGTCTGCACAAAGAATCTGGCCAGGCTGGAGCCGTCGTAAATTGTACTTGCCTGGTTTAAGGAGGCGGCGCAGACTGCTCGGGCTGCGATGCATATCATCAAACCCGTTTGGCTGACGCATGGAGGTATGCTCTTTTGTGTGAATATTTCTGCGTGGCTTTGGCTGCTCGGCATGGCAATAGATGCAAAGTTATGCTAGCTGAGGAAAATGAGGCTGTGACCGGGTCTGAGGGGCAACTAGGGCTAATGGGATGCGCTTTTTCTAGGAGAACGGAAGGACTTCGAGGTTTACAGTTGCGATGTGTCTCCTGATGGGAAGAGACTGGTGACTGCCGCTGGAGGTAAGTTTTGTGGGGTTTGAATATTAAATGTGTTGGAGAGCGGAGACCACTCGACGTTCGTTGGAACAATGCAAATGGGACTTGTCACTGATCCGTGGAACCCTTTTGTTGCGCTTTAGATGGATATGTTCGTATCTGGTCCACAGAGGCCATATACAACACCGGAAACCCTGAATTCGCAAGCAAGCCCAAACAGCTGGCCTCTATGAGCAACCACTCCGGCACAATCCATACAGTTCGCTTTTCGCCGAATGGGAAATACTTGGCTTCAGGGGCCGATGATAAGATCGTTTGCGTGTATACCCTGGATTCGAATCCTCCAACACATTCAACTTTCGGTAAGACTTCATGCTAACCAAAGGATATTGAAGGAGGTTGCTGATTGGATTGTGATTGTTATGTAGGTTCCGACGAGGCGCCTCCTGTCGAGAACTGGCGCACGATTCGACGTTTGATTGGACATGACAACGACGTGCAAGATCTGGGATGGTCGTACGACTCGTCCATTCTAGTGTCTGTCGGATTGGACTCAAAAGTGGTTGTGTGGTCAGGACATACATTCGAGAAGCTGAAGACGATCGCCGTTCACCAGAGTCATGTCAAGGGCATCACTTTTGACCCGGCAAACAAATACTTTGCGACAGCGAGCGATGATCGTACCGTGCGCATTTTCCGATTTACTTCACCGGCTCCAAACTCAAGCGCCCACGACCAGATGAACAATTTCGTTCTGGAACAAACCATTTCTGCACCCTTCGCCAACTCTCCCTTGACTGCATATTTCCGTCGTTGCTCCTGGTCACCAGACGGCATGCATATTGCCGCTGCAAATGCGGTTAATGGCCCCGTTAGTTCTGTTGCCATTATCAATCGCGGCTCCTGGGATGGCGATATCAACCTTATTGGTCATGAAGCCCCTGTTGAGGTCTGCTCATTCTCACCACGACTCTATTCAAGGGAGCCGGTGAACAAGCAGCAATCGGATACCCATGCGCAACATCATATTACAGTCATTGCGTGTGCAGGTGCAGATAAGTCACTCAGTGTATGGATCACAAGCAATGCTCGTCCGATTGTTGTTGCCCAAGAGATGGCTGCCAAGTCAATATCAGATCTGGCGTGGAGTCCCGACGGCAAGTGCCTTTATGCCACAGCTTTGGATGGCACCATTGTGGCCGTTCGCTTTGAGGACGGCGAGCTGGGCTATGCCACAGAAATGGAAGAAAACGAAAAGTCGCTTACAAAATTCGGAACGAATCGCAAGGGTGCTGGTATTACGGAGACCACCGATGGGCTCCTACTTGAGGAGAAAAGCAAGGCCGTCGAAATCAAGGGCGTCGAGGGTCGAATGGGTGCACTGATGGGGGATGGTCACGCCGCCGCCGAGCCCACCGTCAACGGAGGATCGACCCAACCTTCGAACGGCACAACTCCTGCGCGCGTTCCCTCACCGGCCCCTGATACTGCGAAGACACAAACTAATGGCACATCAACCCCCAGCAAAGAAGCCGAGAAGGCAGACCCATATCAGGCTAAGCTCGAGCGGCTGAAGCAGCGCCCGACCTATACAAAGGAGGGCAAGAAGCGCATTGCGCCTTTACTGGTATCTGGAGCCGGAGGGGGCGAGTCATCCCTTCCACAAGCTCGTTTGATGGCTTCCGTCAGCAGTCAGGTCAAGACGGATGCGCCTACCTCTCTGGTAGACCTCTCGAAACCATTCGATGGCTTACCAAAGGGTGGCTTGACTGCTCTACTTCTCGGAAACAAACGCAAACTGGCTCAACTCGAGGGTGACGAAGATGGACATGTTGAGAAACGTGTTGCTGCCGCAAGCCAGAACGGCGCAACTCCTATAATGGCTAATACGCCCGATGGGCTTCTCCCAGCTCAGGTGCAACCCGCAATCAGTGGTCAGCAGACTACACCCAATTTTATCCGGCCTGCAGTTACGAATCCCTGCATGTCGGTGAGCCAGCTACGGTTGGCAGTACCCAAAGTCCGTTTACATATTTTGCGTGCGCTGGACTCGACTGGAAAACCCACCGAACCTCCTGCTACGGCCGGTGACCCCAGTAGTAAAGATAAGGGTCGGATCGACATTGTGTTTGAGGCAAAAAACCCATCTCCGGCCAGCTTAACGGGTCGTGCAGTGGATCGAGAGCCCGTGCGCCTCACGCTGTTCCGGGGAGAACAACCATTGTGGCAAGATTTCCTGCCCAAGTGTGTTCTGCTTGTTACCGGAAATCAAAGCATGTGGGCAGCGGCATGCGAGGATGGTTCAGTCTACATCTGGACACCAGCCGGTCGTCGTTTAGTGAGCGCCCTGGTCCTCGAAGCACAGCCGGTGATCTTGGAGTGCAATGGCCCCTGGCTTCTCTGTATATCTTCTGTGGGCATGTGCTATGTGTGGAATGTGAAGCACCTATCCTCTCCCCCATCCACCCATCTCTCTCCAACCTGTTCTTGACGCCGCCCTCCACACCCTCGGCGCCAATCCCACCGCGCCTCCAGCCATCACAGATGCACGCATCAACTCAGAGGGTCGTGTAGTGGTTTCTCTCACTAACGGTGAAGGTTACTCTTATTCCCCCTCGATGTACACATGGCAGCGTATCTCAGAAGCCTGGTGGGCGGTTGGCAGTCAATACTGGAATTCGACCGAGGCCCCTATAGGTAACTTACAAGCCCGCGATACCCAACAGGATACCAAGGATGCGAAAGCAGCCGTGGCTGCCGGTATCATCCCCTTCCTGGAACGCAACACCACCAACGAGACCCTGCTGCGCGGCCGGGCGTACTTCTTGCAGCGGCTTATCAAAGTACTGCTTTCACGTGAGGGCTATGAGACATTTGAGTCCACCGTTTCGATTGCTCATCTCGAGAATCGCATGGCTGCAGCTTTGTCCCTGGGCGCAAAGGAAGAATTCCGGCTGTACCTGAATATGTATGCCAAGCGCATCGGTGCGGAGGGCCTGAAGGGCAAGGTTGAGGAACTACTGAAAGGATTGATTGGAGGCTTGTTTGAGGATGAAGATGGGGGAGAAACTCTCTCCAAGCTGCAGGCCAATGAGCGTGAAGGGCGTAATTGGCGCGAAGGGTCTGACTTTCTGTGTGGCTGGCCGCGGGAGACGTTGCTGAAGGAGGTGATTCTTGCTCTCGGTATGTATATTCTTGTCTTCGGGCTTTTTTTCTTCGTGATACTGATCTACTTCCTCCAGGAAAATATCGGGAATTGCAACGCGTGACAGTCCCTTATGCCAAGCTCCTGGACATGGTGGATACCGTCTCGGATGGAGGCGATGCGATGGATCTATAACGATACGTCTCTTTTTTCTTTCTCAACATTCTGTCTTACTCGTTTCTATTGGCGTTTCCATGTGGGTTGTTTGGGGATTGGGAGGGCTTCGTCCATGGCTATTTATCATCCCGGGTGGGAGGGGGTATAAGATTATTTCTTTCTCATTGCTTCCCTTATGTTTGTACCATATCCCCCTTTCGGGCTGATCACGCCCATTCTGTAAAAGAATTATTCCATGCTTTCATTCTGATTTCGATGTCCTCTTGCGACTCATTAGAGCTTGTATAACGATAGTAGAACTGGTACCGTATGATTATATCATCCCCCTTTCATAGCTTATCATACTCCTCTGGTAAGAAATGGAACATCATCTTTACCTCTACTCAGCTTCCTGCTCGTACCAAGAACCCACGAAATATGATCTGGCTTCGCGCTTGTATACTTCTCGTGACGTCAAGGGCAGGGTTTCATATTCACGTGGGCGGTCGGTCCAAGACGGGCAGAAAATTTCGATGACATGCTTCAGCTTGCTCTCCTTGACCACGATTGCCCTACACTCCCTTGCTTTTCCTTCGCATTTTCAAGCCATTGACATTGCCCACAGCATTCGTGGGCACCGCAATCACGTCTTTCACCACTTCTTCCATTTTCTTCCTTCGTATCGTCGATCGATCCGCAGCTGGTCCTGCTTTTGCCGCGCGACATCCCTGCGCCCGCTTCCGCCTTTACTCCTCCCCCCACCTTCTCCCACCTCTCTCCTGTCGCTTCTACTCGAGCAAGAAGAAGAAATCCAATAAAATGCCTCCCAAGAAGGCCCAAGTTCAAGAAAAGGTCCTCCTGGGCCGTCCTGGCAACAACTTGAAGAGCGGTATCGTATGTGAGCAATGACCCCACCCTTTTTTGCTGTGTTTTTTCCCACAGCACAGTCCACTTTTTAATTCCACACAAACTATTTAAACCCTCGCGCCGCCCCCTTCCCCTTTCCTTCCTTTCGTTTTTTTCTTCCCAGCCACACATCCTGGCTTCAAAGCTCACTATGTGAACTATCTAGGTTGGTCTTGCCAACGTCGGCAAGTCGACGCTCTTCCAATCTATCACCAAGTCCTCTCTGGGTAATCCGGCGAACTTTCCCTATGCCACCATTGACCCCGAGGAGGCACGCGTTATCGTCCCCGATGAGCGCTTCGACTGGCTCTGTGATCAGTACAAGCCCAAGTCCCAGGTGCCCGCTAACTTGACCGTGTACGATATTGCCGGTCTGACTCGCGGCGCTTCCACCGGTGCCGGTCTGGGTAACGCTTTCCTGTCTCACATCCGTGCTGTCGATGCCATCTTCCAGGTTGTTCGTTGCTTCGATGATGCTGAAATTATTCACGTCGAGGGTGACGTCGACCCTGTCCGTGATTTGACCATCATCAGCGAGGAGCTGCGTATCAAGGACATCGAGTTCGTCGAGAAGGCTCTTGATGCTCTGTCCAAGCAGACCCGTCGTGGTGGCCAGTCTCTGGAGATGAAGAAGATGAAGGAGGAGGAGGCTACTACTGCCAAGATCCTCGAATTTTTGAAGTCAGGCAAGGACATCCGGGAGGGTGACTGGAACCCCAAGGAGGTATGTTGAAAATTTTTCTTATCTCCCCATCCCTTTAATTATCCCCACAACCCTTGGAAACAAAACTCCAATCTTTTATATGATGAATAAGCGTTTTCGCGAATATAACCCAGCTCGTTGAATCCCTCATTTAAAAACTCACGCAGAGGGCATTTTGAAATTAAATCTGGACTGAAAAAAAGATTGGAGTTTTTTTTGTTTTGTGCCTTGAAAACATCACTCAATATCTTGTCAGTTCTCACATGCTGACGTGAATTGATTATCAGGTCGAAGTCATCAACCCCCTGTTCCTCCTCACTGCCAAGCCCGTCGTGTACCTGGTCAACCTGAGCGAGAAGGACTACATCCGCCAGAAGAACAAGTATCTGCCTAACCTGTTCGCCTGGATCAAGGAAAACTCCCCTGGTGCTCCCATCTTGCCCATCTCTGCGGCATTTGAGGAGCGTCTGACTCTCATGAAGGACGACGCTGCTGCCGACGAGGAGTGCAAGAAGCTCGGCACCAAGTCCGGCCTGCCCAAGGTCATCACTACCATGCGTCAGGCCCTCAACCTGGCTAGTTTCTTCACCACCGGTCCGGACGAGGTCCGCCAGTGGACCATCCGCAAGGGCATCAAGGCCCCTGCTGCTGCCGGTGTTATCCACACTGACTTTGAGAAGACTTTCATCCAGGCTATTGTGTATAACTATAGCACCCTGAAGGAACTTGGTGATGAGGCTGCTGTCAAGGCTGCCGGTAAGATTATGACCAAGGGCAAGGACTATGTCGTCGAGGACGGCGACATCATGCTCATCAAGGCTGGTGCCGCTAAGCACTAGATGCAATTATATAGCTCCAAATGATACACCTTGTTTCCGCATGACTTGATTCCCTTAATTCTTGTAATCGTGTAATGCACAGAAGTACGATTGGGCCTTTCCATATACATTTTCTTCTTGTACAACTGTAAGCCAGCCGAGTTTTTCATGTCGAGTTTGTCAAGTGGTAGACACGAGTCTACACGGTCACGTGAGACCCCGCGCATCCCACTTCGCGCACTCGGAGCATTCAGCAATCTACAGCAACCAGCATCATGTTTAAGAAAGAGTAAGTGGACTGATGTATTACTTCAATCTGACATTTCAATATTCTGTGGTCCATCTACGGGCCATTTGTGTGCTATCCACGAGCAAAAACAGGGCTAAAGATCCCTCGCGTCACAAATCAACCTCCAGGAATAGCTGTTCAGGAATCTCGAAGGCGGAGTCCCTGAGTAGCTGGACGCAAATGACAAATTATGTGACTTTCTATCGAACTGGAAAGTGCTAACTTGTGTCTCCATATAGTATCCCGCCGAGTAATCGCTCTAAGGTCAAGTCCTCCGTGCAGCGCGGCCTGCGCCAAAAGCTGCTGGAGACCTACCCGGGCTTTGAGCCATATATCGAGGAGATTATGCCCAAAAAGGCATCCTTAGAAGCTATCAAACTGTACATACCCCGAAACTAGCCCTCTATCCGCCACCAATTGCCATTGTTGCCGCACATCAAGGCGCGAGCCAAGGACGGCGCAAAGAAAAGCTAACATTGTCCTCCTGCAGGCCCGATCGAGTAACGCTCTACACAATTGACTCAACTCCCCTCTTCTTCCAGCCCTTTGATGGCCCTCCAATCCCCCACCTTCGCCTCGTCCACCAATTCCCCTCTGCCCTCCCGACTGTCCAGATCGACCGCGGTGCCATCCGCTTCGTGCTCTCCGGCGCCACTCTCATGGCCCCCGGCTTGACCTCACCCGGCGGCCGCCTCCCGGATGCTGAGAACGCTATCGAGGCAGGCCAGGTTGTTGCCGTCATGGCCGAGGGTAAGGAGGAGGCTTGTCTGGTAGGTGCGTTGAAAGTTAGCACCGAGGAGATGAAGAGCAAAGGCAAGGGCGTTGTCATGGACGAGGGACATTATCTGGGTGACGGACTTTGGAAAATGCAGTTAGATTAGATGCGGCCCTTAGAGAGAGGGGGGAGGGGGTGTGCTTGTCATGGTTATGATTTCTCTTTTTTCGTGTTTGGGATGGTTGCATATACCTTGGGGTGACGATACTCTTTATGCTGATGATGTTCGAGCTTTGAATGAGAAAATATGAACTTTCATGCTTGATACCCTCGGGAGTCCCATGTTCCATGTATGGGCGCTAACTTAAAATGCTGAAGGTTATCGTAGATATGACTTCTTCGCCTTTATTGACTGGAAAATCCGTGAGGTTTTGACTGAGATTTCTTGAGATAACCTGTTCTTGATTCTACCTAGGATTAATGTTTTCCTTCATAATGAATATATTTTAGAAAGAAATCAGGGCCTTAATTTATCGAGCGCGATTCAGAAACGAAGAACGGAATCGTAAGTCCCGAGATCATCATGATAGGGTAATATAGTGGGAATTATGATGGCAATTTTGATACTTTTGAACATTGAACTATATAAGATGTAGGTACCAACTCAGGACCTCAATACCTAGACTTTATATGAAGAGTGGCCACGAATTTTTGATAGGTGAAGTAAAGTATGTGTTTTCTGGAGACTGAAACATTCTGTTTCCATTACCAACCTTAACTGTTCAATTTATGTCTATATACAACACTGACAGATTCACTTGGAATGGACTGAAGCATATTGTTTACCACCTTCTTTTCAACTAAATGCTTCTTCTTAAAATGCACGGCTTATAAAGTAGTTCGGGATCTGACACCAAGTTGTATTATATAGAGCCAAGGCAGAAGGTTCCGATAATCTCATCGATCCATGATAGTGAAGCACAAGAGTGACTGGTGAATGACTATAGAGATCTGAAGAAAATATCTTCTTTAATATTTCATTCTGGGCCACTTAATTCAAATAAATCTTCAGGAAAACAAAGTAAATGGGGACCGGTTGGGAGAGCAAGGTATGCCTGATAACACGTGATATGATTCCAGGGCATCATGCCCGCCCTGTCAGTAGTTGGTTATATTTTTCTGGGGTTTGTGTGACGCATAGCATGCAATGGTCATACAGAACTAGCTGATTTAAATTGCAATGCATACTTAAGCGGAATTAGCAAATCTGCCAGGTTCTTTTGGAGAGTCGCCCTTTTTGCGATGCAACATAGGGTTACTTGACTATTACATAGAATGAATTGATTTGGTTATTATCACAAGGTCTCTGTGGAATACACAGACTACAGAAAAATTTGAGAATGGGCAAGTATTATTACGAGATAGCCGCAGAATTCTTCTTGAAATGCTTGCATATATTCAACATTTTGATTAATGTAAATCTTTGTGTGTTGTTAGTTGGGGATTTGATGTAGAATGCTTGCTGTCTGGACTTTACTTGGTTGGGGGAGTGGACGAGTAAAGTCGACCTCGAGTCTTGGAGTTTGACATGCCGTTGATTCGACCCTCGTAATCTCAGATAATCCATCAGCCGTAAAAGGATCCTAGAGATGCGAGGTCTGAAGTAAATAGCAAGTGAGCAATAGGCCGCTTTTTTCAATTTTTTGGTCTCTAATAATACCAATCTTTTCTTCGCCTTTTCCTCTCGAATATATCAGTCTTTTACCATCCAAAAAAATGACTTCCTCTTTCTCATTAAGTCAGTTTGGAGATTGAAGATCTTTCGTTATTTTGTTAACAAGTATGAAACCAGGCTGTATGCACCAGCAGCTTTGCATGATGCAACAGCCTTTTGGTGACATCTTATAAGCCTCGGTGATTTAACACCTCCCCATGTGTTCAAGTGCCTTGGAAAATGATGCAAAATGTCATTTTGACGTCGATAAACATGCCAGGAGCACATGCAATTCGCTCATGGAAGTAAGGTGTAATGAAGGGTCTTTAGTACGCTTTCGGGGATTATAATTTTCCTAGTTCAAATTTGTGAATTATAAGGTCAAAAGGACCTTTCTTTTCCGCTTCTTTTTATGGCTCGTAAGCTGCGTCCGCTGAAAGGTTCTAGATTATCCTAGAAATTGGGATGGAGAATATGCCAACTCGGCGAGCATTCTGATTCGTGGATGGAATATTGCGTTCAGTTATTAGAGACTTAACCTCTATCTGCCAGATAGCTTGAATCTCTATCGGGAGGACCTGCTCAGTATGGCAGAGTGTGTTGGGTTGGTGGGTGACTTGTTGATCCGATCAGCCCTTCTCTGCCTAGTCAGATTCAGCTGTGAGCTTCCCCGTGTCAATATTTAGGGGTCAATGTTTGTTGGTTGAATTCTAGGTTCTAAATAAAGATCTAGATGGAGTATCGTTTGTTCATTAATATAGGTTTGGATGAGATCGAATATAGTGGAGCAGGGTGGAGTGGAATCTCAGTATAGCAGCTCCTTGAAAATGCCGAGTTCTTGTAGGTGGAGGCAAGCCAGTGGGGTAAGCCTTGTAGAGAAGAGTTAGACGGCGTTGTTAGCGTAGATGCTTATTTGTTATTCTTCGGCAGCGAATTGGACAGAATACTTTCCTACAAGAAAAGTCAGCATCTAACCTACCTTGTAGGAGGGCGATTATATACACGGTGTTATGTAGGTTCTGTTGTGTGGTCCATAGCTTTAGGCCGGAATACTCTAGATGAACTACTGAAATGCTTATCATACCACACAAAGCTAGCCCAATTTCAGGTAACAATGTAGCTTACGTGGCTCGTCCTAGAAGGTGGTAAATATTCTCGAGGCTGAAACCAAAAACGCCGCTAGCAAAGTCTGTCAGCTCCTATCGTGAGGGCACGTTCAGCTGTTCAGCGTTTGAGTTTGACGGGGAAGCACAGTTTCCTCCTTGCTTTTCTATCTACAAGAGCCGCATCTCATGCATATGGGGGCTAGTTACCAATTGATAGAGTTATCTTAGAAATTTTATTTATCTGAAGAGCCGAAAACTGTTGAAAATGCAGTCTAATTATCGAGTGCCAGGCTGCAAAATTTGCATTGCCAAGAACATGACCAGGAATAGGGTGAGACACCGCCCGGCAAGCCAATTAAGTATCCCCAGCGAAGCCTTCCATAAGGTTTGGGATCCACTATATCGGGGCACGACAAATGTCTCCGGATCTTGGCGCCCTTTGATGGGCCTTCTAACTTTTCTTTTTTGAGTTCCCGACCCCATTTGGCACGCAATACCAGGGTCGATGACAGAGTCCATCTCAAACTTCTCCAAACCCCTGAATCGGTGCTACTGCCAGAGTCGCCGGCGATTCGCATAGTAGTCACTTCTTCCAGATGTATGACTTCGTTCGCGACGAGGCCAAATGCGTGGAGCCGGTCATTTTTGACATGGTGGCGACGTGGATTAAACGAGAGAATTGAGACTGGGTAAGTTTTCGCGACGCTAAAGACTGTCCGCCACATCTTCTAGCATAATTCTTTTTGCTGTAGACTCTGCCTTTAACACGTTAATTAACACATCGAACAGGACTGAGCACAATGACTGTGGCTCATTTTTCTGGGGCCGCAGAATGCAAGCCGATGGAGGGCAACGCTCAGAAGTCGAGAAAGGACTCCCCAATGGCTGGCTACCCCGATCATTGCGCCGGAGTTACCTGATCTTTTTAGCTGGCCTCTTTCTATTTATGCTTGTGATCATTGAAGTCCTTCGCCAATACTCGAGGAGGCAAGGAGGAATTGTTCACTGGAAATGGGAAGAAGACCTCCCGACAGTTATTTGGGGAGCCTATACCTATCTGCCGCTGGTTGCTGCTTTACTGGCAATCAATCTCCTCGATATCTGCGCTCAGGATGTACAACGCCTCGAGCCGTTTTTCCAATTATCCAAACCCGAGGGTACGCCAGCCAGCGTGCTGTTCCTCAATTACTGCTGTAATGGGGTCTCGGCCTCCGTGACTGCTCTGCGCAGCCGCCATTGGATTGTCTTGGGCACTGCGTTCATTTCATTACTCTTCCGCTTATTCCTTCCTACGCTACTGGCAGGCCTGGTGGTTCTGGATGAAGGAAATTTCTATGAACAGATACTGGTCAAGACTTGGCCTTCGTTGATCGATTTGGACAGCCAGAAGGCTTGGCTGTCTGCTGGTGCTTCACGCCTCGGTCCTCTAGGCTCATCAGATTTTGATAGCTTTTTCTTGCCAGCTCCGTTGAATTACGCCATCCCGCCAACCTCGATCCCGTTCGACGAACAAAACGATAGCTCTTTGTTGACTCTCAACGAAACGATCTATTGGTCGAACATGACTTGCGTGACGAGCACTCTAGAAGGATCTTCGTCACAAATCAGTACAAAGCTCAATTCAATCACATCAAATGTCAACGAAACCTGGTCATGGAGCATCCGGAATGTCACTGTTGGCAACAGAGAGAATCTCAATCGTTCTCAATGCCAAGTCAGCATTGAGTTGGACACCCGCATTCTGTCTAGAAAGGAAAACGTCCAAGCAAGATATTGGGAGCCTGTGAATGCTGCCTCGAATTTGGACGTCGCATCCGCCTTCTGGAGTAACTGTACTTCTTTCGATCTTTTCGGAGTGATGATAGATATGAAAATTGCCGCGGAAAATGTTTCTGATCCAAGCGTAACGGTACTAGCCTGTACGGGCAGCTATCGTCAAGCGCAGGCTGATGTTACTTTCAATTCCAACGCCTCCATTGCGGATGTGTCTACAGATTCTTCTACCATCCGATCGCTTGATCCCACTGAGTTCTATGTGGATGGCATACACGATCTCATCGCATCTCGGTATTTGTCGGCACAGATTCCTCCAATTATAGAAGACACCTCTCCTTTCAATTCTTCCAACTCTACGACTCAGAGCTCTAATGGAGTTATCATTGCCACTGCTCGTGATCTACTAAGCTCTCAAGATTACCAAGAACAAATCCGACGATTTTGGAATAATAAGTTTATTGTCACAGTCGACAGAATGTTCAGCCCAGCTGCAGGTCCGACGCTCGTCGAGGCCAAACAGCAGACGATTGTTGTCATCCTGGTCGTCGCGCCGAAGGCTGCTGTCATTGCCGAAACCATCCTCCTATTGGGTCTCGTTCTCGTTGGTTTTTTGGCAAGTATATATCAACGCCGGCCGAATTTCTTGCGATGGGATCCTGGTTCCATCGCTGCCCAGTGTGCTATTATTGCTTGTCTTTTCACTGCCTCCTCTAGGGCCATGCTATCAGATCCAGCTTTTCAACGAGCAACTACACGTCAACTTCGGCAGTGGGCAAGTGATAAACGGTGCCAATGGTCAAATGAGTCTGGAGAAAAGCAAATTCAAATCGTCAGTCACAGCGAAGTCTCCTTGTCGTCTTCTTTGACCCCAAGAAAGCGGCCCGACCCAATGCCCCATTTCTTGACCTTGCCATGGTTCCTTGTCGAATGCTTTTTAATGATGGGTACACTGGCTGTCTTTGGAGTCAGCCTGGCTTACCTCCGATGGAAGAACATTAATTCGTTCTTAAGTACTGGAGCGACGGTGGCTATGATTTTCTTGAACTACGGACCAACCGCAATTGCCTCGATCATTGGATCCTTCATCACGTCCATTTACCGTCACCTCAGTGCCATGGAACCCTGGATTCGATTACAGGATGGGATGGCATCGACACAGCAGTCTGTCATTGAGAACTATGGGATCCAGACGCCCTTTCTTCCATTGGTAGACCGGCGTCACCGCAGACCGGCCATCCTTGTCGTTCTGTCACTGGTGTGCCTGGGAGATTTAGGACTCAGAGCATTGAGCGGTGGGCTGTTTACTCCGCAATTGAGGACCTACTCGTCGCCTACCTCGGTTTTATATAACAAGTACAACTCATCCGCGCTTTCAGCAGATGCTAATCGAACGGCAATTGATGTATCTCTGCTTATCACCAGCCGGGTGTTGAACAATGTTACCTATATTTCTTGGGCCTCAACAGACGGAGATTTCTTTTTCGTTCCATTTGCGATCAATGATCCTTCCGATGACGAGTACGCTCTCTATGATACAACCACGCGCGGTATCGGAGCAGATATCGACTGCCAAGTGATTTCATCCTACTCATCTTCGACCGACTCCAGTTCTGGATCAACTATCTGGAACTATGCTTTGACAGGAGATGAAAAGATGCCGACCTGTACAGTTGAAATTCCAACGAACACATCGAATCACGTCAGCCGGTCGAAGTGGTCTGTCCAGCTATTTTCACCTAATGGAACCGATAGTCGTTGTCAAAATACCACCATTTTCGTCCTCGCATCCTGGAATTCAACCAGCACAGCCGATGCAAACGCCACGGACTCATTAGCTTTGCACTGTCACTCGAAAGCCCATATCCAAGACTTCAAGATTGACTTTGATTTCAGCGGAACCATCCAGAATCAAGAAGCCGTTCCAGGAAGCTCAATCACCAGCGGCCAGCTCTTTACAAACGGGACAGATATCCTCGACAACTTTAACGACATGTTGACTACATCCCCTACAAACTTGCCCTCACATAACCTTTCCTCGCAAAACTCTTCCTCTCATCGACATTTACATCATCATCATCATCATGACTGGCCGGGCCGTTTAATAGCGCATGCATACAACACATCATATCCCAACACCACTGATATGAATTCCAAAGACTTGATCAAGACAGTTCGATATGTCTATCAGAATTTGTTCAGCACTCATCTGGCTCTTTGGAAAGACGAGTATCTTTTCCGATTACCTTCAAAATCTGCTACTCAGGCACGTGGGGTGACCACAGAAACTCTCTGGGGCTTAATGCCATCCAACAGCTTGGTCGTTATCATAATCTGTCTTGTTTGCATTGATACAGTCGCCTTGACATCCGTTTTCATACTCCGGTATAGAAGATATAGAGGACCGCGAGTTCCTCGATGCATTGGATCGATCATCCCGTGGGTTGTGGACAGTCGCATGCTTGACGACTGTGGCGATACATATGACATGAGCCAAAGTGAACGGGAGAAGCACTTACTTGAAAAAGATTGTAGATATCGCCTTGGAAACTTCTCCACTGGCAACGAGCAGCAATTGGCTCTTGATTACGATACCCGTCATTCATCTGAACAGATCGAGTTGAACGAGTTGCCACGCACTAACTAATAATTAACAATGAAATATGAAAGATACATCTCTGGACTGTTTGAGTTTCCCAAAGTAGATGATTCATTATGTTGAGATCGTATGTTAGATCCATATTATATACAAGGAGGGCTGGAAGGATGCATCATGAATGATTATTGTGCGATGAGATATGCGGGACCTTATGAGTCGTCTCGACTGTCCACAGAATGCGGGTATTCGTCTGATACGTCACCATCCCGCCCACTCTGCTGCGGAGACAGGGGTGATGTTGGGGAAAGAGAGGACCAGGACGGGGTACGGAGTGGCAGGCTGAGCCCTAGGCCTTTGACACTAGCAGCTGATCCAGATCTCGAAGCCAATCCCGAATTGCCACCATTGATGGGAGGTCTAGGGCCAGGGCGCAAGCCCACTCGCCCAATAGCGCGCTGCAGCATTTCTCCCGAGGAATCGAGTGCGATAAGGAAGCGAGCCAATTCTGCACAAAGTTCCCAGTCCCCTTTTTGAGATGCCAACCCGATTAGACGGACAACGTATTCTTCAATGCGACCATCGTGTTCATGGTCCTCATCCTCAAAGGCTTGCAAGACGAGGAGATACCCAACAGCCGTCTTGAGCGAGTCAAGCCTCAGAGCCTGCTCGAATAGGTCCTTGGGTGGCGGGAGATATGTGAATAGAGTCCGCCATGACCGAAGCTCTGTCTTGCGAGTACACTGCACCACGATATCAAGATAGTCTCTGATGGGAAGCGACGCTTGCAGAAAACCGATGACGGTAGGAAGAAGTGGGCCCTCTCGGACAATTGGGCTATCTGACTTATTTGCTCGGCTTTCATTGTCAACCTCATCGTCAAGAACGTGATGTAGCAGAATTTCCAGGGCATGGGCGAAATAGGAAAGGTGTGAGAAATGGCGACAGAGAGACAGTGCAGCAGACGTGCCAATGTTCATTAAGCTGTATTGAAGGAAATATGGTAGGAAAAGATGTGTCTGTAATCCAGTCAGCCGCTTGAATGGGGTGTATATTTACTGGTAGGATAAAACGTACTCGAATGGCAAATTTGAGACTAGTAAATGTCACATCGCGCCGTTGCATCATTTCTGACTCCACACCTAGGACAATGCCTTTGTTCAATATGACAGATAATGGGTAGAAATCGAGGGGGATGTTGAGTGGTGCCGGCACTGTGTCTTGTTGGAGAATGTCATGAATGTCATTCCATGCGAGTAGATCTTTGCCTCTGAACATCCATAGAGAGTCCCGAAGAGACTGGCTATTATGAGATGACTCAAGTGACAACTCAACAGATGGACTTGCGGGCAGGGATCCATCGTTCTGAGGGGCAAAATTGAAAGAAAGCTGGTCGCGCATCAGAATGTAGTATTCAACATCATGAGATATGACGCGCATGTCGTATTTGAGATCACCATTGTCCGTGACTGTCGGCTGCAATAGAACGAGATTACCATCAACCAAAAGTAACACCGATGCTACCTTGACGTCTTGTGACGGATCACCATTGCCTGTTAGAAAAATAACATCAGAAGTTGCTCAGTTATGACAGTGCTGCCAGGTGTATCTTACGCATCTGTTCCTCAGGCAAGACCCAACTAATTGCTCGGACACGGGTAGGTGCTCTCACAATCCCGTTAAAAGCAATTTGCCCAACAGGAACAAGCGTGATCTGAGGTTGAGTGGAGTTGATGATATAGTGATACAGAATGTTATCGTAAGTGTACACCAGCAAAGAGTCTTCTCCAGATGGGCCTATGAAGACCACTGGTGATGGAAGAAATTCGATATGCATAATAGAATTGTTGGTAAGCATATCCTCACGAGAGTACAAGCGAAGCTAGAAGATGAGGTCAGCGTTTGCATAATAAGTTGGTACTCCGAAATAAAAGGTACCTCGTATGACCCATCACTCTCTACAGCTGCGATCAAGATATGCCCATACCAGCACATCCCCCCTCTAACAGCGAATGAGTTCTCCATTTTAGAGTCCTCAAAGACCTTCCAACGGCCACTACTAACGCTATAATGCGCCAATCCTCGGCGACCCGCAATCGCGACGTATCTGCCATCTTGGGATACGACGCAGGATTTAATAGGCCATTGTGAATGGAGATAGGCGGGAGGATACTGCGCATGGTGCCACAGCGAGTCTTTGCCCGAAATGGTCATCAGGTCGGGCAGATCGTGTCCACGGTACAGAATGAACTCCGTTCCAGTCTGAAGTAAGCCTCTGGCGAGATTTGCAGCTGAAAAGCAACCAGTCAAGGCACTGCGAGCTGTCTCCAGGATCCAGAGACGTCGATCACGGTATCCCGACAGAATGATGTCAGATCCACCACCGATCCAGCAACCACTCGAGACGCCTGTCAGCCAAGTTTCGCCATTTGAGGTCGCCAGAGTAGAGTCAACAGAGAAACTGTTCCCACCGGGTTTTCCAAAAACGCTCCATGTCGTCCACCCATTTTCATACCCAGCGAAGAGACAGTATCCATCTGGTGAGTAGTTCATGAAAGTCAAGGCTCCAGTGGTAGTGGGCGACGCGGGTAGATGTAGCTTTTGAGACAGAGGTACATTGCCCATGTAGTCTTTGGCTGTGTAAACAAGAATCTCCCCGTTGGCACAATTAATCGTTAACAATGAAAATCGTGCATTTACAGCAACTTTGACTGCCTTCTCGCCATCATTGTTAGGATCATGGAAGCAATGGCCATGAAAAAGCTTTTTATGTCCATCAGAGTCATCCTGCGTCTCCGAAACTCGTTGTACTGCATATGCCTGACCATTGCTGGTCAACCAAATCAAGAGATTCATGGCACGATCATAAACCATGTCGATGATGGACACCTTTTTTGGCACATTCAGTATGCGGCTCAACATCTCCGAGGTCGCCTGCGTGCTACTAGCTTCAGGTGCCCATCGAATGCACTGTACCGCTGGGGGCTTGACAGTAGCAACAACAAGTTCCTGGTCCAGCGCCAGCGCCTTGACAATCCCAGATTCAATCTTAATAGCCATTCGAAACCTGATGCTTATATCTCCAACCACATTCGCTTCTTCGACCGCAGAAAAACGCGCTAATTGCTGACGACGAGGGTGTGTGGTGTGGTCAAATCGTTGTTGGTAGACTCGTGTGGCTGGGTCCGATGCCACTGCATACGTGAGGAGGTATCCATTGAGGGTCTGTACGATAAGAATTGTGGAGTCTGGATGCATGAGAAGTGCCACATTGGTGCCGTATGTTTTGAGAGAGTATGAAGACCGAGTTATAGCAGCTACTACTGCGGTGGGCTTCCGTGTCTGTTAGCACTTGGGTCTTCATTTACAGCATGGCAGTTCTTGGAGGTCCGACAACATACTCTGGTTTGCCATAGAGATATGGATGATTCAGTTATGGTCGCGAATATATGGCCAGAGCGAGAGACGCAGAGGCCTTTGATAGCTTCCTGTTCCCAGTTCGGAGCATCGGCCTTGTCCAAGGGTGGTGTCTTCGGCTCCTGACTTTGGTCTTCCGAACCGTTACTTTTCTCAGTATAAATTGAGGAGTTGGCAGAGCTTCTCAGCTCCCCTGGAGGGCTTTCGACTCCATCGCGATCGACGTCGGGGGAGAAATGTCGTATACCAGGGCCATTTACCGCGTAGACCCGGGGCACTCCATTGGGCCAATACATGGTTCGGCTTGTAAGGGGGAAATGGTGTTGAGACTGGCGATGGAGCTCACATCAAGTCATGGCGCTCCAGTCACAATTGTCAACAGAAGCCAGAATCTACCGGCGCGAAGAAAAAAGAGGACCAACCAAGGCGACGCTTGCCAAACAGGCCGATCCAACGGGGGCGATAAGCGGCATCACGTGCTGGAGCTTTCCCCCGCATTGTCTTTTTTTTCTCCCCTGAGAAGAGACGTGTCTCTCATTCCCAATCTTTTGGTATTACAAGAATTGCTACTATGGTGAGAATATGTCGAGTTCTTTCCCATGATGTAGCCCCGACTAATTCGCATTTTCGTAGGCTCCTACCGAAAGCAAGAAGCGCCTGGCTCTGGCCATCATCGACTTCCTCGGCTCCAGCCTGAAGGACGGCACTCTCACCGCCGACGACGCCGAGTCCATCGAGATTGCGCAGTCCTGCATCGCTGATACCTTCAAGGTTGATCCAACCGATGAGGCCGCCGTGAAGGAGGCCGTGGGTGGCCAGTCTCTAGCCAACATTTACAGTGTCTACGAGAAGCTGCGGAACAAGTCAACCCCTCAGTCAGCCGGCGCAGGACCTGAGGAATCCCAAGGAGATAAGCCTAAGGCTGGGGCTCCTACTGCTGAGTCCGACAAGCTGAAGTCGGAGGGCAATGCTCTTATGGCCAAGAAGGATTACAACGCCGCCATCGAACAGTACACCAAGGCCCTTGAGATCGCGCCGGCTAACCCGATCTACCTCTCCAACCGCGCCGCCGCGTTCTCCGCTTCTGGTCAGCACGAGAAGGCCGCAGATGATGCTGAACTCGCCGTTGCGGTGGACCCTAAGTATTCGAAGGCTTGGAGCCGCCTTGGTCTTGCTCGTTTCGACATGGGTGACTACCATGCCGCTAAAGAAGCATACGAGAAGGGTATCGAGGCCGAGGGGAATGGTGGTAGTGAAGCTATGAAGCGCGGCCTGGAAACCTCGAAGCGGAAGATCGAGGAAGCCAGCCGTGTCAGTGAGCCCCCGTCCGAGGAACTGGACAGCGCCTCTGGTGCGTCCCGTGGTGCCGGCGGCATGCCGGACCTGTCATCTCTGGCTAGCATGCTTGGCGGCGGTGCTGGCGGTGCCGGTGGCGGCATGCCAGACCTGGGTTCCATGATGAACAACCCCATGTTCGCCAACATGGCTCAGAAACTTATGAGCAACCCGGACATGCTGAACAATTTGATGAGCAACCCCCGCCTGCGCGAGATGGCCCAAAACTTCGGTCAAGGTGGCGGCATGCCCGACATGTCTAGCCTCATGAGCGACCCCAACATTGCCGACATGTGAGTTTTTTTGATACAACCTCCAGTCCCCTTCGTCCCCACTAACTGTATTACAGGGCCCGCAACATGATGGGTGGCGGCGGTGCTGGACGTGGCCAGTGATTTGGTAGTGAATGAATGATGCATGGATGATATTTGAAAATAAAAGAGACGATCTTGATGCTTTAGTGGCTATTCTAGGTTTCGGCAGCGTTTTTAGATATGGACTGCTTCCCCATATTTCTTCCAAATGCTTTTTTTCTCATCTTTGATAGAGAAGAAATGTACGTTTATAATGGTGTGCAACGAACGGTCTAGCAGCCTAAGGCGGGAAACACTTGATTGCTTGGAAGTTACATTCTCCTTTCATATATTTACACTGATTTCAATGCAACTCCACCTATTTGCTCCTTGCCGATATCGGACACGGAATCCATCAAACGGCATTTCAGCCAATAAACAAAACAACATGGCTAGAAAACTAGCACTAATGCAGATCAGACAGTGTCGAGGGGAGAGTAAAATGCAAAAGCAAACGACGCCACAAAACACCTCGAGACCAAATGCCCTTCAGACCAACACAAAATCCAACGCGCAACCGTAGTCCCAAATCTATGGGGATGGTGGGGTTTGGAGTGGAACTAAAAGTAATAAGCCCACAGAGAGGACAGAAAGGATGGAAGAGAAAAGAGTAACAGTGAACATTAATACATGAAAAGAAAGGAGAAACGGCTAACCACAAAAGCTTGAAAGCCGTGGTCACCGATGACTGACAATGCCATCGGCGAGCGCGTTTTCCGCCTGCTTTAATATCAAACAAAGGTATTGTACAGTCGAGAGGGATAGGACCGAGTTTATGAATGTGAGAGCGAGGTCCGTCATGAGAGATATAGTCTTGGAGGCCGGAAGCAAGTTATTGCTGAAAAGAGCTAAATCAGGCTGTCGACTTAGATGTAGTCACGAGCAGCCTTCTGCAACTCGATCAATCTCCAGCCCCGAGTCTCGGGGTTGTTGACTTCTTCCGGGATACGGGTCAAGCCGATGGCGTAAGTAACCAGCTGAACTTTGTCCTCCATACCGGCAGCAAGCTCATTGGTCTTGACGTTGCGGTAGACATGGACTTCCTGGGCACGGCAGGTGACGACAAATACTGGAATCTCGCCAGGGTCCAGGATACGTGCATTGGAAATATCGACACCACGGACATCCAAAATCCGGCCGTCGGACTTCAGACCTGCAGTGGTATATTGCTTCGAGAGAGCGGCATAGACGGAAAACTGAGCATCAGAAAGCCAAAGCTTGAGAGTCTCGATATCACCCTTGACATAAGCATCTAGGACCTCGGGCAGCATGTATTCGCGGAGTTCACGAAGGAACTCTTCCATCTGGAAGTTGGGGTCAATCTCCCGGAACTTCTTGATGACCATGGCGGTCTCATTCTCTGCGAAGAATCCAGCGACTCTGTCCGAGATGCTGCGAGCAGTGCTGATGAGCGGATTTTCGGATTCCTCATAGACATCCCTCATGGAAAAGAGCTTCTGCATCATCGGGTTTGACTCGCGGAAGGTGCGCCACGACTCCTTCCAGGCAGCATCTTTGTGAAGAGTAACGTTGGTTCCGGCACTGATTCAGATTAGGTCAAGATTCTCCAGGCAAAATAGGATAAAACCGTATGAAAACTCACTTCGGATCCTCTTCCAATCGCTGCAACCGGCGCTTGCCAGACTTGAGCTCCATCTCCTCACGCAGCTGGCGCTGCCGGCGGCGCTCTTCCTTCTCAACCCATCCACCATAACGGGAGCTGCTCCCATCATCGATGGTCTCCTTCACATTCTTGTATGCCTCGGTCTCCCGAACCGGTCTCGTCGCTTTCTCAATACCCGCACCAGTGACAGAGACACCCTTGCGGACACCTTTGACAACAGATGTGTTCCATGTCCAGGCAGCACCCTTTCCAATTGCCTTGCCGGTGTGTTTAAGCGCGGCGGAGGTGTGTGTACCAGCGGCTCCAGAAGCGGCCTCGTACGCCGCACGAGCGCGTTTGATGTTCTCATTCTCGGTGAACTGGTGTGCAGAGGAAGCCAGAGCTTTAGTAGACTCATTCCATTCCTTGGAGGCCTTGAATTCGCTCTGGAGGGTGTCCCGGAACACTTGCCAGGGAGACTTGTCTCCATGGGGTGGCGGGGGGCGCGTCTTCCTTCTTTTCCTTGTTCTCTCCATTTGTCTCTTCTCCTTGTTCCTTCTGTGACTCTGAATTGGCCTCTTCGCTCTTCTTCTCGTCCTTAGACTGTTGCTGTTGTTGGAAAAGAGGGCCTCCGACGTGGAAAGATCGGGTCAAAGGAAGGGCGGCGAACGGGGAGACGAGTTTGGAGACAGGGAGTTGAGTATTGTGAAGGAGATCCCGGCTCGTGCCAGAAAGCTTCATAGTTTGCGACGGCATGGCCGAATACGAGACAGTTCGAGAGCTTTGCGACGTGGCTCTGAAGATCGGGACCTGAGACCTCAAGGTCGCCGCACGAGCAGCGGTGGCCATTTTGGCGGAAATCATGCTCCGGGGAGTTTTCGAAGGATGGAGGAACAAAAATCGAGTTGGATATGACAGAAGCAAATTAAATCCAGTCCAGCCCGGATGTTCGGGATAAAAAAGTGAAGAACAGAGGTTGGACCGGAGGAGGTGAGTGAGTAAGGGAAAAAGTCGAGATGCCAAGACTTCGAAAAACTTCCAGTGATTCCCTTTCCGCTTCTTGTCGGTCCGACTACGGCTCTTGCGACTCACCCGGTTGGCTGCGACCATTTGTTTGCCCAATTGGTTTACGTCTCCGTGTGATTCTGTTTCTTAATTCCGAGCTTGAATTTCTTCCTTTGGCAATTCTATTGCTCCACGCCTGCACCCCTTGCACCCTCTCACTGCCGTTGAAACGGCTCTCGTCGCCGCAATGAATACCTTTTCAATGAGCGCGCTCGCAAAGACGCTACCTTCAGTATGTCGGCAATGCCAACCTCGAGTTATGGCTCTGCGTACCTTTCGACCTTTTTCCTCGTCCCCGAACGCCTCCGTGAGCCTGAAGGAGAAGACAAGGACGATTGAGAACCAGATCCTGGATCGCGAAGCAGAATCCTCCGACAGTTCTTCACCATTGTCTGCTATTTCTAGAATGATGACTGGCGACAAATCCTCCTCCAGTGCGGCCTCCGACTATGCTCGTCTGTCTGAAAGCCTTGAAGCCGACATGATGAAAAACCCTTACGCCGACAAGGCTCCTCCCCACCACCTCCACGTCTATTCACACAAGCACAACACCATTTTGACCCTGACGCGACCGAACGGTAACCCCATACTGTCCATGGGCTGCGGCCAAATCGGTTTCCGCAAAGGCGGTCGTGCAGGCTTCGACCCTGCCTACCAATTGTCCTCCCATGTCTTGTCGCAGATTCAAGAACGGGGCCTTTTGCTGGACATCAAGCGAATCGAGGTTGTTTTCCGCGGGTTTGGGAAGGGCCGGGATGCATTCACCAAGGTCCTGCTCGGCAATGAGGGACGCAACGTCCGTGGGCTTGTCAGCCGAGTGACCGACTCAACTCGCCTCAAGTTCGGTGGTACTCGAAGCCGGAGGGTTCGCAGACTGTAAATGGCTCCGAGGCCTACCCGTCTTGCAATTATTTTCATATGGCAGAACTTCTTTATGTCCGGCCTTTTCCCTCTCTTTTCCCTGTGAAGCGCTATACATCGAATGCGGAGGACCAACCACCAGAGGCCATTCCACTGTATTATCGGCATATATGTCTGCCGTTGAATTATTCTTCTTTGTACAATAGACCAAATATCTCCAACATGAGCGGGTCATATTATTGAAGTGTATTTTTCCCTTGTTTCTGTGCTGTAGTCCTCGGAAGTCTATCGCCGTAGAGAGGGAATCCCGGATTACCTAACACGGTATAGCGCCAATGGATCAGCTCCCGCAGCGATCACGTTCTCGAACTCCCTGCTCGACTCAATTCGCGTTGCTTCATTTTCGCGCACTCGTTCTCTGCATTCTGGTTCTTGTATTGATTCCTCAATTTCTCGTATTTCACGGGTTTGATTCTTGCTCGGCAAATCAGCCACGCGCTTAAACACCTTCAATACCCCGGACTGCTGCCTGCAGCTGAATGCGCCGGAGCTCTTCCCCGCGAATTGTTCACAACGCGCCCAAATTCCCCACGACTCATACCTGATACGGGCGGCTTGATGATTACTGGATTTTTTCTGCCGGGCCGTCCAATACCGTTTGGATGCACCCTCTAAATCCTTTTCTTCGTGCGTTCTTCCGAAGCACTGTTCCGGGGCAGTGTATACCCGTGGAGAACAATGTAAGTCTAGCTCCTGTGCCCCTCGGATCATCCGGAGTCCCTGATGAATCCTGATGTATGATTTTTTAGGTCTTACTTGTTCCCACAACTGAATGCCTTATCGGGTCTCGCGATCGAGAATCTAATCTGTACTACTCGGATCTGGTTACATCGGAGGAGTTTCTAGGGAGCCATGTGCTGCGCATGCCCCTCAATTCGAGCTCGACGAATGGGAAGGACGAATCAAGTATTCGGGATAGTAGAGGAAAGGCAAAACAGGTGACTACCTTCAATGGGAGGACTGTAATAATCAAAGAGAACTCAGTCTACAGCAATAAGGGTAAGGACGAGCATCTACATCATCGAGGATCGCCTTTTGCTAACATGGGTCAACCGCCAGGTTTCAAGTCACTCACCCAAGCTCAGCTCTTGTCCGATGCGCTTTACTACACCCCGTCCAGCGAGTCCCGGCCATGGCTCATATACTACATTTCGCGCCCATTGATCGGGTTGTACGACCCCGCTAGAATTATCCCTGCTGCAGTACCTGGGACGGAAGTACGGAAGATTGAGCCTGCCCCTGCAGATAAAAAGAGGTCGAATGGAGAGTCGGTAACGCCGTCAAAACAAGAAATCAAGTCATTTGCGGAGTTGCTATCCAACTTTCCGATGATTGCACGACAAATGCAACCAGGCCTGGAAAGACTGTTTCGTGAATTTGGCAAAGAACTCGGCAAACCGCTACCTCCTCCGCCATCGCGGTCACCCTCCGCATCGGGTAGCGAAAACGAAAATAAACTTACACGCACAGAGTTACTACAAGATGAAAGCTCGTCCATTCGAAGTTGGTCGTCTCGAAGGGGCCGGTTGCCATTCAACTCAGAAGAGTATTTTGAAGACGACGAAGATCTGATGCGCCGAAGTCTGGAGACAGCAGTGACCGCTGCAATAGATTTGTTTCGTCTGGTTGACAAGCAACAATTGTCGCTTTTGGGGGCAACCACTGATCTCACTGGTCCTCTGGTCGAGCGACTTATTGAACAATATGTGGCCGAGCAAGTCCATGAACCATTGCTATTCCCCCGTCTCTGTGCCTTTCGACAACCAGAGGATTCTGAGCTGGACTCGAGGATCCGACATATGGAGAGTATCGATGTTACCCAGGTGGGCATCACAGTGGAAGGCGGACGACAAGGGAAGCGAGAACTTATTCGTCGACTCAGCCGGGGTGTGGAAGAATTTCGCAAAATTACCGACGCCAAGAGTCCCCATCAGATGCTAAACACCCTCCTAGAGACTATCAAAGTTGTCTCCTACCCTGGAAGTTATGATAAAGTTGATGGGCTTGCGTCGGAGAAAGGACGACCTCCGCTGACCATAAACGCCGATGTTTTGGTATCTTTGCTGCTGATCGTCGTCATAAGATCACAAGTTCGCCATCTGCAAGCACGGTTACTGTACATGCAGCACTTCATCTACATTGACGATGTGGATAGTGGAGAGATGGGATATGCACTGAGTACTTTCGAAGCAGTTTTAATGTACCTTGTCACTGACTCGGCTGGTCTCCGCCGTGCAAGCACTCGAAACCGGCGTCTATGGCAAGCGACTAAAGCAGGCAGGATCTCAGATATGAAAGGCATTCTCGAACCTAATGGAGATCATGACTCTACCGATGAAGCTGTTCCCCAGGAACCCGAGCGCAAATCGGTTTTCTTCCAAACCGACATCTCGGACGAACCAGAAGACTCACCTATTGACACATCTTCTATGCTCAGTAGCTTGGCCATCACAAGTGGAGATTCGTCATCGGAAGAGGCTATCGTTTCAGATGCGCCTCCGCTATCCCATGTGTTCCCTTTCCAGACATGGGGCAATGGAAATTCGTCTTCCAAGGACTTCTATCGGCCAGTCAAAAAGGTTTCAATGGACGTGCGCAGCTTATCCGAGTCCTCGGCCATATCGTTTCTCTCCAGGACAAATACGATCGGATCTATGACAAGCAATATCGAAGGCGACAGTTCCTTGGAGACTCTTACTAAAACACAGGATCCAGCTGGGGATTCAATTCCCATGATGGCGGTGGAGTATCGCCAGACAGAGTCATTGAAGTACATACTCAGCCTAGAAGAGTATTATCCCCTGGAGGATATTCTTGAAGATACAAATGTTGATGGCACCACTCTTCTCAATGCGGCTGTGCAGCTCGCACACAGCGAAATTGTTGACATCCTTCTGGATTTCTTCTTCAGCAAAAGTGATGAAAGAACGATCGCTCTGTATTTGACAAAATCAGATGTTCATGGTCGTACTGTGGCACATTATCTGTTTAGCACACCTTCACTACTATCTCGATTGGGGCATCTTCTCCCATGGCGTCAGCGGGATAAGCATGGTCAGACACCACTTTTTGCTCTCTGTCGGTCTTACGATCACCCTGAGTACAAGATTATGGTTGCGGCTGCTTTGACGGCTGCTCAGAGAGCTCAAAGCAATGCAAAGCCGCTCCAGCTTGACGATCATGTCGATGCCAAAGGAAATACACTGCTCCACATAGTTGGGGACCCTGATATCACGACACGGATTCTTCAAGAGAGTGACTGCGATCCGAATGCCACAAACGATAAGAGGTTTACACCCCTGATGATGGCTAGCAAATATGGACGAGTCGATCAAGTGCGAATCCTCTTTATGGACCCGAGAGTTGATGTTCATGTGAAAGAGACTCGTGGGTTGACTGCGGTCGAGCTAGCGAAAGACGACGAGGTACGAAATCGCATTGATGATCTGATTTTGTTATCAAACCCGCCATCTTCATGTGGTGATCCTTCTGGACGAGTGACTACGGTGGTGCGGTCATTCTTTGTCGAAGACGCTACCGTGCGATTTATTCTCAAGTCTGGCGCACCATTTCAATCATCAGATTCCGTAGCATCCTCTCGACCGGGATCAACTACATACACCGTTACCACATGTCGTCGCAGTTTCGCCGATTTCGAAAATCTGGCCAAATGGCTGGCAGTTGAACATCCTGGATCATATGTGCCGTCTCTGTCCGACTTCCGAAATCCGTTCCAAATACACTCCAAACCATCGCGGTCAGTTCTTCACGACCTGCAAGAAAAGTTAGACCGGTTTCTCAAAACACTCCTGACCCATCCTACTTTCTCCACTCACGAAATGCTGTGGGAGTTCTTCCTCGTCCCAGAACTGCAGCCCGAAATGATGGCCGATCGATCCCGCCGTAAGGCAGCAGTGCTCATGGAGACCATTGCAGACGAATTCGCCCCGGTTTCACACGAGGGAATGCGTGACACTGAGCAATTCATCTCCCATGCGCAAGATATGGTGCGTGGTGTACACGTCAATACGCGCAGCCTGATACGGCGTGGACATGCGCTCCAAAATAGTGCTTCAGATATCGCAGACGCCGTCAACCTCTGTGCTGCTGTTCTCTCCACGTTCCAAGAACCCACCAATGCCCTCCCGCCTTCTTACATCGACGCATTCGCCCGCTATGGGAATTGTCTTTCCACCTCCAGCTCCGATTCCTCCCCTCTCCTCCAATATATCGCCGCGCTTACCTCCTTCGACAACACCACCGCCGCTATCCTCAAATCCCTCTCTCGTCCCCTATCTCTCATGTCTAACCTGACTTCTACAACACGGAGCGTTTCCCGCGCCCGCTCGTCCCTCATCTCCTCTTCCCTGCCTCGCAAATTCAACATCAACCTCCCCGGCTTCGAGGAATCGCGGCAGAAGTCCGTCCGCGACCTCGAGCAGAAAATCCGCGAGGGCGAAGCTCAGGCTTCTCGTCTCGCGAGAGAAGTCTCCTGGAACAAAGACGTCGTCGTCGGTGAGCTAGCCGGGTGGACCACATGGCGTGAGAAGGTCGGGCGCGACGCCATCCGGGCTTTTGTCAAGGACACGCTTGTCCGGGAACGCGAGCGCGGGAAACGCATTGAGCGGTGTCTGCGCAGCGTGCGAGAGATGAAGTCGTGAATAGCAGGCGAGATACCTTCGACATGTTCGATAGAATTTCCGAGCAGATTTTTTTTGCCCTTGGTAGCGAGTCGTCGCTTTTACTTTCATTCCATTCTGTACATTTTCATGACGGACATGTGTTCGGGGTTCTATTGATTGATGTTCATTTCTTAGCTCTATGGTTGCTTACTCTCATTTCTTTCTTCGTCGGTTGCTAGCGTGTTCTCCGATGCTATTCTTTGGGCGCAGGGCGCAGGCCGATCTTCATACTCCCCCTTGCCTTGTGCTTTTACACCGAATTTTTGGTAGATGAGCGACTAAACGAAGACCACGAGACTTGATATTTCCTTGAACGATGAAATACTGTAGAAGTGAATTTAGTAACCTGTGCTGATTGTGCCCAGTTTCTTGGCCTATCGTGCTTTAATCTATACAAGCTGTGTACTCCACAGTGTTTGGCCAGATGACAGGTCCTGAGCTGCGATGGTAACTCCTTCCAAGAATAAAGTAACGGACAACATAGACACCAAGACTCTGTTACTTTTTTAACAGAATTAGACAACTGGAGAGAATGGACGGTAAGCTTAATATTCGGAAACCCGAAATAAAGGCGACGGAGTCGAAGGTATCGAAGGCAACTGCTGCGATAGTCCAGAGCTACTCGCAGACTCGGTTGCGGGTGACACAGCCGTGTTCGAAGACGACTGACTCAGCGATCTAGCATGATTTCGTTGAGAAGCGCCGTTATCATTAATCAAACGTACCCCCGTCTGCGGAGGGCCATATTGCGACAACTGGCTCGACCCATGCGACGCATCGGAAGGATCCGATCGTGTCAACGAGCTCGCATAGCTGGGTAGGACATTCGAACTGCGACTCGTCGACTGTGACGGCCTGGAGCTGGGCGGATCACAACTCAACAACGAACTGTTTTCAGTTGTTGTGCCGGTCGTGGTAGTCCACAGCTGCGAGGATCGAGTGGTCGAGGGCACAACCGAGGGTGACACAGATGCCCTAGGGGTGGCACTGCCCGAGCTGCTGGATGCCGGACGTGCGGCATTACTTTGAGAGATCGAGGAGAGTTCAGAAATGATGAAGCTCGGTCTAGGTGTGTCTGCTGAAACGCGTGTCAGAGTATCCCTTTTGCTGTGACTGTTGGTTGCGGTATCATTGCTTTTGCGCCCTGATTTGCCCATTGAGTTTCGACGGTCCATGTCATCGACGACAAAGGTGATCGATGGAGAGCGGCTTCGGCTAAACATCAGTGAGCTTCTCTCGGGCCGGATATCTTTCATGAGGAAGTCATCGAGGGCCTTGCTTGTGTCCTCGGCCAGGGTAACGGAAGACTGCGCAAAGGGGTCCTGGATTTGATCTTTTATCCTGCGGGCTCGTCGGGCTCGTTTTTCACGTCGGATATACCAGGTGACGAGAAATGAGAGAGCTGCAAACGCGATGATTCCAATGATGCTTGCTGCCGCGATAGACGGTTTTCCACTGAAGGCCTGTGGGGCTGATCTACTAGCCACTGAGGGCCTGTCTGACCCAGAAGGCTGCGAGTTTGCTGTTGTGTACTCTGTCCCATCCCAGAAGCGATTCTGAATAGAAATTCGATCACTTTGTCTCTGCACATGTCTGACAGCTGGATCCTGGGTTCGCTGTGACTCAATCTGCGCTTCTTGTTCGACATTGGCGCCCAATGTTCTCTGTGCCATCTTGTGTCGATATAAGAAAGAGTTCTTCTGATCTTCCAAGGAGGTATCCATGGCGTCCTCCGGAACGGTCTGCACTTGGGGGGGGAGTAGACCGTTTCACTAGTTTGGGAGTGCTGCGAGCTCTCCTCTTCTGGCCATCGTAGATGGCGCCACCATGCTCCTTGAGGAAAGGCATGGAAGAGGGCTATTTCTCAATTTTCATCGAACATAAGATGCGCCAGATTCGAATAAAACGTCATGGCCCGTCCGGATTGGCGAAAGAAACACAAAAACATTGGATTTCGGGCATGGTAGTGGCCTGGGCAGCTACCACGATCAGCGCGCATGAACATCGTGGCTTCCCTTTGACCATTACAGTGTAAGAAAAGCACTCCATAAGTCTTCTTGAAGAATTACGCACGAGAAGGAGGAAGGAACGTTGATGCCCACTAGAGGTTGGGATGGAGTCGTCCAAAATCAGCGACGTGATGACGATATGTGAGTCTGTTGAGGGCGGGGATATAGTTCGATATGATTAGTGCTAGTATATACATCAGCCACGACGAACAACTCAAAAAACAAGAACGATGACACAAGACACACGACACAATACACCCTCCACGCTGATCCCGATCAGATCTGCGCATCAATTTATATCCACAATTCTCACTGGTCTGTAGACAGGCGAATAATTCCGCGACCCCCCCTCCTCTCCCCGATCTGACCACTGACTAAGCCTTATCGGGCACTACGTCATCGGCCAACAGCACATATATAGATGCCTACGCACTCGGGACATGACAATCTTGCTTCAGACTTCCTGGGCATCCAGAAACTAATATACGACTTTGACATCAAGAAGCAAACCCATATAATCTACTACTTCTATTAAATTTCATTCACTATGCCTCTTATTGTACCTGGCATCAACTCCTCGATGGGCGACCAGTCCGAGTGGGTCACAAAGCTGATGGGAAAGAAGATCGGCGACACCAGCGACGAAGTCGTATGTTTTATCTAACTAGCACATATGCTTTCAAATGGCGCTCTCCTGCTCCATTACAATTAAAAAGTAAAAATCGCTGACTGCTTTTGCCTTAGTCATTTGCGAAGAAGGATCTGCCCGAGTCGCACCGGGTCTTGAAGCCCGGCGATATGACAAGCATGGACCACAATCCCGATAGGTAGGCCTCTTTCCGCCGACACACAGTCGATGGAGTAAAGTCAATGATACATTTTTACTGACTCGAATGTCGGGAATTCAAGACTGAACGTCCATGTAGACGAAGAAGGAACCGTTAAGGACATTACCTATGGCTAGAAGCGCTCTCCCGCCCGAGTTACTATCAAGATGCTCTGGATGGTATATTAATCTATGTCTCGACTCGCAATGTCACGAGCTACGAATGCAATGCATGAAATGTTCTATTCACGATTCAATACAATGGTAGTCTTGGCTAGTCCTCAAGAGCCAAATTTAAACCAGGTCCAGTCCCAGTCCCAGTGGGCCCATAATCCATCTATATAGAAGATCCCAAGACCCAATATCATCTCTTTCGTTGGCAAAGCCTCACGTCCATCTATCTACTCTGCCTTCCATCGGAGCAATGTAATCGAATGCTTCGGGAACGTATAAGTACCCTTTCCGTCCCACGATGACTCCTGCACCGCAACTTCTTCACGGCCCTTCATGTTCGTCGCGGCTACGCCCTCGCCGGTCACTGTATACACAACCGCCTCCCCTTCCACCCCTTCCACAACGGTTTCGAATCCCCGCTCCTCGTGGATGTTCACAACAACCAGGTTAGCGTATCCGTCCTCCCCGACACTCGCACTAACATCGAGCCAGGGCGTCTCGACCGCGCTACGCACCCACGTGGGCACCGTGGGGCCCTCGTACGTCGCGCATGATACATGCGCCGCAACCGTCCACCCGCGCATGAACCGCGAGAACAGGTACAGCGGCCACCAGGTGGTCTGCTTTGTGATGCCGGACGGGGAAGTCATCAGCGGGGAGATGACGTTGACGGTCTGCGCGATGCAGGCCATGCCGAGATCGCGACTCTGGCGGACGAACACGTTCAGCCACACGGCCACGGCCAGCGCATCAGAGAGTGTGTAGCTCTCCTCTGCACCACGGCTTCCCTCCGCACGGATTGGGTCCCACACGTTCCACTCGTCGAAGCAGATCGTCGGTCGTGGCTGCGACGGCGGCACGCCGTTCTCGATCCGCGCCAGGTCGATGAGCCCGGAGGTGATCTGAATCGCGCGCTCGGCAGCGAGCGGGGCGGTAGCATTGGGAAGGTGCTCATTGGAGCTGGTGTAGAGGTGGATACTATGCATATCGATGAGAGGCACAGCGCTGGTAGAGAGCGCGGAGTGCGCGGGCAGGAGGCAGTGCTTAAGGGTGTAGTAGTCCCAGGTAGCGGTGCCGTCTTGTCCGCAGAGAATGAGGATGAGGCTTGGGTCGAGGAGTTTGAGCGCTGTATAGAGGCGTTTACTGGTTAGTGGGGTCCGATAACTTGGAGAAGTAAGATGATGCTTCTTTGCGCAGGAGCGTAAGGTACCTTTAGCCCATTGAAGCGCCTTGTGGGCGTATGCCTCCTTGGTCATCTGTTCGACCTGCCACGGTCCCCAGGTTTCATTGCCGAGGGCCCAGTATTTCACCTAAATAGAGAGAGATAAGTCAGCCTGGTGCATTGGTGATAACACGAAGAGAGGGTCGGAATGCATACATTATAGGGCTCCTGGCGGCCGTTCTTCCGTCTCATGTTGGCATAGTATGTGTTACCAGTGCCATTGCAGTATTCAACCCACGCCAAAGCTGAAATAGTAATACCAAATAGTTAGCTCCAGTTCTGGCGCTGATTAAGATGTGTGGTATTCAGAGTGTATGAAATGAACGAAGCATCTAGGGCAGACAACGCATAGCAGAACAGTAACATACCTTCATCCAGAGTGCCAGTTCCAAAGTTAAAGCACAGATAGGGCTCGGTCCCAAGAACTTCGCACCACTTCATGAACTCATCTGTACCGAACTGGTTCGTCTCGGTGCCTAGCCAGGCAAGCTCGGGTCTATTACCACGGTTAGTTGAGGAACTTGGGGCGACCCCTAGCACCAACAGGAGAAATCGGACATACCGCGAGGGCCGCTGGTCCTTCGGACCAACACCATCCAGCCAGTGGTAGGTAGCACAGAAGTTACCGCCAGGATACCGAACAACAGGAATGTTTAGGCCTTTCAATGCCTCGAGCACATCCTTGCGGAATCCATTCTCGTCAGAGAGTGGGTTGCCTGGGTCATAGATACCACCGTAGATGCATCGGCCCATATGCCTGGATCGAAGGTATTAGCTGAGCTGTGACCCAAATACCAAAAGGATGCACCGAAGACGGTGCTATCGACAATTGAATATACTGACTCCGTGAAACCCGCATAAATATTGGGGTTGATCTTAGACACGCGACGCGAAGGATGGACGGCGATGACAGGAGTGTCAGTGTCGCCGAGTTTAGTAAAGGTTGTCATCGCGAGTGGCTTGCACAGGGCCCCAGTTAAGCAGTAAGAAAGTCACGAAGTATGCCGAAAAGCGTTAAGTGCCTGATGGTAATGTCCGTGCCAACCTTGTTCTCTACAAGGGGGGGGGGGGGGAGAAAATGTACTGATTTACTTGAAATCCGTCCGGCGGGCTTGTATAGACCGTCCTAGATGAACGGGATGTGGTCGCGCTTACACCAACGACGTCGCTAGAAACAGAATCGTCTTTTCAAAGCGAAATCTCCGTAAAGGCATGTTGGAGGGGTTGGGCTCGAGGGTGTAAATTTATCTCCAGTCCATTAGATTGCGGCCCTCGAAGCGGCAAATCTCCTGCGGGGCAGAGTCGAGACTTACGTTCTGCAGGGGCCACGAGGATCTGGGACGAGGCCTATTGAGGTATCGCGAGCGCTCTAGAGACACGCCGAACCTACCACCATGCCTAAAGCAGCGCCAGCCAAGGACTGTAGACCAATGAGGAGGGCCCGTCTGCCGTGGCCATTAGCGATGGAGAGCCGATGTTGGGGCCAGTATTTCCATCAATCACGATGCCGCCCGCGGAGCCGATGGGGAGGGCAACGAACCCGCAGCCTCGGTAGCTGCAGGAAGCGACTGTAAAACCCTGGCTTTGTTTGAAAGGTTATCTGGTGATTGCCTGCTATTTGCTCAACGGGTCACGGGGTCCAATCCAGGGTCTGTTGTTAGTCTGTTTCGAGGCTAGCGATTGTTCAAACTACACGATGGATCAGTTAGGTGGCTTGCAAGAAGGAGATTCCTCCGAGAAACCCTAAGCGTTTGGCGATGGTCAATTTGCGTCTTGCGATTTGCCCTGGGTAGTTCTTGGGTGCTGTGCCACGACCCTATATGTAGTAGATCACTCCCCCGTCGTACGGAGCGCGAACTGTATCTTTGTGGAGGTCTCCGGATTATCTTCCCCAGTTGTTTGGTCGTGGACCCTGGAACTTTAGAAGATCTTTGTCTCCATATTTGATACTGTTAGAGCTGCGGGCAACAAACAGAGCGTGGCCCATCATGCGTCTCTCACCCTCATGGTACCAGGTATGCAATATATAGGGCACATTCTCCTTGACTCATCCTCGCTGGAGCATGCGTACTAACGCATTCTTCTTGGTCTTATAGTTCTTGGTGGGCGTGTTCGCCTCACTGGGTTCCTTCCTCTACGGCTGTAAGTCGCATTCTAATCTAAAGCGACAGGGCCCTTCCCTGGTTGACAAGATGCCATAAACTGATCTTCCCGAAGATGATCTTGGTGTGATCGCTGAAGTAATTGTCTGTGATTCATTCACCGCGAAATTTGCGGCGAACTCGACCCAAAGGTGAGCCGCCAGCTTCTATCTTCCCACGGAACTATGAGCTTTGATACCACAGAATACTGATCAGCACTGGTGTACGTAAAGTGGGCTGGTAGTATCCATGTTCACATGTGGTGCCTTCTTTGGAGCTGCGTTCGCCGGTCCCAGCGGTGATTACCTGGGCCGACGAAAGACCATCTCTCTTGGCTGTTTGCTCTTCTGCTTGGGTGGAGGTCTTCAGACTGGCGCCCAGAGCCTGGCTTACCTGTATAGCGGCCGCTTCTTTGCTGGATTCGGGTACGCATCGCTCTAGAACTCCTTGACCACCCTTAGGAATCCCCATCAACTCATTCGGTGTTGCATCTTTTAGTGTCGGCTTCCTCACCATGGTGATTCCCCTCTACCAGGCTGAGATCTGTCATCCCAAGATCCGGGGTCGTGTCACGGCTCTGCAGCAGTTCATGCTCGGTGTCGGTGCCCTGTGCGCCTCGTGGATCTCCTATGGCACCTACATTGGCTTTGCGGCAGATAACGACGCTCAATGGCAGGTGCCTCTTGGTATTCAAATTATCCCGGCTGTGTTGCTGGGTTTGTTGATTGTTCTTTTCCCCGAGGTATGCGCATTATGCCCCCATCACTTTAAGACTACAGCCAAATACAACGACCAGGACTCACTGTTCCTACTTGATAGTCTCCCCGTTGGTTGATTGATCACAACCGCCCGGATGAGGGTCTGCGTACTCTCGCCAAGCTCCATGCCAATGGAAACGAACACGACCCATGGGTGCAGGCCGAGTTCTCCCAGATCCAGGAGAGCATCACACACGAGCATGAGCACGAGGCCAAGTCGTACGTGGAGCTGTTCCAGAACCGGTCTTCATTCCGTCGTCTGTTCCTTTGCTGTGCGCTGCAAGCTTCCGTACAAATGACCGGTGTGTCGGCTATCCAGTAAGTCCCTGATCATGATCAGCGAGCTATGAAAACAAAAAAAAAAGAAAATCGAAACTGACCAACAATTTAATCCCAGGTATTACTCCGTCGATATCTATAAGCAGATCGGCATCTCCGGCGAGGCCACTCTGCGCTACCAAGCCATTAACTCGATTATCGCCCTGGTGGCCCAATTCCTCTGCATCCTGTTCATCGATTCCTTCGGCCGTCGCTGGACGCTCATCGGCGGCAACCTGGGCAACTGCGTGACCTTCATCATCGCCACGGTGCTACTGGCCAAGTTCCCGCCGACGACCAACAGCAGCGGCGCCCATTGGGGCTTTATCATCATGACCTGGTTGTACAACTTCTCCTTCTCGGCAACATGTGGTCCGCTGTCCTGGATCATTCCGGCTGAAGTCTTCGACACACGCACGCGGTCCAAGGGCGTATCCATCGCAACGGGCACCTCGTTCGCGTTCAACACCATGATCGGCCAAGTCACCCCTATTGCGATGGACAACATCCACTACCGTTACTACTTCCTGTTTGTCATCTGTAATTTCACAAACGCGGTGTTCTTCTATTTCCTGCTGCCGGAGACCAAGCAGGTCCCACTGGAGGAGATGAACTATATGTTCTCACATGCGCCATGGATCGTCCCAGGCATGAAGAAGGAAGATTACCTGCCGCATGATCTGGAGCGCAAGGTGGAAGAGCAGGAGGTTAAGCAGGGAGTTGTGCGGCATTACGAGTAGAGTCTGGACATGGCAGTGGGGAAAACAAGGTCTGGTGGATTTTCTTATATTTCTTGCAGAGGAATGACAGGCGCGTGGGATAGGGGTGCGGGCAAGTAATTCCCAACAACCTTCAGGGCAAGCAAAGGGGCTAAGCACAGGACTCGATGTGGATCGGTAAATGTCATTGACCTGCAAGTGGGCGCTCCGAAGCCACAGAGAAACGTGCTTAGTTACGGTACACGTATATTGATAAACATAGGATAGTGAAATGATATACGCTCCAGCTCCCGGGCTTACAAAAGCCAATTGCTCTGTTGCTTCATAGATGTCTTTTTTTTTTTTTTTTTTTTTACTTTTTGAAATTATTCAGAATCGGAGTCAGATCCATATCCAGCCAGCCCCAGTGAAATGGGAGCTGGTTTGGCTGGCTGGTTATCACCCGAGGGGCCTCTAGAGTCTGAGGTAGGCGTTGTGGCTTTCTCAGCTGCTTTCGTCATTGGCGCAGATGTAGGCGCTGTCGTAGACGATGTCGTCTCCGCACCCGTCTTGCCAGCAGCTAGTCGACCTTCTTGGCCGGACTTCCGAGCTTCATCTTCCTTGGCAACGCTCGGTTTTTCACTACTCTGGGCTAGTGATGGCTTGCGCTTTTTACCTGACAGTAACGAGTCCTTGCCCTTGTCACGCCGCCGTTTGCGAGCCGGTATGGTCCATTCTTCGTCCTCCGCGGGGGTGACCTCTGAAGATGTCGGTCCTAACAGGGCCTTCTCCGCCTCTTCGCGGTGCTTCCGAAAGGCCTCCAGCTGGTCTGCAGTGTCTTTTTTTAGGGTGGCCTCTTGCGCGCGCGTCGACTCGAGCACGGAATCCAAAAATTCTATTTCATCGTCGTCCAGGGAGCGGAACTGGTTCTTCAGCCGCATCTTCTCCTCGAATTGTTCTTGTTTGGCCACTGTATTCGCCGGCGGGACGCAATCACCCTAACATGTCAGCCCAGGCTCTCGATCTCACCGTGTGCTGTATCGCACGGCAGATCCCTCCCCCGCAGCGTCCTGCTCTGGCCCGTTTGGTGTTCGATGATTCCCCGTGTAGTCCACGCGGAGGCCACCGCGCGCGTGCGCACCAATATCGGAATGGGAAGCTCTCACTTTTGTTCTGTTGCAGGACCTCAAAGAGGCTCTTGCCGCCATCCTGCTGGCCTATCTCGGCCTTGCGCCGCCGTTCCTCCTCCAATTCCTGCTGCGCCTTGAGCCAGGCATCGTCGCGCTCCACGGGCTCCTCGTTGGTGCCGGCCGACACAAAGCCCGAGGACATGACGACACAGGGTGACGCGCCCGGTTGAAATCACCGTTCAGTGCGTTCGTTTAGATTGGGATTCGCGCCCTCTTTTTCCCGAGCGGCGGCGGGGGAAATGACGGACAGGGACCGATGACAACCGCGACTCGGGTATGATTGATGTCGGAGTCTGGCGGTGGAGCGTTGCTGGGAAATTATCCGGGCGCGGGCCAGCGCGGGCCAGTGGCGGCGTCGGGAGGGAAAGATGAAAAGTGGGGATCTTCGAGAAATTGAACCGAGACAGGACTCGGCACGGCGAACGGGAAACTCGGTGACGAGGGGACCCCGCGAAGTTTCTGGAACTGGTTGACTGGAGACAAATGAAGAGACCGGACGTCGTGGCGGGTGCTGAAGCGTGGAGACGAAGTGCGGCGATGCCAAATGCGCGTGATTGGCTCCCAAAGAGATCGGAGGAGCCCCTGCATTTAGCCGGAATCCCAATGCTGGTGGAACTGAGATGTTCATGTTGGGGCTATTCTGTGCATGATGACGCCAGACGTGTCGAGATGCGCTCTATACTCCGTATGGTTCCCGCCAACACGGCTTGATCATCGTCGATATCAGGCCCCGACTACTTGCCAGACGATGGCCGCCATTCACCAGAAACCATGGCTGAATCATATTACTGTACTCTGGACTTCCGGTCCCCACCTTGCGTGCCCCGCCAACACGACATCATTGCTGCTTGGACCTGCCCGCCTCTTTGACGTTGCACTCGGGCTCGCTTGACGAACAACTGGGACCTGCTCCGCCTTTCAAGATTGATTCTTAAAGGCTCCCTCTCCCCGCCTCTTTCCTCCTTTTTCTTTCTTCACTCTACCCAATTCGCTTCACTACCACCATCATGTCGAACCAGCACACTCAGTGAGACTCTCTCCCCTCACACCCGCTCCCGGTCACCTCTGCACTCTTTTCCCATAGCAACGACCAATTGCCTCTGGATTATCGACCTAACATTCCTTCTTCTTCTCTCTCTAGGAAGACCTACACCCTCAACACCGGTGATAAGATCCCCGCGATCGGTCTGGGCACCTGGCAGTCCAAGCCCAATGAGGTCCGCGAGGCCGTCAAAAATGCCCTGCTGAAGGGCTACCGACACATCGACACTGCCTTGGCCTACGGCAACGAGGCTGAGGTCGGTGCCGGCATCCGCGACTCCGGCGTGCCCCGCGAGCAGATCTGGATCACCACCAAGCTGGACAACACCTGGCACCACTGTGTCGAGAAGGGCATCGAGTCCTCGCTGAAAGACCTGGGCGTTGACTACGTCGACCTGTACCTGGTGCACTGGCCCAGCTCCACCGACCCGGCCGACAAGTCCAAGCACCTCCCCGACTGGAACTTCATCAAGACCTGGCAGGAGATGCAGAAGCTGCCGGCCACTGGCAAGGTGCGCAACATCGGCGTGTCCAACTTCGGGATTAAGAACCTGGAGATCCTGCTCAACGACCCCTCCACCAAGATCGTCCCCGCTGTCAACCAGATCGAGCTGCACCCCAACAACCCCTCCCCCAAGCTCGTCGCCTACAACACCTCCAAGGGCATCCACTCCACCGGCTACTCCTGCCTCGGCTCCACCAACTCCCCGCTGTACAAGGATCCTACCCTCCTCCAGCTCGCGGAGAAGAAGGGCAAGACCCCGCAGCAGGTCATGCTGGTCTGGGGTATCCAGAAGGGCTGGAGCGTCATTCCCAAGTCGGTCAGCAAGTCGCGCATCGATGCCAACTACGAGATCGATGGCTGGAACTTGACTGCCGACGAGGTCAACCAGCTGGATAACCTCAAGGACCGTTTCAAGGTCTGCGGGGATGCCTGGTTGCCTATCAAGGTCTTCTTTGGCGATGACGAGTAAACGAGAACAGATTTGACGATACTTTCTTCATGAGTACATAGGCTATAGAGATACCAAAAAATTGATTTGCTTTTTTGCCGAAAGAATTTTCCCTCGTAGCTCACTTCTTTTATCTGTAATCTATTATCCTTTGTCCTCGCGATGCCCTACGCAGCAAGTTCTGTTGGTGTCGTGCTCTAATTCATATCTGAACCGTCCAGATCGCCGGAACTCGCAGATTGATTCCTAAAAGAGAACAGCTCCCTGGGGCCAAGTCTGCTTGGCACTGCATGTCGAGGTCGGACATGAATCCTCTAGCCGCGCGGGGTACAGAACGGGCTGGCTGGATTTGTGCCTACTGCATCCTGTACTCCTACCTGATGGAGTGCGATTGCGGATACAGGGCGAGAGAGTAAACCTATAAGAACGCGGCAAGGCCATGCATCGTACGTTTGCCGAGTCTAGACGCGCACGCTGCTGCTCGAATACACGCTCACTGGATGCTTGAATCACTTGAAAAGCAAACAAACGATTGCAGCCCCTGTGGCGTACTTTGGCAGTTGGGGCGATGATTCGCCATGATTTCGATTCTAATGCATGCCTTCCCCACCCGTTATCGCATTGTTTGCTTGCACTGGGAAAACAAAAAGCAAGGTTTTCTGGCGAATAGTACCGGGATAACCCCCAATAGGCTTTTCTGCAAGTCCAAACTCGGCATATTTATACAGATGTCTAGGGACTGACTTACTTCCCCTTAGTTCCCTCCCGATTGGAAGCGCAAATATAGTTTCACTGAACCTGAAAACATGACGACTGCCGTTCCCTTTGCTCCGATCATGGCTTTTCCGCGAGTAATCGGGGCCTGTTTTGTCCTTGGCCTGTCGTATGTCTTCTACCGCCTGCTTTCCGTGGGGAAGAGGGATAGTCGCCTCCCTCCCGGGCCTCCCACGGTCCCCATTTTAGGAAACGTTCATCTCATTCCACGGGCCGGGATCGGTCTCAAGTGCGTCGTGATCGATTCACGTTTCTCTTTGCCCTTCTCGCACATGGACATTAAGTAACCACCTCTTGCAGGTTTAAGGAATGGGCAAAACAGTACGGCCCAATTTACTCCTTGAAGGTCTTTAATTCGACCATGATCGTCTTATCAGACCCTGAAATCGTGGCGAATCTGGTGGATAAAAAGGGCGCTATCTATGCCGAGCGGCCGCCAAATGCAGTGGTCAATTATCTTACAGACGGCCACTTCTTTCCGTTCGAAAAAGGTCAATCCTGGAAATTGAAGCGCGCTATCGCTGTGCGCTACCTCAGTCCGCAGCGACTGGATTCTCATCATTTTCGTATTCAAGAGGCCGAGTATGCCCATTAAATATTTTGATAGACCGAGGACTGGACCTGACTAATCGTTCTCTTCGTCTTCGTTTTTTTTTAGATCGGCGCTGTTGATGAACAATTTACTCGACTATCCCGAGCCGATTTTCGAGTACCTTCGGCTGTATACCTGTTCAGTGGTAAATACCCTGGTCTACGGGCAGAGAATCAAAGACCTGGATTCGTGGTGGTACCAAGGATTCTACAAAGTAATGGACGGCGTAAGTCACCCATCATACATGTTTTCCTCTGCCTGCACTTTCTACTTACCAGCAAGATTCCAAATTTTGTAGTTTAGTGACTTGCTTGAACCAGGCGCCGTCCCTCCCTTCGATGACTTCCCAGTGCTATGGTATACTCCAGGAAAATGGCAGAGTGGCCTAAAGCAGACCAGACAGGACCGCCATGAGCACTGGACGAGAGCACGGGACACTGTCGACCGTCGACGAGCCAAGGGAGACAAGCGTGATTGCCTGATTGACGAGCAGCTCGATGAACGAGATGGCAAGGACTGGGCCTATCCGGAGGTCGCGTTCAACTATCTGTTCGGAGAAATTGTAGAAGGCGGAGCCGATACAACGGCGAAGCAGATCTTCACGATTCTGCTGGCATTGGCAAAGAATCCCGACTGCCAAAAGAAAGCACAGATGGAAATCGACCGAGTGTGTGGCATGGACCGTGGACCCCAGTTCTTGGATTTCGATGATCTTCCGTATGTCAATTGCATCGTCAAAGAAGCGTTTCGCTGGCGGCCAACGTAAGTAGACTGTATCTGACTTTATCGTCTCGTCCCTTCCAGGCACCACCTTTTTTTTTTTTTTTTTTTTTTTTGGCAAATGCTAATATTTTATCTGTTAGCGCACCTACTGGATTGCCCCGTATGGCCAACCAAGGTTCGCTTTCTTTCTTTTTTTTTTTTTTAGGGTAGCAAACACGCTCACAGGAATAGCACTGACTTGCTCCCGATCTGACAGATGACGAATACAATGGATATCTCATTCCCAAGGGCAGTACTGTGTTTTTGGGGATCTGGGCGATTCACCACCAGGAAAAGCACTATGTCGATCATGAAAAGTTCAACCCAGACCGTTACCTCAACCACCCCAAACTCGCCAATGAATACGCTTCTGCCGACTGGGAAGCCCGAGATAAGTGACCTGCCCTTATTGGTTTATTTGCGAGTAAACTAACGACTCTTTGCACATCATTATGGATACGGGGCGGGCCGCAGGATCTGCCCTGGCATCCACCTTGCCGAGAGAAATATGTGGAGAATCGTCGCTAAGTTACTCTGGGCATTTGACATCTTAGAGCCGCTTGATCCGATCACCGGGGAGATTCAACCACTAGATGAAAATGCGTATCACACCGGTGTTTCGGTGCATCCGCTACCATTCCAGCTGCGGATGATTCCACGCAGCGACAAGCATCTCGCAATGGTGCGGCAAGAGAAAGCCGAAGCTCTACAGTTCCTTTCACAGTGGGAATAGGTCATTCTTGGCCCCTAAGAAGCAGAGGGGATGAGAGGGGGTAGGAGGGGGGCGAGAGGTACCCGACCGGTTAGCAAGTAAGGTAGCGCAACATGGAGGCAGAATCCTTGTCAACGCGGGAGAATGCAAATCGTGTATATTGTAAACACCAATAATTTCTATATTCCCTTTTTTTCTTCCGTTTTCCTTTTTCTTCTTCTCGGGGCGAGTGTGCCCGAGTCTGGGAAGAGGTCGAAGGGTCACCACTTCAAGTACTCCATTTTCCCATCCCAGATATCGGGCTCTGGTGCATCATATGGTCTGTGCAATCCACGTGGATTCAAGGAGACGGAGCTATGAGCACTCAGTAGCACCGGAACGCCGAGTGTCAGCCTCCCTCTGTGAAAGCAGCTCGTGGCCGAGACTTTCGGTTGTACAAGCGATGGAGCTGGTGTGGTCTTTTTCCGATCATGGAAATTGCGATGGCGCATTTAGCCCAGACTACAGCCTATGGGAGTCACGCATTATTGGGGGTGACTTGGAGCGATTTGCCGACCAAGCGTACTGTCCGGGGTTAGAGGGGGTTCTCGAGATTTGCGGGGGGCACTAGTGCCTGATCCTGTTGCCAATAAGTTCCAAGGACAGACTGAGAAAAAAATTTTTCATGCTCATATTTTCTTTTATTTTTTGTTCTTCTGGCTGCCGGAGCTATTGCATTTGGGAAGGCCAGATTTATCCTGGTAATAGTTTTTGATTACTTGCGATACTCATTCTGGTTGTTCTCCGGGCGGGGTGGCCTTAAGGTCGCGTGTCTATTTTGAAGACAAGTGGCACCCCTAATCGACAGTGAGGGCCCCCAAGAAGCGACTGGCTCCTTAACGACGCGCGGTCTTGGCTGGTTTCAAAGTCGTGAGGGGTCGATACTCGACAGAAACTCCCTCGGCTCCGAAAGTAATCACGGGGCCGTTGATGGAGACTGTTTAGGGGCGAATACTCCAGGTACGCGATGCTCTGAAAGACCAATCTGTCGGGATAGAGCGAAGTGGGGACGCGGACTCGCTGATTCAAGGCTGATTTGGGAATAGTTCGTACGGTTGGAACCTGGCCCACTCCTATTGCTTCCTCAGAGACCCGGATTTACTCTCCTGTGTGAGATGAACCCAAAGCCTCACGTTACAAGGATGAGGCGGTTCATTCGGCATTCGAAGCAGGGTTGACAAAAATCGAAAGTAAGATAAGTAAATGAGATATGTGGATTTCATGATCTGCGGATTTCATTGTTACACGCAGGCTTACGGGCCGAATATACCCTCTTTGAACCTCTTTGGAAGGGCTTCCAACTTCCGTAAATGAATAATTTGACTCTGAAAAAGGCTGACCATGGCAAGCCAGGACTATCAACCACTTTTGATCTATATAATTGCAACGTCAGGAGCTGAACATTGAGGCAGCGTTTCCGACTGTTGATTAAATCATCGCGGGCGATTCTCGAATTTCACAGCTGGTTTTGACCCCACGATGTCTGCCACTGACTCAGTAGATGGAATGGTTGGTGCATATACCGGCAATAACTATGTTAAAGCACTCACCTTTACGACATTTCTCGGAATTGCACTCTACAACTCAGTGGAACTTGCGATACTCGTTTTTGCAACATTCCAGTGCTATCGCGGGCTTTATTTCTGGAGTCTACTGTTGAGCGCGTTGCTTGGAGTTGTTCCACAAGCCGTCAGCTTCATCCTCAAATATTTCATGCTGGCCCCGCTCGCACTTTCGCTCACCATCTCTACTATCGGGTGGTATTTCATGGTGACCGGCCAGGCCATTGTGCTCTACTCTCGACTGAATCTCCTTATCAATGACCCCGTCATTTTGCGTCGGGTTCTTATTATGATTATCACCAACGCCGTGATACTACATGTACCAACAACGGTGATCACCTACGGTTCGAACTTTGTCGGCAGCCCAGGCTGGAGCACTGCCTATCCAATTATGGAACGAATTGAGCTCATGGGATTTTCCATCCAAGAGGCTATTATTTCGGGGCTCTATGTCTTGCAAACCGTGCGAAACCTACGCCTTATTCCACCAGGCTCTCGCATGCACCGCTCACATCGTGCTGTGCTATACCAGGTTATAGCCAGCAATTTGCTGATGGTATTGCTTGATGTAATCCTCTTGGCAATGGAGTATACCAACGAATTCGTTTACCAGACCACTTTCAAGTCTGTCGTCTATAGTATTAAACTGAAGCTAGAGCTAGCAATGCTTAACCGCCTTGTCACTCTCGTTCGACCTGTACAGTTCTTTCCCGAGTTTGAAGGGCAAATGAACAGATGTTCCAATATTCCTCATGAGCTTACAGACTTTAGCGGGTTTACTCGAGTGGTTTCTAGCGACACGGAAACAAGATGACCGCCGAGCTGAGAAGGGTAGGTGCCCCTGTGTCGCGTTGAGTAGGAAAAAAACTGACCAGAGTATTGCTTAGGATTAATCTCATTTCTTATGACAGAAAATTTTGACACTGGCCGGACATTGTTTCGCGTGCAACCAGCTAACAGAAATCCTCCAGAACAGATGCTCCCGTGTAGATCGCGTACTGGAAAGCGGAGAAAGTGGAGTTTTCTGCGCCTCGCGGCAAATCAAGTGGAGTCCAATGATCGTCACGTGCGTGGCGGTGCAGCACCGGGGAATGATACCTGAGGCCACCTGATAAGCCCCGTCTTGTCCCGCGTCATCAGGCACTCCGCATCCATCATCTTTACACATCTCAGTTGATTTCCATCCTCTGACTGTCAGCATGGCGCCTGCAAATGGGCACCTGCTGCTCCCCAAGATGTGGAGAGCAGCAAGGTATGTTGTCTTTGCCAGGCCCTCACATTGATCTGAGTCATCCGCTGACACCAGTGTCGTACATAGGTTTGCCTACGAGAAGGCGTTCAGGGCCATCAGAGCCAAATTACCTGAGCCTACACAGCATCCCTCACTGCATTACCAGCCGGCATACGCACGCATTAACTCCCGGCACCCCATCAATCGGGTGGCTGCTATCCGTCAGGCCCGGAGCCGCTACTTCTCTACTCGTGCGGCCGGGGCCTTTGTCTCGGCTCTCCGATCTGGGGTTCAAGCCGATGCCAACGCCTACAAGGCTACTCGCATTGCTTCCAATATCAGTCGCCTTACATCCCGAGCCCCATTTGCCTCCACTCTTCGCCCCAACCTGACCGGTGGAACCCTGGGACGGACTGCTGGAGGATATGCGGTCGGGGCTGGCCGTTTTGGGGGAGCCCGCTACTTCTCCCATGGACCCGCAGCTCCTGCCCAAGTAATTCAAAATGTTTCTCAAGGCGTACGGGCTTTCTTCCTGTCGGGCCAAAAGTCCGATTTGATGGCATTGACCCGCACACCGGAGAGAAGCGGTACAAGGCCGTCAGTGCCCTTCAAGACCAGGCGAGCCGTACATTGCATGCTGCCCCGTTCAATGCTCCTGGATCCTACGTCGACTTTCAATTGTCTCCGACCATCACAGCTCTTTCTGGACTCCGCTCCTTTGGCCAGAAGTCCAGAAATGAGACTCTGAATTCCGATGGCCTTATGGATATGCTGTCTGCGGATTTTGCCCGCGCACTGAAGGATTTCGCTACCGTGTTGAACGATCTGAAACGTATTTCCTCTTTGGGTAACCTGCCAATTCATCTACACGATCAATCAACGATTCGTGTACAGTTCCCTGGTTGTGACGCGGAAACCGTTGAACGCCTCTGTGATGAAGTGGGCGTTCAAAGGGGCCGAATCTTTCAGGATGAAGATTTCAATCTTCGTACTGGAGCCGATCTCGCATTGCTTTTCCCATTCGCGCCCAGCCGTGTTGCTTCTTCAGATACGCAGAACTACTTTGAGACAATCTCAAACTCCGAGACTCAGGTGTCTGATGACGAACTTGATTGGCGTGACATGATCACGCCAGAATCTGGTAGTCCATTTTCACAGGATTCCGCTCGGGATGCTACAAACAATCTCAGCTTCGAGGACCCAGAACTATTCGGTAGCAACCCGTGGAATTCCTCTCGATCAGCATATTCGAGCATCAACATCAGTGACCTCGGTGACCGCGTATTCTTCCCAGATGATTCTAGCGCTGGTTTGCCGGAGACTTCCTCGGAGCATGATGGCGTTGAAGGGATTTACAATTTCCTCGCCGAATGTGACCGGGCCCGTTTTTAGACTACCCGCCCTTATCCTTCGTTTGCCGATGTTTTGCTTCTCATATTCCTTTTATTTTATTCTGATTTGATTGTTACATTTTTCTTGATCTTGGCCGAGGAGACCAGATCTTCCATAACGATAGCGCGATACCACTCCACTCACTTGATATTTCCTTTTTTTTTCGTGATGATCTGCCTTGATATTTGGTCAACTTTTCGAGCCAATATAAATCAATTTGAAGTCTTACTGAAGCCTAATCGTCCTTGGTAGTAAATTGCACCGACATTTCAAGAAAAAATTCAAGTAACAACTCAACAGTCCATGTCTCCACAGTCTAATTGACCGTGAAGAAGCTAATCCCCAGATTACCCCACTGGCGCCCAGCCACCTGCCGCCACGTAGTAAATGGCGCTCCATGGATAACTACAACATCAAATTTGAGCTCCGAAACTACTTGAAACACTACATACGATGGTTCCGTGACTAAAAGGTCCACAAAGTTCGGCCAATAGGCCGTGCTCAGTATAACATAATTGTTCGTATGGCTCTTTCTCCCAAACACTCCAGCCGGGGTGATGATGATCGACAAATTATATCCGTTTCTGTGACGGGGAGTCGGGCCCGCGCGAAACAGGCTTGGCCAGTACATGTTTTACTATTCCTTCTTGGCTAATTGAATGCCACTGCATACATGACTTTTGCCGTAGGTAAATGGCGAATCCAACTCCCTACTCCTATCAGGGTCCTCAGGCACAAAGACCCTAGATCCTGATCTGATTTAGGCATGGATGGCTTCGGCAGCCGGGTTTTGATGCCGGGATGGCGTCCGCCACAGAAGCGAGGAGGAAAAGTATTTAATGCGGATTGAAGACGTCCCAGTTGATTGATTGTTGTGAAAAAGGCTTGCTTTCCAAATCAATCATCCAGGAAACGACATCAAGAAATTGTCATAGTCTCCGCAGGCGCTCCAGGTTTTCAACATGCGATACACGCTCTGCTTTATGCCATTTCTGGCTCAGTCAGTTGTAGGACTTGTGGTTGGAAGAGCGACAACGGCTTCAGGTGCTGCCACCACTGCTGCGGCTTCTGGGAATCCATTCTCCGGTTACCAGCTCTATGCCAATTCCTATTATTCATCTGAAGTCTCTGCCTCTGCTTTGCCTTCAATGACCGGGACAGCTGCTGCTGCTGCAAGCTCAGCTGCGGAAGTGCCCTCATTTTACTGGCTGTCAGTGGTCATTTGCTCTATCTTCTAAGAAATGCTATGCTAACTATTATCTATGTCCTACATAGTGACACCGCGGACAAGGTGTCGACAATGGATGATTTCCTTTCTGACATCCAAACACAAAACAATGCTGGCGCTAGCCCTCCTATCGCCGGAATTTTCGTCGTGTATGACTTGCCAGATCGGGACTGTGCTGCTCTTGCTAGCAACGGTGAGTATAGCATTGCCGACGGGGGTGTTGCTAAATATAAGACATACATCGACAACATTAAGACTACCCTCACAAAATACTCTGATGTGCACACTATTTTGGTAGTTGGTAAGTCTAAGGGCGTTTTTTTGTAAGATTTGGTTTTACTTTTTCAGTTCTAACTATTTCAACAGAACCCGACAGCCTGGCAAACCTGGTCACCAACATGGCGGTCTCTAAGTGTGCGAATGCCTATGATGCTTATCTGGAATGTGTCAACTACGCTGTCACAGAACTGAACCTCGATAACGTGGCCATGTATTTGGATGCCGGTAAGCGGATCTTAATAATGATTGAAATGAAGCGCTGACAATAAACCTTTCCTAGGACACGCCGGATGGCTGGGCTGGCCCGCCAATCTGAGCCCTGCTGCCACGCTTTTCGCTCAGGTATATAATAATGCCTCTCAGCCAGCAGCACTTCGCGGCTTGGCCACTAATGTTGCAAACTATAACGGCTGGTCCTTGGATTCTTGCCCTTCATATACCTCCGGCGACTCCAACTGCGACGAGAAGAAATATGTCAATGCAATTGCTCCCCTACTCCAGAGTGCTGGATGGGATGCCCACTTCATTACTGATACCGGTATGTGCCTCCATGCATGTCAAGATGTCTATAAAGCTCCAACGTGCGTTCTGATTAATACTTTCTTTTTCATCAGGCCGTAATGGCGTCCAACCCACTGCGCAAAACGCATGGGGTGATTGGTGCAACGTGAAGGGCACAGGTTTTGGTGTACGTCCAACGACTGACACCGGTGATGACTTGGAGGATGCTTTTGTCTGGGTCAAGCCTGGTGGTGAGAGTGACGGCACTTCTGACACTACCTCATCCCGATATGATGCCCACTGTGGTTATAGTGATGCTCTTCAGCCCGCACCTGAGGCTGGTACCTGGTTCCAGGCAAGTCCTTTTCTATTCAAAGCCTGTCTAACTTCGACTAACTGACTGCTTCTTTTTCTAGGCCTATTTTGAACAGCTCGTGGAGAACGCGAATCCGTCTTTCTAAATTCTGAGACTGTAACAGAGGAAGATGAAATGTATATATGAGTCATTCATTTATTGCATTAAATACAGTGGAGCAGCTTGATCTTGCATCTGATCTATTCATTCAAGGAAAATAATGGTCTAACTCATGCTAATTATCGTCATGGTAAAACGGGGGCTTTTGCTACGGCATCTGTGTATAAATCATACCGCCAGGTGTAGGGCGCTGAAGGAAATCTTCTGGGGGTTTTTCGGGAAGCTGATTTTCCTCGGCCCATTGACGCACATCCTCGAAGTTCTTGCATCGATGCCGGGTATTGAGATCAAGAAATGGTTCTGGGTTCTCCGGGTATATCCAGACATGGCCCAAAACGCCTGTATCCACGGTACACATGAGTTGATGGCGGAGCACGTCGAGGCAGTGTGCTATGAAAAGTGATGCATTAGCCTGCTCTCAAGAATCCCATCTCATTGATTCCAATACATACAGACATGATGCCGAATAATGTAGTCGTTCTTTTCAAAAAGCCCCTCCTGTTTTGAATGATAGTAGTCGTAGTTATAATATAGCGATTGGCGGAGAAGGTTCTTCAAATAGATTAGCGCAGTTCCATTTGAGGATGTAGCGAGTGATTATGCACCAGGCAATGGAGATGATGAAGTCCCTCAACATTTGCTAGATACCCTCCACCATATTTCTCTTGAATTCGAACTTGGTCCACAGCAATACCTGACTCTATCGCCTCTTCCTTTGAGACCCGAACCCCTTGATCTGGAGATGAGTGCCAGTTAGCGAGACCTTCCGGTATAGGACACGAATAATGATTACAATTCACTCCTAATGATTCCCATGCCGCATCAACGTCTGGACCGGCATCTTGTCGGAAAATATTTTCTCGAAGAAGAGAGCCGTTGAAATCTTCTAGATGGTACGATATTCCCACCTCCTTTATGATCGGGGCTAAGTAATCCTTCGTCAGTGAAGTAACAATCACAAGTTACTATATTCTCAAACCCACAATACTGAGAGACATGTTGACTGCAAAGACCGTCTAGATCACCTCGCCAAAAGAACCCAAGCAGGGTTCCCACGAGGAAGAAGATTCCTAGTAACGTAAACTGAAGCAGGCTGGATGCCAAAGAGTGACAGCCGTCAGTTTCGTAGTCTCCCGACCATATTTGACCTTGCTCTTCTGCCAGAAGTCGCTCGTTTTCTTCATAGTCCGGATCTGTTAGGTCGGGCGACGGGTCTTTGAGCATCTTCAATTTGGAAAACATGGAGGAATCGAGTATGATTGAAACGGGTGGACTACCGGGAAGCAATCGAAACCCAATGATTCAGGCTTTCCTCGTTCAAAGGGCTGGGCATCTTGGACTATCTAGTTTTGATGCCGAGTGTGACTCTCGGCCGTCTAGACCGCAACTCCCATTGCATGCCATGCATTCCTTGAGTAATGCGGCTTTTACACTATCAACCACTCAGAATATCCAATTCCTTGTAAGTCGAATTGACGCAATGCCTCCCCTGCATGTCTCACACGTTTTTTTACGATCCCATGAGCACCTCAAAGTCGTGGTGCATGGTTGACTGAAAGCCACCCCAGAGAAGGCTGGCGCCCATGCGAATTGGCGAGACATCAGAAAGCGTCCACGGGGATATGGCGTAACAATGTCTTGTTAGATCTCCATTGATCTACAGATATTTACTGCTTTAAGCTTCAAATGATCGACTGGAATGCGTCTATACCCCTTGAGGGCGCGATCGACGCGCGCGACAGCCTATTTTATGCAGCTTCATGCGAGGTTCATAATGGCTATTATGTAAACTCAGATGGCTGCAGAGATGCTGTACTGTAAGACATAAAACGCAGGGAATTGAATTCGCTCATACTTAGAAGCTCTTCACAGCCCTCTGAAATCATCTTGCAGGTTTTGCTCTTCTGACCCTTTCTATCCCCCGCAAGGCAGAACGATTCCAGACTGCACGTTCGACAACCGTCCCTTGCAGCAACCGCCCAATGACCAGCGATACGTAATGGCGCGATGTACACACCGAGCTCAGACATCGCTGTATGTACTAGAGAGAGAGAGAGCTATCCAGGAGCTGTAGTCGACTACGTAATTTGATGAGGTGAAGCTCTCCCAGCTTGCCCAGCTCCCGTCAGCTCAAATATAAATACAAGCTCGAATCATCCGGTTCTAGCTGTTCTCCATCTCAAACCAACGCATCTCTCGAGATCTCAAGACGTCGAGAGCCAAAGAAAAATTAAATATCAACTTGTTTTCCCTCATAACGAGTTATCATTCTCACAATGCGCTATACCCTGATCAACGGCCTTCTCCTCCTGGGCATCTCGCCTTTGACCTCACTCGCCCTTCCCGTGGACCCCAATGACCAAGGCGGCGTCTGGGACCCCAGTGGCCAATACCGAAAGGGTCACTATGATAGCAATGGAGACTTCATCCCGAATGAGCAAGGCCAGGTTGGATGGAATGAAAATGGCCAGAACTGGCAAAACGGCCAGAACTACCAGAATAGTCAAAATGGCTACTATGATCAAAATGGCCAGTGGCGCTCAAACACCTGGAACCAGAACAACAACAACAATAACAACAACAACAACAACTGGAACCAGAATGGCCAGAATGGTCAATACAACCGTTGGCAGCGTCGGTCTCTGCCTGGGCAGCCTTTGAATGCCGAAGAGCTCCGCAACCACGGAAACCTGGGAGTCCCGGGCGTTGGCCTTCCCGGAGTGGGCGTCCCTGGAGTTGGTATCCACGCTCGCAACTGGCCTTATGATGGGAATAACCAAGGTGGCTGGACCGATACGAATGGACAGTGGCACTCCAACAATAACAACCAGAATAGCCAGGCTGGATGGACTGATGCGAATGGTGTTTGGCACTCGACAGACTACTCCCAGGGCTGGACAGATGCCAACGGCATTTGGCACCAGAACCCAAACACTCAGAATCAGAACAACCAGGGTGGTTGGACTGATGCTAATGGCCAATGGCACGCCAACCAGAAGCGTGGACTTCAGCCAACTCCTGCCAACTTGGCCGATCCAAATGTCCTGAACCAGGCCCAGGCTGCTGCCTCTCTCAATGATGCTACCCGTGTGGCACATGTCCCACGCCACTATCCCAATGATCGCTACGACGAGTACGAGCGCGAGCGGGAGCAGGATCGTGAGGAAGATCGTGAGACTGCCCTGGATGTTGCCTCTGCTATCATTCCTCGTTGGTGGCCGTTCACCGACAGCAACTGGAACCGTAACGACAACTGGGACTCGAACAACAACTGCGACCGCAATGACTGGAACTGCCGCAATCGTTACAACGACAAGTGCAAGAATGGCGACTGGAACGACCGCTCTGGCTGGTCTTGCCGCTCTGACTGGAGCCGTCCTACACCCTCTGCCCGTGTCTATGCTCGCAACTATCCTCAGGATCAAAACAACTGGAACAACAACAACAACCACCAGGACTACCCCCAGGCGACCTCTTCTGTCAACTACAAAAATGAGCACCAAGACAAAGACCTCAAGGTCACAGGTGGTGAGCAGGAATAAAGCGACACTCGGTATAATACAGAACTTAGGGACTCAGATTGGCGGAGGAAATCCCGGATCCGGCATGCTTGAATGGTTTTATGCGCTTGATGCTTATGTTTACGCTGATGTTGACGTTGATGATTTAAATGAGAACACGAACTGCATACGCTCATTGATTTTTGATTTGAATAATTGAAACGGAATCTATTGGAAAGGATGTTGCCAGTGGGAAACAGTAGTTAGTCAGGGTTAGATAGAGCTAGCTCGAAGAGAATGAATGCCATTGAGTTTTTGATTGAAACTGAAATCCCCACTTAATGACTATAAGTAGATCCTATATCGCCCCATTTTATGTTTGAAAAAGTAACTGATGTATCAGGGTGCTGCGCTTGAATGAGTGCAGGGTTGCCCTCTGTGCTATTACACGGTCCCGCGCTCCCACTATCAAGCCAATTCATGAACGCGCCCGAGTCATTCCAGATGCTGAAAATCAATACCATACCGCGACCAATTGCCTTGCCCATTTGCTTCAGTCCTCCCATCTGCTCAAAATAGCTAGCGGACTCGGAACAATAGTCATCTGTGATAGAATCGATTTCACTGCCGGAAACAGTGACCACGGCGTTCTGAATGACTTTACCACCCTGGACATAAAGCCGTCTGATCTCTGACAATACACCTCCAGCAGTGTGGCTATCAGTCAAAAATTGCGTTACGACGGTGAATGGTTTGGTTGTGTCGACTGCCTGTTGATAACCATAGTAGTTGTGGTCCCCCAGCGCATACGGATTGTATCCACATCCTGACTTATCACAAACACCACTGCTACCACAAGAATCGCCGGTGCATTCATACAAGCGTGAAATGTTGCAAGCATGAGGTGTATAGGCTGTAGCGCGAGCATTTGCTTCCCAAAGATCCATTTCATTGCAGCAAGATCCGGCTGAGTCGATGTTGGCGACACCATTGATCCACGGACTGACACCACACTGCGCGTCGCAGTACCCAGTGCCATATTGAGAACCGGCAGGGTTGAGCTCGCTTCGCCCACCTGTTTGAAGCATCTCTGACAAGTAAAGTGCGCCATTCATGCCGCAGACGAGCGAGGATACATCCACGTCAAAGCTAATCTCCTGATTTAACAACTTCAACATGTCATAGTTCTTCCCAGTCTCGTCCAGCAAGTATACTCGGGGCGAGACAGAGCTGACGGCTCCGTTTGTTTTCATGTATTGATGGAGTACCAAGCTGCCACCCTTTGTGCTGACTCCATGGCTGGCATAGTCAACACCTTCCAAGACACAGTTTTTAGCGCACGATTCTTCTGTGGCACAGAGGGTCGGGTTCAAGCCACTATCCCAGTCTCCACATGAAACACTGCTATTGCCGACTTCATGAAGAGGGTGTGATAGTGCATCTAGAACTACTGATGTCTTCTGCTGAATGCAACCTCTTTTAGTGGTGCATTTCCATGTTTGAAGCTGAGGGTGGATCTCGGGAATAGATCCAATCTGTTGAGCCGTGGCTAAGTGGATGAAGGCCGCTGTTGCGGCTAGCAATGTTCGTGTCATTATTGAAATGAAAATGAGGCCAATGAGTGCACGACGAGACTTGAGTGACACCAGGGAATATATACGGCGTAAGAATGTATATTATTTGCATTCGGGGCTTCAATCTCAGGTGGAAGGGGTATTTGTGTTCTAAAAACTGTTTCAAATTGAGGGGAAGGGTCTCTTCTGTAAAAACGACAAGAGCTTAAGGCCACATCGCACAAGGCCAAATGACCGTATCGTAATGAGATCGGCCCGATGGTCCGACAAGGACCGCTAAGGGCGATAAATGGAATGTCCAATATGGTGATCTGTTTACTTCCCCGCATTTGGTGTTGCCCCTGAGGAATTTAGCCGCGAACGCGTAGTTTCCAGCCACTAGAGTCCACAATTGACATCCACGTCAGGTACAGAGTTTAAATTTCCTATTCCTTGAGTTCTGTGCAAAAAAGAAAATTATTTTCAAAGTCTCAACTGGCTCATGCTCAGTTATAAAAAGTAGGGATCTTGTAAGATGTGGAGTAATTTAGCTGTCCAGAGAGACTGGCTTTCAAATTGCCATTGTCAGAATCGGTGGTCTACCGGAATTAGAGAATCTCTGTATCAGTGATAACAATGGTATATGTGCTTTTTAATAATCAATATTGTTGCATTTTGCCACCTGGCTTGCTTTTCTTTCGGTAACAGTTGAGAAAAGCAAAAGGGTCACCAGCCATCGCCTTGTGCCCTCCCAGGTTCCCCTTTGAAATTACTATATGGCCTGCAAAACAGGACCCAGAAGCCAGCTCGATCACGACTGGAAGTTTTTTTTTCAAGTAAATTTTCTATTTTATTGATTAGAAACAGAGCATCCTGTATAACTGGTTAATGATGAATTCAAATTTCGGCTCTTGTACCTATCCAACTGAACGCACAGCTTGATCCCTGACATCCCGTGAAGGGGGAAACTCTACACCTGCAATTCCAAGGGCATCTAGGGATCCAACCCTGACCGAAGATCCCTTGCTACAGGTAAATTGGAGATTTTAAATAATGAAAAAAAATTAGAAGACAGAGGGAAAAAAAACGGTTTTCCACTTTAGATATACCTAAGACTTGTGTTAATGACTTTGCGGCCATTGGCTTCATGCCAGGCCTAAATGAGACTAGTTTTTGAGCCTAACGAAGATCTAGAGAATAGCCACTCGGAGGATGGAGATATAGATTCAGAAATAATAGTACAATTAGCTGGGTTGAGCTTTTTGATTTCATGACCTTGAAATTGCATTCGAAATTTCTGTCACCTTAATGCCCAGAAAACCTCTATTAATTGCTTCATGTAACAAGCGACCGAAAAAAAGCTTCAGATCATCTTAAAAACTATCTAATGAAGTCTATTCTAAATTCTTCCATTTCTTTGCGTTACAAGGATCGAAATCCAATGTCTAGGCCAGCTATTTGAGTGGCAGGGTTAGGAATGTTCTCTTATAAGAACGCGAAATGTCCTTCGCCTTTCATGAACATTTATTTCCTATCCGGTTGTCTCTCTGGAAAGTGCATCTCTGCTATGTATTCTTTATTCACGTTGCCGTTACTATTGGGTGGTTCCTTTGCAGCCAATGCGAATTATTGTCCGCTTCTCGGGCCAGCCTTTCCTGCTCCCACAGAGATCGGCACGGACCCAACATTCCTGGCAGCAACAGAGAACCTTACCGCAACTTTCACTGAAGGTATTCACTCTGGAGAGTACTCTGGTGACTCCATAGCGATACAAATATTTAGCGGCAATGATGCGTATTCGGCATATACTCTCTCCCATACTGACTCTTCAATACGAAATGGATCAATCGGAGTTCAAGAAGTTGATGAAGATACCGTGTTTCGCATTGGTAGCATCTCCAAATTATGGACGATGTTGCTATATATGACTTTCAATGGCACAAGATATTTTGAGGAACCCATTTCAAAATATGTACCTGAGTTACGATCTCGGTTGAATCAGACACAACGGAACATCCAAATCAACAAGGTGAATTGGGATGAAGTGACAATTGGTGAACTTGCGAGTCATCAAGCCGGTATTCCAAGAGATTGTATGTGTTGATCTATCATATATGGAACTGCTGTTGCTAATTGCACATGGTAGATGCGTTTATGGATCTAGCCTTCAACGCCAACCCAGTTCTTACTGCAGAAGGGCTCCCTATGTTGAACAAGACGGAACACCCTGCCTGTGGCAGCACATCTCCTTGCAACAGAAAACGTTAGCGTCACTCAAATGATTTCCTCCATCTACATGCATGTCAGCTAACATAGATTGAAGAATTTTTTGACGGCTTGCTGGATCTGCACCCTCTGGCCCCGACCTCTTCCACGCCAATCTACTCAAATGCTGGTTACCAGATTCTAGGATACGCCCTCGAGACCATCGCTCAAAAGCCTTATCATGAATTACTTATGGAAAGAATTATCAAACCCCTCAATTTGACCAGATCCAGCTATGATATCCCACATCCACATGTCGCCATTGTCCCATCTACCTTGGCAACAAGCGGATTTAATTTATCAATCGGCGATGCCGGCCCGTAAGTAGAGAATAGCAATATTTGCATGGCATGAGCTGGGTGACTGACAGATTTTTTTTAAGTGCCGGTGGTTTATACTCTTCTGCAAAGGATCTGGCTACCCTTGGCCGCGCTATCCTGGCCCACACCTTGGTAGACCCTGCTATGACAAGACGTTGGATGAAGCCAGCCACTCACACAGCATCGCTGCAGTTTTCGGTCGGACACCCCTGGGAAATTGTTTCCTTTGATGATCCTCGGCTTATGGATCTATACACAAAATCGGGAGATATTGGAGAATACTCAGCCGTGATTGCTCTATCTCCCGATCACAATATTGGATTTACTGTTCTCACAGCCGGCCCATCAAGCAGCAGTACCTCCCAGATAATTGCAGAGAAAATAGCGGATAAAATGCTTCCTACTTTTGAGAAAATTGCGGAGAACCAAGCCAGACAGCGGTTTGCCGGGACATACGCTCTTAAAGACGGGGTCTCCAACTCATCAATTAGCATCGTTGCAGATAATGGCCCTGGGCTGAAGATTACTGAATGGATCAGCAATTCAGTTGACATGTCTCAAGTCTTTGTGAAGAACCTTCAGCTCACCGATTCATCACTCTTAAGTATGAGGCTCCAACCAACCAGCTTAGAAGGCCCGAATCGGGCCTCGTTCTCAGCTGTAATCCAAGGCCTGAATGCCAAGAAAGGCAGAGGAGCTATTCTTTCGGCCTGCCAAACATGGCTCACTATGGATTCTTTTATTTACGGAAATGTTGGAATGCCAGAATTTGAATTCAATATGAATGGAGCTGGTGAGGTGGAGGGTCTGACACCTCGAGCGTTACGGTTTACGCTGCCGAAAGTATAGCGATTTAATAATTTAATGTTAATAACTCCTTTACCGCTTAATTTAATCCATCAAAACGATTGACTATAGAGCATTTTTCACGTTAGAGTCTCAAGCTAAATTGCTTCCAACTATAAAGACTGCCAACAACTGGCATTCTAAAGCCGTAATAATTCTTCAATATTAGATTTATCGAGGCAGCTCGAGAGCTAGGATTAGGGATAAATATCTAAAAATGAACATAATATCACAAGGTGGGGTACGTTTTCACCCATTACGGCTTTAAGGAGGGTAGGCCCCTTCGAGGACGACGCAAACGCTCTACACTATCCGATAGTAAGGATATCGTTCCCTCTCCGCCAGCTCAAAAGATAAAAGCTGATACGCCGCCGACTACGTCGTCGGAGAGGCGACCTACCGCTAGCGGGAAGTATATCTTGAGTACAGAGTAAATATTCGCATACTTCCAATATCCTAAGATATACTCCGACTATAATAAAGTAAGAACGCATTTCAGGATATCATATTTAACGGACCGAAGTGTAATCTTTGCGATTTGTCCGTCCTACACGAGATGCACTTGCGGAGGCATGCCGAGGGGGTCCATGGTCTTCGAACATGAGCGTCAGATTCTACTTTCCTGATCTTCCAGACCCCTGCGCCATTTCTTTGCTTCTCTATTTAGGAACAATTGGTGGAGCCATGGTTGAGTTGGTGACTATTTCATTATCGTCTGGGATCGTGAGAGCATATGACGGCCCATCAAGGGAGAAGGTTGCGAAGATGACGACAGTATTTCATGAAATGAAGCAGAATCTGGGTTAAGAACTTCGGGGGTTGTGCCATCTGAGCAGGAAATCTGCTGTAACAATCCCTCCGGAAATTGCGATCGTGTGGGATGAAAACTGGACTCCCAAATAGGAATCTTTGGTTGTACACGGTCTCTCCATTCCTGACCACGAACAGGTGACTGGAATGCCATTAAACAGACATAAAGCACTCTTGCAACAGAGGTTTTCGAGAGTCGAGAATTAACAACGCCATCCAAGTCCACCTCACGGCTCGGATCACATAAGAAATAGAAAAATGCAAGTCACCTTACTGAACATAGCGTTCACATGACTCGGTGCTCGATCCCGTGACACACGCGGAAATGCAGTTACGTGATAAATGACTCGATCCTTATCAGATAAGACAGGAGTTATCAGATAAGACATGAGAAGTCCAATGGGCTGATGCTTAATCGCTGGCTTCATGCACGGTACAAATTGAGAGCTGGTGATGACGTTCTAATTCCTCCTCCAATTGCCGGAATCTTTGCACGAGTGATATCATTTCGGGACGGGTCTTCCTGAGTAAGTTGTTCTCAAGTGACCTGCTTTTCGCTTCTATTGCTCTCTCGACCTCCTATGAAAGCCCAGCCGAAGACTCTTGGAACGCCAGAGTTTGCCAACTCGAGGGCGTGCACATCCTGCAGAGCACGCAAGACCAAATGTGATAGCACCCGACCTGAGGTGAGATGTCTTTGATAACTGCAAATGCGAGCATGGCGATCCGGAATTGACACCGTGACGCGGGTAGTGTGGGAACTGTCGTCGCCTAGGAATTGCTTGTGACTATTCGTCAACCGATGGACGAAAGTCACGTCCCACAAAGTCCGAAATTGGCGTGTTGAAAACCCATATTGCCTACTTGCAGTCCCAGCTCGAAGAGTCCAAAAGGACAGTCGATCGTTTGCAGCAAGGGCAATTTGTCACACAGGACGCGACTGTTGCGTCTCTCGCTTTCGTCGATCCACAATGCATGGCCAGCGAAAGTGCAGAGGCCTCACTTCATCAGCCAGCACAAGAGTGGGGGCTCGATGTGGATGTCGACGATTATTTTGATCCCCTAGATAAAGCCGCCCAAACTGATGCGAAAAGTCAGGGCTCATCTTCAAATCTCGCACAGCCTGACCCGATAGAAGCATTGTCCTCGGTCGTGGCCAAAATTTACTTGGATGAGTATACTGGCGAGTCCTACTATTTGGGACCGACGAGTAATCTCCACTTACTCGGTCTTACGCCCGACAGTCATGCCTCATCTGAGATGAAGTCTTCGCCATCTACCTACAGCCAAGGCTCTGAAAGTTTTGCTTGCCCGCCAGTGCCAGCAAGCCATTTGGCCCGAGTATTTGAAGCAAAGGTGTATGCGCATTTCCCCCTTTTCAGCAATTCTAGCACGGATCGTTTTCATGCCTTCCCTATGAGCTCTAGCTTGAAATTTCTCTCAGATCAGGTCCTCGCCATTGGTGCATGGTCCCTCGATGAACATGATTCATATTATGGCCACCGCACCTCGTGCATTGAATTCTTCAATAGGAAATTTCAAGAGTCTCTGAGCCATGAAATCAAGCATATCTCTTTGATCAGCGCTCAAGCTTTCCTGCTACGAAGCTACCTCCTTACGCTGAATGGTGAAGTTGGAACATCGACCGTTATGCTCGGTAAGCTCAACGATTAAAGCCAAAGATAGGTTGAAGAATGAAGCGCTAATCTATTAAGCGATCGCCTGCGCAATGGTGAAAAGACTTGGTCTCCACATCAATCCAATAGTTCATGACCCCCATGGTCTCGTCCTGAAACAAGGCACCAGTGCGGAGCGTGCTGCCACCTTTTGGGCGTGTTTTCAATTGGACAGGTTGGGATTTCCAGTACTTGACTTCCTTCTTGATTTCCAATTCGTGCTAACCATGACCGGCATCTGGTAGACAAATGGCCCTTTTGGAAGGCCGCGCATGTTATATGTTCGCAACTGACATACCGAGCTGCCGGCCATTCGATTCACTTCTGTTGAACACCCCAAGCATGTCCAATACCAGCCTCTCTTTAGAACTCGTCAATGCCTGCTACATTGAGTTTCTTCATTTGCAAGATGAAGTGCTTCGAGAAATGTGAGCTTCATATCATGGTTTAAAAAAAGCGACGTCGAAGAGACTGACCTCGGGCGAATAACAGCTACTCATTCTCAAACCCCGTCCCGCAGAATCGGGTTATCTCCGAGGGTCATTATAGATTCATGTCTTGGTACCATTCGTTGCCATCCTCTATACATGACATGAAGAAAGAATCAAATTTTCATCCAATTCTCTTATCATTTCAGTACGCAATCCGAAAGCCAGCCCGCTCAAGTGTGACACTAACTTCTACCCCTACAGCATGACGTTTCTCAACGGGGTGATTCTGCTGCACCGCCCAGATCTGCGAAAAGGGGATTTCGAGCGTAACATGGCAAATCAACATTGTAGGGATGCCGCCTTTCAGATCACTGCGATTCTCAAAACCCTTACCCAAACATTTGGGCATTCGATACCCGACTCTATGGTGGTGTATTCGACGCTATCGGCTGGCCTTATTCACATGATCGCTCTTCAGAGTACAGATGCCTCTTTTTATCGCCGTTCCTTGCGCGCATTGAAATCCATTATAAGTACATTGGCCCAAATGATGCCTCATATCGGCTATGCTAAGGTGGCATATGATGACCTGCGGAGTTTTGCGATGAAGTGGTCTCTATCTCCAGCGAACTCTCCGGCCTTCTGGTCGATATCTAACACTGATACATGCTGATACCTGTGTTGGTTATTACAATGTAAATTTTGAAGAGGCCTTGTCGTGTGTACCCAAGCATCGTCAATTCTGTCCATCTCATTGTTTTATGTAGTCTTCAGTATGGTTAGCTCTGTTATTATCACTTAGTCAAACAAGAAATTTATGTCTTCCAGCGATTTCTTAGCAGTCTCAGGCATCCAAAGAAAACAAACTGTGGCTAGGATAAGACTAAGCCCCCCAAAAAGAAACATCACATTATAGCCGATGGCTTTGAACAGAAACGGGCTGACCATGTTTATGAAGAATGAGCCAGTTGCCAGCCCAACAATTCCCACAGCACTGCCCCGGGATCTGGAAGAAGCTGGGAAAATCTCCGAAGGGTATAAGAAGGGACACCATACTAATAATTGTGAGCTCACGATAACAAGACAAACAGTTCGTAAAGCTAAAAAGTCACAGGATCACTTACACCATGTCATGCCAAAGACAGCACACCAAATCAGCGTCAAGGCTACGGTCACAGTGCCGTATGATTTTGCAAGGTCGGGATTGGTCACCTTGTTTTGGTAGACGAAGTAGCCACACATTCCAATGAGCATGAGGAGGCCCGATCCGATGCTCGCTCCATAGTACATAGCGCGGCGGCGGCCGATTTTATCAGCCAGAATGGCACCAGGAATGCCAAAGACGGCCTGTGTGAAGATGCTCACGCCAGTCAGGAGCGCTGCAGTTTGTGAAGACCAGCCTCCTGTTTCGAAGATTTGAATCCCATAACCAGTGACTATACCAACACCAGCCATTGCCTGGGTTCCAAACTGAACAAATAGGGCAGACCAAGTCCGCCGGGCTGTCTTGAGTTCATCCTGCTTAGTGAACATATCCCAATAGGTGGAGGAGGAAGCATTTTCAATCTCTCCTTGAATAGTGTCTCTGATCGTCTTCAAATTGGCCTCGACGATTTCCTCAACGGTACCAGCTTCCTCAGGCTGCTCTGCGCTCTCATATAGTAACAATACCTGCCGTGCCTCATCCACCAGACCCACCTGGGCCAGCCACCGAGGGGATTCAGGGATGAAATAGATCAAGCTCAGGATGATGATCACCCAGACCAGCTGAAATGCTAGCGGGAATCGCCAGATGACATCGCTATTTGCGTGCCCGGATAAACCATAGATAATGAAGTAAATCAGACCTGCTCCGCTCGCTGCGCAGACTAGTTGGGCTCCAATTACAATGCCACGGTATCGATGATGGACAGATTCGGCAGAGAGATTAAGCCCTACAGAATCGAAAGCGCCAGTGAAAACTCCGTTAAGAAGTCGCAGAACCAAGGCCCAGGAGAAGTTCTGCAGCGCCACCAGAATGGGAATGATGACGAGACCGTAGATTCCAGCGGTGACAATCGCCCGGCGTCGACCAATCTTGTCAGAAAGCCAGCCAGAGAACAAAGCACCTGCAACAACTCCAATCCAGTAGATGCTATTGACCACTCCGATCAAGACTTGGGTATGGTGATCACTCCCCGTAAGACCCACCTCCTCCAGAAAACCCGGCACGGAAGAAACGCTGCCCATCATGGCAACGTCTGGAGCAGATGTCAGAAATGGAAACCTGGTGAAGCTACGACGATCGGAAGGGGGAATGCGCACTGGTTCCAGACAAGAAGAAGACAAAGCCTCCCAGTGACACCACTGCGACCCGATACCAGGTCACAGGAAGGCCTTGATATAGGTGCTGGGGAGACGGCCCAGGCATGTATTTGGCCCAAGGTGCTACTTGGGATGCCTGGAACGTATCAATCGACCCGATGATCGACGGGGCCGGCGAGTCTTTCCCCTGCTCCATGACTCCCACGAGGTTTTCGGGCTTTCTAGGTTCTGTAGGAGGGACACTCATTGGCGCGGTTGTGAACAGTATCGAGCTTGCGTTTCCCATTCAATCCACGGACGGAGAGGGGGAAGCTTGCTTATGAGACATGCGCTGCCTTGCCTTCTATCTTTGCTGGATACTCATATCTCGCAGATGGCAACCACTGCGCATCGTCTCAAGCTTGCTGTCATGACTGTTACGCATGTATCAACCCGATACCGATGGATGGCTTATCGCATCCCGAGATATCGACCGGAGGTTGAAAGCCGGCCCATTCTCAGCTTCGTGAGTGGCCAGGCAAGCCAGATACCGGCGTTCAATCGTCGTCTATAATCAAAAATCTGTGTGCTTGGCATAAGTGCTCACTCCGGGGATTGAACGCCGGTGGATATCACGAGAAATCAGCGGAGACAATCCGGTCCCTTCACACCGTGAATTTTGATGAAGTAAACGGTGCCGCCACCACAACAAGGGCCAAATGTACAAATTGAAGAATATTGCGTTGTTTAAAACTTGCACTTGTCATTATTCTCAGTTCGAACATCTAGCATTCCACAATGGCCCAGATTCCCGTGCATGGTGATCCCGCTCAGCCAGTCAAAGCTGCTGTGGTCCAGGCCGAGCCATGTTGGTAGGAGCCACTGAACCTGGCCACTTGCACAAATGAGGCCGACTAATACGACCTATCTTTCTAGGTTCGACCTCGACGCTGCGACCGACAAAACGTGTGCGCTTATTGCTGAAGCTGCGTCGAATGGCGCCCAGGTTATCGGCTTTCCCGAACTATGGATCCCCGGTTACCCGACCTTCATCTTTGGTCACAAAGCGAACGACATGTACGACTACTGCTTGAAATACTATCGCCATGCGGTAGATGTCACATCTGAGCAGATGAACCGCATCCGATCTGCTGCCCGCGCTGGAAACATTATGGTGATCCTGGGCATTGCGGAGCGCGATAAGGGGAGTCTGTTCATGGCGCAAGTATTCATTGGTCCTGATGGCAACATTCTACTTCACCGGAGAAAGTTCAAGCCAACCAGCTTGGAAAGAGTTGTATTTGGCGATGCGGTCGGTTATAGTCTTTGAATCTCCACTAGAACAGCGATGCTAATGCGCCTAGCTTGATAGTCGGGAGACTGTACCACAAACGTTGTTCAGACGCCCATTGGGCGTATTGGTGGATTGCAATGCTTCGAGCACCTGCAGCCTTTGCTCAAATATCACTCCTACTTTCAGGGTGAGCAGATCCACGTGGCATCGTGGCCGATGCTATTCCCTCCAGTCGGCAAAGGGCCCTTTTTCAACACCGTAGATGCATGCCGTATGGCTACGCACGTCTACGCCATTGAGGGCGGCGCTTTTGTTCTCTTAGCGTCCCACACTCAGGGAGAGAGTGGTTTGAAGGCCAACGGTCTGATTATGCCGGATCAGTCGCAAGATACAACGCCTCATGTCTCCACTCTCGGGGGTGGTTTCTCCCAGATTATCGCCCCCGACGGTCGATCTCTGACAGAGCCTGTAGATCCTACCTTCGAGGGTTTACTCTATGCTGACCTGGACTTTAACGAAATCTACTACGCCAAGAACATTGTTGACCCTGTTGGACAGTACTCGAGGACTGACTTATTTACTCTGCAGGTGGACAACAGGGTCAAACGCCATTGTGTTTATAAGGGAGAGGAGAATGACGCCTACAAGCATGCCTCGAGATACCCCGATTTGAAATCCGAGGAAGTAGTTAAAGCTTTGGAGTCTACTTGAACGTGATAGATCAGACCCTATGTATGATTGGAATACTAAGCTCTTTCCAAATGATGTATGTATGACTTACTAGGGCCTTCAGTTTGAGAAAAATCCAAGTATACTAGTCGAAACAACCAGCAAGCCCATGCTTCGTAGAAAAAGGCATTGTGGATAGAGTGAAGAGTCTGAATTAGCGTTTCATAGCACTATTTTGCAAGCAGAAGACATTCAGCAACTGCACAGATTCAACGAGAAGAAGCGTCAAAACCGCACACGTTCAAATGGCCAGAATTCTAGACGGCAAGGTTTGACGGTCGGTGAATCTAGATCCCTGATTTCAACATTGCCAGTAAATATTGAAGCTATTCAAAATGGTGCTACAGAGCCTGCCTACCAGCCTATTAAGAGCGCTGAGCCTACTACTAGGCGTGATTTTCGGTGTTCTGGGTATGGTAATATAGGGCATAAGATCAATCAATGTAATGCTAGATAGATCGAATCAAATATATGGTGTTATTATGGAAACATTATGCTTTCAAAAAGTAGTAGGTGATGGGGTGTCCGACTCGCTAGTGAATTACGTTAACGGTGTGTAGTTAACGAACTATAGTGTGATTTATTTCACATAATACCGTCTGGATCTCCCTTTTGAGAAGGTGGAGTATGAAGGTTGTGGTGGCAGGAGTTTACGTGGGCCAGGAACTTCGCTTGAGCCAGGGGTAGGAGATAGGTATTGGTGAGGTCAGGGTAGAATTATAATCAGACTATGGAGGCTCACATTGTCAGGTTAATCAAGTGAAACCTCTATTAACTAAGGGTCAATCGCCGATGAAGTGATCGCTCCGCCACTAAGATTCAAGAGTGACCATGGGATATTTCCCTTGTTCGAGAGTTGGGAGACCCTGTAACAGCGGGTATTGATCTTACCACCGCAAATAACGATTGAGGAGAGCTTCCCAAAGGAAAGAGAAGCTGTTTCAACGAAGATGTGTAGAAGTTGATTCTCTCCCTATCGGAGATGCGAAGCTATATCCTGTAAAGACTGTGTACTAGGAAAGATATTCTCCAATCAAAGATTACCTATCGTCAGCCATTTTCCGACTACGCTGGTTTACAAAAAAGGAACGTGATCCATCGGGTTATAACACAGCCCCACAGCGAAACGTTAATTAATTGGTTGCGACCAAAACTAGGAGTGTAGGCTTAATTAAGACACCTATATCCTCTAAAAATAGATGTTGGGTGAACACGGGTATTTAATAAGACAGTCTGCGGATATATCTACGTAACACCTCCTTGCCAACTTCTGAAATTCTCAGTTTACACATACACACACCCACGATTAGCAAAATATTATCACGATTACGCTCCTGAACGGGCAGAATTTTTCAAGAAAATATAAAGATGGTAGTGTTTCAACCTTTGTGGAGATCTGCTCTTGAAAAAAGTATGAATCCCTGGAGTCATACATATCGCATGGACAGACGGAACTCCAGAAAAAGCCGGAGATGTTAAAGCAGGCAGTCGAATGGACTATGAAGAGACCAGGCTTAGTCACCTATTGTGCAGCGGATTTGAACATGAATAAAGAATATGCTCCTCCAACGAATATGTACTTCATGACCCCTCTGATAGATATGAAAAAAAAGACAGTTGTGGGGGCATTCGATTACAATGGATATCCAATCCCAAGACAAGATAACATATATCGCAATTCTGAGATGAACGACACATTTCGGAAACTTCTATCTCATGACTCCAATGCCATCAAGAAGATCAGGTTCATAACTTCACCCAGGACTTCATCTGACATGGATTTTATTATGGGAGAAATGAGTATGTCAGAGAAGCGCGAGTTCTTCTGGTGCCATATCCACGGAATGATGCCTATACTATCAGGTGTTACGAAAGAGATCACGATGGAACCGAGATATGCTGGATGCATGCATATCCATCATGATTTGGGCAGTTATAAAGATTGGCCCCATTAGCGTCCATGTGTCAATACGAGTACAGTTCAGAAATCCCTCACCTGCTAAATCCCCGGCTAAGGGGGACCCTAATATTGTACATGACTGCCGTATGAGCCCAAATATAGACGATCATAAAACCCACAGTAGATAGCAGCAACGTAATCTAAAGAGCTAATTGCAAATTCAATCCACAGCTCCTATTGTGCATCTAAATGAAGTAAAGTGCTCAAGAAGAGCCCGGTCATAACTATACTCAGCGCGCCGGCATCTTCACACTTCTTATCAGCACGTGATGAGACGTCATCAGCCATCCCCCGAGACCGGACCACCAAGGTGCTCTTCAACTTTCATCCCGTAGACACCTTGGGGCCATCCTCTGACTTATTTGTTGCGCAATCTGCCAGTCTCATATCAAGTAATCGAATCCCTTAAGAAAAATGGCAATTCTACAAACTCGAGTTGGACTCCCTTCTCTTCGGGTCTCCAGCCTGAAGCCTGTCCGTTTGGCCCGCATCAGACAACCCCGAGCTCTCTATACTCTCTCTTTAAAGAACGCTTTCCACCACAGAGCGTGCAAGCTCCCTCAATCTCCTTTGACAACAAAGAAATTGAGACTCCAGGTCCTCAGTCATCGATATCCTTCCACCTCACTCCCGTACTCGACCAGTGCCAACCCAAACGCAGACCAGCTTATCGAAGAGCTTCAAGACTTGTACGAAGCCGCGAAAGACGAGTTCGAAATTGCAATCGACAGCACCGACGGCTCAACTATCTATGCAGCTTCGGACCGCGAGTCTGCACGTGACGCGTTGAACCAGCTCTGCGCTGTATACCACCTTTACACAGCCCGGCCTGGCGAGGACGCAGACACTGGATCGCATGCGGGAGCCAGTACTGGGAAGGTATCCGGGGAGAGTGCTATCGTGGAGACAAACTACAATCCAGCGGATATCGCAAGTGAAGTGCGGGATCAGGTGCGGAAGCGCATTGGGCAGCGGATTCGGGAGATTAAGAATGCAGTTGAGGTTTTGGAGGAGAGGGCTAAGGCTGACTGAGCCGGTACACAGTCTATTCGTACCCGGGACTTCTGTATTATTTTTGCCTCTCAAATTGGTGGTCTACGAGTGGGCTTTGTATACTGAGATCATTGCTGTATTCTGGAGGGGAGTGGGAATGTGCATTACATGTGACATACGATAGTTTCCAGTTTAATACTGTTTGATGGGAAAAGCGAGACTACATCAACAACAAGCACCGGCTGTCCTACAATTAATGATTCTCAAATACATTTAAATTTGTAGAAACGGAGAGTGATATAGCTGTATGAGAAAAGCTATGTGTATTGGGCTGGTATAAATAAAAATTTGCAAGAATATTAGATCCGTAATATGTCCGGAGAAATCGGAGTCCAGACAATATGAACATCAAAAAATTGGATCGTTATCAAAAATGCCAGCAATTAGAGAAAACGATCTGCCTATCCCAGTCTTTACAGCTGTTGGAAGAAGCCGTGATACGCCTGATCAACTGTAGCGCTGTGTTATCGGTGGGTCGTAAGAACGTAACAATCATACAGAGTTGGGAAGTTTAGGTGATTTATTAAACGGCAGCGAATGAGGTGAGGGTGAAGTTGTCTGGGCTAGGAGATGGGAGCGTGGAGGAGGATTCTGCCTTGTGCGTTGTCCGTTGGTGGCGTTTCAGTTGGTCTAAATTTGGAAAAAAACCAACCCGTCAGAGCTGAACTTTCGGGGCCAGAAAAGATGCTATGCCTACCAGGTCTTGTGAAGCTTTTCGTGCAGCCAGGAAACGAGCATTTATGTTTTCGTTCGCCGTGTGCTGGATCATATTAGCTTTTCTGGGTTGCATGTGGGGAAGAAGGGCTAGGGTGGCAAGGCAGAGACATACTCAATCGATGGCTGGACATATTCGATGACTAAATCGACAGTGTCAGAGAAAATAATCAAAGGAATGATAAGTGAGGAGAACTTACATCGCCAGTTTCGAATTTACATCCTGGATATGTACATTTGAAGGGTTTCTCTCCAGTATGAGTTCGCGAATGTGTTTCTGCAGATATTAGCGGTCGGCATGAGACAATCAAGCACGAAGAAACATACTCAGCTCGCTACTATCGGTGAATGTCTTTCCGCATTGTGTGCATTTGTAGGGCTTATCCCCTCGATGACTGCGCTCATGGCGGTCCAAGGTGGCCTGTCGAGCGAATGCCTTTCCACAAACAGAGCACCTGAAATTTTTATCTAGAAGGTTCCGGTGTCAGCAAAAACAAACGTATAGCAAGACACAGACATGGAGAGGCTAACAATTGCTATGCGTCAAGAAATGACCCTGGAGCTTGGATTTCTGGGAGAATGGTTCATCCGGGCGATGGCAGCCTGCCCAGCAGCAATAGTATCCGGTACCTTTAACACCATCGACTGTGTTCATGTGACAAGACACAAGGTGTTCCTGAAGAGTACCAGAGTCTGCAAAGGTAGCTCCACAGTGGGTTTTCACGCCATGGACACTTGTTGTCCACTTGCAAATATGGAAGTCACTGTCCTCCGCGGAGAAGTCTGGCGTCGTCAAGACAGATGACACACCCCCATCCAGGGGCGGTGGAGTCTCTCCGGGACTGGAGAGAAGATGCGAGCTGATGCTGGATCTAGATTTCCGCGAATAAGGGGAGTATGGGTGAGGGTGGTGGTGATGAGTTCGGCATCGGTGATGATTACGGTGAGGTCCGTGAGTAATGTTGAGGTTAAGGTCATTAGGGTTCTTGAAGTGGCCGTGGAGATGATGGTGCTCTGGGTGAACACAATCCAAAGCAGCCAAGGATGAGTCGACAACGTCTTTCGGTTTCTCGAGAGCGGTCAGTCCGGGTTGAAGATGATGGTGCTCGTGTGACTGCTGATGGAGGTGACTGTTATTGGCGTGCTGGTCATGGCAAACAGCGTAGTCCGAGCACATCCCAAGCATGTGGAAGACTTCCGCTGGATTCACGTCGACCTGGCCAGGATATGGCTGGTTGGTGAACATGCCTTCCCAGTCCTTCCGAAAGTCCTGGCACCCAAAATGGTTGGGAACATTCTGGTCGCAGTGGGTGGCATGTGTCTGATATGAAGAAAGGAAGTCATACTGGTAGCATGGGTCAATAGTTCCAAAGGCAGTATGGTCCGGGAGCTTTCCGGTTTCATCGACAGGATGTTGGCCCATCGTTGAAGGTGGGAGAATGGCAGAGGCATCTAGCGACAACGGGGTATCGAGGCCAAAAAAGGAGTCAAAGCCGCAATTTTCGTCATTAGTGCCATCGCAGCAGTGTTCATCAAAACAGACAGGGTCCGTGCTTTCGCAATGCGTCTCATCACAATGAGCAACAGAGCAAACAGTCGAGGCATCGCAGTCCACGAAGCCGTCGCAAATTGACCCACAGTCTAATTGACAGTCATCTGCGCAATCATCCACATCACAACAAGCCTCATCGACTTCACACCGGGCCAGCGATGTGTGGTGTTCAGCATCAGTACAATTCCACTCAGGCTGGGGTTGAGTGCCTGAGGAATCATCCTGGTCTTTCCCGTCAATATGGAACCCTTCCCAGCGACATTCGAGGCAAAAGTCGCCTCCTTGGGGTTGAGAAGCCATGGTGCGCAGTGCTCAAGTCGGGATTAACCGAGGAGAACAGGGAGAGAGCAAAGGCGGAGATGGACAAGGGACCAGAACCACTTCTTTCGTCGCAGCCAGGTATAAAGTCTCAAAGTCTTCGGGAACTGGGCAAAATGAAAAACAGTCGAAGAGCCGAGGAAAGATGTGCGACCGCAAGAGGAGTCGTTGCGCTGCCAGGAACGGATATTCCCACTTCGAGGAAATCACGTAACCGTCACCTTCGACGCCACTTTGAGCCCGCAAAATACAACAGAATGCCCACAGCAACCGGATAAGGCGCCTCCAATAGTATGGATAGTCTCTCAAAGTTGTGTCATGCGCCTAGACTGCGGGAGAAACTGTGCGACTTCGGCAGAGGGTCGACGCAATCGGGAAATTGGCGAACGATCGTCGGGCAGCACAAGATTCCCGCAGGGACCGTCGAGGACCTTGGGAGAGAAGTAAAAGAGATATGATTCGGAAAAACGCAACAGGCGAAGAGGGGGGGGCCGTTTAGGGGAAACAGACCATGCCCGTCGAAGCCCCAAACTCTGGTGAGGACCTTTGGGACGCAGATGCAGGATGGGGACCTTGGGGGTGAAGCGTCATGGTTCTCCGGCGAATGGCAGCGCGCGTGTTGGAAAGCGGTTAACCGATTATGTTCGCAAGTAGCGTGCTTAGTCTGTTAGCTGGAGTGCGGGACAGTCGCCGAGGCAGTCGCTTGCAACATCGAGGGAGTTTTGCGCTGCTGGGAGATCTTTTCCACCGGATTTCGAGTTGAAGGTCTGCCGATGACTAACAGGCGACCAACGTTGGTTCCCCTGTAGCCGGCATTTCTGCCCCTCTCGGCCACCCCTCTCTCCAATGCCCTGGCCTGAGCTCAGGTATCGAAGGTATAAGATCATAGGAAAGATGCATTGTTGTCGCATGACACATGCGACTCGACTGAGACCCCAAGATCCTCAGATTCGCATTTTGACGGAGTACAAGATGTCGCATTTGGCCGCAGGGACTACTCCGTGTGCTGACGTAACCCCACGTGCCCCGGATCGTCGCTATCGTTATCGCGGGCTCGCGGCATCGCAACGCTAATTCCAACATGCACCACGTCCCCCTTCACAACCAGCTCGACCAGGGCTGCATCCACTAGCCTAGAATCTGATCTTGATCTTCAATCTTGGATTCTTGCTTTTGTTGAATTGGCTTCTCTTCCCTTCCCCTCTTTCCCCCCACACAGCTAACCCAAGGGGCTTGCCCTGACCCCACCCTTTATCCAAAAATATGGGCAACATCTGTTCTCGTTCGTCCAATGAGCCGGACGCATTCTCTGGACCCGGTCGTATCGTAGGTGCTCCATCCCCGGACCAATCTGCAGCTCCTCGTGCCTCGGTTCCTGCCAATACGAACTGGAAGAGCACACCAGGAAGAACTCTCGGGGACAGCGCAGGGCCGCCGGGTGGAGAAGATGAGGCGCGCTCCAATGCCGCGATAGCAGCACAGGTGAGCTCAATGCCCTACGCAGCACGCTTGGGTTAAAAGGGCAGCTCGTACTAATATTTCCCTCCAGAAACGAGCAGAAGCTGCCTCCGCCTCGGCCAGCAAGGGGAAACTAAGCTCCAAGCTCGCAACAGAGAAGGCTCAGACCCAGAATCAGATCCTTAGCCAGGCCAGCCAGGGGGAGCGTTCAGCACGAGATGCGGACGATGCGCAGAAGGCGAGGGAGTGGAATTAGGCAAACGTGAGCAATATGCGATTGGTCTTGGCGCTTTTGTTTCAACCCACGTTGTTGTGGGCTTCAGCATTCGATTGATGACATACGTTTGCTTTTCTCTGGGGGTCAATTTTTCATAGCGTTGTTATTGGCGACGGTCCTCGGGTTTTCTCTTTTTTTCCTTGAGCCCTCAAATATACTTGTTGCCGTTTTTTATTGTGCTGTTTATGGGTTATCATGGTGACGCCACTGGCTTACTGCAATACATTATCGAGAGGTTTCTTGATTGATCATGACTATTGCTTTTGCTTCCTGGCATTGATATCGCGCTCGTGGTATAATACAACCTCTTTAGCTAGGTACACAATACATTTCAAAGCTCGAATCTCCGAATTTTCAACTTCCACCGTAGTGGTAAGTTTGCTATTTTAGACGACATTGTAACGACCACTTGCCGGCGCACGAGCATCGCTATCGGCAGCTGCGATCGTACCCTCCTTCAACAGTCGCATCAATTCACGCATAGCATTGGTGACGGAGATCTCGGTTTCACCTTCCACAAGAATGTATAGCTTGGGGCTCTCGCCCGGGCCAGGCTCTTTACCAGTGGCATAGAAGTTGCCTTTGGTTGTAATGGACGTGCCGGTAGCTTCCAGGATCTTGGCGACGTTGGTGCGGTTGGTGACGGCCCAACGTGCTTTTTCTATTATTGCAAAGCAGATAATTAGCGAAATTCTCGTAAAAGATAGGCTGTGAAGGGGTAAAAGACTTACGGGGAAAGTCATTGATTTCCAATGTAGCATGGAATGCACCTGCATCGGGGCCGCGGTTGTCGATCGGGACACCAGATCTCATCACACCGGCTCTACTCAGACGTGCATGAATATCGGCAACAGCAGAGCCAACCTTGTCCAGAGCGTTCTTGCCGCCAGCAGCATCCTTTTCAGTCCTGTGTACGGTGATTTTACCATCCAGGTCAATACCCTTTGGCACGCCAACAAGTGGTGCAGGGGCTGGAGCAGCAGCAGATTGTACGGACGAGAGTGCCTTGTTGAAGCGGTCTTCATCCACCTTCTTGTCCTTATCCTCCTTTTCTTCCTCCTCATCACCATCGTCGCCGGTCTTATATGTCCTGCGCTCGCGCATACGAGCAGTCTCACGCTCTTGGTCAAGACGCTCCAGACCCTTTCCACCGAAGCCAGACGCGCTAGCCTTCTCTTTGCCTGCCTTGACTTTCTCCAAGAAGGAGTCAACCAGCTTTTGGACAGGCTCGGGAATTTCTTGTCCACTCTGCTTGAGAGCCTTGGCAATGTCGACGGAATACCGTTCTTGATCCTCGGTAAGGAATGTAACTGCGGTACCAGTGTTTCCAGCACGCCCGGTACGCCCAGCACGATGAACATAGTCTTCCAAGTGATTGGGTGCATCGTAGTTGATAACAAGTTTCAACTGCTTGACATCCAGACCACGAGCCGCGACCGAGGTTGCAACCAAGACAGGGAAGATTCCGGCTTTAAAGTCTTCAATCGTAGAGTCTCGATCGATCTGATCCTTCCCACCATGAATCGACATGCATGGATAACCCTTCCGCATCAACTCTTTGAGAAGGTTATCAGCTGACTCCTGACGATCGACGAAGATCAACGCCCGCGCATCTTCGTTTGCATCGTCTGAGTATAAATTACCTAATAGCTCCAGCAGACGAACGAATTTCTGATCCTCGTTCCGGACCTCAACGACCTGAGTGATTTCAGGTGCCACAACACTCTTCCCACCGACGACAATCTCGACGGGCTTCTTAAGCGTTTTTCGAGCGAGAGCCTCCATATTGCGTGGGAAGGTGGCGGAAAAAAGCACAGTCTGTCGGTCAGGCCGGACGTTGGCCAGAATCTTCATAACCTGAGGCTCAAATCCCATGTCAAACATGCGATCTGCTTCGTCCAGCACGACGTATGTAACACGACGCAGATTGATGACTCGCCCGGCATTCGCAGCGAGAAGATCAATCATTCGCCCAGGAGTGCAGACAACGATTTCTGCACCGCGTTTCAAATCAGCGATTTGATCCTTGATCGGAGCGCCGCCGTATGCGCAGACGGCTCTAAGACCGAGAGCTTTCAGGAAAGGCTTGCAATCCTTGTGAATCTGCGTGGCCAATTCACGAGTTGGTGTCATAATTAGACCGATCGGACCCTCCATGTTGTCAAGTGGCCGTTGGTCCTTGATGTGACGGAACATGGGGATCAGGAAGGCGATGGTTTTTCCAGAACCAGTCTTTGCCACGCCAATCACGTCACGGCCGGACATAATGGCTGGAATTGCCTGGGCCTGGATGGATGTAAGGCTCTCATAGCCTAGACGATCAACAACTTCCAGGGTTTGTACACCTAAGCCGCACTGCGACCACTTCTGGACAGGCTTAGGAATGTCGCTGCCACGCACTTTGATGCCATCAAGCTCGAGTCGCAAATTAGCAACCTCTTCCTCAGTCATGTCGGCAAGATGAGAAGGCTCATTATAAAATTTGCTTCGGAACGGCTCATACTCAACCTTTTTGTGGTCCACCGTCGGAATTTCTTTCTTCTTTTTCTTATTCGCCATGGCTAGGACGTCGTCAGCGTCATCGTCGCCAACTGCGGTAATGTCAACATCGTCCTCATCACCAAACAGCGCCTGGGGCTGCGCTGCCTTCTTCTGCTTTGCAAATGTGGCGCCAGATTTCTTCTTCGGCGGGGCCTTATCTGCCAGCTCTGACATGAATGCATCAAGAGGATCAACTTCTTCCTCCTCATCAACTTCCATTTGAGTAGACTCAGCTTGCTGATGAGAAATATCCTCCATAGTGACATCTCCGTTTGTTCGAGTGTCACCTTGATCTTCAAAGTTTTGGGTTTGGAGGCGTTCCTCGCGACGCTCTGCTGCGGCTCGTGCCGCGGCTGCGGCCTCCTCTTCTGTCCCCTCATCTTGCATGTCGACATCGTCATCATCACCCGCCTCGTCTCCAGCCTCGAAGCTGTCTTTCCCATCGTCCAATGGCGGAGTTGGCAGACGCTCAAGCTTTTTCCGGGTTGATTCCTCTTCGCCGAATCCCAAGGTACGACTAGCGGATGGTTTATCGGAATCCGTAGCTTGCTTCGCGCCTAGACCAAACCCGCTGACGTTGCCCTTAGCTTTTAACGGAGCGGGTGCTGGAGCGGGGGGAACCTGGGATGGCTTGGCTGGAACTTTGACGCCTTGCGGAACGTCGATATCATTTCCCAAAACAGCAGGGACCGCGGTAGTCGAAGTCGCACTTTTTGCGATGGCCTTCGGATCGAATTTCCCGGCGTAGGGAGCAGGAGAGTCGACTTGAGATGTGGGGGTTTGAGGGGATCCAACTGCAGGGGATAGGCCCGATTTGCGATCAATCGCATCCAGAATGCCTCGACCACCACCAGCAGCCTGTTCTTGTTGCTTGCGCTCCCTCTCCGCAGCCTGCTTGGCCTTCCACAGCTCTAGTTTCGCAAGTCGCTCAGCCTTCTTTTGCTCATCGGTCTGGACGGCGGGGGCGGGGGTCGATTGTTTGGATGGCTACCGAGTGTTATAAGCATCTTGCAACTTGGAAAAAGTGGATGGCGGGCATCACTCACCTCTTGAGTTCGAGACCTGGACCGACGGTTCGAGGCGCGGTCACGGCTGTCATCCCGTCTAGACTTGTATTTCAAATCAGTAGAATCATCTGGGCGCCTTCGGTCTCGGTCGCGTGAATCATCTCGCCTGGCACGATAGTCCCTGTCGCGGCTTCTGCGACGATAGTCCCGATCATCATCTCGCCGGCGGTCACGGGACCGATCTCGGCGAGGAGGGCGATAGTTGTCTTCGTCGCGTCGGTCTAAGGAACGGTCACGTCGTCGATAACCATCTCGGTCACGGTCACGGCCATGGTCACGGTCACGGTATCGCCGCTGGATTGGAGACTTCACAGTTAGATGTCGAGCTTGAGCGGGTCGATCATCATCAGGGAATCGTCTGAAACCTACCTCTGGGCTGCGTGATCTGCGATAACCGCGTCCTTCATCCCGCCGAACTCTGTCGTAGCGATCATCGTCTCTGCGGTTCCGTCGGGATGAAGAATATGTGCTGCCTACAGGAGATGGTGAGCGAGTATCCCCGTGGCGAGCCATTGTTGCAGGCCAACGGATGAGTGAGTATTACTGGAACTCAAGAGCACCGGAACGGAGAGCAACACGGGATCAGCCTGGATTCAGCTGCTTCCATGCAAATCGCTCTCAGAAAGAGATCGCTTCTTTATTTATCTGTTGTTTCCTCAAGGCCGTCGAGGCCGTTCGGCTGAATATGCGAATGGATGAAGTATCTATGGAAGGTGGAGTGACGCTACTTTTGCACTTTTCCGCGCCTGGGGGATCGCTGTCACGTGGGTAGACTACCGCTCACATGACCACTAAACCCGAAGCGGAAAGATCCAAACGAAGCTTGGACGCGCTTGATCCGCCGAGTGTTTGGGCCCGTTCCAGCCTCCTCTGCCCGCTTGCGTCAGGAGCCCCTTCCACACCCTGGACGACTCTCCACCTTCGACCCTAGACTCGACCCGTGAAAGGCTCATTGTTCATCCAATTTTTTTCATTGACCTGTTGCGACCATAATTGACACACCCTTGTCTATATTTCCTACATGTCTTTCCCGCGAGTCGCTCGGGCAGGTGTTCTGCGGCACCTGCGCCTCGGCGATGCCTTGTCTCACCAGACTCGCGTGATCGGTCTCCAGCACCAGCTCCGCCGTCTCTCTCTCATCGCCCCCTCTCGATGTACGACTCCGCTGGCGGGGTCGTTGCCCGTCCTTAGATCCCTGCCCTCTCGTTCCTTTGCGACAGCCACCGGGGAAAGCACCGAGGCAAACAGCGACAAGCCCAAGAGGGGGACCAAGTCCAAACCGAAGAAGAAGAAGAAGACGGCCAAGGCTGCGCCGAAGAAGCCGAAGAAGCGGGGATTGACTGAGAAGCAAAAGGAGGCCAAAGCAAAGAAGCAACGTAAGGAATTGATCGAACAGCTCAAGGCGGCGGCCCTGGAGCCTCCTCAGAAGCTCTCTACGGCAACCCGCGCGATGTTCATCAAGGAGAAGCTCGCCGAGCTCAAGTCACAGCCCCAGTCAGCCAACCAGTCTCCGCAAGAGCTATTCAAAGAAGCCGGTCGCCAGGTCACCGACGAGTGGTCCGCGGAATCCGAGGTGGGTGTCCAACTCCCAACAGTTCGACTTCCGACACACGGTCCCAGCTAACCTTCTATCTCTACAGCGATTTCTTAATCAAGCTCGTGAGAACCGCGCTGCAAATGAGACTGCTTTCGCGGAGTGGGTCCAGCAATATACCCCTCGGCAGATCAAAGATGCGAATACTGCGCGACAGACCCTTCGCCGTCTCATCGGGAAGGATAAGATTAAGCATAAGTTCCGTCCGATCAAGGATGATCGACTTGTCAAGCCACCCCAGTCCGCATATCTCTGGTTCTTCCAAGAGCGGTTTGCCAGCGGCGACTTCCAGTACATCAGCAAACTGAGCGATGCGAGTGCACCGATTGGCGCTGAGTGGAAGAACATGTCGGAGCACCAGCAAGCTGTAAGTTTCACCCAACTCCCATGACGTTTCACGAACATGTGTGATTCATTTTCGTCCCATCGGCTGACTTCTCATCTTCCTCCAGCCTTATGTGGAGAAGTTCAATCAAGACCATGCCCGTTGGGTCAGTGAGTACCGTCAGGTGTATGGCGAGGAGCCCGCGCCCCCGCAAAAGAAGAAGTCGACGTCGAGCCCCTAAGCATGCGACCAGGCAGCTTGGAGTTCATGTGTAATTAGGTGACGATTACCAGACTGAGCTAGGTGTTTACATCGGGGTGGGCAGGTTGGAGGTTGGGGTTAGGAACGGAAAATCGGGTTCTTCTGGACTGGTGTCGTCGATGTCTTGTTCATTTGTGTTTTGTTTTGTACCCCACCCCATGTCTCTTGATTCCCTTTTCTTTTGTCTCTTCTGTATTGTAGTCGCTTTGAACGCGCCATTGTTTTTTTTTTCTCTGGTTCCATTTTTTTGGTTGCAATTGGTCCGTGTTGATCTAGGGTCCGACTCGCCCATTGTAGATGATACTGCTAGTCATCCTTCGAATTGCCTGGCATCTTGCCCTGGGCACCAATCCGCACATTCTGGATTCTCCATTTGGAAATCATGTCCATTGGGCTCCAATGATTGCTTCAGCAGTCCATTGTGTCAAATGTCTCTTCTCCGGGCCTCCTGGTGAGTCAATCTTCCCAAAAGCCGGACCCTCCACAGTGGAGTCTCCCCCCCGCACCCTCGATTCTCCGAGGGTCGCAAAATGGCGGTGAGAAAACACCGGGCTTGTTGTGCTTTGCAGCGGCAGCAGAGGCCCTCTTACTCGGCATCTTTTTGTTGGCTTTTTTTTGGGTCTGCTGGCGTACGTCTTTATTTGGGTTTGGGTGGGGAAATGTGAGATGTTTCCTTTTGCTGACGCTTGTGCTCGGAGGTCGGGACGGAAAAAGGAAGTATACACTACTCAGTATAGCTCACTGTATCACCCTATCGTGGCGTGAAATAGTATGAGGGAGAGGGGAGGGACCTAGTGATTGCTCCATAGCATCCCTGTGTCGCTCAATAGCGCGGACTAGATGGGCTCCGGGACTGCTCGACCCTTATCGACGCCCTGGAATATTAGTATATACTACTTGGAGTAGCGTTGACTGGTTGGATGGTTGCATGTCCCTCTCAGCCTATCACCTTGGGACTATGCGCTGGTACTTTGCGCGGTACTTATGTATGCTCCCGAGATGTGTCTAAAGATCCTGCCCTCGGGCATCCCAGTACTGCTGCATCAAGGCTTTTGACCTGGGAGCCATGGATTCCGTGCAGACGGGCCTACCCGCAGACTAGTCCGTCGGGCATCCATGGTTGTGGCATGTTCTGCTTATCCACGGGTGAGGGGTCGCGGGTTCCTTGGTTGGCGGTGTAAATCGATAGATCGATAGATCCTAGACATATCGCGTCCTGGTCCTAGATCTCCTGGATAGGGGCAAAAAGGGCCAAAAGGGCAACGACTGCATTTAAGGAAAAAAGGGAAAAGACGCAGGTGAGCAAATCAGTGCTGTCGCTGGCGAAGTCATGCGGGGATTGGCGGGGAGGAGGAAAGGGCAGACGCCCCTGCGACGCTGATGGAGGGGGACTCTCGTTATCGATAGGCCGCCAACCCTGCGTTGGCACAGAGGAGATCAATGCAGGAGGAGCCATGGGAATCATATCCAGACCTTTGCAAATACCCTCTCGAAGATTGTCTCTGCTCTGCCCCTGTTTGTGTCCGGTGGTTCACGGTTCATCCCAGCCTTCTCTTTTTTTGCTTTTCGGTTTTAGTAGCTTTTTTTTTCTACCCGTCACAGGCCTCGGATCGCCCCGAACGGGAGTTCGTCAAGAACCTCACTGATTCGCATTGGCAGAAAGGGTTCTCCTGCAGAATATCGAGCAAGGGTGGCCGAGAATTTCGCATTCCAATTCCATTCCAAACTAGCCACGAGGGATCTCCAGATCGAGGATTGCTGGGGATTGTGACGGGGAAGCAGAGAGTATGTACACCTCCACGGATCATCACCTCTCCACCGCCCCATGCTTTTTATCCCTGCCTCCGCCAGCCGATCCCTTTTCTCCTCTCTCTTCTCTGCTGAAATTTCATCTGACACCCTTTCCTTTCCAGCTCGCAAACTGTGAAATCCGATCTATACCTCCCGCTCCGGCTAATTCCTGACTTCGACCGACATCGCAGCGTTGCGCTCTGTCCCCCTCGACTCCGCCTTTCTCAAGCATACAGTCCGACCAGACACCTTCAACCTCGCGCCGGCCGTGTAGGAGGATTTTGCGGGCACGGTTACTGCCTGTCTTGGTGACATTGGGACCATCAATAATCAACACCCACCTATTCGTCTCAACGCCTCGATCCCAAGCACCGACATCCTCTCGATCCCTCGGACCGCCAACCCTAACGTCCTAGTCTTCACTGTCTCCTCACCGAGAGCAAAAACCCTTTCGACCAGCCGGGCCAAAAAAACCCTCCCGGAAACTCGAACCCCATCGCCCCATGTGTTCCCCCCACATCCGCCAGTGGACGGGTCTGTGATCGGACGAGTCAAGAAAAACGCGCATGCGACGCCGCCATGGAAGTCATCGCGCCCGCCTACAATGCGTGCGCCGAGAAGAGCGCCTGGACCGCCGTTGCGCCGCGCTGGCAAGATACCGTGGACCGACTGGTCGATGATGTCTGGGCTGCGTTGATCCAGGGATGCGACCCGGGGTTCGTCGACAAATATACGGATGCACGACCGCTCTGCGGCGAATACAAGGATGCGCCCGCCGACTTAGGGTTGCATACGCCGCCGCCCCCGTTGTACACTGCGCCGCCGCCGTCCTACGATGAAGCTGTGCACGATCTACCGCCCGAGTACGCTACCCTGCCGCCGCTCGCCGAGAAGAAGACGGCGGTGTCGACTGCTGCGGCGCCGGCCGTGTCTGCTACGAAGGCGCGGTCAAGAGCGAAAGACCGGTCTCATTCCCCGTGTCGCGATCCCTCCCTCGACGTCGATATCGATTTCGAGAGCCCCGTCGGGGTCCGCGAGCATAAGAAGAAGAAGGCTGCGGCGAAGAAGGTGATCTTGTCAAGTGCGCCGGCGGATACCGGCGGTGGTTCAGACAATGCGGGCGAGGAGCAGGCGAACGGTGATGCCGGTGGTGGAGATGCCGGTGGTGGAAGCGGCGGCGGCGATGGAGGAGGCGGCGATGGTGGAGGTGGAGGAGGAGGAGATGACTTCAACGACTGGACCGTCAGCGGCACCAAGAAGAAAACCAAGAAGGAGCAAGAGGAGGAGGAAGAGGAAGCGCGCAAGGCCGCCGAGGCTGCGGCTGCCAACAATCTCAGCTGGGCTGATGATGTCGAAGAAGGCGGCGGTGGCGACGATGGCTGGGCTGGATTTGCGACTGTTGGGAAGAAAAAGAAAGGAAAGGTAAGTTCTCTGTGATCTCACAGCATAGTCTATACTACGTGGCACTGTTTGCTTATTTCTTTCTTCATCAATCTCTACAGGGCGAGGCGGCTCCTGGAGGGTTCCAGGATGTGAGTCTCAACGACAGCGGCGGAGCACCCCAGCTGGACCTGAGTTTCGATACAGGTCCCAAGACTGGTGGCACCGGATTTAGCTTTGGCGGTTGGGGTAAAGACTGGAATACAGGTGGCTCAGCGAATAACAAATGGGATCTGGGTAATATCGGCGAGGCCCCAAAGGAGGAGTCCAAAGACAACAACCCCTGGACAAGTGCTGATAAGAAGAAATCCACCAAAACATCCGCAGGCGGATTCGACTTTGGTGATTTGAGTTCACCGCCAGCCGACAAAGCCGACGATGGCTGGGGCACGATCGGTGCAGCTGGCAAAAAGGGCAAGAAAAAGGGCGAAGAAATACCGCCGCCGCCTCCTCCGGTACCTGTTACTGAGACGAAGGAAGATGACTGGGGCGGTTGGGGTATCGCAACGAAGGACAAGAAAAAGAAGAAAGGCTTGCTTGATCCTGAGCCCGAACCGGAGCCTCAACCCTCGCCCGAGCCTGCCGTCGAACTTGAACCTTTGCCCGAACCTGAGCTAGAGCCCGAGCCGGAGCTTCCTGCGCCCATTACTGAGGAAGCCTGGTTCCAGGGTCTGTCGAAGAAGGAACAACGAAAGGCAAAGAAGGAGTGGGAGAAGAAGCTCAAGGACGCAGAGGACGAACTCAATAAAGTGCGCGAGGCCAACGACGCCAAGCTAGCTGCGTACGACGAAGCAAAGAAGGCAAGAGAGGAAGCAGAAGCTGCAACAGCCGCCCCTCCTGCTCCCGAGCCTGAGCCTGAGGCCGAGCCGGAAAATGACTGGGGCTGGAATGTCCCATCTAAATCCAAGGACAAAAAGAAGAAGAAGATCGATCTTCTTGCTGATCCTGAGCCTGTCCCGCCTCCCGCTCCTGCACCCCCAGAAGACGACTGGATGGGTGGTTGGGGAACGGCAGGTAAAAAGGACAAGAAGTCCAAAAAAGAACCGGAGCCGCTGGTTGATGAACCTCCGCCAGAACCCGCCCCCAAGGAGCCTGAGAACGACTGGAGTTGGAATGTTACCACCAAGGACAAGAAGAAGAAAAAGGGCAAGGTCGAGCCAGAGCCCGAGCCAGAACCTGAGCCGGAGCCAGAGCCGGAACCTGAACCTGTACCCGAGCCAGAACCCGAGCCGGAGCCAGAGCCTGAGCCGGAGCCTCAAAAACATGACGATCCTCTGTATGAGGGCTGGCATACTTTGTCTTCCAAGGAGCGAAAGCGACGAGAGAAGAAGCTGATCCAAAAAGGCCTTCCCATTCCTGGAAAGGACTTTGAGCTTCCCTCCGAGAAGCCTGCTGAGCCAGAACCAGAGCCAATACCGGAGCCAATACCAGAGCCAGAACCAGAGCCAGAACCAGAGCCCGAGCCCGAGCCCGAACCGGAGCCACTTCCTGAGCCTGAGCCTGAGAAACCCGCCGAAGATGATACTTGGGGAGCCTGGGGAAGCGTCAAGGATAAGAAGAAAAAGAAGAAGGGCATTGAAGAGCCCCCTCCCCCAGCTCCAACGCCTCCTGCGCAAGGCCTCACGCCAGAGCCCGAAGCATTCAATGAGAATCCAGATGATATCTGGGCCGAACTTGCTCCTAAGACTTCCAAGGGTTCCAAAAAGAGCACCAAGGCCATTGAACCCCCCAAGGAAGAGAAAAAGGGATTCTGGGCATCTTGGACAGGCGCGTCCGCCGCGAAGCCTAAGTCAGCAAAGAAGATAGAAGACAAACCGAAGTCTAAGGACGAAGAGCCTCCAATCGAGGAAGATCTTCTCATTGACGTTGCAGATGACCCTCCTCCAGAGCCCGAACCCGAGCCTGAGCCCGAACCGGAGCCCGAGCCAGTGAAGGAGGAGCCACCGCCTGAGAAGTCTTCGAAGACTAAGAGCAGTTCGAAAATGTCAGTTGCAGAGCGGATCAAAATGCTTGAACAGAGCAAGAATAAGTCAAAGGAGGAGAAGTCAAGTTCCAAACTGAAGAAAAAGGCTGAGCCTGAACCTGAACCTGAAGTGGCACCAGAGCCAGAGCCAGAGCCAGTGGTAGAGGAACCGGCTAAGAAGGGCTCAAAATCGAAGTCCAAGACATCCACCAGCAAGAAGGAAATTGTTCCTGAGCCGGAAGAGGAAAAGCATATCTCCAGAGACTCTGTTCCTGGAAGTTTCCCTGACGAACCGGAGCCTGAACCTGAACCTGAACCGGAGCCGGAGCCAGAACCGGAACCTGCGCCCCCAGCCCCAGATCTTTCGAAGATGTCAAAGAAAGAGCTGAAGAAATATAAGAAAGCTCAAGCTGAAGCCGAGGCTGCTGCCGCCGCCGCTGCTAAGGAACCCGATCCCCCTGTCGAAGAAGCTGAGCCTGAGCCTGAACCTGAGCCTGAACCTGTTGAGGATGGCGCTCCACCCACGCCGCCACCAGAAGTTGAGGAGCCTCCGAAATCATCTAAAAAGACCGTCCGAAGGTCGATCGTGCAGGGTCTGGCTGGGGAGGATTCTGGGGTGCCGCTGTTGCACCACCACCCAAGAAGTCCAGCAAGAAGGAGAGCAAATCTCGCAAGGAACCTGAACCAGAACAACCTGAAGCAGAACCAGAACCTGCACCAGAACCACAACCCGAAGAAGAACCCGAGGCACCACCGCTGAAGAAAAAGAAAAGAAACCCACTCGTGAACGATCCCCAGAACCCATCCGCTCTAAGTCAACCAAATCTCGACCTAAGGAATCCGATCATGAGATGGAGAAGTCCTCCGCGTCCGACAGGGAGAAGCGGCGCGAACGCGAGGCCCGTGCCTTAAAGCAGCAACAGCGTGCGACCACTTTGTCCAACTTCGTCTTTGGTCAGCCCCCACCACGAAGTAAATCGACACGCAAGCCGGACTCATCTTCCAAAAAATCGTCGTCAAAACCTGTATCCAGGCGTGCTTCTGTAGACGATGAAGCTGCAATGCCGTCTCCACCGCCTGATGGTAACCCCGAAGTGACCGATAAGGCAGCCAAGCTGATGGGCATCAACGCGTCCAAATCAAAACGGGACCGTCCACGTGCTGACAAACGGAAGTCAGGTAAGATTGTGCCGTCTCATTATACTACGGATAAAAACTCAGATATGTTTTCTATATTTTAGCTCCCCGCGATCCATATGCGATTGATGACGATGATTTGGTCATGGTTGATGTGGACGACGCCGAAGGACATTCGCCCAAGGAAGGCTCAAGGGGGTCAAAGCGCAAATCCAAGAGAGAAGTGAGTATATCATTTCGCACGGCTGCTCATTTTCAATGTCTCTAACCCAATTACTTCTTTTGTCTTTAGTCTCGCAGTAAACCTGATGATGAGGATGCTGTAATTGTTGATGCTGACCAGGCACGTCAGGCTCCGGATGTTGTATCAGGACCCGATGACCTTGCCTTCGTTGATGCACCTCCACGCGAGCGACGTTTGAAACGAGCCAACACCGCACCTCCGAAGAAGCAGGAATCCGGTGGGTTTATGGGGTTGTTCGGTTCGCTTAGGAAAAATACGCGCCCCGAAATGCCAGATCGTCGGAAATCCCGCTCATACCGCGATGAAGATGTAAAGCAATTTACAGAGACTGAACGGGAGGATCCGCGCCGAGCTCGTCGAGATGATCGTCGTCGGCGATCAATCAGACCTGAGCCAGATGCCGATGGGTTTACCACTGATGCTGGCGGTGCTGCTGCAGGCGGGGAAACTGAACCTGAAGATGCTGAAGCACGTAGAGCAGCCCGTCGATCTAAACGCTCGTCGCGCCAAGCACCATCCGATACCCGAGATATGGAGGCTGAAGAACGACGTGCTCGACGCAAAGAAAGAGAGCGAGAGCGCGAACAACGCGCTCGTGAAGAAGAGGAGCGCCGCCTCGAAGAACGGCGCATTCGCCGCGCTGCACGAGAAGAACGACGTCTCCGAGAGGAGCAAGCAGCCCGTGAAGAACAAGCAGCCCGTGAAGAGCAAGCAGCTCGCGAAGAACAAGCAGCCCGCGAAGCCGAAGAAGCTGCCGCCGCCAAAGCCGCCGAGCGCCGTGAACGTCGGCGCCAGCGCGAAGAGGACCTCGCCAGAGCTAAACGACGCCGTTCTCGCGCTGTCGAGGAACAACCTCCACCCCTGGCTCCGGATGAGTACGTACTTAATGAGCAAGACGACCGTCGCCGCGGTTCCCGCACTGCCGACGACTCGAAGTCCCGCCGTCGCCGATCCAAGGTAGTTCCAGAGCAGCCGCGTGCTCCTCTGATGTCAGGTGGGATCAATCATGGAAATACCGGTGGGCCCAAGAAAGACAAGATCTCATCGTGGGTGTACTCACAAGCTGAAGAGCCGCCCGAGCCACCCCCAATCATGCCCACCGTGATCGACATCCCTCCCGCAGCCGCCGCCGCAGCCGACGCAGTTAACGCGCACTCTCTATCCTCCGACGAAGAGGCTCGTCGTGCCGCTCGTCGCAGAGCTCGTCGCCGCGCGAAGTATGGCGACATGCCCGAGGACGAGATCGATGATGTCCGCTCCCGTCGGCGCGAGTCTCGCCGTGAAGGCGTGAAAAGTAGCTCTGGCAGTGGTGACTACGAGCGTGATCGTGGCATGCGCTCTTATGGTAGTCGACATGGCGGTGCTGGTGCTCCCGCAAGCTCAAGTGCTAAAAAATCTAGCTGGTTCAAGAAGCTGACTAGTTTCTAAAGTTATGAGGGCAATTGTAATATGGCGGCCAAGTTGATTTTTTTGATACGCCTATGGAGGCCTTATCTTGCGGAGTCATGGTTCCCTTTTTTTGCCTTGGAGATAGCAAGTTCCTTTAATGTTTTGTGATGTTAGTCCCTGTATACGGATGGAGCGGTTTTTTCTTTTTTGTCTTTTGGTTCCATGAGTTTCCTTTTGCTTTTGCGCTGCTTGCTGGGCTTTTCGTGTTCTTTGGGTTTCTGCATGCGCATTGAGCGGCATGTATGAGATCTCAATTTCTACGTTGACGACAGATATGAATATATGACTCCTGGACAATACTTGAAACAAATGTTTTTACTACCTCTATTTCAAAATTTTGATATGATGTACTCGAATTATACATCGAAGTTGTAATATCGACTCTATAATATAGAATACTCTTCAAAATATTGCGTAGGGCTCGTCCATATACAGAGCAACCCTCCAGATTTCTCCTGATTCTTTACACTATCTTGCATTACATCTCAACTCTATCCATACTCTCCGCTCGACGTCGTCGGTTCTCCAAAAAGTACCGCCCTCCTTCATAGAGACCCAAGTACAGACTCAACGAAACCGCCGTCCATCCACATCGAATTGCCCCACCCTTGAATAAACCCCGAACTCCTTCATGAAGGTATATCCCCTTCCCTATAGTAAGCGTCCCTTTCGGCTTCTTCGAGCTCTTCTGCTGACTAGCTAAGCGTTCTTGCGATGAGCCCGGATCATCACTTGCAGACAGCATAACGCGCGTCTTCACCACATCGATCGGCGTCGTCACAAACGAAGAAATAATCCCTGCAAGCCCTGCCGACAGTCCCGTCAATCCAGCCCGTTCGATCAATTTCTCTCGCTGCGTATCTGCCGTGACTCTGCGCTTTCTCCAGCAGCTTAGCATCCGACCACGGATATATTCAAACAGCGGAAACTGCAGGCCCGTGAAGGGGAGATTACGCCCAAGAAGTGCAAAGTACCCGCTCCACAGCCGCCACGGGCGTCTCTTAAATTTGAGCAGAACTTGGCGCGTCGCAGACGTTGTGTAGCCAGAGTTCAGATTTGTACTCTGTGGCGATGTATGAGAGATGTTCCCCGCGCTGTGGTACCAGCTACCAGTGCTTCTGGCCATCTGTGCATTCTGCTTGATTACTTCTGCTGGCGTCAAGATTGCACAAGACACCGATTCCGCAGTACACGAGGCAATTGCGTTAATAAGAGGGCTGGGGAGGGAGTGCGTGAACGGAAGACTAGCACGCATGCGTGAGGTCTGCGTTATATACTCTGATCTGTCCCCTGAACTTGATACATGGGTTGAGGAAGCATGTAGCGCGCATTTGACTGTCTCGTAGGTAGTGAAGAAGGCTCCAGCTGCAGTCTAATTTAGTTCTTGCGTTTTTTATTACATTGGGGGTATAGTTTCTTACATGACGGTATTGTAGAGAAAACTACACTCCAGACTCCCTGGTACAGTCCGCGGAACAGTACATTGCGCTTTATGACACCCGTGCGTGGGTCTTTGAAGGCGGTTTCATAGTTTGGCGATTGGATGCGTGTCTTGAGAGTGTCGAATGGATATACCATGAAATCAACGGAGATTGCAGCAAAGGCACCAGCCTGGTGATACACTTGTCAGTCAAACTGACCACATTGTCTTGACGTGAAAGGTGCCATGTCATCCGCAGGAGTAGACGGCTAGTAGGGAATCGAGTATCTCGAATATAGAGCTTGGAGTACTTACGATCCAGATGTCAGATTGGGTATTGTACATGAATGAAATCTGAGGAATATTATTGAGGCCTAATCACAATGTGTAAATGAAATAAACTGCAGTGCTTATTTTATATCGTCTCGACATTCATCTGACATTTTCGGCGATCTGATTATCTATAGATGGAGGTGATGATCAGGAATGAGGTCATTTATGTCCACGTGACCCGTGTTACCCTATACGGATTAGGGCTAGAGGGGGAAGCTCAAGCTGAGTACATAGGAAGTAACTTGAAGCATGATTGTTCGTAAGGGAAGTTGGAACCGTGTAATATAAAGCAATTGATAACAGAAGGTCATATCTAGAAAAAGTCATTGTTTTCTATGAGCGGATGGCGAGTCCATATATGTCGGACAAAAGACTCGAATCGTCACGGATACAAAGAAAAAAAGAAGAGGAAGTCGTATTAACATCCCAGAGAACATTTTCCCTCCCTACGCCGTAATAAGGTTTCATGCAATCCCAAAAGGTCTCAGGTTCGTCCCCATCGCATTCGTGGTCATTCCACCCAACAATATTTATTTGGCAGTCTCGCCGGGCAGCAGGTTACCCTTGATGGCGAACATCTTGCCGGTCGTGGCCGAGACGAAGCTATCGACCTGGCGCGAGAACTGCTCAACCTGGCGGGTGTTGAGCATGCTCTCCAGCCGGCTGGGCTCGGCGGGGAGCTTAAACAGACGTTGCCACTCGTCCTCGGGGAGAAGGGGCTGCTTGAGCGCGGCGCGAGTGGCGTTCTCCTGGCTGCGCTTCTGCTTCCAGTTGTTGATCTTCTGCTGCTCACGACCGAGCACACGCTGGTAGTACTGGTAGTTGTTGACCTCGGTGTTGTGGGTCTCGATGCTGTCGAGGAGCAGGTCGCAGTTCTTCTCCAGGAAAGGATCAATGTTGAGGGACAGGTTGTCAAGGTTGGGGGTGAGAGGGGAGGATTTAGAGAAGGCGCTGGACTCGAGGGCGCTGAGAGAGGCCGGGAGGTCGGACGGGCCGCTAGGGTTGGGGCACTGCAGCTGCTGGATGAAGGAGGTGATCAGGTGCGAGTTGTGGATCTCAACGGGGAGCTCGTCGAAGATATCTTGGTAGCGGAGGTTGGACTTTTGCAGCCTGGAGAGTCGTCATTAGTATCAAAGCCAACAAATTTGGTATACCAAGAGTTTGAACCACGTACTCCTCCGAGTTGAACTTGTTCTCCTTGAGGGCTTCCAAGAACTTGGCCGAGAGGCGGAACGCCCGCAGACTGAGGCTGCCCTGAGCGCTACGGCTCACATCGTGGACAAGTGCGACTGTGCGCTCGTTCATCTCCTTCTGGTAGAAAAATTGGTTCTCAATCACATTCATGTTGACGAAGTTGCCCATGTTGGCGCTGGTGTACCAGCCGGCGTTGTTGGCATCGATGTTGACCTCGCGCATCATCCGGATCATCTCAGCCTGGTAAGCAGTGTTCGCCTTGGCGCGGGGAGCAGCGGCGGCCGGGTTAGGGGCGGCGTTCTCGAAGTGCGATTCGGTGGGCATCTCAACCACGGGGAACGGGAAAGAGTTGGTGATCTCGAGGGTGCCCTCGACGTCCATACCGACGAGGGAACCAGTCGCAGTGGTCGGGAAGGTCTGGGAGCAGTGCTTGATGATTTTCATCACCACCTAAAGTTGCCGGTATGAGTATTTCTCGCTGGCGAGGGCAGGGAAGATTTTCAAGATTCGGGAAGAGGAGACTGTACCAAGGCCTCGACCTTGACGGCCGCGATGGGGGCTTGTGCTCTAGAAGGTGCATTAGTACTGGTATGAATCGGACCGGGGAGCATTAGACACATACTCAGCCATATTGACAGGTGGTTACACCGGGGAGAGAGGGGGTGGATGTTGGACTTGGAGATGGGGCGGATGCGCGGTTTGTGTGAAAGGAGCCCGTCGAACAATTTCCTTTTGGGTTTAGCCCAATACCGTGGTTGATGGGTAATACCGTACCATAATCTTGGTTGTAAATGGAGGGGTCGTACAATGGTATTACCAGGAACTTGATTGTTCAAGCCAACACCACAGAAACACCTTTGCCAATGAACAGAACTGGGTTGGGATCAATCAAGGAACAAATACATGCCAATAGCTAATCATCCAAAATAAATTTAGGTCAACTTTGTACTGGCACTGCCTTTATCAGGCGTCTTAGACGCCACGAAGCCAAGGTGGTCCCTGGTAAGATATCGCGGAGACTGTCCCGCTTGCTATCGATATCGCCCCCGACTGAAAAGATAGCAAACCGGTGAAGGCCAATTTTGAGACACTCACGCAGACTCATCATGGTGATTCAAGCAGGGAGAAGAACTGTAACTTATGGCCGGCACCATGTCCTTCAGAAGATCCGCGTAACTACCCTAGAACCGCGCGATAACGGTTACTGGATCATGTACGCTCTCCATCTCCAACCCCGCATGCGATCATCCTCTCCGAGGCTCCGCTAGACACAGGGCTGACCAGCATTCCTCATCTCCAGCTATATCCATGGTGGCGCTTGGCGCGACCCAACAATCAATGCGGACTCAATTGAGCCCACCGAGTCGATCCTCCGCAATTCCCCTGGCCTTCCGATTGTGGGCTTCGCATCAATCGACTATCGACTCAGCGCGCATCCGAATCATCCGCAGGACGAAGCCACAACACCCGCAGATGAATACCGTGCAGCCAGACACCCGGACCATATCCGCGATGTGGAAGCGGCGCTTGCCTTCCTCCAGAACACCTATAACTTTGGGCCGCGCTATATCCTTGTCGGCCACAGCTGCGGCGCGACCTTGGCCTTCCAGGCTGTCATGGGTGCGGTAGCAGGACATCGAGAACAATCATTTAACGGGGGTGTAGATGACTGTGGCGCGGGCGCCGAGCCAGTCTCTTCGTCTCCTGGACCACTTCCTCCACGGTTGTCTGCAAGGCCCATGGCCATTGTGGGTGTCGCCGGCATCTACGACCTCGGGCGGCTTGTGGAAGATCACCGAGACATCTCCGCATACCGCGAGTTTGCTGAAGGGGCTTTTGGAGCAGATGTATTACTATGGGATGCAGTTTCGCCAGCACAGATGATTGGGTCCCGCGGTGTGGAGGGAGGGTGGAAATCTGGACGTCTAGTTGTCTTGGCCCAGTCAGAGGACGACGAGCTTGTAAACGGGGCTCAGTTAGAGGTCATGAGGGAGGCACTACAGGGATGGGAGAGGGCTACCAAGCCGGAGCCCCAGCAGCAAATAGACGCGGGTGATCGGCGAGTCCGGGTGCTTCCGATTAGCGGTGCTCATGACGAAGCGTGGATCAAGGGCGAGGAGCTTGCTCGTGTGGTAAAGTATGCCTTTGTACAATTACAGAAGATGGGGTTATCCCCTGAGCCAGAGTTGCTTGGCGGCGAAGCAATCTGAGATGAAAAGAGCGTCTCAATTGTTGCATTGACATCAACACCCGTTAAGCATCTGCAAAAGCCCTGTCATTGCTTGCGCTGTCATTTGACTTGTATTACTTACGAGCGTTCATCAGAGCCAGTAGAGGTCTATAGATCATAAGAACACTTTATTTTCTTCATTTCACATGTTCTCTTCAAGGATTGTTGGGCCAGTAGGGGACGAGGAGGCAGGAGAAGGGGGAGAGTGGTAGATACAATGTCGGGAAAAACACAACTAAGAGGCCGGCCACGCGGACCTTGCAACGCCATTAATCGTAAACGCATATCGCGGAAGATCAAATCATAGGAACCATTCCTCGTTACGCCGAATGTTTGCTCGTGAAATCTTCAGTGCCGGTGTATCAGTTGCCTAGGTCCATGCGCCCAGACGCCGCGTCTCCGGCGACTTTCTCGGTCTTGACGGGCTCGGCCTCCTCACCGTATTCGAAAGCGTCGTCATCATCGCTTTCGCTCTCTTCGATAAACCGGTGATTCATACCGAATTCGGCAAGGCGGTCCTGCAAGTCCTCGCGGCAACCATCCTGCCAGCGGGCAAGTGCGGCAGCAGCATGAACTTTGAAGCCGTAAATTCTGGGCTCGTAGCGGCGCATGCTCTTCTCGGGGTTCAAGGCAGGGTAGACTTGGAAAAGGATAGAGTGGAAAGAGGTGCCGAAATAGGCACCATCAATGGAGGCGTGGCGAGAGGATTTCGGGTTGTAGACGTCTTCGCATTTGGGGCAGTAGAGCTTGACAGTACTCATATTGGGGAGGTCGGATTGGCCCGTGGGCAAGAGGGGATGTCCATCGCAAAGGACGCGGGGACACTTTCCGAAATCACACTTCTTGTATTTGTCGAGCTATAACATAGGTTAATATGGTTCTAGGAATTCGGCGACTAGGAGTGGATAGAACGCACCATCTTCGCTAGGCCACGCGTAGTGACAATATACCGCGCATGGACCAGGCCATACAGATGGCGGGCGGATTTCTCGATTTGCTCTCGCAGATCATCATCGGCATCAAGATCAAAAACATCAGTCACGAGGTCGAGAGCATATTGGTAGTATGGAACTTCGGTGTTCAACCCCGTGAGGTTAAAACGATCCGTCAGGTAGTCCTCATCGATTTCACAAAAGTATTCGTTCCCTCGAGAAGACACAAACTAAATAGGCGAATGCCAATCAGCGCTATTCAAGTGAAACACAAGGCATGTTGGTCGTCACCCCTCTTCGTCAGGGCAGAATTGGGCAACAGGATATCAACGGATCGCGGCTCAAGGGAGCTGGCGGGGCATGCGGGTGACAGATCGCAATGCAAAGAAAGGCAGGAAACGTACCCAGTCTCTCCAGTAGCTGGTATAGTCGCTATCCGTCTCGCTGTTGAAGTCCTCCATCATGTTGACCATCGGAATTATAATAAGATCCGCTCAGGCTGATTCCGTGGATTTTGGAGAAAGTGGGTATCGTGACAGCGCCTGAGTTTTGGGTGGATCAACCCGGGGTACTGAACACCCCAACTGCAAAGCTGCTGAGCAGGACGGGTACTGTATTTGTTCTCGACAAGCTGAAATTCACGCTCGGCTCTCGGTGGACGATGTGGGGATTGTTGGGCTACTGGATCGAGGGGAGGTTAAAGTGTGCCCGCCGTTCGAAAGGCTGGTTTGGGCGGTGTATAATACTGCCGCAGTAGTTGCCACCGCCTTGTTGATCTTCTTGTTGCCGCGTTCTTACTACGTATTTTTACCCATACTGCTTGGCTGAAATGGTGATTTTGAAGATCCGTGGGAAGGAATTTTTGTGTTGTTAAATTAAATGATTTAATCGAAATATCATATTTTGCAATGGTTGTATATGACTTATACATGTAGCAATCAGATAACGGATTGGGGTTGGGAATATATATAAATCTATAAGGCAATATTATAGATGCATCACAATCGGGAGTCAATGAGTTCCTTTTATATCCGTGACTCTTGTCCTGTTTTGTATCCTAAGGCCGCAGAGCTTCAGTCACGCCATATATCGTCAAATCATCGCCCATTACGGGCAGTGCATAGACAGCGCTTTCTTTACCGCCAAAAACTGTCAAGGCAGCGACACCCTTGTATACCATTTCAAGTTTCTCCAAGACTCGACGGCTGCGTTGATCTTCAGCTGCGCAGAATCCAAAGGCAGCGTAAATCCCGAGATCATTTCTGGCGTAATCCAGCAATCCTCTGGCGGCCTCGGTTGCATAGCCCTTTCCGCTTTCCTCAGGTAGAATCGTATATCCGATATCTGGCGCCTTGTAATGCGGACCAGATGGCTCCCCCTTCATGAGAGAAACACAGCCGATGGGTCTTGATGATTGATCCTCTTCACAGAGAGATACCAAGAATTGGCCATATTGATTGCGAGCATAGTCAGCTAGGACGCGACGTCGAATGAAGGATGCAGCCTTCTCAGAGGTATCCAAGCCTGTGCGACCGCAAGATTTGATAAAGTCTTCGGTACTCCATAGTCGCACGAGGAACTCGCAGTGACTGGGATTCTCGGGGTTGAATGGGGTTATCATAAGGCGCGGGGTACTGATGGCAAAGCCCGGGGGGAACGAAAAAGAAGACATTGACGCTGTAGGGCAACCGCTTCCGTGAACCAGCGATGGACGTCCGGAATTTGAAAATCTGACCGAAAGAAAGTATATGAATCAGGTTTGAACTAATGGAGGTTGCTGTAATGTAAAGAAACGGAAGATGCGACTAGCCTATCATTTCAGGAGTGCTGACGAGTCGGAATGACTACTGATAATAATTAACGAGTAGAATTGTACGAAACTCGTCGGCATGTTTCCCCCTTCTAATCTATACGACCCATAGCCAAGTCTAGGGATGACTGTCCCGTTGCGGTGAGTTCGAAGTTATAGAATCTGGCCATAGCAAACGAATAATGCGGATTCGCTGCGTTCAATGACCACAACGACTACAACGACAATATTTATTCGATTCATATCTTCTTCTTCTGGTCATGAGGTTGATCCGATGAAGACCCATTTGGGAAAACATCCATTTGCACTGCCCAAATTACCAGAAAACCAGTCCGCTACAGTGGAGGCTGACTCTTCGTTTCAACCCGAAATCACCTAGGGATAAACTGTCCCCCAAATGCTATTTTTTCCACGTACCCCTTGACTCTGAGGCTCATTGTGGCCAATGGGGCCAAATGTGTAGACGTCGGACCCCACTCGTCGTTCTGACTCCTGTTCGCCCGGGCATTTTTGGCGCCGCACCCCGCTCTTAGCCATTTAAGAAAGCCCAGCCCACAATAAATAGGCTGCGCTGAAAGCAAACGGAAGCGCCACCATTATATTTCTGAGATTGTGAGAAGACACCAGATATGTTGGATCCAGGGTCAATAGTGAGTATCGTTGAAACATGCTACAAGTAAGTGAAGCCACTGTACCATCCGAAGCTGTCGGTCCCGCTAAATGTATCCACGCACAGAGTTGGCGAAAAGATAGTCGACATATGCTCGACATGGAAGAATGCCGATAGAGAAGTAGAAAAGCGTGTGATAATTGTTGACAGCTGTTGGAATCGCACGAAGACCCAAGTTGCCTTTGTCAGCCGAATTGCATCTATCATGCCCCCCGAGCAGGTTCGATCGATGGATGATCTCTTGAACCAGCTGCTATTAAGTCTTTCATTGGCCGTAAACAACCTCGAGTCTGTGATAGAACAGAGCTCGGAGCCTCGACAAGGACGTTTTAGATTCGGCTTCAAGGCCAAGAAGGCTGCCTGGGTGTGGAAGAAGGAGGCGCTAGACGAGATTATATCCGAACTTGAGCTATGGCAACGTCGTTTTGACCCGTCATGGTATCTCCTCATCAAGATTGCCAGCCCAGTAATCGATCATGAGCTCGCAATAGCGAAGGCTACCGAGCCGAAGACACGCGGACCTGCAACGGCCGCGAAGAACCCTCTGACTCTGGCTGCCTCAGTACGAACTATACTATCGCCGTCGGTCGAACGGACAAGGTCACTCTTTCTCCCAGAGTTACAAATGGATTGGATGAATATCCCCTTCTCCGATGCAAAGGCAGGGCGCAGAGAAGGCGATAGCAAATGGTACGTGGTCGATTCTATCGAGTTTGGACAAGCCATCAAGGTTCGCGATATCGCCCGCGATGTTCGTGTTCTTGCCGCGAAGCTCTCGCAGGCTGATCCTTTGGCATTCGGCCTTTTGAATTGCAAGGGACTGGTCCCGATCCGGCGTCAGCCTGCATCACCAATGTCACCGCCGTTCGGATCGGAATTAACTCCTCCTTCTGCGATACCTCGTGCGCATTCACCGTCCCCGAATCAGAATGATTACTGTCGCTTCGATGTGATCTTCCGTATTCCGCAAGGAATGGAGGTTTTACAGTCACTCAGACAGCTATTACTGAACTCCGATGAGCAAATATCGCTGTCGAGAAAAATCAACATCTCTAGAGAAATTTGCAAAGCAGTTTGCTTTGTGAGCACCTTGGGGTTCGTCCATAAAAACATACGGCCGGAGTCAGTGCTATGCTTCGAGGATCCGGAAGCCACCAGGAGCCATGCGTTTCTGGTTGGATTCGATGCTTTCCGCGCTGCAGATGCTGGCACTATGATGGGTGGGGATATGAGCTGGGCTCGCAACGTTTACCGTCACCCTCGGCGACAGGGGATGGACCCCTCCGAAAAATATACCATGAAACACGACATCTATAGTCTCGGTGTGTGTTTACTAGAGATCGGCCTCTGGGAGTCATTTGTGGAGTATACTACCGACCTGGAGTTCGATGGCCCTCCCCAACCCAAATTTGGCAAATCCTACCATGACTTCAGGAAATGGAACCAAGAGCAAGGTGAAGCAGGCTCATTCAGTGCCTTGGCCTTCCAACTCAAGGACTTTTTGGTGGAACAAGCCTTGACGAGACTGTCCCCGCGGATGGGCGATAGATATAGGAGTGCCGTCATCTCCTGCCTGACAGTGCTGGACGAAGACAATGAAGACTTTGGAGGGCTGGAGGAAGAGGAGAGCGATGAAATTGTTGCAGTCCAATTTATTGAGAGAATTATGAAGACTCTTGATACAATCTCGCTGTAACAGGGAAGTCTACTGTTGATATGCACCTAGCTATTTGTCCATACACGCACAGACAAAAATCCAGAGACAATAACTGTCACGGGCACATAGTAGACGATATGGAGCAGCCGAAATGACGTGGTACTGTAGTAGGCAATAAGGGGCTTAAACTCCACCAGGGTGAACCCGTCGGTACCTTAGATCCATTTCGAGACGCCACGACTTGGGCCCCCAGCTGGGCCTCAAACTGCAGATGACCAGACACGTCGCACAGCCCCGGCGCTAACTATGCCCATCTCTGGAATATGGACCAATTAAACCATTTTCTGGAGCCCGTCAGGTATCGAGCATCGTATCTGCTTAAAACAATCCACGGCCATCCCAGTTGTATTTGACCCCACACCAATGCGATCGGCGAAAGAATCTAATTGACCGCCGGCTCTCAGGTTGTTTTTTGTTGTTCCTAACCTATCGGTCTTAATTTTCTGCCCCCCGCGCGGCCAAGGGCTCCAAGGCCATGGATCCATTCTCGAGCAATCGTCTACGGGAATGGAAATTGGAAACAACCTACGATGTCTCGGGAAATCGGTACCATCAGCGGTCTTCGGGCCCAGAGTCCTGGAAACCCGTGAAATGTCTGGGTAGCGGGTCATTCGGGGATGTTTGGGAAGAACACTGCATGTCGGGGCATTCACAGAACGCGGTGCGCGCGGTGAAAAAACTTCAGAAGCGCCAGTCAAAGTTCCTAGAGATGTCTCGACGGGAGCTTGACGCTCTAGTTACATTTTCTGACCCTCGTGTCCCTGAGGTAACGTGACGCAGGAGCTCTGCTCTTCACCCAGAAGCTAATAAGCTAATAAGACGCAAATCTTTAGTATACGAAATATTTTGTGCAGTTCCTCGGCTGGTTTGACGACAGTGATTCCTTCTTTATTGCAATGGAATTTTTGGCGCATGGTGATCTTCAGAAATTCATTACGAAGCCTCTTCCCGAGCTCGAAGCGGCATCGATTGTGGGTCAAGTCGCCCAGGCGCTCCAATATCTACACAAAAAGTCATTCGTGCATCGTGACATCAAGCCCTTGAATATTCTGGTTTCCTCCCCGGGGCCTACCTGGCACGTCAAAGTTGCCGACTTTGGAATCGCAAAAAACATAGACGGGACTGCACTCGGAACGCACTACATCGGATCATCTGGGTATATGGCGCCGGAGCTATACGGAGATTCTTCAGATGAATACACGGCAGCTGTCGATATTTGGTCACTTGGCGCGGTAAGCTTTTGCTTGCGCACTGGCTATCCTCCTTTCCGCACTATCAAGCAGTTGATGGACTATGCTCGAGATCATAGAGTTCACTTTCCCATCGGGCCGCTAGGGACCTCAAGTGGGTTCTGCGTGAACTTTGTGTTTGGTTGCATGCAGGAGCTCCCCGAAAGACGATTCACTATCGAGCACGTCCTTACCCACGAATGGCTGACGATGCAAGCGGCCGCTCCTGGAGGGTAAGTGCATATATGAACTTATACGCTGACTCGAATACCATACTAACATCTTGAAGTCCCGTAATAAGCGATGATTCGGCAACAAATTCGATGACGTGGAATATAGCTCCATCTAACGCCTGGTCAAATACATACAGCAGCACTGACAGCCAACAAACACAATCTCTTTCACCTTCGACACCTATGACAGAACCTGAAAGCGTGAGTTCATCTTCTGTAACCCCCAAAATCAAGAAGGATCAAACGCCAGGGGATGAACTATTTGCTGAGCTAGCAGAGCTCACGGTAAGAGACAGTGAAGAGGGACCGGATGGCAGAGTTGACGATAAAATTCTGGCCATGAAAACTATGGCGGACCTTGCAGCAAGGCATCTTCAGCACAAAAGATATCAAAAAGCGGAAATGATTGCAGAAGAAGTGCTCATTCTGAAAGAAGAAGAGTATGGCAAGATGAGCTTGGAAGCAACCGATTCGATGGTCGACCTCGCCGTCATATATCATGAACAAGGCAAGTACAATGACTGTGAAAGAGTTGAACAACAAGTTTTCGAACTGAGGCAGAAGCTCCTGGGTGAGAAACATCCGGACACAATTAAGGCTATGCAGGCATTAGCCAAAACATACTCCAGGGAAGGCCGAGTTGCACATTCAGAGAGACTTGCAAAACAGGCCCTCGAAATCTCGAAGGAGGTGCTAGGAGATAATCATCCGGACACAATTATGGCCATGGAAGATCTCTTAGTATTTTATCGCTCTCAAATGCGATTCACGGAATCACAAAACCTTGCATTTGAAGTCATCAGGTTACGGAGTCTTCGTTTTGGCCCCAGTCATCCTGATACCTTATTATCAATGGAGTCCCTTGCTGAGAACTTTACCGAACAAGGTAAATATGATTCATCAGCTCCTATCCGAGAGAAACTTGTGGAGTTGCGAAAACAAGCATTTGGGACCAAGGATCAGGGTACTATCTTCGCAATGGAAGCTCTTGCTCTGACATATCGTGAATTAAAAAAGTACAACGAGGCCGAGACAATCTACGAAGAAATATGGGTGCTCCAAAGGGAGGCTCTCGGACGTCATGACCCGTTGACTATAAAAGCGTTGGATAATTTGACTGCAATACATCGCAGACAAGATAGAGAAACAGGAACAAATAAACAACACAGGCAAAACCCTCCAATGATTCAAGACAGCCTAGGAGAGTTTAATAGGGTGAAAGCCAAGCAAAGACCTAACCTACGAGTGACTGGTACGTGGAACTTTCTCGATCTTGGTGCTTGGCTTGGTCACTATTGAATTGGCTAACATTTTCTTCAGTAATCGCTGCTGAAGGTCTCTACAAGAAAGATATTTTCCGTGAGAGAGCCAATCGAGTTTGTTTAATGGAATATGGACTAACCACACGTTTCATGTAGGCTTTCCGGACCCATTCGCCAGGTTCAATGTACTAGATGGTCCTACACCGGAGAAAATTCAGGTTCATCGAACAGAGGTGAGAAAAGCAACCCTGAAGCCGCGTTGGAATCAGCGTTTCGACATCAGGGTCAATGATGATAGCATATTGGCATTCGAAGTGCTTGATCAAAAGAAACACAAGAAAAAAGATCAAGGAACTCTAGGTGTTGTTAGTGTCCGGGTTGGCAATGTGATAAATTTGGCCGGGGATCCTGAACCTGGGAAACGTAGGCTGAACTCGCCCATTCATAATCAAAATCAATCAGTCCGCATGTTAACTGAACACCTTAGTTTTTCGAATCTTGCGTCTCAGCCCATCCAATGGCAAAATGATTGCCCACGGAGTGCTGATGATATACCTCTCGACCGACCTTTCCGAACCCCTTGTCAAAGAAGCCTCCACGTCCGAGCCCATCGCCAGTACTATACCACCTTCCAAACGGGAATCGAGCATCTCATCAAGCCCCGTGAGACCCCCAAATGTCAATCCTTTTCAGGACACTCAGGGTTTTTTACCCGCTGGCTGGGAAGTTCGGGAGGACTCTAGTGGTAGAGCTTACTATGTTAATCATATCACGAGGAAAACTAGTTGGACTAGGCCTGATAAAAACCAATAAATCTGGGTGTGATTGCGCAAGAGAGAGGAAGAAATGATTGAAGTCCAAGGAAAATCCTAGGAGCCAAAATGACGTTAATGGTGATTCTATTTTTTGACAAGATAATTAGGAATGTAAACTGAAATATTAAGGCGCCTCTGAGCTCATTTAAATCATCTCCCAGGTTCTCCATGAAGTCAAGCCATTTATTGCTTGCTGTAGGCATTTCGATTAGACCTAGGCCCTTTCTACCCGGTGGTGGAAACTCTTGATTGCAAAGCCTCCCGGTTCTTGGGCAACATCAACATCAATGTATTCCAGGGGTATGTATTCAGTGATCTCAAAGGTACATTTGTACTTTTGATGAATATATTCTGATGATAACTGATGCCCTCTTCAATGTTTTCAGATCTGGCATGCTGAAAATGTGTTGCTTAATGATACACGTTGTCTGGGGCGTTTGGTACAGGTCTGGTGGCAGAAGTCCCGCAACAACCTTTCAATTTCGTTGTTCAAGGGCGTATAGTGCCTACATTGGAAGTTCGTAGAAGATTGATGCTTGAAAATTCGAAAGAACTCTTAGATTGGTGTATTGTCATTTTCAAGGTTATGGCTGAAGAGGTCGTTTGCTTTAGATAGGCATGACTGCGGCAGTAGATCTAAGTAGCTTTGTTCGTGACTGTTAACATTTTTGAGCCCACGAAAAGTACTCAACAGCTCCTGGAGAGCCACTTGATACGATTCACCATTGTAGATGTTATCATATAGATATTCGGCACAAAGAAATAAGGGGATGGGTGTCAAAGGATGGACCTGTACATTATTTTATTGGCGATAATGAAATTTGAGAACAGCTTGTAACTTACTTTGGAGAATGGTAGCTCGCAAAGGATCAAAGCGAGGCGTTGAATATATCTAGAGGCGTTCAATGCTTTGTTCTCATAATCCAATGCTTCATTACCATTAGGACTTGCTTTTGACTGTCTCATGGATTTGTAGAAGTGAAGTATCGTGACGTGACCAAGAATATTGGCAAAAAGTAGCAAGGGGTCATAAGCGTCATTGGGAGATGGGTAGCACTCTGACAAAATTTGAAGTCTGGCTTCAAGAAGGTTGTCCAGCCATGCACGCTGGTCTGCCCAGTCCAGTGACATGTCCCCATAGGCTTTAGATATGTTATATTGCTGGCTTTGAAGTAAGCTTCGACCCCATATCGTGGCAAGTATAAGGCACTCGTTGAAGGAAGATTGTAATCGGAGGGTTGGGTCGCCTATGGCTTCAGATAAGAAGGGCCCTAGTTCGTTCTCTCCATTTTGGAACGCAAAATCTGGAGCTGGCAGCCGAGTGCAAATCTAGGAATGCCAGATTAGTCTTTACTCAAAAAATGTACTCCAGGGCACTACCTTACCACATGCTCATTCAACGTAATGGGCCAATCGTCGCGCATGCTTAGGATATGATCAAGGAAGTAGGCACTCCAAAAAATTCGGCGTCTCTCTTCCAACTCGATGTGGTCAATACAGTAAGAGGAGGGAGATTCAAATTTCTCAAGTGGGCTATCAATCTCATGATATCGCATGGCTTGCACTAATCGGAAAGCCCTTCCAACACTCATCCAGGCTTGTCGATGATAAGTTCGCATGCACTCGAAAACAACAATTAGAACCCATGCCTGAGCAAGCTCCTTGCTAGCATTGATATTGTTGTTGACTCCGAGGCTTAAGGATTCCAGTAACCTCTTAGTCTCTTGATATAAAGGCTCAACCATATCATAAAATTGAGGTGAAAGAAGCGAAGCGAGGGTCCAGATTGCATATTGCAAGCACTTCTGAGGGTCTGTCTTGGCACTAGATTTAGACCATGCGAGATATCGTCGTTGGTGGAGAATGGGCATGGACTGGTGTACTCGGTCTAGATAAAGTTGGTCACTAGTAAAAAAGAGTCCCATTAGCTCTCATGTCACGATGGATAGAATGTCCTTGCTTACAGTTCACTTTGTAAGATTTTTGAAGGTAGCGCAAACTCATGAGAGCGCGGGTTCTGTGGCGAAGAGGTTACTGGTGCCCCCAGAGATGATATATTTGTCGTTTCTACAGGCGATGACAAGACGGTGTGTTCGCCAGTGCTTCGACAATCGCCTTGCAGCTCCTCCTGGTTCAAGTTATGCCCAGCAACAATAGATTCCAAATATGCAATGCGATTCTTCAGTACTTTCAAGTGTCCCTTTTTGGGTCCCCGGGTACTACGTTTGGTGATCTCACAAGCAATGCCCGCGTCCTGGCACACGCCGCAGTGAGGCTGTTGTCCATCGCAGCGTAATTTCCGACGCCTACATTCTTCGCATGCCGCACCAGGACGCTGGCGATGGGTTGACGCTGGTGCTGCTCGGGTCATTCTGGTGGCCATGATGAGCGAATATGGCGGGTGACGGACTTTCATTTTGCCCATTTGAAGAGTCAGGGGCAGAGGCTGAGATTGGGGGCCAAAGTGCTAATGCAAAGATGGGGAACACGTTGTTTCCGGCTTCGAATTATACTTGATTGAGCTACTACTACCAGTCCATTATTTTCCATTATCCGCTTTGATTAGCCAAATTTTTATCATTTCGGGGAAGACAAATAGATACTCTGTGGTGAGTCAAAGAATAGAAACTCCGAGCCGAAAAGAAACTCCGGCACCGAAGCGGATTGCATCGCGAAGAGGTCAACAATTGGATGGTTCCGCCCTGTATTATCTAACAATGAATTTGCAATCTTCGCTAAGAAACATTTTCTGAGACTCAAACAGCTAAATTTTCAAAGCAAGGTCGCATCTCCAATATTGTTGTCGGTGCCGTAAGTGATTCCTAGCGAAAGATTCCCTCAAATAAGCATTAATTTCGATCCTCCTTCAAGGTCTCAATTGATTTTCATGAATTCTAAATGAGATACTATCGTAAAGAGATTTATTCTTTACATTTTTCCTTCCATTCATGAGTAAAAAGTAACATAGCGAAACGCTCAAATGGGTATGACATGTACAAAATGTAAAGAGCTCGAATCCCACTAAAATGTGGCGAGCAATGGGCACACATGCGATTCAGGTATTCACCAAGACGTGTGATAGTAATGATTTCCACCTAAAACAGTCGATCAGATAGCACAGGCCGGTAGATGGATAGTTCCAGAGGCGTGGTAGATTTGAGATTACTACCAGTTGCATTGAATAGCGGAAAGAGGCACAGCAGGTGTGTGATGGATGGCTGGTCGGTGTCCATGACCAATCAAGCTGAAGCTGTCCATTTAGGCTGGTGGATATAGGACAAAATGTTGGTAGTCCAAAGTACGCCCTTATCGCACAGTTGATAGCCCGAGGTTCGAATTTCAAGGCGTAAGCCGCTGTTTTCTTGCGGTGCAACCATCGAACCGTCTTTTGGGGTCTAGCCGCCAGTGCTTGCTGTGCATGGCGTCTCTGTCTGCTAACCTCTCCATCACCGTGGAGAAAGGTAAGATCGGGTGTGCCCTTTACCACCCACCAGGGCGCCCCCCTCCGGGACCTCCAAAGCCACCGCCACCACCACCTCCTCCGGGGCCCCCAAAGCCCCCACCGCCACCCGGGCCGCCAAAGCCTGGGCCACCACCCCCAGGGCCACCGAAGCCCCCATGTCCTCCTGGACCACCAAAGCCGCCGCCGAATCCCCCACCGGCGAGGTGAGGAGGGCCGCCAAAGCCACCGCCGAAGCCACCTGGAGGCCCATGATGATGTGGACGAGGCCCGGGTCCAGGTTCAAATCCACCGCCCATGTATCGAGGAGAAGAGAAACAGCCGCCCATTGTGATATGATAGGATGGGTTGGAAGCGATCTGATAAGATATGAATAGAGCGATTTCCGGTCAAAGTCGTAGTTTTGGTATAGAATTCTTCAACGGAAGATAAAGCCAAGAAGATAGATTTGATTGAGACTGGAAGATAATCTGTCAATCTGCGAGCATCTTCAATCTCCTATATGTGTTTCGACTTTGGAAGTATTCGTCATCGCCAAGACACTATCCAGGATGTTCTATGGTTCATCCAAGGAATGGTGCCTGTGGCCCTGCAAAGTGCTAGGAATTTGCCACGTTTGACGCGGCCCGGATCTCAGCCACTTTCAGATCAGGGGCGTGTCCCTGATTATTGCTGCAGTCCCTTCGTTAAATCATCGGCAGACCATGGACTGTTTAATGCACAGGGCTGAGCAGGGACCTTTTGTGCCGGAATTCCGTAGGGCTGATCGATCGCCCAATCAGCATCCCGAATCGTGCTAAGCCACACTCCACACGCCGAAAGACTCTGCCGGGGGAAAATGTCCAAAATTAGGATCTGCTGTGAACGGGTTTAAAGTTTTTTATTTTTCTGAATTTGTGGATTGAGCAGTATTTTTGGAGGTGGCTAATTATAATAAAATACAATGACGATACCAAATGGATTCTCGACAAGCATAGGCAAGAGCTGGTAGATCAAGGTGATCATTAGGGGGAAGCCTTGGAGACCCTCTCTAGTTCATTCCGTATTTCTACCAGTGCTCAATTCCTTTCATGGATTCTAAGGGAAACAAGGCCTTTATCTTTGTCTCTTACCGCTGAAATCTTTTGAGCTCCAGCCACCGGAGCGGAGGGTAAACCAACATGGCCCATGAGACACCAACCCAGATGCCCAAGTCTGAGCCGTAGTCCCCAACCATCCTGGCAATTGGCCCAGTCCACCATACCTCATCCATGGAGACAATGGCTCCCGCCCAACCAATTAGGAAAGCTGACAATGCCGCAATGCCTACTGGCAGCTTTGACGGTGTTGACCAAGCATCCCAGTCAAACCCGAGCTTTCGTCGGAAGACACAGTGCTCTTCGATCGCAATTGTTAAATAGATAGTGACCCAATATCCCATCAGCGAAAGGAAATTATCGAAGATATCGTACAAGTAATTTCTACCACCCAACGCGCAAGCGGCGTATATCACGACACCGACACACGACCAAAACCATCGTGGAAGTCGTGCGAGATGTCTTCCCATGATCTGGAAGCCAAGGGACGCAGAATAGGTCCCCGGGATATTGTTGGCAATGAGGCCGAGCGCAATGAGAACACCCATGAATTTACCGAATCCGCTGAGGCCCTCATAGCCTGCCAGGATCAAAGCCCCAGATGAGGTGGCATAAGCGGATTCCCACGAGGCATGAGTGAGAGTGCCAGAGGCGAGCCCAACACCGAGCAAATTCGCAAAAGTCAAAGCCAGCCCGACACCCAAGAATGTCATGAGAAAGGTCTTCAATCTGGATGTAGTGGGCGGGAAATATACGAAGAAATCAGCACCGGCTGGTGCCCATGCCACCGATGCGGACAGACAAAGTGAGAAGAATGATAAGCGGTTCCCAGCGATAGTTTCGGGCGTACCAGATGACACTATCGACGTGTCAAACTTGGGCCCTGCAGAGCCAACCAAGACAAACGCAGCGATGAGCTGGGGAATCCAGGCCCATTTTTCATATATGTGGAATACTCGCATTCCAAATAATACTACCACCCAGGTCACAATGGCAATAATGATGATTCCGACAACAACGGACATAGAGCCACCTGCAACAGCGGAAAGAACCTGTCCACCGACTAGACAGTCAATCATACCATATCCCAACATAATAATGATATTCAAAAGACATGCGATCTTGCTAGGATAGTAGCCCATGAAATATCGGGCGACAACCTGTTCTATTTAGCCACTCCTGTTTCATGTGAATGAAAGAAGATAAATCTGCGCACCATAGTTCGATTTCCACTGGCCGGTCCAAACGTTCCCATATATGCAACACCTACAGCACCTAGCAGAGCCCCAAATGTTGCACAGAGTGCCGAGTCAACAAATCCCAAAGAGTACGAAAGAGGGCCCATCATGCCCAAAGCCATATTATTGGCCGTGATGTTGGTGCTAAACCAAAGGAGGGACATCTGTAGGTAGTCACTGGCTCTCATGTCTTTCCTTTCCTCGAGTGGAACGCGTTCAATCCCACGGGTTTCAAAAAATTCAATCGACGTTAGCCAAAGGTTGAAGCGGCTGAAGATATTTCCCGGCGGTGCAGCCGTAGACTTTGCAGGGGATACATCGACAAGAGTACTTTTGACCGATGGTCCCTGGAGGACCGCAGAGCTTTGGAGCCCTTTCTCTTCGTCCATCGTAGGTTGGGTCATCATGCTGGCTTCTTGGATGTGTCACCGGAGAAAAATTATCGGGGCGGGAAGGCGCCCCCGCTTCTCTCCTGATTGTTAGGACCCACCCGCATTGCTTAGCTTGCTTGTTTGTGATAAGGCCGCGGTGGCTGACACGCAGAGTCGAAATAACTTTACGGGAAAATTACATCGAATAAAAACAATATACACTACGTATTATTTGAGATAATTGATTCCAAGTGGCTTTATATATTCTAGGAGCTAGTGAAGAAAACCCCCTACACAGGTGTCACTACAGCCACAGCCGAATGATCTCGATTATTGATTCAATCGCGCGCGTCATAGTTTATAATAGGACGAGATATATACCCAGGTCTGTCACATTATTTTCCCATCAAAAGCAGACATCTGGACTTCATATTTTTGTGCAATCAACAGGTTCAAGCTATTTAATAGCATATTCTGGCAAGCTCTTCAAAAATAGCCTCTTCGATATTGACCCACTTTATGACGAAGGCCGAGCTTCTGTGAAGTCTGATCACATTGATGGCAATGAAATCTTTCTCCGAAAATTAAGATTATCATGTTCCGAAAAATATTCTATTCAAATATTTTGAAGTGATTACGGTAATTCGTTTGTGCGGTCATATTGTCTCGTTGCCTAAAAAAACCCATCTCTGTCATAGGCATACGGAGGGCTGCCTCGGATAATCTCATCAAAACGTCTACTGATTCGGCTGAAGTTTTGCCCATAGCGTCCGAGTTCTCGAAGTCGAATCGATACCCAGTCTTGGTAAATCTGATCCGAAGTCGCGATCCCGGCTAGAAATAGAGGCCAGGTAATCCGCACCATGAGCCGAGGTCGGCTGCGGTGGAGTTGTAAACTCAGTTCAAGGACGTGCGAAACAGCCGTCTGAAGGGGGATCAAGGTATTCCGCACTTGAGTTTCTGGGCGGTTGTTGAGAACATCCTGAAAACAGAGATGGAAGAATACGATTGTGCTGTAGAATGTTATGGTGGCCCAGTGAATTGTTTCCATGACACGACGGCCATCGCCAATCGACTCGCATGTAGTCGAGCTTTTGGCAGATCCAAGAACTGTGTCGTACTCCTGTAGTTTTGTTAGACCATGCAAGATGAATAGGAACGAATTTGGATTTTGCAAGGCTCTAAGGCTCGCATGACTTACTACGGATATTGTATAAATCTCATCAATGATCTGTTGGTACGGGGAATGGTCACTAGGGATCGAGACTGACGCAGTGCCTTGTTTGAACAGCTCTGTGATTTTAAACTGAACGACATGGCTGCGGTGGTATAAAGTAAGACTGGGAAGATTTTCCATATCATCTAACCGGGCAGACATTGGGTATTCATCGCCCCAGAAGCGAGCCGGGGATTGTCTGCTTATTCTGTATAACTCCGGTAACGTGATAGATATAGTACTATCAACGTCGGCTGTTTCCGTTAAAAAAGATTGATATATATCGGTGTCGAGCCTTCCTGTGGTAGGGGCAAAGAAAAGAGCACCGGGCGTGAAAAAATAGAGGGTCCAAAGTAGAAACAAAGGTACAGAGGTGCGACGAAGCCCCTCAAATGTATCGTCAGACTCGGTCGCGAAGACGGCCGAGTCTTTGGTAACTTGTTTCTTACCGGGTTTATCCGGCTGTCGACTGATTTGGAGCTGTTGATCAACTTCACTGTGAAAAGTTTTTGGTGAGGGATGTGATGCCAAAGGAATTTGGTGTTCAGCAGGCGAATAGCGATTTTGCAACAGAGGGACGATTTTATTCTGTAAAAGGCTTTCGATGCCCTTTATATGAATGTTGATAGCGGTTGCGCCGCTACCGAAGCGGTTTTCGTAGTCTATCATCAACCAAAGCGTGATAAAGATCGCTTCAATCTTTTGTATAGGATTTGCGTTCTGCTTTAGGGCATGCCGGAGGCTCGACAGCGCCCGACCATAATGCATCCGTCCATCCAGCTCGCAGGAATCGACCCTCTCGCAATTTCCGCTCAAGACTTTTTGATCGTAAAGCCGCGATCGATGAATCTCCTGGGCTGTACTTGCCAGAATCATGCTCATGACCATAGGCTCATTAACGGCAATTTTTCGATAGGCATAGGACATTGCCGACCACGGCCAGTGCTTCCCAAGCATCACAACCAAAGTGGAAGATTCAAGATAGCTCAGACAGTCTCGATCAAAAGGCGATAGCGTTAAGGAATTGGCGGCCTGTATACTTCCATCTGAAGCGCCACTACTTATTCGCGCAGGTAACAGTAGCGCATTGAAGGTCCCAATTGGCGACTGTCCGCCCGATCGCTTTCGTACGACCTGATCACTAGAAATATTGCGGCCATGGTTCGACAGCCTATCCGAATCTTTATTCGAACCTGTCGAAGTAGATGTGCCTATTGACTTGCGCGGAATTGGACCGCCTTTCCATTCACACTTGATCTGGGCTGCTGCGCAGCGTCTGCACTGCGGCTCCGCCTGGCCCTGAACTTGCTGTTTCTCCTCGTCGCATTTGATTTTGCGAATGCGACATGTACGGCAACCTGGACAACTTCGTAAGCTATCCTATGAGCCATAAAATCAAGCCAAAGTATTTGAGAGTCGAGGATATACGTGCAGTCGTGTGGATTCTTACCGGTCTTGGAGCGTGTCTTGCCTTGCTTGTGCATTATGTGAGTGCCGATCGTTCCGATTCCAACTCCCCCCACTCCTCAGGGTCACCGGCCCGGCGCAGGGCTCCGGGATGCGCGCAAATCTGGAGAAAAAGAAATTAGGCTATGAGGATTTAGGCGACCCTATCGCTAAGTGGGTGATGGTAAGTTTGAAGTACAAGGCTGCAATCATGCAGTGAAGAAGGGAGAAAAGTGGAGGCCGGAGAAGAATAGCGCCCTTATCTGCCGAGCGTAGGCGCAAGCGTCGCCTGGGGTGCCAGTTTTTGCTGCCGAACGATAAGGGCGGTGCCGACCTGCTTTTGCCGATTGGCTGAGTCGGCAGCGTCTTCTAACCGTATCAAGCAGCGCGATGCGTTGCCGAGAAACAGAGTAGATTCAGGCGGGGAAATCGTCGACTAAAAGATGGACATTCCAAGGCCCTGGAAGACTCCGGAAGATGGTTGACTCCGGCGTCTATTTCTGTTCCTTATAAAATCACGGTCCATTCCTATCATCCCGCCGCGCCGCCATCAGGATTACGCGATTGCCGATCGAAGAACCCATTCACCATGCACGTTCCTGAATCCCAACGACCTTTTCTGGAGGGGTGCAGAAGGTACTCAGTCAATATGAGGAGCAACTGAAGGATATCAACCACAAAGTAAATATATCACTAAAGCATATTCACAATAAATAGAGAGAGAAAAGAGACAAGAACTAACGGTCACCAGATTTGGTCGAATCCCGAGCTCGCTTATAAGGAATACCAAGCTCACGACCATATCTGCGAGCTTTTCGAAAGTCTCCAATCAAATGGCTATCAGGTTCGGCGAAAGGCCTACGGCCTTGAAACTGCTCTTGAAATCGAGTACACGCATGGCAAAGGTGGTCGGGTAATCGCATTCAATGCCGAATACGATGCTCTACCAGGTATTGGCCATGCCTGTGGTCATAATCTGATCGCAACTAGTTCGATTGCAGCATTTATTGCCACGTGCGAGGCAATGAAGGTGCATGCCGAGTCAACTGGTACCCCTGGATTTACCGTGCGGCTGCTAGGCACTCCTGCTGAAGAGTCGGGAGGCGGCAAGGTGAAAATGATCGATGCGGGTGCTTATAAAGATGTGGATGCCTGCTTGATGGTGCACCCGGTCCCAATGGCTCCAGGGGCCCCCGATTTACATGGTATGGCAACGGTAATTCAAGGAGGCTTTTTGGCCAATGATAAGGTGAAGATTACTTTTACCGGCAAGCCAGCGCATGCTGCAGCGGCCCCATGGGAAGGCATCAATGCATTAGATGCCGTAGTATCTGCCTATGTGAACATTAGTCTTCTCCGACAGCAGATTCTTCCCAGCCAGAAAATCCATGGTGTCATTGTGAACGGAGGTGATCGACCGAACATTATTCCTATGTCGGCGACAGTGGATTATTATATCCGGTCACCTACAAAGAAGTCTCTGAAGACTTTGACGGAGAAAGTAGTCAAATGTTTTGAGGCCGCGGCAACTGCAACAGGCTGCAAAGTCGAATTTGATTGGTATGGGCTTAAATCCCGTGTCTCATTTTTCTCAAACTTCTAACACTTTATTCAGGGGTATCTCCTATGACGATCTCAAGAGCAATGTGCCAATTTGTGAGAACTATGTCTCTGCCATGCGAGCAATGGGTTACCACACCTTGCTCGATAACTCAGAACAAAAAGGCGCTTTGGCTGGAGCATCCACTGACATGGGTAATTTATCATATGTCGTCCCCGGATTTCATGGGATTTTCTGCATCCCGGCCAAAGGTGTTAATCATACCCCCGAGTTTACTGGTGGTGCGGGATCACCAGAGGCTTTTGCAAGAGCTACGCAATGTGCAGCTGGAATGGCTGTTGTGGCGTGTCAGATTCTAGTGGACGACAAGTTTGCCGAGGATGTTAAGAAGGATTTCGAACGCGAGCGATAGGGAAACAATATTAGTCAATAATAAATCTCAAATTGAAATATCTATCTATCAAATCAAGATACCTCCACTCCCTCTCCCTCGGCATCTTGACATCTCAATCGTAGCTACGCGAATCGACCCCTGGATTTTATTAGCGGGTATCAATCTTATCCTCCTTCACTTCCAATCACAACGAGCCAACCTTCCATTTTGACCAGATAGATGTCCCCTTGTGTTGCCGCCACAAGTTTAATCCTGCCAAGACCCCAAAGACCTTGCCGATCTAGCCAATAGCAAAACTCCCGAGGATGGCCCGCCAGATGGTTTGTTATCAAAGGATTTAGTTTTGCGGGGATAGATTTATCTTGGCGCGTGAGGGGTGTCAAGTGCGCGCAAAGTTACTACGTCTTGAGGAGACATAAATAGAGTAGTCAAGACTGATTCTTGTGAAAATAATATTACGATCCAAATTTGATTCTATTTCCATTTAAATTTCATTTTTAGGTTCGAGATGAACGAATCATCTTCTAAGAAGCTGGTTGAATATGAAGATCAAGAGGGGAAACCAGAGAGTGTTGATAATGGGATAGTTGAGCAACACCAAACGTTGCCTCAGTACTCATCGGCTGCAGAGAGAAGACTTGTTCGGAAGATTGATCTGAAGTTGGTCCAAAGAGTCCCAGGAAAGGAGCAAGGAAATATGATACTAATTCAAGTACGGCAGAGTTCTCCCGATCATGCTAATTGCCTATATGATGGCTTTCTTGGACAAACAGACCCTAAACTACACCGCTTTAATGGGGATCCGAGAGGATCTTCATCTAGTTGGGACGCAGTATAGCTGGACCTCGGGAATTTTCTATTTTGGCTATCTTGTCTTCTCTTATCCCGCTTCGTTATTGATGATTAAGTTCCCACTTGGAAAATATCTCGCCGTTAATTTGTGAGTATCTCACTGTCACTAGGCCTACTACAGTTTCTAATCCGACGCAAGCATTCTATGGGCGATTGTGCTTGCTTGCCACGCCGCCACAACTAACTTTGCCGGTCTCATGGTAACCCGATTTATCTTGGGCTGTACAGAAGCGAGCCTTTCACCAGGATTTACTCTCATTACCTCTCTATGGTATCGTACATCTGAGCAGCCCCTCAGGGCTGGTATATGGTTCTGTGGAAACTCTCTATCCCTTATCTTCGGCAACCTCATTGCAGTCGGTATTCTGCAGATTGACAGCACTCTCAAAAGCTGGCAGGTCAGTATTATTTTCTCTGTCTACATTGAACTAGTCATTTTCTGATCGGCCTACAGTGGCTCTTTATTATATTCGGCATCCTCACCTTCCTGTGGGGCATCGTAATGGTTCTTCGGTTGCCCGATTCACCTACTGATGCCACCTTCCTCACTGAAGAAGAGAAGATGATTGCCATCGAACGGATGAAGGCGAATCAGACTGGATTCAAGAATACCGAAATTGACCGGAGTCAGATTGCAGAGGCGTTCAAAGATGTCAAGACATTGCTCCTTGCTATTTTCATTCTAGCCTGCAATATTCCCAATGGTGGCTTCACTACTGTATGGATACTTTTTTCGGCCCCCAAAAACATGATCACTGTGCTAATTATGAGAAGTTCAACGGACTGGTACTACAAGGCTTCGGCTTCGACACATTTCACACGCTACTGCTCGGCCTCCCGGGTGGGTTCATAGTATTCTTATCTGTTTTGATATCGTGAGTTTCTTTTTCTCAAGATACCCTGCAAAATGCAAGCTAGATATTCTAACACGCCAAAGTGGCATTGTATCTTCCAAGGTGGCTAATAGCCGATGCCTCGTTATTGTGGGCATGACCATGATTAGTATCATCGGGAGTGGTCTGGTATATGCTGGAACTTCCACAGCTGCCCGATACGCGGGTTTACTCCTCATGGGAGTTTACTCTGCGACCATGCCTGTTTCCATGGCCATGATCAGTTCCAATGTTGGTGGCTTTACCAAAAAGGCAACTGTCAGTGCCATATACTTCATAATGTATTGCACAGGAAACATCATTGGGCCGCAGTTGTTCTTTACGCGGGAAGCACCGAAGTATCAGGTATGTTGATATTCCAATCTTGCGAGGAAGGGCACAACTAAAACGCTTGGTACCTAGAGCGGTTTCTTGGCTATAATTGTTTGTCTCGTTATTTGTGTCGTGGATGGACTTGTTTTGTTCTTCTATCTTCGCTGGGAGAATGGCAGGAGAGATAGACAGGGGCTGAATGATGAATCGGCTTCTCCCGAGAAGCACACTGGAGGGGCACCTTCGACTGAATTACTTGACACTACGGATTTGAAAAATATGCGGTTCCGCTATGTGTATTAAACCTGTTCGCACATTGTGCAACAAGGACTGCCTTCCGTGGAATCATATCGTGGTTTACTAGAACTCGAAGTATTAAAGAGAGGGTTGCGAGTCGCAGCACATGAACTCAACCCTATTTTATCTTCCATTTGCTCTCTCCTGGATCTCCAAGTGATGAAGTTTCATGATGTTTCATAGCATTATATTTCATATCTATCTTGTCCAGGTTTACATTACCATTTTCATGCCACCATTGGCACAAACCAGGCTGCCAGTGCACCACTGCGCATCTGGCGTGGTCAGCATTCCGACCACACCGGCAACCTCGCTGGTAAACGCCGGTCTCCGACCTCCCATTTTCTCCTGAATAGCGACCTTTTGCGCGTCCGTCAACCGATCCATGGTCTCCTGGTCTGTAACATCCAACTTGCTCCCCGGGGCGTTATCTTGGAATCCCTGGATGTCGCGCCAGAAGTCCTCACCGGCATTGAAGTACATGTCGCCCACGACAGGCCCCGGGTTCACCGCGTTGACGGTGGCACGGTCCGCCAGCTCTCGCGCCCAGGTTCGCGTCATCGACTCGAGAGCCGCCTTGGTGCCGCCATAGATCGACTGGCCGACGAAACCCAGCTGGGAGGAGATGCTGGAGATATTCACGATGCGGCCGCTGCGGTCGGTCGGGAGGAAAGGTGCAACGGCCTGGGTGAGGAGTAGAGGAGCGAGGACATTAATCGTATAGATCCAGTTGAACTGGTCAGCCGAAATCGGACCTCGGACGGGGTCGTTTAGATTACAGTCGCCGGCAACACCGGCATTGTTGACGAGGATATCGATCTGTAGTTTGCCATTGGAGCTGAACTTCTCCTTGGCGGCATCTAGGATGGCCTTGAGGGCCTCCTCAGGCTTGCTCAAGTCGGCCTGGACTTTCTCACAGCGGATGTTATGCGCGGAAGCGAGGGAGGCACACAGCTCGTCGGTGGGGCCGCGTGAGGACTCGGAGGTGTAGTTGAGCAGCAAGTGGCATCCTTTTTCAGCGAGGTTGCGGGCAATGGCCTCACCGATTCCTAGGGAGAGGGTCGCAAGTCAGCGTGTTGTCATTTTGTTATTGGCGTGGCGGGGGCGGATTTCTACCCCGCGATCCACCAGTAACGATGCCGAATTTGCCCTCCAAAATGCGGGTTGAGTTGGCCATGTTGAAAAGAGAAAAGGGGGGTTATGACGCGAAGAAAGAGAGACAGAGAGAAGAGAGAGAGAGAACAGGGACAAAACGACAAAGAAAAGTAGGCGTTGGACTTCGTGCTTTGTACCCCCGGATTCCCCGTCTGGAATTTAGCCGACAGGTGATCTCGGGCCTTTTTCGCATCGTGAAGCTTCTCCCCATCTCCACTCGCGGACCAAATTTTCCCGTTTCGGCGCCCATCAGGAAACCCGGCTAATTTCGGTCTCGGGCTTAGAATGTGGAGGTTTTCCGATCTTATTGCTTCGTCGGGACCTTTGACTGTGTAATTCGCCCTTGATCGCATCCTCCATTAGCCGTTGTATACCTTTCATCCCCGGCACTTGCCACGCTTGTCATGCATGGGTGACACTGCGTGTTTGGCAGAGGAATGTGATACAACCCGACTCCCTGGGCATACCACGAGCATTTTGGTTTATTATGCTCGGCCCGTCAACCGAAATCGGTCCTTGCCGGAACCGAGAATTTAGATCCCATCTCAGCGACCAGCCTTGACAGTCTGGACCGACAAGCCGATCCTGTCAAAAAGGCGCTGGTTGGGTAAAGTTCTCGCCAACATTGTCGCCGAACAGGATAGGGTTGGGCCATCTTCCATTTTTTGGCTTCTGCACGAGTGCCTAGGCATCTTTGCGCGATCTCGGATAACTAGAACCCCCGGGTTCTGATTGTCATACTCAACAGAGACCTACCAAAGGTCCAACTAGGCAAGTTTGTCTTGAAGGCAGTGATTTTGTATGTCATCGAAGTTGTCTTCCGAGTTACCTCGTTATGGCTTAAAAATAGTACCTTATTTTCGCCTCTGTACGACCTCTCGACCCAATCAACCAAAAAATTCACAGCAAAGCCCTAGCTCGAGAAATTCTCGGAAGAATTTTTTAGTGCGTCTGTGGAATATGCAATGATTCCAAGAATCAACAACATACCATTCGGGTGCCTCATCATCCCTGGCACAGTGCCAGTCGCCACAGATATATGATATCTACAATCAGCGAACATAAATCCTGGACAATTTGTGCAATCCTCGCCTTTTCATAAATTTTAATACGCGACCAGAACACCACGGGCGATTTCGACTGGGTTGCCACAGGCATCCTTGCTCCCAGAGTTTGTTTTCCCCCTTTGGACATTCCTCAGGCCCGAGACAAATGCACCACACCACCCTCAACCTGAACCGCTGAGAGACCCCTAGTATCGAGTACTAGGCCCCAGGGAGGGGAGAAAATTGAATTTAATCCGGACCCATTTTGGTTTGATTGTTTGATGGGTCACACCATCCTTCACGCAAGAATATCCCCGTTTGTTTGCGTTACAGACTGCCACCTATCAATTCCACACGGTAACACCTATGCCACAAGCGCGAGGCTGATGATTTGGTCGAGGAATCCACATGTCGTATAAAAATCATCAACATGTGGGCGGGTCTACATTGCTATTACATTACTGTTCTGGGTCAAGGGGTTACGGATGCTGTTATAACTTTGTGGAACTGGATTTACAATAGGCTGGATCTCTACAGCTAACGTAGTTACATATAGAGACTTATATAGTTAAAAACCTTTTCTATAATTCAAAAATTAGAATAGATAACAGTAACTATATACAGTATATCTATCAACAACTAGGTTCTCACTTCCGCTGTGTACTGAAGGAAAAGGTGTATATCGCCAACTAGTTTAATAGCTTTCTACACGATTAGCAAATTGAAATATTACTCAACGGTCAGATCATTGATTGTATAGGTCTGCAACAGCTGGAACACTCCTTAGTCCAGTAATATCCGCGTACATGAGCCAGGCATCGATTATAAATATTATCTAGTTCGTCAACTCCTCAGATTCAACGAAAATAAATAGCAGAAGTGCCCATGATCGAATCTTCAAATAGAAAGCCGGAAAAGTTTGACAGTTCCCAGGGTCCTCCAACCAGAAAATCGCCAGTAATGACTATCAAATCGATTGAACGCTAACAATATGAGCCCGCTCATCAGCTTACTGAGCACGCTGAGCATACAAGTAAGCGTGTTCTTATGTGTTCTATATACTTCAAAATGGTGTGTGTGATCAATGACTGCCGTGCCGAATAACATGTAAATATATATGGGGGAAATTTCGTCATTTCAAAGAGAATAGTACGTGGTGGTGTGTAGGACTTGCTAGCAAATTATGCAAAATATCCGATTGGTAAGTATCTCGCAGCAGGAAAAACTGTCCTCATGGCAAAAGTGAATCATTCGGAACCACGAGGTGTTGCCGATGATTATTGGAATTTTGAAGCAGTATACTTCTGGTCAATGATCTTTGGGGCGACGAAACGACTGTTGTGGTCACAGTTGACCACTACAATGCATAAGCTGTAAGACTTCTGGTGCTACCCAGAAGTCTTGACTGACGTTTTTTCAGCTTTGTGGAATGTAGTCTATGATACTCTATCTATGATTAACGTAAGACGTTACATTGTTACGGAAAACCACTCGCATATACCAACCTCACGAAGCAATCAAGGTGGAACAGAGAATACCTCAAGATACATGTGCAAAAGAACAAAACCTCTCGTGGGAGTTGGACCAGGATAATGAGAAATTGAGATTTTTTTACGCAACCTCGAGAAGGCAATAAGGAGTACGAAGCAACGTACGAGGCTAGTTTGAATTTCTAGCAGGCCACCAGCACGCCGAGTGACCAAAGAAATACCGACGATAGCGAGAATATAACATTTGATATATCTTGAACTCAAACGTCTTTCCTATTTTGTAGAAAGCTCTTCTGAGATTTGGCCGAAGAAAGAGTCATTATGCCTTGCGCTTGAAGAATAAGAGAGGCTGATCTTGTTCGCAAAGGAGAAATGGATGGTCCCAGGACACATTAGATAGATGGATGGAGATTGCACCAGAAATGGTTGCTTTCAATGATTTTGTAACAGCCCTCAAGTTTCGTTTCCATTTTCTGCATTCGAATATGATATTATTGTTTTGCCACAGCTTTCAGGGACGCCGACCAGATCGTTGAGTAAACACAAAAGGGAGGTCTTGGGTAGCTTGTTCTAGTGAAGAAGTTACAAGAGATACGGTTCAACTATTCACTCTTCTCCAATATCAATGAGCTGTTAGCATGGGACTATTGGAGAGAGGGAGAGAATATAGATCGCTGAATGCAAACCTGTCGAAAAAACAGTGCCATTTCTGCTCTGTCCCTAGCATCCCCGGCCGGCATGCGAGCAATGGCATCAACTTCGAAGTTCTTCAGACTCGAGTGTCTATACTTCGTACAGATCTTCCTATCTCATCTTTTCACTGCCTCTGCGAGTCACATTCTGGATCCCCTAACCACTGGATCCTCTCGCCTTCGGAAGAAATTCCAATCTCTCCCAGTGCCGCAAATACTGCTGCAGGAACCGGAAACCTTCTTTCACCAGGGACCCGAACCCCCATCGCCAGCTCCACGTAAGAAGTTCGTCGCCCTCATCGCCAGTCCACTCAATATGCAGGGGCCAACCTATCAAGGCCCAGAGTAATTTCCCTGGGCCTTGGCACCCCGATCACTCGCTTCAAAAGCGCGTGGAGTCTGGATAGCCCACCCACATGACGTTTTCGCTTACGCAGCCTTCTTTGGGGCCCTGGAGACCTGCCCACGAGAAGTCGTTCAGGATCCTGTATCCTATGTTTTTCGTACTCGTAATGCGATCCCCCCCCTTCTCGATATCTCTGTATGTACGGTATGCGCAGTTCTCATGTAATTCGAAGACGTACGGGCCCCGTAACATAGTCTGCTCGGTTCGCTATCACACCAACAGCGGTACCCAACGCAGACCTTTCACCACTACTAGCAAACAGCTTCCAGTTAACTCCGGCTAAGCCACATATCGAGCCCCCCCCCCTGAGGTATTGCGGCCTCGTCAGCGCCTCTGCGCCCTCCCCCCCTCCCCCTTAGCCTCCTTGCTCTGCCACACAACCCGTCCGATTCCCGGCCCTCCCCTCATCCCACCAAGCTTCTTCGGCCGGACCCTACGAGCCTCCAATCGAATGAGGAAATGCCGTGTGGGTTTCTGGCGTGGCCTGATAGCAATAGCGCATGGACACGTCCCTCGAAGCGGAGCGAGAGGGAGAGAGGAAGGGTGATCAACCACACTGCGAACTACCGAGCCCAGGGCCCAATATAGAGGCCCAGCTAGCCCCGCCGATGCCAGCAATGGGCCGAAGCCGATTGGGAGGAAAAGAGGGCCTATATCGAACACATATCGAGGAGGTTGTCGATATGACATCTCGCACGACCCTTCCAACCACCAACTAGATACCAATTCTGAAGCCTTTCCCACCCTCCCAGGGGCTAGCATGAACACGACAAGCCAAAAAAAAAAAAAGAAGAAAAAGAATATTACGGAATTGCGTGCCTCATACTGAGCCTCTGATACCGCGAGGGTGGATTTCAGCGAACGAAATTGGAGAGAGAGAGCAAGCTATACCGAGGTCCCTGCGGTTGAACAGTTGCTTCCCCCTCATCCCGAAGCCCCTGTATGTAGTGCCAATGTAAAGCAAACCATGGTCGTACGTGGCCCCTCGACTTCCCCAAGTCCCAAGTGATGTCGATCAGACTAACCGAGGATCAGGGCCCGCGTGCATCTTGCATCTGTCAGCGGATTAAATCCTTCCGAAGAGGGTTAGTTGTCCGCGTACATAAGGCGGATCAGACACCGGGTATTTTCCCCACTGCCCGCCCCCCCTTCTCTCCCTCCACCCAAGCGCCAAGACCAAACCAGGTCCGGTCCCCTTATGTAGGTTGGTAGGTGGGTTGGTATGTATGTAGTATTGTTTTTGTTTTGACAGGGTTACGGCCAATGATTCGGCCTAGTGCACGCTGGGGAAAAAAAAAACCATGTCTTACGGCCGGTGAGCGGGCTGGTGAGGTATTACCAGAAAATTCAAGCGGGGAGGGATAGTTCTAATCTTGAGCCTTGCAGGT